TTGGTGAATAATATAAATAATAAGTTAAATAATTAGAAATCAAATTGTAAGAATAAAAATAAATATAATTAAAGAGTGATGCAGTTTTGAATTAATAAATTTAATTTTTATAGATGGAATTAGAAGAAAAGAAAAGTACTATTAATGATCTCAAAAAATCTCATTAGTCTGCTATGTTGGCATTAGAATAATCATAAAATACTTAAAATCAATAATAATTAAATAAATCTCTTATTGATTTGAAAGAATAACATATGATAGAAATTAGATAAGCAGAACAAAATTCATAATAATTGAGAAAGCAATTATAATAATAATTGGATTAATTATAAGGAGAACTATAAGAAGCAGAGATGAGAGGGGATGTATTTTTATAAGAAAAGAATAAATTATAAGAAGAATTAAATGAAAGCTATTAAGTTTAAGATGAATTGAAATAAAAGATTTAATAATAATTAAAAGAGATGGAATCAAATAAATTTACATAATTTAGAGAGAAAGAATTGAGAATGAATTAAAGAATTAAATAATTAGAAGAGGAATTAAGTTAATGCAAATAATAACTATAAAATATGGGTAATGTAGATAAGAATAGTATTGAATAATAAGTGAATGAATTAAGAAATTATTATGAAATGGAAAAGGATGTTTTAGAGAGAAGAATTCATGAAGAAAGATAGAAAGCTGATTAAAAATATTAAATATTATTTGAAGAATAAGAATAGAAAATGAGAGATGAACAATAATAATATGAAGAAGAGATAGAGACATTAAAAGATGAATTAAGAGATTTAGAAATCAATTTAACTACTTAATAATAATAATATGATAATGAAATAGAATTAAAAAATAAATAACTTAATTCAATGGAAAATATATTAAATGAGACAAAAGAATAATTGGTTTAATTATAAAATACTTTCTAAACTTAGGTTGAATAAAGAATAAATAATCTTAATGTTACTATATAATCATTAGAAAGTCAATTAACTAATTAATAATAGAATAATTAACAATTAGTTAAAGAGAATTAATTAATGACATAGAAAGTAGAAAACTTGGATGTTAAACTTTAATAAAAATTAAGTGAATTTAAATAATTGAAGGAAGATTAAGAAAAAGAGAAGACATAATTATAAGAGACATTATAAGATTTGAGAAGAAAATATACAGCAACTTGTGATGAATATTTAGAGAAGAAGATAAATTATGAAAAGGCTATAGCATTGTCTGCTTAATAAAATGAATTTTTTGCCAAAAAAGTTGAAGAATTAGAAAGACAATTGGAGAGTTGCAATCTGAAATATGAAGAGAGAATTAAGATATAAAAATAGGAATGGACTTAAGAATTATCAGATAGATTATCAAAATTAAATGAAGAGAAATAATAGATTGAATCTAAAAGTACATAGCTTAAGAAACAATTAAGAGAAAAGGAAACATAATTATTGAAAGCATAATAAGATTTAGAAAAAGAAACAGCTTTATCAACAGAAAAGATTGTATATTTAGAATAAAAATTAAGAGAACATGAATAATAAACATCTTCAGAGAATAGTAATGCTGCTTTTTAATTGAAATAGTTAAGAGAATAATTTAATATACTTAAATAAAAATCATCTTCTGATATTGAATAATTAAAATCATAATTGACTAATCTTGAATTTGAGAAATAAGAATTATAGGCCAATTATGAAAAGGATAAGATTTTATGGGTAATATTATAATTTAATATTTTTATAGTAAGGAAAAACATAATTCTTAGAATCATAAAGAGAATCTTTGAAAGTAGAATTAGCTGATGCTATGAGAAAATTTGAAACAACAATTCAAACATTATAAAGATAAAGAAGTCTAGAAAGAAATGATCATAATCAAGATATAACAGAAATGTTAAATTAGATTGAAAGAAAGTATTAAGATTAAGTTAAAGATATATAATAATAACATTAAAAGAAATGTGATGATTATTAAGAAAGAATAGAGAGATTGGAAAAAGAACTTAAACAATCTCAAAGTAAAGAATTACTTGATTAATAATCAAAGATTGGTTAATAATTTGAAAGAAAGACTGCAGAATTATTAGAGAATGAGAAAAGACTATTAAATACAATTGAAGAATTAAAATAAGAAAGAGATCAACGTATACTTGAACATCATGAAGAAGTAGAATAAGAAAAAGAGTATTGGAGAAATAAAATTAATGAATTAGAAGAAAGATAAAGAGAATCAGATAAAAAATAATCTTAACTAATTTTCTATCATGAAAAAGAAAGAGCTAAATGGAGTTAAGAAAAAGATTATATTATGTAATAAAAGATGGAATTGTAAGATTAATTATCAAGATTGGAGAAAAAGAAAGAATTATTACTCAAAGAAAATGAGAAAATGAAGAATTCTTCAAAGAGTCTTAGAAAATATAATCCTAATCAAACTCTTAATAATAGTTATTTAAATAAATAAGCAAGTGATAAAAAGATCCCTTCATAAGTATATTATTATTCTATTAAATTATTAGGAAGTAGTTAATATGAGTTATGATGTAACTAAATCATTAGAGGATAAAGATCCAAGTGCTAAAGAAAATCTATCTACATCAACAACATTTGGTAGTTTCAAAAAATATTATTAAATGATGAACTCTAAACAAGTAAGTCCTAGTAAAATAAAAGAGATTTCAGATATTTGATAAATTAATATATATATATATATATATATAACACAAGAAACTCATATTTATGCAGACCATTATTATCTTAGTTAATTCTCATAAAGTGATCTTTGTAATATATTATTAGCAAAATCTATATCAACACAATATTGGTTTTATTTATCAATAATGCACTAACCTAAAGCTGCATCATATAATGAAATAATAAATTTATCAATCTATCTTGGAGAAAAATCTTCCATTTATTTTGCCAACTATAAAATTTCATCATCTGATAAATTGAAATTTACTTTGAATCGTTTTTAAAATGCTTTAGCTGGATTTAATAACAAAGAAAGCATATTACTTTTTTAAAATGTATCCTCAAATCCTTTTTTTAATAATTTAACTCTTTGTTCTTCATTTAAATAATCAAATTTAACAATTTAATCTATTCTATCTAAAATTGCTTCATCCAATTTATTTGGTAAATTAGTTGCTAATATTAACGAATATTTTTTTGAAGCTGCTGAAGTCTAAGCTAAAAATGTAGATAATGCAGCAGATGTCTATTTCGAAGAACTTCTTTTATAAAAAATTGCTTCAGCTTCATCAATAAATATAAGTGTTCCTTTTGGTGTAGATTAACACCAAGAAAATAATTTATCTATCTCAGGAACAGCTTATTCTCCTAATTTTTCTATGTCTCCACCAGAAATTATAGCGAAATGCAATCCTGAATTATAAGCAAGCAATTTGGCAAATAAAGTCTTACCTGTTCCTGGTTGACCATGAAATAACAGATTTCTCAAAGGAGCTGATTAACTTTATTTTGCTATAAATCCAGATGTTATCAATTTAAGTGTGACTTCTAATTCAGGATTTAATATTATTTTATCAAATATTCTTTTAGAACTAGGCATCATCCACTTTAATGAACGACGAGAAGTTTCTCTAACTAAAGTAGGTTTTGTTAGAATAGCTTCTAATCTCTTGAAACCAAGTCCTAAACTGTATTTACTAAAGAAAAAGGCTCCACTTACAAATAACATTACTTTTGCTATTGTAAATAGACCTTAAGGATTCTATTACAAATATTTGAATCCTTCTTGAAATTTTACAAAATAAAGATTATGCAATTCAATTTTAGCCTATTTTTCTATTTAAGCTTTTTTCTCTTATTCTTAAATAATTAAATCAAAATTCTTTCTATAATTTTCAGCATTTAATTTAGCTTATAAAGAAATTTTTTTTTCCTCTAATTCAAATTATTTCTTCATTTGCATTGTTAATGTTTCTCTTCTCATATTTTCTTATCTTTTAATTGATTCTTCAGTCTCTTCTCTCATTTTTTGGGCAGTCAACTCTTTATCTTTCAATTTATCTTTAGTTCTTTCTCTTTCTAATTTATCATTATAATCTGCAATCTATTGATTAACTTATTTTTGATGATCCATATTTCTTCTTCTTTCCTCTCCTTCAACTTTAACCTTTTAAATCTCATTTTATTTTTATATTGCTTGTTTATCTGCCCTTTTGGCCTCTTCAGTCTTAATCATGGCTTCAAGGGCTTTTGCTGCATGAGGTGACTAATTTAGTTCACGTAAGGCCTGAAATAATAGTTTAATAATAAATACTTGAGCTGCTCTTTCTAAAGCTGTTGGATCAAAGACTCCTTAATTCTTCATAATTAAATTTAATTATTTATGAATTGTTTAAATTATAATACAAATTTAGAAAATCCCAATCAAATGTCTCAATTTAATCATGAAAACTAATTTGATTTAGCAAAGTGATTTCTAATCGATATTTGTAATATAATAATTAAGTAACGAATATATTTAAATTTAATTATACTCTTATTTAAACTTCAATAATATTATTCATTAAATCCATTCTTTATGAATTACCTAATCAAAATGATTATTGGATTTATTTATTTTTATTTAAGAGACTGACTAATTGTATGTTTAATAGAGCTCTTTTTATAGATTATTATTTTAAATTTCTCGAATATAATTTTGAAGTAATATGTGAAATGTTTTTATTAATTTATTTTTATAATTATATATAAAAAATCAGTTAGTTTATTTAGATTTAACCTTCAATCTTATTCGTATCTCCTCTACAATTATTATCTAATAATATTTCAATATTTTTAGATAATTAATTCATTAATTAAAAATAATTTTTTAATGATTACATAGAATAAATTTATTAATTTCAAAATAATCATTTTCTCAAATAAATTAATAATAAATTACTTTTTCTACTCACTTAATTATTTTTAAATATTAAGATTTATATCAAATTTATGAATGAATATTATTTATAAAATTAATTTATTAAATCATACTAATTTTTTAACCATATATACTCCTTCAGTATGATATCCTAATTTACGATAATAATGTCTTGTTCCAATACCTGCAATAACTGCCATTTTAGTACTACCATGTTCTTCTCTTGCAATTTTTTCTGCTTCTTCCATAAGTAATGTACCATATCCTTAATGTTAAAATTTAGAAGGATCTCTTGAATGTATTGGTACTACTGAACCATATACATGCAATTCTCTAACCATAGAAGTAGGTTCTTAAATTAATTCTTTTCTGAATGTATGTTTATCCAATCTTCTAAGTCTCAATAATCCTATTAAAATATCTTAAGAAGGATCTTCATATGATAGAAATGTTTCCCATCCATCATTAGCTGTATAATCTCTTCTAATTAATTCAACTTATTCTGGTTTAATTTTATGATGAACTTCTTTAATTCCAACTTCTCTAGTTCTAACATCTCTACAAGCAACATTTAAATCTTTCATTCTTTATAATGATAATTCTCTCAAATTTCCATTATCTACTCCTGATGTAACTAAAGGCATAGGAATATCCCTTTAAATTCTATAGACTCTAGTCCAAGGTGGAACTAAAGCAAGTATTTTAGCAACAACATCAACTAAAAAATCAGGAGGATAATTTCTATATTATCCATTTTTCCATAATTCATATAATCCAGTACCTCTAATAACAAGAGTAGGATATATCTAATAATAAATTCTAATATACTTTCAATCCATCTGGTCTAAAATCAGGATTTTCAAAAAACTCTTTAAAACTCTCTAAATCTCTTTCTACTCCCATATTAGGTAAATCAGGCATCATATGTGTTACTACTTTATATCCACTATCTTTGCTCATTGCAAAACATTTTTTGACTGATTCAACTGTATGTCCTCTATTAGTATCTCTTGCAACTTATTTATAAGATTATAATAATTACTATCTTCATAGATTGATTGAACACCAACTTCAATACGAGTACATCCATATAATAACATATCACTTAAATGACTTTTCTGACAAAAATCAGGTCTTGTTTCTATTGTTATTCCTATACATTTAGATCTACTCTCTTCAGAGAATTGAACTGATTCTTTAACTGTTTATGAACGATGACCACTTAAAGCATCATGTAAATTTCTAATAAAATAATCTCTATATTCTTAATCCAAAGACATAAATGTTCCACCCATTATAATATATTCAACTTTATCACAATCATGTCCTAATTATTTTAATTAAGCTATTCTATCTCTTGCTTATATATATGGATTATATCTAGCTCTAATTGCTCTCATACTTGTAGGTTCATAACCTGTATAACTTTGAGTTGAATATTCGAAATCACTATCAGGTCCCTTAAATAGTTTTATAAATGTTCATACTCCTGGACAATAAATACAAATATTCCCTGTAACAGCTATATGTGGACATCTATGAGGTTTAGCCATTACTGCAACCACAGCTATACCTGATGCTGTTCTAACAGGTTTAGCTTTCAAAATAGGAATCAATTTATCCTTATAATCATCTGGAATTGCTGATAAGATTTCTACTATTTTAGGTGCTCCTGAAATCTTATTTTTTTTAGAAAACTCAGCTTTAATTTGTGATAAATTTATTTTCTGATTACTATCATATTACTTAATCAATTCTGCAACTATCTCTGAAATACATTTCAATTTATCTACTGTTGAATCCTATTATTTTTTTCCCTTTTTCTCTTTTTGCTCCATTAATTATGTTAAAAAAGAATTATGTTAAATATAAGAAAATTGTTTAATTAATGAATGATAAATATTAATATAAGTATCTTCAAATATTATATTCTTCATCTATCCTCTTTTATTTCTAGTTTCTTATTAAAATCACAAGAAATTATGTTAAGTTATCTTATCTCCTTCTAATTTATTAAGTTTCTAATCCTAAATTTTAATCTCATGGATCTCGTTATTCCTGTAAGTTTTGTTTTAATATACTCTTTTCATTTCTTTAGGATTAAATCTTGAAAGATGAACTTGAATATTACTATATTCTCTTTAATCAAGTTCGAAATTTCATTTTTTAATCTGACTATTGTTTATAACATAAATCATTAAATTTGAATCTTGTACACTCTTTCTAGTATTTCTTAGAACTTAGAATTTACCTATATCTATTATTCAAAAAAAGTTGAGACAACAAATCATTTTTTTTCAGAATGACATCATTTTTTCTATTTTCCTTAAAGTATCAAACCACAAATATGATAAATATCAGATAGATGATATAAAATATATATAAGAAATTCATAAATACAAACAAGTATATGATATATAATTATAAATTTAGTAAAGTACATATACAAAGTCAGAAATCTCATTCAAAATTTTTGGTTTCACTTTCAGCAAACTTTTTAGTCAAATAAGAATTCCATGAATAAAGCTTTTCAGTTAATTCTAGAACTTAAGATGTTTTCCTTATTCTTTTTGTAAATTAAAATGAGCATGCTATCTTTGAATTATTTGTTGTTAATGGTGATGTAAATATTGTCCTAATTTCTGTTTCATCATCTTCAGGTACTGGGGATATATCTCCAAAACTTTAGAGTGTTGACAATGGAGAGTGTTCATACTTCTACATTTCAATCTATAAATAATTAAAAATATATTAAAATATTAATGATATATTAAATCTTGTATATATTAATTACGCTATTAAATGACCAAACTATTTCTTTGAATAATGTATGAATTTTAGACAAATTCTAAAAAGTTCAGTTTTTATTATAAAATGTCTATCCACTTATGAGATTTCATTATCTATTCTCAATTCTATCTATTTCATTAATGATATATAGATATTGATTAATGAGCAAAGTCAAAATAAAAAACTTATACAAACTGTTTAGTAAAAAATCAAAATTTATTTAATGATGATAATTTATTTTTCTCATTAATACCTTTTAGAATAATTTATAAAATTTCTTTCATGTAATAATATACAATATATATATTATATTAATATTTATTCTTATTATAATTTAAATCTCTTAATATTTATGTAAAATAAATATACAACTAGAAAGATGTCTATGAGAAGATATTAATAATTTAAAATCTGTAGTATTTAATAAAATAAGTTATATTATAAAAATAAGTAATTATATTAATATAAAATGTATATTAGAATAAATTTTGAAATCTTATAATAGATGATAAATGTTTAATAAATTAATTAATTATTATAATATCAATAAAAATATATTATGAGAAATATCAGTTTCAAAGGAATGGAATTATATATTTCAATTATTGCCACAATCAATTTTATTGGTTTAGGCATCTTTTAAAATTAGCATTTAAAGATAATCTCTTTTTATTGGATTAGATCGTATTAATAAGGAAAAATATTTCTTTTTATAGGATTTATCATTTTTGGTTTTATGTTGGGGGCAAGAGGGTATAAGTAAATCAAGTTTTTATACATTTAGATATATTAAGTTTCTCTCAAATTTGAAGATATTCCTAATTACAGATATTACATATTTATTGTTTACAACTGGATACTCAATTAGCATTTATGAAGAAATCAGCATATAAAAAAGACATCTGGGTGATAATGAATAATTATAACTTCCTAATTATCTTACTATTATTTTCCTATTTTTTTAGATTTTAATAGGGATAAATATGAGTATAAATTATATTCATACAACATGCTTCTTAAAGATAAATAGTAATGAATTCTCATTTCTTTTTATTCCATTATTTTTATCTCTAGGAATATTCATGAATGAATTAAATAACTATTATGAATATGGTTATCAATATGAAAAAGATAAATAAACAATACTCACTAACTATATTGCATAAATTATTCCCATTTTAATAAGATTATTTGGGTCTATATTTTTGGCTAAACAAGAAAAGATAAGATAAACAGAAAATAATAATAAAGTGCATGTTTTGGGCAATATTGATGAAGATAAAAAATTAAGAGTTTTAAAGAGTTATTTTACTTAATACTATCAGATTATTTTTCTAATTTTATTAACAACATTTTCTGGATCTATATTTGTTCAATCCTATTTTGATATTCTATACCATATAAATTATTTCCAGAATATGATCTACGGTTATTAATAGAATTATGCAATTGGTAGTTGCAATTCTTGCTATTAAGGTTATTTATTTGTTATTCCAGGTGTGAATTTTCTGATAAGTATTTTTAATTTGGTGTTTTAGAGACACATAAAAGTTAAGATTCATTTATGTCTCTCTATTGGAATATTATGTTTGGGTTTATTATTAGCTACATACAGTTATTCATGTGTGAGTTTAATGTTAATTTAATGGGGACATAAATTAGGGTTAGGAACATTTATATATAAGATAATTCCGATGACATTACCATAAAATACAATGATTTAATGTTTTTCTATAGAATTTATAGCATAATTTGTATAAATTTGTCTCTTAAGTACGCTATATGCCTTAAGATTATCAAATTCAGCTCAGATATGTTCAAACATTTAGTAGATCTTTGAGGGGTATTTTTATTTTAATTTGATTGGACTTGTTTTTCTTTTATTTTATTGGAAAGTATAAATTTATAATATATTTAATAGGAGCCAAAAGTAAAATAACAAAATCAAGAGATTTAATTCTAGTTAATTGATGTTAAAAATAATTAATAGGAAAAATCATGATACATACATATATTATTTTAAGATTATACTCTGTGAAAATGATTAATAATCCTAAATAAAATGTCTTAAAGTTCTTTCAATGAATAGATATATTATTGTCTAGAGTCTCTTAATACTTATTGTCTCTAGGATATAATTTTCTAGACTAATATAATCCTATATTTTAAGTCTTCAAAATTATTTTATCTTGCATCAAGTCTATGTTAATATTAATTACTTATTCAACAACCAAATCTTTATTTTTGTCTAATTATTAAAATTTAAGAAATGTACAAGTTTATTAAAAGAAGGTTCTTTTCTTTAACATATTCATTAGCAAATACCTATTGTAATTTCCATTCGATTTGATAAAGAGAACTCAATTCTTTAGTTACATTTAGATTCAAAAAACATGAAAATGGAGATTTTCAAATGTTGTTACTATTATTTTTGAATCATTATTAAATTCTATTCCATTAAATTTATGTGATTAGATTGCTTGAATATATTTTTTATCATGGTAATATTATAGTTATTCATAAAAAGAATGTTGGTATCCTCATTAAATGAAAGTAAATATATTTCTGGCTAGATCAAATATTTTATTTATCCTAAATTTAATTCGTTTTATTTGGAAAGTAGAAAATGCATTATAAATAATAAGAATTATATCGAGCTTAATTTTTGCCTTTTTTATTAATTAGCCTTAATTGAATTAAATAGATGATCATCATAATTATTTCTAAATAAATCATATAAATCACTATTTTATATAAATCATTCTTTTAATTAAAGTAAATCAAATTTTCACATTTTAATTTGATAAATTGTATTAATTCCTTTTATTTGTTTATTAAAAAATTTTCTTTAATTAATAAATCTAAGCTAACAAATAATATATCTTGTATCCATATTAAAAAAAATGAAATTACTTATGAGACTAAATATATCTATTGGATCTTGAAAATTGAAAATTATAGAGTTTTTTGAAATTTAATTAATTAACTCAAGCGTTATCTATTATATTAATCATAATTATTTGAATTAATTTAATTTATTATTCTAATTCTATCAATAGTATATTAAATTTTTACACTTCTAAAAACAATCATTATTATTTTTTTATGGTGAAATTGATAGAATTTCGAATACATTTTACTACTTAATTTGGAAAAGCTATTTATTTAACAGGGGATTCAGATATTTTAGGTAATTGGAATCCAAATAAGGCTAAGCGAATGAATTGGTCAGAAGTAACTATAATATTTATATATTAAGGGAAATATTTGGAAAGTGGATATATTATTACATAATTTTGAATACAAATATTTTGTTGCAGACTATGATACTCCTTCTAATATAATTTGGGAACCTGGCCCTAACAGAGTTATGTTCCAAAACTAAACTTAAAACTTAAGTAAATAATCTATTATAAGAATAGAAACATTGGATTTTTGGAATTATAGAGAAGTTTAACTTTATTGTAATAATCCTCAAAATCACTAAATTTACATTACAGGATCATCATTTGGTTTAACCTAATTCAAGCAATTCAAATAAATGAACCAATAAAATGATCAAGCAACTTTTCAATTTTTGATTAATCCATGTAAAGAGAGAGAAATCAAATTTCAATGTTGCTTAAATAATTAAGAAGATCTCAAGACAAATATAGAATCAGTTTGCATTGATAATCAAAGTAAAATAAATAGTATAGCATAGATCAATATTAATATAATATTATATAAATAAAATGCAACCAGCTGGATGTTTTATTAAGGAAATTAGAAGAGGAGTATAATAGGCATATTGAAGAATAAAGAAAAATTGAACAAGAAAAAATTAGATAGAAGGAAGAAAATAAAAGAAGGATTGAACAAGAAAAAATTAGATAGCAATACAATGATGATGCAAAAAAGAATTTAAAGCAATAAGAGTAAACTATTAAATAACACATATAACCTATAAACTAATAAACATAGATATAAAAACAAATTAATAAATAACCAATTAAACAATAAATATAAACATTAAATTAAGAAATCATTTAAATAGATAATAATAAAAATGCTACTAATAATTAAAAATAATTCTAAAAACATTAATATTAACAATAATTATTAACAAAATTAAAAGATTCAGGAGAAGTAAAAGAAATACCTCATGTAAAATAGAACATTGAAGTTTCAAATCCTGAAGTAGCACTTTATGTTTTAAAAGAATCATTATTAAGAGATTAAAATAGAGAATTAGTTTAAACAAATACATAATATTCATTTGGATTTGATTCAATTATAGGAGCATATGGTTCAGATTAATCTTGTTTAAAGGTTAGAAATACAAATCTTGATTATGATACAATTGTGAATGACAATCAATTATTAGAAAAGCAATTATTAGAATTTAAATAAAAATTATCAATTTCACTTAATATTTCAATTGATTAAATTGAAATATTAGGAGTATCAAAAGGAAGCTTTGAAATTAGTTTTTAAATTACAGGAAAAAATTCAGATGAGATTTAACAATAGATTAAAAATAAACCAGAAGCATAAAAATTCTTAAATGAATATTGCAATGGTTAAGTTGAATATGTAGCATACTTTGATAATGCAAGAACTGCTGGAGGAAATTAGGCAAAAAACTCTACAGGAGTAGCTTTATCTTCTGATGATTTTAATCCTCAATTCAATATGAGTTGGGATAATTTGCCTGAAAAAGAATAAAGAGGACCTCCCTATCATAGATATGATTATTATTTTCCCAGAGGTTGTTATGGACTTGGATTAAAAGTAAAAAATTATGGAAATGATGATTGGATAAAAATGGATGGCAACGCTAATGAATGGAGAATTTTGTATCATGGTACTAAAAATTTTGCTATTAACTAAATTGTTAAAAATAATTTAGTACCAGGGGGTGGATAAGCTCATGCTGCTAGTGAGTGTAAAGATGAATTTGGAAATACAGTTCATGTTGGGAAAGGAATTTATTTTTCTGATAAATTATCAGTTTGTCAAGGATATACATCCCCTGTTTAGGCAGGTAATAAGAAATTTAGGGTTTATTTTATGTCCAGGGTGAATCCAAAAAAGATTAGATAAAGTGATTAAATGAAACCAATTAATTTTTTTGTTGTTAATAACTCCTAAGATGTAAGGCCATATAGAATTCTAATTTAGGAAGAGAAATGAAACTTAAATATTATAAATTTGTTTTATTATACAAATGAAATCATAAGTTACGAAAGATTCAAACTTTTAAGTATTATTTAGAGTCTAAAATAGTTACTGAAATTTGCTTCTAAATTTATTTTAAAGTATATTTTTTTTAAATAAATTCCTTTTGAAAAATTGTAAGAAAGTAGATTTCAAAGTCCTCTTTAACACTATTTTATTGTTTATAAGAATAAAGAATTTTATTATGATTTATTTACATTCAATATCAAATCTTCTTCCAATTTTTTTCAAATATTTGAATGAATGATGTAACTAATTATGTTGGCAGTTAAATGAATGATGTTAAATATTTAGTTTGTAAAAATTTTTATAGATTAGATATGAGACCATCATAAATTACAATATTCTATAAAATTCTATTATTAATAGATGATTAAGGTACTAATAACTTAAATCTTAAATTAATTTTTTTTTATATCATCGTTAAAATCACAAATAGCAAAGTAGTTGATATTGAGGGGTGAAATACAAAAATATTAAAACTATTAGAAGAAAAAAAATGCTTTTTGCCTTTTAGAAGCTATTGGAATATATTATTTTTTCTAATTAAATCTCATTTTTAGTTTGTCCAATACAATATTTTGATTTAAATACTATTTTAATAGAATTCCTAAAGAAGATTTATATATTTATTTATGAAAATTTAATTCTAAATAAATTAAATCATAAATTAAAAAAATGTTTTCTGTCTTAGTCACAATTTTCCATCTTTTGACTGCTCTACTTTCTATAATCTATGTTAACAAAGGGTTAAAGAGATTCAATTCTTTTTTATATAAGAATGCAGATATTCCTGAAAAATATACGCCATTTAGAAGGACAGATAGAGATAATTGGAATAGATATGAAATGTACATCTGCAGTATCATTTTATTTCCATTCAGATTATTATTGAGCTTTGCAATATTAATATTTTTCATCATGACTATGTTTGTAGCTACTTTTGGTAAGAAAATTTGAAATTTTATATTTAGGTTTTAAACTAAAAAATCCTTGGCCAGAATCTAGATTGAAAGCATTTAAACCATTACTATAAACACTTGCAAAGGCATATCTTTATGCTAATGGATTTATTTTCATTAAAGAAAAGACTTTAAGGTAAAAAGTATTAATAATTATTTAATATAGATTTGAAGATTTTATTCCTGATTACAAGAGAACAGAATTAAGTAAAGGATAACCTTCAATAATAATTTCAAATCATTCTAGTTGGTATGATACAATTACTTATGTTTACAAATATTTACCTTCATTTATGTCAAAAGTAACAGTAAGTAAATATCCATTATTTGGATGGATAACAACATCATTAAAATCTATTTATGTAGATAGAGAAAGTGAAGAGAGTAGACATAAATGTGTTACAGATCTAGCAGAAAGAGTGACATAGATTAATTAAGGATAATTATTTCCACCTGTAATAATATTTCCAGAAGGTACAACTACTAATGGAGAATGCTTAATTCCATTTAAAAGAGGAGCATTTGATCCATTATTACCTGTAAAAATCTGTTGTCTAAAATATTCAAAAAGAAGATTTCATCCAGTTATGGATGTTATAGGCATAGGTTATATGACATTATTTGCTTTAAATTAATTGGCTAATGAAGTGGAAATTATTGAATTTGAAGGACTATTTGATCCTACTTATCTTAATTTGTAAAAATATCCATAAGAAAAAAGAGTATGATTAATAATTTATTATAATTTAGTGGGAAGTATATGCAGATGCATGTAGAGATGTAATGGCTAAAGCTTTAGGGATTAATTTAATTGAAGCCACTTATAGAGATGGAATGGAATATTAAAAAAAATATGTCACAGGTAAATTAAAATAAGAGTGAAATATTATTTAAATATTTAATAATAATATGAGTAATTTTAAAAGAAATGATAATTCTAAAAAAGAAGATCCTTACAAAGCTTATTTTGGACATCCAGAATTAGATGCATTATTGGGTAATTCACTTTTAAAAGGATAAATAATTTTTATAGAATAAGATTAACCAACAACCATCTATAAATAATTCTTAAGATATTGTGTTGGTAATTCATTTCATAAAAATCATGTATCTATTATATTTGATCAATTTTGTGAACAATGGTCAAAAATTATACCTAAAAAATAAATTGAAAATTAATAACATTAAGAAGAAAAAGAATTATAACATAAGATAGCTTGGAGATATAATTAAATGTAATAACAATTTACAATTAAGAATATTGATTCATCTATTTTTTATTTGGATCTATCAAAATCAGAAACTGAATAAACTGTTGAAAATCACTTAAAACTCAATAATTATGATTAAATTAATAACTTATAATAATTCTTACAAATTATTACTAAATAATATTAGAAATCATTAAAAACAAGTACAGATTCTACTCTTAAAAAATTAATTATTCATGATTTTTGGGATAAGATACCTTATAATCAATAAGAACTCTATTAATTTTTATATTCTTTAAAAGTACTCATTAGATCTTCATTTATATTATGCGTAATAACTCTTCCTGAAAAAAGAATGGATTTAATGCAATTTTGTGATTTTTATATTACTATCACTTAATTATTTGGAAATAAGGAATTTTCTGAATTTTAAGGAATGATTAAATTTGATAAAATTGGATGGAGTGGTTCACTTAAATAAGTATAATTAGATAATGATAAATGGGGAATAAAAATTACATAAAAGTCTTTGAAAATAGAATAATTATATGAGACAGCAATTGAAGATGATTCAGAAGAAGAATAAAACAAAAAAAATAAGATTGAGTAATTTTGATGTTTCAATAAATTAATATGATAGAGAATATACTTAAATTTAGTAATTTAATAAGTAAATGTTATTTATCAAGTAAATTTTAAAGACTTTGATCTTAAATGCTTACAAAACGGTCTCTATATCAGTTCTAAATTACTAATTGACATCTCTAAATTAGTATGTTTAATTGACATTGATTTTCGTTAAATATTTTATTTTAATACTTTCTATTTTGGCATACTTCTATATTAATAATCTGAGTCACTATCATAATATTTTGGATCATTAATATCAATATTTAGGAATAAATATTTCATATTCTTTCTAGGGTTTACTAATTTAATAGGATTGTTATAATTCCTCTTTTTTTCTGGACATAATTTTTTTAAGACACAAGCATTTCTAATTTTATATTAACCAGTAATTGTCATTTATGGTATATTGAAATCAAATAGACTTGCTCCTAAAACTGGAGTTTATGATCTATATTATTATTTCATTTATCAAACAGTATGTTATTAATTTTATTTATACTTAATTTCTAATAAATAAATTAATGTAATCAGACATTATTTTAAACAATGCTGTCATTAAACTAATTCGTGAATTTTAAGATAAGAGAATTTATCTTAAATATTTTGTATAATATGAAAAACCACCCTATTAAGTAAATATGTTTGAGAAAATTAGAGATAATTATATGAATTCTGGGTGAATACAATTGATAAATTAACAGAAAACATTTTAAAAACCAGTCTAATTAAAGTGTAGGAACTTTAAAATCTTTTTTCATTATTTGAATATAAACCTCTTTGTATAGAAAATGTTTTGGCTCAAATGGAGAAAGAAGGTAAAATAGTAATGGATGGTTATAAAACTAAAGCAGTTAATATATTATTGAAAGCAGATAATGAGGAAAATGAAGATTTAAGTAAAAATAATACTCATCATCTTTAAATTTTATGGAACCCTATAAAAAAAGCATTTGAGAAACTTTTAATAAAAAAATAATCTCCTACTCCTACCAAATGTCCTTATTTCTTCCATATAAAATATTTTAAAGAAAACATAATTAAATTTAAATAAGCAGTTGAAGAGATTTCAATTAATTCATTTAATACATTTACTGTGAAATAATTAATGAAAGTAATAGATTTGCCAAAAAGAGAAATAGTATTTTTGATAAGTATATTTATGGAAGCTAAATTAATTTAAAGTGTAGGATATTTTACTCTAGATTCTATTAAATAAGAAGTATATATTTATAAATAAATGTGGCTTGTTGATAATAATAATCTTGATTTGGCTAAAAATTCAACATTATATTAATTGAATTGTATAATTAAATGATATCATAGATTAAGAGATATTAAATTCTTAAGAAAGAGATGAATGTTATTAAAATATAGAATTGAAAGAAAAATAAATAAGAAAGAAAATTCTAGAAAAGAAATCACCTAATGAAATCAAATTTCACATTGCTGAAAAACTTTAATATGAAAAATGGGTTGAAAATTATGAACATAGATTATTAATAATGTAGTAAAGTTAAGCTCGTTTAAAAAATGCTGATTCTGATCTTTAAATATAAGATATCATTTGTAAGAATTTAATAATTATTATTATTAATAGAATAAGTAAATCATATTCTAAAAAATAATGAAATAGATAATCTAGGATTATAAGATAATATAAATGAATTGATGGATCATCGTCAATAATAAGAAGAAACCCTATAAATTATGAGAAGATATGAATCAAATGAAATTGAAACTTTATATAACAAATATTTAGAAGAAAATTAATAAGTAGATATGAAGAGTGTTTAAATATAAAATAATCATAATAATTCATTTATTCCATTATAGCAATAAGTATAGAATTATGAATCAGAAGAAAGAATCTTAGAATTGTAATAATGAAATATTATAAATATATTAATATCATATATATATATATATGGATAAATCAGTTAAAATTAATGAAAAGGGTACAGGAATTACAGATTAAATTTAAAATGAAATAGTCACAATTGTTAAAAATGCTATTTAAGTACATAAATAATTTTTGGGAGAAGTGTGCAATTAAATTGCAAATGTATTGTGTCAAAAATATGGAGGATGGTGGTGTTGTTTTGTAACAGACAAAGATGCTAATTATGGATCAAGATTATTTCACTTTGATCATATGTACTTAGATGCAACAATTGAATAAAAGAGATTTACTATCTTCAAATCAGCAAAATGATTATGTCAATTAAAATCCAAATCAATTTATTAAATTTCTTTAGAAGAAGATAAAATCATATGATTAATAAAATTTTTCTAGTTCAATTCTCAAAATTATTATATTTAGTGGCAAATTTGGATTGTTATAAAATATACTTATTTAATCATTTTTTAGCACTTATAGGTCTTTTAACACCATTACTTTATTTATTTACTACTGCTGATTATGGTCTTTATACATAATTTAGTTAATTGAATTATTATGATTCATCTTATTAGAGATCATAAAACTATTATTAATCAATAGTTTATCTTTTCATATCAGCTTAATAATATTTTCCATCAGTTCCTTTTACCTAAAATACATAAAAACATTACTCTTTATTAATTGGTAGTGCTACAACTTAGACAATTAATGGGATAAAGTTTCTTAGTGTTAATTCCTATAATTTAATCAGTAGGTGGTGATGCTGATTATTAGAAATTCATAGGTGATTTTTTTAATTGTACTATTCAATAAATATAATAGATTACCTTATAAGGCTTCTATTTCTCTTCTTAAATAATTGATAGTTTCCATAGCTTATCCTAATCTAGTTTCTAAATTAAATAATTCTCTTTTCATATCATCTTCATTGGCCTTGGTTTTTACTTATTTCATTAATCCATTAATATCAACATCTCTAAATATTCTATTCACTCTTCTTTCTATTTCATTTGCACTTTCAACTTTATGGCTTATATCTTAAAGATCTTTTTAGATCTTTTTAATTTTATCATCTTCTAGATTTCCTTATTATTGGAATTATTCAAACATTCTATTGATTTCATCTTTTGTAACATATTTAGATTCTTCTGAAGTTGATTATTATTATTATTGTTATTATTATTAATATAATTATGAAAAGAATTGGAAACTATCATAACGTGTTTTAAATTCTGAATCAAGAGTTTCCCAATGTACATTATTTCTAATTGACATTTCTTCTAATTTTTTAATATCTCCTTCAAGTGTACAAATTTTATGAGGATCAATTTTAGATAATAGATAAGCTACATTTTCAGCATTTAAATTCATATCCTTTAATGCTTCTACTCTTTCTTTAGCTTCATCATTTAATCTTTAAATTCCATCTTCTAATTATTTAATTTTTTATCTATGTTAATCTAATTGATTTGAAACATCCAATTTATTTATAGCAGTAGCTAATCTACTATTTAAATCTATTATTTTATCTCCTTATTGTTTATTCTATTCTACTAATTTATCAATTAAATTTATTTTAGATTTTAATCTTAAAATATTAATATAAATTTACAAGTCGTTCATTTCATTTAATTATATTTTTAATTTTTACTGTTTTTCTCCAACTGTGTCATCAATACCTTTAATTTAACTTCTAATATATGCAATATCTTATTAAAATTTAATCAATTGATCATTATTTTACATTTATTAAATCTTAAATTAAATAATTCAATATACTTCTTTTAATAATTTATCTTCACTAGTTCTAATAGCCTCATTAACAAATTCTTCATTTGTTCTTTTAGATAATAAATCTTAACAATCATGTATTTTCCATAAAGTTTTTCTTATATTTAAACTCAATTAATATACCTTTCTACATCTCTAACTGCCTCTTCAAATTTTTATATATCAGTTGATAGTTTCTTTTCAACAGTATCTAATTCATGTCTACTATTCTTCTATAAATCTTCAATCTACTATTCTAATTGATTTTTTTATTTTCTCATCTTCTCTTTACATTCTTTAGTATCAAACTTTGTTAACATATCATTTTCTAATTTTGTTAAACGTTAATCTTGTCTCTACTATTAATATTAATATATACCTTCTTCTCTCTATAAAGATGTTAAATCATTGAGATAACTGAAAATAACTTTCCTCTCAATTCAGTTATAATTTTCTCTAAAGCTCCCTTTCCATACTTTTATTTCCCTTAGATTTGTGTTATATATGTGCTTAATTAAGTTGATAATTCTTTCTCTATATCCTTATCTGAAAATTGCAATGAATCACTTAATAATTGAAATTATTCTTGAACCTAAATAAGATCTAACTTTAACTAATAATATGATTTCAGTGGGTCCAAGCAATTTTTTTATGCCTTCAATTTCTACTGTATGATTATCAAGATCAGCCTATACTCCTTCTAAAAATTGTTTCAAATGATCATAATTAACATCCAATTTAAATAATGAAACTCCTTTTAAACTCAACTCATCTATTATTGTATATTCAATCATACCTCCTAATTCTTTTCTACTTTTTGAACTTCCTTTGCTTTTATTATCCATTTAAATTAATTATATAAAATAAATTTATAATTGTATAGACAATTCAAAAATATATAAGTAAATGATTTAGAATTAAAAATTATTAGTATTTTTTGTTAAAATCTTATTAATTTACTGATTGAACTTAGGTAATCAAGTAGTAAATTTTAGTGATATTATTTAGAAATACCATATAAAGTAATTTAACTAATTCTAGGATATAAAAATATAAAATAAATCATAAGTAAATATCTATATAATATAGTAAATGCTTAGTGAATCGAAAGGATTTCAGATATATATATACTTATTTAATTTTATCTATTTATTTATATTTATTCTTATTTCTGATTACTTTTAAGTCTTTAATTATAAGTACTCATTCTAAATATAAATTTCAAAATTTTTTCATTATTAATAAATCTAGTAAAGTAAAATATTAATCAAAAACTTGTACAAGTTTAAATATTTATTTATTAAGTACTTATTATCAAATTATGATATTTTTAATATACTAATAAAGTTTAAGAAATTGAAATAATAGATACTATTTCAAATGTATCTGCTTAATTTAATCATGAAAAAAAATAGGAATATCTATTAGAACAAATGAAGAACTTGGAAAGTAAGGTAATTTCAAATAGTTAACTTCTTTATTCTTATATTTAAAGCAATATAACAAAGTATCCACATAATTTTATTGTATTTTTATATCTATAATATTAGTAAATCAAAAATACTATTTGTTTTAGCATTTCTAATATGTTTCTTTGATAGAATATAATATTTATTTAAGTATATCGAACTTATGATGTTTATTTATTTGATAATTAGATCAAATTTTATAAAAGATATTGTATTTAATAAAAATGAATAATGAATATTTCAAAAATTCTATAAGAATAAAAATCTTATTATAACTGATACCTTATATTTATATAAAAATTCATATTATTATTACTTGATTAATTTTGATATGATAATTTCTATTTTGTCTTTATTGATAATAAATAGAAATAGAGAATAGATTGAATAGAATGTTATTGCATCCATTTAGTAAGTATTTAATATAAAGTCTAATGTATATATTATATATATATATCTTATTTAATATTCTGTTCAAATAATTTATATTAAATGGCTTCGCTAAATAAATTAAGTAGCAATGATATTGGTAATGTTGATAGATAGATCGCTAAATTAAAGCAAGGGTAAATATTGACAGAATCAGAAATCAAGAGTTTATGCATTAAAGTTTTAGTATATTGCAATTACTTAGGCAAAAGAGATTTTGTCAGATGAACCTAATATCATTTAAGTTAGAGCACCCCTTACGATTTGTGGAGATATCCATGGTCAATTCCATGATTTAATAGAACTCTTTTAAATTGGAGGAAACTTACCAGTATTTACATTTTGCAAATCTATTCTAGGATACAAATTACTTATTTCTGGGAGATTATGTAGATAGAGGTTCGCAATCTGTAGAAACATTCTCATTAATGCTCTCACTAAAAGTCAGATATAAAGATCGCATTGTATTATTAAGAGGTATTAATCATAATATTCTTACAGGAAATCATGAAAACAGAGAAATCAATAAAGTATATGGCTTTTATGATGAATGTTTCCGTAAATATGGTAATGAAATAGTTTGGAAGCAATTCACAGAAGTATTTGGATATTTGCCAATATCTGCAATCGTAGAATAACAAGTAACATAAATTCTAATTTGACCAAAGATTTTTTGTGCTCATGGAGGTCTATCACCAGCAATGGAATCAGTCGATCAAATTAAATAATTGAATAGAGTCTAAGACATCCCTCATGAAGGTTTAATGTGTGATCTTCTATGGAGTGATCCTGAAGAAACAAAAAATGGTATGGTCTTTTCTTAATACCTCTTCAGGTTGGGGTATCTCACCAAGAGGTGCAGGTTGGACTTGGGGATGTGATATCACTGAAAAATTCCTACATTCCAACAAACTCAAACAAATTGCCAGAGCACATTAATTAGTGATGGAAGGAATTCAGAAAATCCATAATTAAAAGACTATTACTATCTTCTCTGCTCCCAATTACTGTTATCGTTGTGGCAATTAAGCTTGCATAGTAGAAGTCGATGAATAACTCAGAATGAATCAGTAATTTATTTTTCTATTCTAGAACCTAATTTGAGCCTGCCCCTCGAGAAAATGAACCCCATACAACTAGAAGAGTACCTGATTATTTTCTTTGAAATATATAAATATGTTATCTAATATCAATTAGTGTCACTAGTCACTTTCCTTAAACATAAATTCCTTAGAATCTCTTATGTAAAAGTATCTTAATCTAATTATTATTAATGATAGAATTGAGATTGATGTATTATTATAAAAATTAGATTAGACATAACTTATAATTGTCATATTATTTTAACAAAGATAATTTATTAAATCATATTAATTTATCATTCTAATCCTAATATCCAATTAAGTGTATTCAACATTTATTTACATAAATGTTCATTATTTCCAATTATTTATATTGTACATTGCATATTTGGCAAAACTATAAATTTAATCATGTAATTTTAATTCACATTAGTCAGTTCAAAAATTCCACCTAATTTAAAATTAATTATTACAAAGTTTATAAGAAATATATTTCAATTATCTATCACTAAAGTAATCAAATGATTGGTCTTAAAATGATTAATATGAGTTAAATTCACATAACTTTGGAAATATCCTAAATTCTATCAAATTAACTACTTTTTTAAATATTGTCCTGTTTTCACTATTTTAGGATTAAGTAAAAATGTTTCTCCTCTCAAAATTGATGTTTTCTTTTATCTCCATTTTGTCCTAAATATTGATAAACTGATATCTTTGAAATCCATAAAAGAAATTAATGTGGTTGTTAAAAAGAAATTTGATGATATTTATTTGTTAGCCCATTCAGCTATTGATATATAGATTATAATTCATTACCAGAAAATATTACATTTACTAATCTATAATTTTCATACTATTTAAATATTCCTATTACTTCCTATTATATTTACTACCCTGCTTCGATTTTATCTACTATCTTATCTGGTTTTAACCACATTGAAAATTCTGTAAATATAAATAATATTTACATTTATTATCTCCTTCAAATTACATTTTACAATTCTCAAAATTTGATTAAGTTTTATTTCCTATATATAAGGTTAATTTTAAATAGTTTTTCTCTTTTAAAGGAACATATTGTAATGCTTATTTAATTCCAATTTAAAGTTAGGGAGAATTTATTAATGCTGCTCTACCCTTTATAGTAGCTATTTTGAAACGTTTCTTTTGAGATTCTGTTAAACCATATGTATGTAATAATTCAAATTAAGAATTATCATATTTAACAAATTTTCCTATATATTATTTGATAGGAATTTATTGATCCATTTTCAAAGGGAAAAATGTTTATGTTAAAGTAGATTAACTTAATCCATCAAAATTTTCATCAAATTCCTTTTTTTTTATAATATTAGATGTAATATGATTCATTGGAAGTTATTCTCTTGTATTTTAACCATGCAAATATTATTAATTTGGTATTTATGAATTATTATAACTTTATTCAAATTAGTTAGCATTAGTTTATTTAATAGGTTATTTTTATTGTTATTATTAATCAACTGTGGAATAAATAAAATTATTATTAATTGTTCCATTTTATTATTAAAATGATGATTACATATATGATTAAGCATATTATTATTATTACTATTATTATTATTATTATTATTATTATTATTATTATTATTATTATTATTATTATTATTATTATTATTAGGGCATTGTATATGATCCTAATTTTGTAGGTGTCATATATTATTAATTATCTGGATTAGGAGTTTGAAATTAATTATTCCAATAATCTTCAATTTCTTTTTATTTCATTTATTATTGTTATTATTATATTGCTTCTAATCTATTTTATTCTTATTTTAATTACTCTAATTTTTATTGTTCCATTCTTTTTTCTTCCAATCTTAATTATTCTTATCTAATTTATTCTTTTCTTTCATTTTCCCTTCTTTCATGTTCCTTTCTTTCATGTTCCTTTCTTTCATTTTCTCTTCTTTATTCTTCAGCCCTCAAATATTCCTATTTTATTTATTCTTCTCTAAGTTTTGCTTAACGTAATTCTTCATCTTATTATCTCTTAATTTCCTCTTATTTTTATTATTCTTAAAATTATTTTTATTATATTTAAGAATTTTATTATTGTATTTTAGATTCTTCGATTGCTCTTTTCAGCATTTCATCTTCATTTTATAATTAGGATTACTAAATTTGTTATTATCTTGATTATTTTTATTATTATGGAGGAGGATAATCAAAATCTTTATTTTGTATCTTCTAAATATGAGCTAAGGTCTTCTTTTTTAATGAATTATAAGCAACAGGAGTACATTCCTTTTCAAGATAAGCATAATAGTATTATTAAAATTTCAATACGAAATCTTTTAGAGCATATAATTCTGCTATTTCATCTTCATTTAAAACACCATCATATTGTTAGGCTTTATTAATGAGATTTTCAAATTATTTTTCTATAACATTCATAGATTCACTATAAGTCACTAATACTTCATTGATATATGACATATCAGAATCATTAACCAAGGTTTCATTGATCATCTCAATATCTTGATAAATGTTTTATTTGCTTTAATCTTAAGTAATAACTGATTGTTACTTAGTTTGAGCATGGTCTCATCTCTCTCTTTATTATTGTTAAGAGGTTTTTATATAGGTTCTTGGGAAGCCTTGTTGGGATCAAATGGCAAAATGAGACTTGATCTAGGTGGGAATTTAACCTAATATTTTTGATGAAACATGTACTCCCATTTAGACTAATTCATCAAATTAGATTTTGAATTTAGTAGGTGCCCCCTTTGAATCTTTTGGAAATGTTGTGGCTAGGAAGTCAACCAATTCAAGTGCCAAATTTAAGAATTCAATACTTGATTAGGGATCTATAATTATTTCAAATAGAACCTTATCCTTAAAATAGATCAGCACCACGATTAGGATTAGAATCACCTAATTTATGAGTACATATATTTCCAATGAATGTTAACAAAGGTCTAGTTTAAATGTATTTATTTATAAATTTGGCAGATTTAATGACGATTGCATCTTTGATTAACTAAGATATGATTGATAATACTCTCAAGATTAATAATTTCCTTAATGGTGGTTCATTTGAATTAAAAACTTGGAGAGCATATTCAAGTGTTGCATCAATTAATTCAAGATCATTAGCTTTGAGTTAATCAATAATTTTTTATGCATTTCTATTGTATGCAGCTTTGTCTTGAGTGGCAGTTTGTATTTATATTTGTTACATTAATAATATGAATTAAATTTTGTAAATACCTCCAAAGTATTATGCAAATTTCAATAAGAGTCAACCAAAGGAATATTGGGATTATGATAATTTTGAGAATGAATGGGGAGTATAAACAAAATAATTAATATTTATAGGATAGTGATTAATATGAAGTGATAAGGAAGATAGGAAGAGGGAAATATTCAGATGTATATGAAGGAATCAAATATCCATAAGGGACAAGAGTAGTAATAAAAGTGTTGAAACCAGTTAAGAAATAGAAAATAAAAAGAGAAACTAAAATTTTACTCACAATTAGAGGTCATCCAAATGTTATAGAATTGTCAGATATTGTTAGAGATCCATCATCTAAAACACCATGTTTGATTTTTGATTACATTGATCATGTTGATTTTAGAAGTTTGTTCCCTAAATTAACTGATATTGAAATAAGATTCTACCTTTTCGAATTAATTAAAGCCTTAGATTATTGTCATTCAAAAGGTATAATGCATAGAGATGTAAAACCATAAAATATAATTGTGGATCCAAAAAAGAAATTGTTAAAATTACTTGATTTTGGTTTGGCTGAATATTATCATCCAGGATAAGATTATAATGTTAGAGTAGCTTCACGTTATTTTAAAGGACCAGAATTATTAGTTGATAATGTATATTATGATTATTCATTGGATATATGGAGTACTGGAGCAATGATGGCATCTATGGTATTTAATTAACATAATCTTAGATATTTAAAAAAGAACCATTTTTTTAAGGATAAGATAATTATGATTAATTAGTTGTGATTTCTAAAGTTTTAGGAACTGAAGAATTACAAGCTTATATTAAGAAATATAGAATTAGATTAGATCCTGTATTAGAATCTAAATTAGGAAAGTAAATTTATAATCTCTGTTTTATTAGTTATCCAAAAAAGGAATGGGTTAAATTTATTAATGCTGAAAATAAACATTTGTGTAGTGATGAGGCTATTGATATTCTCTCAAGAATGCTTGTTTATGATCATGTAAAACTACTCTCTTATTTCAGGCCCTCAGAATTACACCAAAAGATGCAATGGATCATCCATATTTCTTACCTGTCAAAGGTAAATGATTATCATTGTTATTAAATTTATCATAAATAAACAATCATTAATTATCCTTAAATATCAACCTTACTTAATTATTTTATACATAATTGTTTCATTTTTTAATAAAGATTTATTGTTTCAGCTATGCAAAATTCATTTTTTAAATGAGGAATTTAATTATATAAGCTCTATCTTTTCTCATTTTATACATTGAAATCCAAAACTAGTATGATTTGAATAGAAAAGGGTCTGATCTTTCAAATAGAATCAAAGTATAACAATAAAATTCAAAATAATCATTTTAAGATTTATTGATTATTATAAATTAAACATTTCAAAGCATTTAATTCTAAAAATATAGTCAGATTCACTTCTTAAAATCATTTATATGGATATATTCCAATTAAACTATATCTATAATTCATGGGATTATCTAAAAAATTTTACTGTTAATATAAGTCAAATATTTAATTGTTATAGATATTATTACATGAAGGATTAAATAAAAATTAAAATGAACCATTAGTTTCATATAGATGAAATCTAAATTTCAAAATAATGATATTGGTTTTGTTATCTCTAGACTAATTTATTATAATTCAAGGTAATATTAGTCCAGATGTTATATCTGTTAATTTGATGATATTTCCATTTTTTTATCTTGTTTATTAAATAAACGTGTAAATATTAGATTTTAGTGAAGTAAAGATGACCTCATCTTTGCATTTTCACTTTTCTTGAATTACATAGAAAAAAAAATATTAATTATATAATAAATTTATTAAAGGAGAATAAATATATGTATTAGAAGAGTATAAAATTATTGAGTTCTGAGAAAACTGTAGATACGATTTGAATTGAAATAATTACAAATTGAATTGAAATTATTATTATTAAAAATAACACGTTTTATTAATTTATTTAATTAATGTTTTTGCTTCTCTTACTTTCAACCATTTAAGCACTTTCAACTGGATTAGATGGTGGGAAAGAATTATGTTTGGGAGTCTAAGGCAAGAAAACAGCATTATTTTAAATCTCTTTTGTTGTTTCTGGATTCTAAGAAGATAATATTGAGATGAAAGTAAAATAGGAATATTTACATTTAGTTCTATTCTCCAAGAAAAACTCTTTTGAAATCTAGTATAAAATAAAAGGAAGGCAATTATAAAGAAATAATGACAGATGATGGATAATATGAAGTTTGCTTCAAATCATTAGATAAATATTATAAATTGATTAGTTTTAACTTTGATTTTGTAGAGGAAAATGATTTAGCATTGGCAGGTATATTAATATCTTTATATAAATAGAAACAATGGATTAAATGGCTGAAGAGATGAAATAAGCTTATAGAAGTTTAAAGACAATATAAAATAATTAACATTATTAAAATGATAGAGAGAATGAACATTAGAGAATGTTAGAATCAACAGAAAAGAAATTATGGTGGTGTTCAGCAGGTAAAATGGGAGCTTTAATTGTCATATGCATTTCTCAAATTTACATGTTAACAGGATACTTTAAAGGAAAATCATTTGGTCCAAATGTTTGAGATTTTTATATAAATTAATATATTTATGGATTAAAAGTAAGATTATGCAAGCACCATTCTGACTCAATTAGAGTCTACAGAAACCTTAAACTCTTTGGAAATAGCTAAATCTTTGTCTATTAATCATTAAGATCTAGTTGGATGTCTGCTGCAATTAGAATCTGCCAATTATATTAAGACTGAAGTAAAAAGAATCATAATAATAAATAGGGATTAAAATAGGATTAATTAATCTTAACTGATGAAGGAAATACAATATTAAATTCTTAATCAGGAGAATATGAAATCTATTAGAAAATAACAGAATTAGGAATCTCAATGGTAGATTTATAAAAGCTATTTGGAATTGAATAAGTTTAAAAAGTGAAATAAGAATAAGGAGAGAAGAAAGAAAAATAAGTTGAAGATCCAAAAAAAAAGTAATTTGACTTAGGTTTTGGTAATGCTAAGAAAATGGGCTATATCAAAATGGATAAAGGGCTTATAACTAAAGTTGCTAATGATTTACCTGATAAAATTAAATTGGAATTATAATAATTAAACACTATCAAATTAGGTTCATAATAAGCAAAATTATTAATTGAAAGGAAACTTGCCATGATTTAAACTATTAAATATTTTGAAATAAAAAAAGGCATTAAATATGCTAACAAATTCAGAGAATAATTTGCAGCTTTAACTACAGAGTAATTATTAAATGGAGAATGGAAAGAGTGTGATTATAAAAGCATTAATTTAAATGCTGGAGGAGAAAAGAGTAATAATTCTTATTTTATAATAATAGTTTCTATGGGTAATTTGCATCCTTTATTGAAAGTAAGGAAATAGTTTTCATAAATATTGATTGGATTAGGATTTGAAGAAATGCCAACAAATCAATTTGTAGAATCTTCTTTCTGGAATTTTGATGCTCTATTTTAACCATAAAAACATCCAGCAAGAGATGCTCATGATACTTTCTTTTGCAGTGACCCAGAATTAAGTGAAGAAGTTGATACAAATCTAAGAGATAAAGTAAAGTCTATGCATTAGACAGGAGGTGTAGGTAGTATTGGATATCAATATGAATGGTCACATGAAGAAGCCAGAAAAAATATATTAAGAACACATACAACAGCTGTTTCATCGAAAATGTTATATAGAATAGCATAATTATATAAAGAGAAGGGATATTTTCCTAAAAAATATTTTAGCATTGATAAAGTTTTTAGAAATGAAACTTTAGATGCTACTCATTTGGCTGAGTTCCATCAAATTGAAGGTATTGTCATTGACAAGAATGCTTCATTAGGATAATTGATGGGAATCATCAGAGAATTCTTTAGGTAAATTGGAATTAATAAATTGTGGTTTAAGCCTACATATAATCCATATACTGAACCAAGTATGGAAATTTATGGTAACATATATTATAAATTATATTAGGATATCATCCTGTTCTAAAAAAGAAAGTAGAGATAGGCAATTCTGGAGTATTTAGACCTGAAATGTTGGCACCTCTTGGAATTCCAGAGGATGTGAATGTAATTGCATGGGGATTGGGATTAGAAAGACCAACTATGATTTATTATGATATTAGAGATATAAGAACTATGGTAGGACCAGAAGTTAAAGTTGAAACTGTTAGATCGAATGCATTTTGTGTCTTTGAAAGTAAGTGATATATTTCTATATAAATATTATATATAAGGATTTAAAATTCCTGAGATATACTCATAATTAAAATATATATAATACAAATTCATAATCATATTTACCAATTTTTATTAACAATTTATACTTTTTCTACATCATTTTTTCCTAAAACTTCTAAATGACTTTTATTACTAACATTATTTTATTTCTTTTTTTATGCTTCACTGTTTTAGCCTCTTGTTGAATTATGGAATATTTCTATATGAATTCTTAAGGTCTAAGTTATTTTTCAATCAATTTAAAAATATAAATATGATATTCTATCTAATTTATTATGGGCATATCTAATTATAATGATTAAATTTTGGTATATGTATCATCAATTAATAATTTATGGGCATGAAATTTATTGATCTTTATTTTTTATAAACTGTTTATTATTTATATTAATCGAATAGTATTTATGTAATTTACTTTTAGGACTTATAAAGAGTAGATTATTGTGATATAAGTAATAATTTTATTTATAAAATGATAACTTATATTAGTGTTTTCAATTAATTATCTTAATAGCAATTTAATTGAATTATAATGGACATATATTTTATGATCCTAATGAATTGTTTTATATTAAAAATAATATTAATAGATTTTTTTTAATAAAAAATAAGAAAATTTTCTTATTGACATTTGTTTAATGTAGAAAAAGAGAGATTAATGTGAAAGTTGAAATTTAAACAACAGATATACAAACCTGAATAATCTGGAGCTTTATAACGCTGGATTTATGCGGGTAAAAAATATAATTAATAATTAAAAAGAGGCGGGTAATGCAATAAGAAGATTAGCTAAAGAAGAAATCAAAGTTAGTTATAGATAATGTAAGTTCATAATTGAATGTAGTCTGATGAAGAGGAGATCTGTAAAAAAGTGAAATTAGAAGATCCATCATATTCTGAGGAAGAAGAAGAAGTTGTGGATGTGGAGGAGTTAGAGGAATCAGAGGAAGAAGAAAAGGCAAAGAAAAACAAAAAACAAGAGACTATTGAAGTAATATTTAGAATATAATAAATAGGATGAAGATTATATATATGTAGACAAATTGCCTAACTCTGAAGCAATGTTGAGAGATTTAAAAAAGTAAGTAGAGCAAAGAATTAAATATTACAAAATGAAATACATTCAAGAATATCATGAGAATCATACAAAATAGAGTTTTGTTCACAATGATGCCATTCCGATTTGTACTGATGTCAGACTAATGGATTTTTAAGTAAATTTAATTCGTGATAATTTAAGAAATTAAGAGATGAGCAATTGAAAATAGCAGGACAATTGTTTGATGTAATCATGATGGATCCACCCTGGCAATTGTCAAGTTCATAGCCATCAAGAGGAGTTGCTATTGCTTATTCTTCTTTGGCTGATGAAAATATTAGTAAAATGCCAATAGAAACATTGTAGGAGAATGGTATTATATTAATATGGTAAAATTATAAATTTATTATTAAGGACTATTAATGCTAAATATAAGGTAACATGTAAGTTAATTGAATAATGGGGTTACAAATTAATAGATGAAATTATATGGTGTAAGAAGACTGTCAATGGTAAGATAGCTAAAGGACATGGATTTTACTTATAGCATGCAAAAGAAAACTGTTTAGTTGGTGTTAAGGTAAATATTATGATTATTTATATAAAATAGGGTAACATAAATTTAGATCCCAAAAGATTTAGATAAGGTGTTGCAAGTGATATTATCTTTAGTGAAAGGAGGGGCTAAAGCCAGAAACCAGAGGAAATATATTAATATGTTGAATAATTAGTTCCAAATGGTAAATATATAATTATATTCAAGGATATTATTTGGAGATATTTGGTAGAAGAAATAATGTCAGAAAGAATTGGGTAACGATTGGAAATGAATTATGACATTGTTTTCTATTTATGGTTATATTTTTAATTTCATTCGACTTCATAGTTTTTATTATCATATTATTTTTTTACTATATACAATCTTAGTAAAAGTAAAGCAATAAAGAATTATACTTTAAGTAAACAAGTTTGTAAATGTGATGGAAACCTTTTGACCAATAATTGATTAATTAAAAAAATATATGTTAAACATTCAAATAAATAAATTAAATAAATGACGAATAATGAATAGAAAAGTGTTTTTTTCATAAATTCATTATTGGTAGGCATGATTTTAGTGGGTACTTTCAATACTTTAGTCTATAAGTATTAAAATACAACAGTAATAGATGGAGTGACTTTTATACACCCTTATATGCAAGTATTAGTAATATAAGAAAATAGGCTTTATGCATGTTTGTAGGTGAAGCAACTTGTTTAGTTTTCTATTTTGTATTTTAAATGAAAGCCGAGAAAGATCCAAATAAAGAAGACGGAGGATTTAAAATATTGTCTATTCCAGCATTGTTTGATGGGATTACATCATCTTTACAACATGTAGCCTTAAATTTCATTCCATCATCTATTTATCAAATGTTGAGAGGAGGAGTATGAATATAACCATCTAGCTTATGATAGTAACAGCCGCATTTTCAAAATTTGTACTAAAGAAAAAATTGTCAAATCAGCAACAATTTGGAATATTATTGGCCATACTAGGTATATTCATTGTAGGATTGTCAAACTTTTTATTTAGAAAAGCAACATCTGATGATTTTAGTTGGGAAATAAAATTGATATCAATAGCTTTAATTATAGTTTCCCTATTCACTTAAGCAGCCCAATATATTTTCGAAGAAAAACTATTTTAATAATATAATTATCATGTATTCTATGTTGTGGGTGTTGAAGGAATGTGGGGATTATTATATTTTGGTATTGTTATGCCTATCCTCAATTTTATACCATGCAATTTTAAAGAAGGATGTGTATTTCGAAACGAAAAGGGTTATTGGGAATGTACTGATGTATTTTTCCAACAATTAGGAGCAGATGTATGGTTGACAGTATCTGTCGTTATGGGTATCTTTAGCATTGCTCTTTTTAATATTTTTGGTGTTAATGTCACTAAGTATGTTTCAGCTCTTACTCGTACAGTTGTTGACACTATCAGGACAATTTTGATTTGGGGTATTGGACTAATAGTCACTGCTACAACTTCGAGAGTATGGGAAAATACATCAAAATGGGCTAATTTAATAGAATTAGTTGGTTTTGTATTTTTAGTTTTAGGCAATTTGATATATAAGGAGATGTTGAAAATAAGATTTCTCTAAAATAAAAAATAAGTATTAATAGAGGAAGAATGATTAACAATAAGAATTATTTAATATATATCCAATTTAATAGATGATCGATATCAAATTTATCCTGCCTATCTAACACTTGAAGTGCCTGTTCTTACAGTTGATCTAGTAACTGTTGTAGTTGCAGTGGCTGCCTAGGATATTTATTATTAATACTCTGGCTTTCTCCTTCTTTAAGGCTTCCAATTCAATTTCGACATTCATCAACTTCTCTTGAGCCTCATTATAATCATGATTCACTTCTTAGAACTTCCTCTTCCACACTTCAACTTCACTATTATTCTGTGTCACTCTTTCTGTTATTAAAGTACTCTCTTATGCTTACTATAATTCTAATTGTAAATGATGATTTTCCTCTTCAAGTTCCTTGATCTTACAATATATTATTATTTAATACTCTTGCATAATCTATTTCTTTTACTACTTTGATTTCTTTCTTTTTTTCTAATTCTTTTATTACTGATTGTAAATATAGACATTCTTCTCTCCATGGCTGTTCTATTTCTTCTCTTGATACTATCACAACAGAAACAACCATCTATTATTTTGTACAGCATTAAAATTCATTATTGTTATCAACCTATGAATGGCTTATTCCACTTCCAACATTATTTATTTGAAAACTTTGTCCAGGATTTATTACAGAACACGATCTGTAATTTGTATTTAACACTCTGCTGGCATAAGAATTATATTTCTCCTTTTTATGCCAAAATTAATAAGCCTCTGGTCTCTCTATTTTCTTAACTGCATAGTCTTCCTTTAACAAAGTAGGTTCAGTTGTGTAAGATGTATACTGCCATAACATTCAATTATACCTATTTTACTGTCTCTGATTGCTAAGTATTTAATTGTCTCTCTATAAAAGATTCCTATTTTGTCGATATAAATGTACTCATATCTTCAAAAAAAAAATTATTTCACAATTAATTCACATAATAATTTATATCATTATCTTCAAAATAATCATTTAATCTACAAACTTCTTCCAATCTATTGCCTAATTTTTCCAGATAAAAATCAATTTTTCTTTTTGATTATTGCTTCCTATATTGTATTCAAATACCTAACACTAGTGTATTTACACTATTTTCAATATTTTCTTAAGATTAAACCTTTAAGCATAATTTGAGGTTTACTCTTAAGATACTACCTTAAAATATTTTATTATATTTTAATATCTTTTAATCTACATTCTTATCAACCTTTTTTTTTTATTACACCTAATTACAACATTTACTAATGTTTTAGATCCAAATCTATTTACCATTTCTCTAAATTTCAAATTTTTTCTCAATAGTTGCATCCTAAACTAAAATTATTTCTTTTGCTTATTGAAAATCTCCCCTCTAATTTTTATTTAAGTACTAATCTGTTATTTTTCAAAAACATTTTAACCTGTTTTATTCCTTATCAATAGAGTTTCTTAATAAATTAATGCTATTTTTTTTAAGAAAACCCAGCATCTTATTTTTTTAAACTAAAGTCTAATATAAAACCATCTGAAGAGAAAATGTTCCAATTTATGTGAAACCTTAACAAATCATTAATAATATAATCTCTTCATTTTTAAATTCATGAATTTTATTCTAAATCTTAAAATTATCTAAAATGATTTTTGATTTCTGAAAATGCTCTTTGTGATTGTCATAAATAATTGCTTTTATCATTCGATTTTTTATTGAGCTTATAAAATTATTAGAGGACAATTATTTGTTAAAAAATATTGTATTAATTTTCTGTTACAATTTTCTTAAGGATAGCATGTTTATAATCAAGTTATTTTTTGAAGGATATCTTCTATATTTGTTCTTATCTCTTATATTCATTTATAAGATTTGAAAGCTAATTAATTAACCTTGTACAATTATTAAATTTTGATAAGTAAATTTCCCTTTTTGAACTAATTATATTGATTTTTATTTGTTTGGTATGTTATTTAAGATAAATTTTATTTAGAATAATTTATATATATTAACAATCATATTTATAAATACTTACAAATAAATAATTACTTTTAAATAATTTATTTTTATAAATTCTACTATCAAAATATATTATTTATTACTTTATGACCAATTAATTACAAAACAATAATTACTTTTAAAGAATTTATGGTTTTTAAATACTATATATTTTTTATTAATTAAAGAAAAATATATTGAAAATAATAAATACTTTTCTTATAATATTACTACTACTCATCAAACTTACTATTAAACTATATCAAATATGATATATATTTATTTTAATATTTAATTTTTAGTTAATTTTAATAATTTCTTTAACACAACTTCATTACTTTATTAAATAGGTAATTCCCTAACTACAAAGACTGATATATTCTTTCTTTTTTTTAAATTATATTTAACTATTGATTTAAAGAAGGTTTTTTGTTTAATTTTATTAAGTTTATATGCAAAAAAAGAATAATTAATTAATATTGTCACCTAATGGATTGGGAGGTAATATCAAACCTGGATTGTTTTCAAAGCATTGTTAATTAAACAAATTAAACAAATAAAAAAGTTTTAAAGTTGAGGAGACTCTGACTCCCAAACTCTTCGAAACTAAAGAATCAAGTTTTGCTCCTTAGCAAAAATTACAAAAAAGTCAAAGGTAGTTATAAATATTTTCATAAATAGTGCTTCTCGGTTGGTTCTGCCTAAAGAATAAAGGCAAGATAGAGTAGAAAGGTAAGAGATAGATAATATACCAAATATCAAGCATGATTAGATTACTGAACTATCATAAAAATTATATCGAGAACTTATAGAATTTAATGAATAGGCGGATTTTGGAAGTTTAAATGAAATTTAGTAGTGGAGTGAAGATATGATAAAAATATTGTTAATCATTAATAATAGTTTAGAATGTATAATTCATATGATAATTAAGAATTAAATGTTTAGGAAAATTTAGATAACAATGTGCCTGAAAATTAACAGTAATCATTTGAATATTTTAAGAAATGATATTATTTAGAATCTATAAAAGGAATTAAATGATGAGCGGAAGGAAAGGTACAAAATTGAGGAGGAAGCAACCAATTTAATTACTGAATAAGAATTAGAAATTAATAAGTTAGAAAAATAATTAAAAATGCTAGAAGAATAGCACTCTTAATGATAATTTCAATTAAGTCATTAATATATATATTTAAAACGCTATATCAAACTGTATAAAATATAAAAAATTCAAAACTGTTTCTTTCTTTCTTAAACAATTATTATTCAAATTGTTCATTCATAAATCATCAATTTTATCTTAAAATTCCTTCAAATGTTCGATTTTTAATAATTTCATTTACAAGTATATATTTTTTATATAATATTGAATAATGATAGGGACAATATATTAAGAACTATTCCATTTAATATTGCCGTTTTTGGTAGTTATTCAAAAAGGTAATAAATCAGTATTTTAGGTAATTCTTCAATAAAGAAACCAAGTATATATTGATTATCGCTACTAATAATGAATACTAAACAAACCTTGTATTTATATCCAAAATAAATGAATTAAAAATTTACATCAGGTATTTGGTCTTAAAATTTGATCTTTTTCTTTTTTATTAAAATATCTTGTACATAGGATAGTAACAATTAATTACAAAATATTATCAATTATTTATTTTTGATACTCTATTATTGGTTACACAATTTTCTTTTTTATGTTTACTTTCTTTTTAAGAAGTATGCTATTAAGCCACAGAAAATATTGAGTTCAATGCATGCTCGTTTATATTCTACCTAATTTTTGGAATTAATTTGATTAGTTTTCTGTATTATTCGATATAATAAATTCAAATCTTCATTAATAAAAGCTAAAATATTTTATATTTCATAAATTATCTCTTAATTATTAATAATTTATTAATCTTATGTTTATTTTTTTACAAAATGTAATAAGAAATTCTTTTTGAACATAATAAAATAATTTAATCATTCTTCTTCTTTAGATTTATTTATATCATTTTAATTTATACCTGGTGGTAATTCTTCATCTCTGTTAATTGTAAAGACTTTCTTAGGAATTGGATCTATTTTACTATTCAATGGTTTTAATTCTTCTTCATTTTCTTCCTATTTCTATATTAGAGTGTTTTAATCTTCTTATTCTGTTTAATTTGATTCTATTTATTATAATTATTAAATTATTGGTTTTTGTTCTAGTTAGTCATTATTTGAATTTTTAATCTTCTCAATTTCTTCTATATCTATTTAAAATGATTAAGTGATGTCCAATCCTTCAGGTGGCTTTATTAATTTTTGTGCCTTAATAATGATATATTGTTATACTTCTAAATTAATTGGAGGTAAATCTTCTGCATATAAATTATATAATTGATCAAGTTGGTCTTTAGTCTTATTTAAAATTAAGGACTCATAAAAGAATGAAATTTTGACAATTGAAATGTTGTGTAATTTGATGTAAATATTCTTAATTAATTATTCAATTTATGGAATAAGATCATTGGAAGGATCAGTTTTGATTATTTGGATGTATATTTTAAATAGTAATGAATCTATATCAGATAAGGATGATTCATAACAATTCAATATATTCAACTATTCTAAAAACTTAATTATATTTGTAAGGGCTTCTAATTTCAATAATTTAACTGATTCACCTACTATCATAATTAAAGATTTAAAAATTATTTCTCTATGATTTAAAGAGTATTTTAATTAAGTGTGTCTCTAAACAATATTCAAAGTAGGACCTTATAAAGAATCAGATTAAATTGCATATGTTTAAAGTATTTGATTGCATAATTAATCTGAATAAACTTTTAATCCAGGAACTCTTGTTAATAATTCAAAAAGCAATTCCTTAAATCTTATAGCATTGTCAATAGTGTCTATTTTTTAAGCTATCACTGGGATATACATTAGTAATAATTTTTCAGGATCATCAACATTTATAAATTTATCTTTCATTATAATGAAAACTATTTTATTTTACATATTATTTACTTAATGATTCAATAATTTTATGATTGCTTTCTAAATCTGAATATTTTATAAAGAATTCAATCACAGTTTAAAAGTTCTATTAGTTTGTAAAATCTTTGAACAACTGTAAAATTTATAGTTTTGAAAAATAATCACTTTTTTTAAAACTTTCTAGAATTTGTTCTTAAAATTCCATAAGACCAGCTGATGATGAAATATGTGTCAAACATTCCAATCCCAAGCATCTCACTAAATAATAAATATTTAAATTTACAATTTGGATCTTAATGATTTAAAAATTATTTTAAAATATCTCCTGCGCTTTCATAAAGTTAGGAATGATTTTTAAAATATTTCATTATTGAATAAATTAGTTCATATTATAAGGATTTAGAATTTGTCTAATTAAGTAATCTTGTGTAGTGTTCTATTAACTTACCTTAAAATCTTGGTTCTAAAGATATCAATTTGTTTGATATTCTAACTAATTTGATTAACAACCAATTTGATTTTTATTTAGAAATTTGATCATAAACAATGGATAAAAATAAAGGATAGAGCTTTGGTGCTACCTTCATCACTGAACAAAACAAACTAATGCCACAAGCCAAGACAGAAATATTTGTTTCTTTCTATAATTATTATATCACCATTTCTAAATTTCCAGGGATGTTCAATGGATTTATTGTAAATATTTTCGATAAAACTGCTATTGCCTTCTTTCTTATTAATGGTTTAGTGTTAGTAGTAAGTTTTAAAACATGTGGCAGCAATGAATCTGATAAATCTTTATTAGCAATAGTTCCCAAACAACTTAAAGTAGCAGAACATTCAACATGACCGTTTTTAAATTCTTTTTAAAATACATTTGTAACCATTATTAGACCTTGACTTTGAGTATCAATTACTAAATGTGCTGCTAATTAGGCACCCAATTTTAATTAGAAATCACCACTTCCCATCAAATTTATTATTTGAAATTCTGCCCATCTTATGTTATTCCCTTCCATAGCTAGCTTATTTATAGAAATATCTAAATACAAAGAATAATTTTAACAATGCTTAATATCTCACTGATTCCTATCTACTTTATATTTCATTTTTTATATCTGCTATTGTTTATGTAGTAAATGTTAACTTATCATACTGAGATGTTGTCCTTGAAGTTCTTACAACATCTGCTAAAGATTTTAAAAATATTTAATCCATTTATGACAAGTGGAACATTAATAATAAATAATATTAATTATTATTAGAAATATTTTCATCTTTGTTTGACTATAAGTTTAATCATTTTTTATCCTCTCAATGTTATGAAAAACTCAGCATGTTTTGATAAAAACAATTAATATAAAAGCATTTTCAGGTAATCTTATTTTAAGAAATATCTCTTCTTGTTAACATAATTAAAAAAATTAGTTTAGATTATGTAGATTTTTTCTCTCCATCTTTACTTTTTCATTGAAACTTTATAATTTAAAGATTACTTATATTTTATTACGAATTTAATTACAAAAAATTATTGAAATAGCCATTAAATGTAATATTACTAGTATTAAGTTAATTTTTCAAATTGTCTTTTGATAGTTTAAACATTATCTATAATAACATTGGAGTTTTTAAGAAAACTTTTTTTACTTGATTTTTTAACTAATCTATAAAAGGTTATTAGTTTAAATTATATATAAATCTTAAATTTCTAAAAATTTGGTACACAAAACAATATTATTATCACCAAATCTAAATTAACAACAATACTTAATGAATGATTCATATTTAGCTTTTCATCCAAAATTATAAAATGTTGTTTATAATAAGAACAAGGAAGCCTACGAAAAAAAAGGATTTGGTTAAATAACATGATGAAGAATGCTATTTGGAGAGGGATATAATTAATTTTAGAACTTGATACCATTTAAAGAGAATAAAATCTTTTTAATTTGATACAAAAAAATTGATTACATCAATAGAACTGTGAATATAAAATAAGAATTTTAAGAATTCCTTTATTATATTATTATTAATAAATAAGGTTTAATGCCTAATGTTATTCTATAAAATTGGAGCTCTTTTAGTGAAAAATTTCATGTAATCATTTAGAAACAAAGAATATATATCTGATTTAACATTACCTTTAGTAACAGCGATAATTGTCTCTTTAAAAGATTAATTAGAATTAATTTTTTTGGATTTTTTGCTCCTCTATTTTTATCAATAGCAGTTAGCGCACCACTGAGATTTAAAGAATCATAAAAGATTATGGGAATGAAATAAAGATCTTATTTAATTGGATGGATTCTGTATGTTTATATAAAAACAATGATGGTATGAGGGTTAGAAATATTCTTTAGAGTATAATATTTTTAATATTCTTTTGGTGGTTATTGACATTGATTATATATGATGGAGATTATGGATTTAAGACAGAATCATTTAAAATATTCTTAGTGTTTTTATCGATTATTTAAAGATATTTATCTAAATAATAATAATAGTTTATCTCTATTCTACTATTTTATGTCGATATTTCCATAATCTCCAATTAGTTTTATTCATATGGGTGCATTAAATAAAGGGTTTTTTAATTCCAAAGCTATAAGTTCAGCTTATCCATTATATAATGCAATATTGTAAATTAGGAATAGAATCATTTTTATATTTCATCCTATTTTTTTATTTGGATCAAGTATTTAAAAATGAATAGGGAGAAGCAAAACATTCATTATTCTATTTATAGGGATTATTTAGGAAATCAAAGAAAAATATTTTGAATGATTCATTATTAGATGAAGATCATTTTTATAATTATAATGAGGATTATAGTAGTGCCATTTATCATCAGAAATTAAATATATAGAAAAAATCTACAGTTTCTATTAAGAATTTAACAAAGAAATTTGGTGAATTTAAAGCTGTTGATAATTTAACAATATAATTATATGAATAGGAGATTTTATGTTTGTTAGGACATAACGTTGTTGGAAAGAATAAAACAATTATTATGTTAACTGGAATGATTTAGAAAACAAAAGGAACAATAATATTAATGGGATTGATTTAAAAGTGAATATAGATGCTATAAGAGAAAATGTTGGTATATCCACATAAAGAGATGTTCTATATGTATCTTTAAAAGTTATATAGAGATGCTGATTTGGGGAGAGTCAAATGATTAGAGGGTTTAGATTCACAATAAGAAATTAATGAAATCATAGAAGTTACTGAATTAGAAGAGGATAGAGATAAATTAATTGGAGATAGTAGGGGAAAATTATTATTGGATATTGCATTGATTGGTGGTTCTTTGGTTATCTTTTAAGACGAACCAAGAAGTGGAATGGATGCATAATCAAGAAGAATTATCTGGGAGATTTTATAGAGAGTGAGATAATAAAATAGAAAAATAATTTAACAACGGATCATTTGGATGAAGCAGAAGTATTAGCTGATAGAATCACTATTATGGCAGCAGGTAAATTATTAGCTTGTGGTAAATGTGATTATATTAAAACTAATTTTGAATTAAACTCTATTATAGAGTTCTTCAGAATAATTATTATCAATTATATAAGATGCTTAAATTGATCTTTAATCTTAATCAGATACTAAGATATTTTTAATACCTTTTAAAAGTAAATAACAATGGGATAAATTAATGGAAATTATTTCTAAGGAATATGAAAATTAAATTGTTATTAATTTAACATTAAATTCTTTGGAACATGTATTTATTAATATTGGAATGGATGAAGAGAGTTTATCAAGATAACCAAAGGAAGTAAAGCAAGTGTAAATGACAGTGAAATTGCTATGGAATAAGAAGTTGAATAATAAAGGATATTAAAATTCTAAATTGTTGAAATAATCCTCCTGTGTATTCATTTAAATCATAATTTACTGCTATATTATTAAGAAAGTTTTATACTATTTCAAGAACATTCAGTAATTATATTTCTATTATAATCCCTTTCTCTTTGATAGTTATTGGAAAAATCTATAAGATAAAAAAATTTAGAATAATATTTTAAATTGGTGCTTATATCATTATTTGTAATTCTAGCATTTTGCTTTAATTCCTCTTTATTTATCACATTACCAGTGTTAGAGAAAGAATTCAATTTTAAAATATGTTTTAACAGTAATTGGTTGTAGAGTATTACCATTTTGGATATGTACTTATGCATTTGATTTTTACATTGTTCTTTTTTTGTAATCACATTATCATATGGGATATTTTGTATTTTCTTTTGTTACTTTTGGTTTTGCTTATATTTCATTCATATTTTAATTTATAAAAAAACATCTACAGTTGCATACAAAATGTTAGTGTTTCAATATAGAAATAGAAGATACTTGGACTTTTGTGACCTAATGGATCTGGTAAATCAACAGTTTTGAATATACTAACATCATTAATTAATAAGAGTAGTGGATATGCTAAAATAAAAAATGAAGAAGTTCATAGAGGAAAACAGATATTTTAAGATGTTGGTATATGTACATAATTTGATTGCATTTTGGAGAATTTAACACCAAAAGAACATTTATATTTATTTGTTAGAATGAAAGGATTATCTGGAGATGATTTAACAGAGTCAGTTATAGGTTTATATTACATACGTTTTTAATCAATTCAATTAGAAGAGTATATAAATAGATAAAGTGGTTGATTATCAGGAGGAAATAAAAGAAAATTATGTGTTAGTAATGCTTTGATTGGAGGACTATGTATTCAATTCTTTGATGAACCAAAGTACTGTAGTTGATCCAATAGCAAGAAGATTTTTGTGGAGAACTTTGAAATTAGGAGTTCTGTTAAGATAAATTAGTGTTATGTTAACTACTCATATAATGGATGTAGCAGAGAATTAATGTGATAAGATTGCAATATTAGTTAAGGGATAGATTTATTTTTTTGGAAGTCCATAAGAATTAATAAAAAGTATGAGGATGGTTATGATATCTAATTGAGAGAGTATATGAATAAACAAGATATTACAGAATTTCTTAATAAGCAATTAATTCTAAAATATCAAAGAAATCTAATAGAAGGATTAATATAATTTATAATTTCATGTAATTAATATAGATTTAATTTTATAAGAAACCAAGTTAATCTTTCAATTTTTACAAAACATATGTCTCATTAAGAATACTTGTCTAAAGAAAGTTGATCCAGGATTTCTCAATTAATCAATCATCTTTAGAATCAATATTTCTTTAATTTTCAAAATCCCAATATGAATAATATAATTGAACACTGTATATTATATACATATTTATTAAGTTTATATAAAATATTTTCATAATATTTTAGTTTCTATAAAAACTAGTTGCTTTAAAGACTTAAATTAACAAAAATAATAATGTGGAAAAGCAGAAAAATTATTTATAAAATTCTGATTGAGAATAATCTNTGGTTTTGCTTATATTTCATTCATATTTTAATTTATAAAAAAACATCTACAGTTGCATACAAAATGTTAGTGTTTCAATATAGAAATAGAAGATACTTGGACTTTTGTGACCTAATGGATCTGGTAAATCAACAGTTTTGAATATACTAACATCATTAATTAATAAGAGTAGTGGATATGCTAAAATAAAAAATGAAGAAGTTCATAGAGGAAAACAGATATTTTAAGATGTTGGTATATGTACATAATTTGATTGCATTTTGGAGAATTTAACACCAAAAGAACATTTATATTTATTTGTTAGAATGAAAGGATTATCTGGAGATGATTTAACAGAGTCAGTTATAGGTTTATATTACATACGTTTTTAATCAATTCAATTAGAAGAGTATATAAATAGATAAAGTGGTTGATTATCAGGAGGAAATAAAAGAAAATTATGTGTTAGTAATGCTTTGATTGGAGGACTATGTATTCAATTCTTTGATGAACCAAAGTACTGTAGTTGATCCAATAGCAAGAAGATTTTTGTGGAGAACTTTGAAATTAGGAGTTCTGTTAAGATAAATTAGTGTTATGTTAACTACTCATATAATGGATGTAGCAGAGAATTAATGTGATAAGATTGCAATATTAGTTAAGGGATAGATTTATTTTTTTGGAAGTCCATAAGAATTAATAAAAAGTATGAGGATGGTTATGATATCTAATTGAGAGAGTATATGAATAAACAAGATATTACAGAATTTCTTAATAAGCAATTAATTCTAAAATATCAAAGAAATCTAATAGAAGGATTAATATAATTTATAATTTCATGTAATTAATATAGATTTAATTTTATAAGAAACCAAGTTAATCTTTCAATTTTTACAAAACATATGTCTCATTAAGAATACTTGTCTAAAGAAAGTTGATCCAGGATTTCTCAATTAATCAATCATCTTTAGAATCAATATTTCTTTAATTTTCAAAATCCCAATATGAATAATATAATTGAACACTGTATATTATATACATATTTATTAAGTTTATATAAAATATTTTCATAATATTTTAGTTTCTATAAAAACTAGTTGCTTTAAAGACTTAAATTAACAAAAATAATAATGTGGAAAAGCAGAAAAATTATTTATAAAATTCTGATTGAGAATAATCTATTATTACCAAACAAATAAGCTTGCTTAAATTAATTAACTAAATTAGGAATTAACTATATTGCACATCATCATGACCCTGTTCCAACAATGGATGATGTTATCAAAATTCAAGTTACTAATGGTACAGCTTATGTTAAGAATCTATTATATGTTGATAAGAAAGTAAAAAGTACCACTAATTTACAAATAGTCAAATTATTATTTAATCTTGGCAAATCACACAACTCAAGTTGGAAAATTATTTTGGAAAACTCTTGGATTATCATCAGGAAATATGAGATTAAGTAAAGAAGAACAAATTTTAGAAGCTCTAAAGTCTAGTAAAGGAAATATTAACCCTTTTGCTATTGTTAATGATTCAAATAATAGAGTATTTTAAATTTTAATTAATTATAGGTCAAAAATATTATCATTGATGAAGAATTGACTAAATTTTAAAGAGTAGCATTACATCCAATCGAAAATACAACAACTGTTGAAATCTCTCTAGATGATTTATAGAATAAATTCTTGAAACCTCTAAATAGACAATACACAATAATTAAATTAACAGATGCAGAAGCTGAATAACAATTATAATAACTAAAATAATAATCAAATGATTAATAACATCTATAAACCTTAGCTATTACAGTAAAGAAATCTGATTTTTCAGAATGGTATCAATAAGTCATAAGAAAAGCAGAATTGATTGAATATTATGATGTTAGTGGCTGTTATATTTTGAGACCATGGGGATATTTCATATGGGAATAAATATAAAGATATTTTGATGATCTAATTAGAACAGAAGACGTTGAAAATACTTATTTCCCAATGTTTATTTCAGCAAAACACTTAAATAAAGAAAAAGAACATGTAGAGGGATTCAAGGCAGAAGTAGCTTGGGTAACTAAGTATGGTGAGAGTGATTTGAATGAACCCTTGGCTATTAGACCAACATCTGAAACTATTATGTATCCAGCATTTGCAAAATGGGTGTAGAGTCATAGAGATTTACCATTAAAAGTTAATTAATGGACTAATATAGTGAGATGGGAATTTAAATTTCCAACACCTTTTATAAGAACTAGAGAATTCTTATGGTAAGAAGGACATACAGCCCATTCTACTAAAGAGGAAGCAATTAAATAAGTTTATACTATTTTAGACTTCTATGAATAAGTTTATGGTGAATTATTAGCAGTCCCAGTAATTAAAGGAGTATTAGATTTAATAATATTAATAGATTAAAACAGAATCAGAGAAGTTTGCAGGAGGGGATTTTACTACTACAGTAGAAACTATAATTCCATAGAATGGAAGAGGATTATAAGGAGCTACATCGCATCATTTAGGATAAAATTTTAGCAAGATGTTTGAGATTAATTTTGAAGATGATAAGAAATAAAAAGCATTTGCTTGGTAAACAAGTTGGGGTTTAACAACAAGATCTATTGGTGCTATGATTATGTTTCATGGTGATGATAAGGGATTGGTATTACCACCAAGGATTGCTAAATATTAAATTGTTATCATTCCAATCATTCATAAAGATCTTGATGAGAAATAATTAAATGAAAGATGTGAATAAATAAAATAGATGTATTTATAATTTAATAAATTATTAGATTAATTAAATAGAAATTAAGAGTTCATTTAGATAATAGAGATAATTATTCTCCAGGATGGAAATTTAATAAATGGGAATAAAAGGGAGTTCCAATTAGATTAGAGATTGGACCAGGAGAATTTAAAAATAATGAAGTTAGAGTTGTTTAAAGATTTGACAATAAGAAATATTAAATAAAAATAGAAGAAATAAATAAATTAAATTAGATTCTAGATAATATTCATAATGCTATGTTTGAGAAAGCAAAAATAGAACTAAATTAAAGAATCAAACAAGCTGATAATTGGAAAGAATTTATGACTTAATTAAATCAAAGAAATACTATATTAACTAAATGGTATTAAATATATATATATATATAGGTGTGAGAGATAAGAATGTGAATAGTAAGTTAAAGGTAAATCAGGAATGGAATCGAAAGAGAAGGATTCAGAAATTAATGGATAAGTTCAACTTACTGGTAGTGCCAAAACTTTATGTATACCATTGAAATAGGATGAAATTAAGGAAGGGGAGTAATGTTTCCATTGTGGACAATAAGCAAAAAGATATGTTTTATGGGGAAGATCTTATTGATTATATTAATACATTGAATAATATAAAATTACAATTAACTTTCAAATTATTTAATTATTGTAATAATATTAAAAGATGAGTTGGAAAGTAAATGTGTTTAAATAACCAAGATTAAAGAATCTGTTCCCAGAGTAAAATTAACACATTTATCTAAAACCAATATTATTGATGTATGGGCTCATAATTTCATGGCTGAAATTACAGAAATAGCTTCACTTATTGAAGAATTTAATGTTATATCATTAGTAATGATTGTAATGAATTTAGGATACAGAATTTCCAGGAACAGAGTATGATCAACCAGAAAATGATGATAAGGTGAGTTGAATGTAAAAATAATAGGATTATGAATATTAATAATTAGTAAGAAATGTTTAAAAATACAAACTTATATAACTTGGAATAAGCTTAGCAAATGAAGCTGGAGAAGTACCTTTGGTTAAGAACACATGGCAATTTCATTTTAAATTTAATTCATAGTATATAAACAATTAAAATTAGATATGATTAATTAATGAATCCTGTTAAGGTTATGTTAGAATAGGCAGGAATTAGGTTTGATGATTTAGCATCTAAAGGAATAGATTATTCTTTATTTTGTGAAATAGTTACTGGAAGTGGTATTACTATATATAAAAATAAGGACTAATCTTAAATGATGAAATTAAATATGTAGTATTTCATGGGGAATTTGATTTTGGTTATTTATTACATTTGTTTCATCATTCAGGAATTCCAGATACATAAGAAGAATTTTATAAAATGATGAAACTTTATTTTCCATAGATTTATGATTTGAAATATATTTTAAAAGACAATCAAAAATATAAAGATGCTGGATTAAGTAGATTAGCTACCAAAGTTGAAGTGACTCGTATAGGACCAGAACATTAAGCAGGATCAGATGCTTTACTTACATTATAATGCTATTATCAATTGAAATTTTGTTTCCCAGATTTATAAAGTGATTTTGAAAAAAATATGAACATAATCTATGGTATTGGTAAAGGCTATGTTCCAAATAAGTATTTATTATATTATATTTAAGTCGACGAAAAACTTATGCATCTAGTTCATAGACACCAGACCCAGGATTATAAGTAAATCAAATAGATTAATAATATTACTACAATCAAAATTTCTAATATGAAGAACTTCAAAATTCTTATTATCAATATGGATAACAATTCATGAATTACAATTATTTTTAATATCAAATGCATGAGCCTGATCAATAGAAGAGGAAAGGTTATTGAATATTAAATAATTATGAATTAAAACTTATTAATTGATTTTGCCCTATTATAGGATACTTATTGTAAAATTGATTAATCTTCAATATGAATTCTATAATTATTCTAATACTTATTAGAATAGTTATATAATTATTTATTAAATATTAAATTTTAGAATTGAATGGATTAAGATTCAAAATTGAGCTAATTCATTTCTCCTAGATAGAATGCTTTACAAATATAAGATTAGGATGAAACACAAAAAGTGAATGAATCTTAATAAAAAATGATTTTTAAAAGTAAAATACAGAAATTCAGAACTGAAGACTTCTCATTAAGAAAAAAACTATAAAACTAGAGTCTGTTTGGAAAAATGAAAGTATTATGTAAAGGGATGCAATAATATATTTACATATTATTAGAAGATCCTAACTCTTCTTTAATAGCTTATTGTTTGCAATTCCTATTACTAACTAGTATATTGTTGTCATGTGTTGCAATTATTGTAGATTCATTAATGGAAAACAGTATGATATTTAATAATAAAATAGAAAGTAATTCTCAATATGACGACATTTCATTTTATTTAGAATATTATCTATTCATTTTCTTTGGTTTAGAATATTTATTGAGAATGTTTAGTTCAACTGCTTTTGATTCTAAATTAGTCAAATTTATTTTTTCTCCTTTAAATTTAATAGATTTACTTGCAATAATGCCTTTTTTATTTAATCTCATTTTTGAAGGTGCTAGTCTATCTGGATTAAGAGTAATTAGAATTATCCGATTTATGAGAGTGTTTAGATTATTTAAACTTTCAAGATTTATGAAGGATATGTTAATGATTGTAAATATATGAATCACTTAAAAAGGCAGATACAGTAAAGCATTCAGCCAAAGACATAATAATATTGATTACAATGTTCTTTTTTTTGGTTTTATTTTTCTCCATTGTAATGTATTATTTGGAATATGATGATAACCAAATAATTGAAGATGAATAAAAAATCCATTCAATTACTGAAGCTGTTTGGTGGTGTATAGCAACAATGACTACAGTTGGATATGGTGATAAAGTACCTTTGAGTGTTCCAGGAAAATTTATAGCTTGTATAGCAGCCTTTCTTGGAATTACATCTATTTCATTGTATATAATAAAAATTAAAATAGACCTGTTGCTGTTATGGGAATGAATTTGACTTAAACATTAAAAGAACACGAAGAAAATATAGAAATTTAAAAATTGAAGGATTAATTTGTAATGGAAAATGATACAGAATTTATTAATAATAAAAGAGAATAAACACAATTAAATATTAAAGAATTGAAATTTATGGAAAGAAGATTAGAATAATTATTAGAAAATAATTAGAAAGTAATGGATTATGTTGAATAATCTCAATAATTATTTGATGAAGTAACTTAAGATCTAATGAGTTTATATTCAGCCTTGACTGAATAATTAGATCTCCATATAGAGACAAAAATGAAGAATTTGAAAGCTAGACATCGTGTAATTTTTATATAGTATTTATTTTAGATAATGAAAATGGAAAAGAATCTTAATCAAAAGAAATCAATAGAATTGAGTTAAATAGTATCAGCATTTAAAGAAAAATAGAAATTGATATCTTAAGGTTCTATTCTAATGTGTGAAGAAAGTTAAGCTGATGTCTTTAGTATTGCAAGTAGATAAAGCAAATAATATACTGCAAGAAAGAGTTAAAAATTAAGAAGTAAAAATAATAGAGGCTCTTATATGTGTGTTATTAATAATAGCAATCATAATCCATTTAAAACTTAAACAGATTATAATGATCCAGATCCTCATTAGAATAGTATTATCTATGCTTAAGTCAGTTCAAGAAATTCCGCATTTAATTAAGATATGTTATAAAATATAGGTGGAAATGCTGAATTTAAATTCAATCTTGAAGAATCAAGTGGTAATATTGATGAAGATGATGATAATGGAGTTGATCTAAGCAGTAAAATGTAAAGTATCTCAAACATTTAAGACTTTAAATTGAAAAATAGTATTAAAAATAATAATTTATGAACTGCTATGATTAATAATTTTTCTTATATAGTAATCTTATCAATTCTATGATATAAAATATATAAAAATAAGAAATGAGTTCATATCCAAGAAATTTATCAAAATAATTAACTAGATTTTTATTTAATTAAATATTCAATTTGATTTATAGAAATATTAAATAATCAATTATAGGAATAACTAAATGATTGATTTGTTAACATTACCTTTCATTTGATTTTGACTCACACTACAATTAAAATTTATTATGAATGATTAATAATTATATAATTATAATAAATCACATATATTTTAATTTATATTCTAATTTTTTATAAAAAATAAAGACATTAATTATTTGATAATTATATATATATATGTTAAAATAAAAATTCATATTATGAAAATTGATTTCATCATATTCTTTTATTCATTCATATTAATTATTAAATTTGATTAGGATACTAGTAAAAGAATTAAATATATTAAATGATTTATATTGAGTTTCATTACTAAAACTATGATGCAAATTTATTGATCAAATTTAATTGTTATTCCAATTATAAAGGAGCACATCGTTTTAATAAATTAATAATTAACACAGCATCATTTCCTTTTATCCAAATTCTACCATTTTTACCAACACAAACTTCAAAACTAGAATGTTTACTTATTTCCTTAAATAATTCTGGTTTAGTTTAAGAACTTAAAAGACTTTATACAAAATTTAAAGGCAAATCTACAATAACTCCTCCAATTAATTCTCTAAATAGATTTTCTCCAGTTGTCTATATATTAAATAGATATTATTACCCATTCTTTTTTGCTTTAAGGATTTATACATGATAATTTGCCTTTTAAATAATGATTCAATTCAATAACTCTAGCATATATAAATTATCCAATTTAAATATTTGGTTTATTCTTTTTTGTTGCTCCTTCAAAATCCATTTAATTTAGATTATATATTAATCCATTCCCAAGATCACAAAAATAATATTCACTATTTTTCCCAGTTACTTAGACAATCACATAATCTTCAATTTCAGGTGTGTAATATATTGGATTATGACAAATAGCAATTTTTTATTTATCTATCCAAAACCAACCTGCATGTTTAGTTTCTATTTCAAGTGATTTAGTAATGTTGACATCTTACTTATTAGTTTTTATTGTATTGCCAATAACTAAACTCTTTAATGGTATTCTTTCACCAGGTAAAGTTATATATACAAGAGCACTTTACATTAAAAATAATTTAATTTATGGCTTAAGAATTTAAATATATCAATAATAATAGATTCTTATATAAAGTATAGATTAATTATGAGTATAATACTAAAGTTATTAATAAATTTTGTTATTTGATTATTTATAATATTAAAAATGGAATGAAAATGTTTGAAAGTATATATTATAAAAATATTAACAAAAATGATGAATAAGGTTGATTCAGATATCAATGTAAATTAAATAGATTTTTCCTAACATTCTACACTTTATTCACATTATATGGTTTTTTAGCTGCTTAAATTAATTCTTATTAAGCTTCATGTAGGATATCGCAAATGCGATTTGCTGCATTTTTCTTACTGTGAATAATAACAGTATTTGGACAAGTTGTATTAGACTATTATAATTAATATTTAATATTACATCACTTTAGATTGGAGTAGTTAGAGATGAGTTTTCTATTTCTTTTGTAAGCATTTCACTAAATTCATTGATTTCTTATTCATTTTGAAAATCCTCTTCTTTATAGAATTATTAAAATTATTATTATGTTATGATATTTTCTTATAGAAGTGTTTCTAAAACTACTTATCTACTTGATAATCTTGATTGATGTTTTGGTTTAATATTAGGAGATAACATTGGAGAATCATCAAATTGTTAAGATGAAAAATAAAATTATTTATTTAATTGAACTTCTTCAAATTCATCAGATGAATCCATAATACTTGATCTAATTGTATTAAATGTTTCTAATAAATTTAATTTAGAATTTTAAGATAAATGATTTTATCTTTAATATGGTTATGAATTGAGTAATCTATAGAATTCACTTTCTCCAAAGTAATTGATAAATATTTAATTAAACAAGAGTTCTTAAACAGATTAAACATTATTATTAATCATTTCTTATATAATCTCTTTTTAATCAGGGAATCTATTATATATAATTAATTAACATACTTTGTAATTAAGTAAGCCTTAATTAATTGAACATCTTAAAATATTTCTTTAGAATATTCATACGTCATTCTTTCAATCATACTATTATCTAAGATTTCCATATTGCAATTATCATCTAACAGAATGATATTTGAAATCTATAATAATATAAATAAGATTTTTACTTTAAATTGATTTAGAATGAATCCTTCATTATGGTATTTGTACAACATTTTTAATAAACCAAAATACTATAATTCAAAGGATAACTCTTCAATAGGTTTTCCATTTAAATATGAAATAACAATATAGACATATTGTTCATCTTCATATATATATTCATATTTTTAGTTCCTAATTATCCATTTTAAATATTATTTTCCTTCAGATTTTGAATACTTTTTTATTGATTTAATCATCCCACTCATTTTATCTCGAGCTTACAATATCTATTTCATTATAACAAAATATTACTGAGAATTTTTCCAATTAGAACAACACTTTCTCAATTTCATAATACTATTGAATATCCAAGTGTATGCATTTTTAGTTAATCATTTAGTAAAACTACTATAAATTAGGCCCGTTGATATTTATTTAACCAAATTTATTTTGAAGAGTCACTCCTCTCTCATCTAAATTAACATATGTTTCCACTAAATTTATATATTAACTATTGGCATATAATTGACCTGAGATCACTTTAAATTTATATAGATTGTTATCAGAGTAAAGCTCAAATGTTTATTCCTTCAAATTAATCAAAATAATTTACTTCTTCATCATCTGAATTCATTACCCATTTATCTTAAACTGGATTCCAAAAGGATTCAGCAAATATAGAATCTTAAATCATTTATCTAAATATTTTTTTTAATAATTATCATTTTATAGCTTATAATAAATACTTATATAGCCTTTCATATCATTTTCGAATTTTATATATATAATACAATTCATTTATACCAAATTTAATTAATCATTTATTACAAATTTGTAAGATTTACCACTTTACGACTAATTATATATATTTCATTTTCAATTAAACATATAAATCAATTTCTTTTATCTTTGATTCCACCTTATAAATATCCTTTATTTCATTAAATTATCAAAATATTATTCATTCCAATTCTAAAATTGAAGTTCTAAAATTTATACTAATCTTAAAATGCGTTTAAGCATTTTGTTTTATCTATCAATTAAGATTATTTTCAAATGGTATATATTTCCAAAAACTTTTAATTATTAAATAGTACTCCTTAAATTCTAAAACCACTATATTTTTCTTATTTCTTTATTTTGATGATTTTAATATATATAAATAACTGAATTCGATAATTTATTATTTATTGATGAAAATCAAATAAACTGAATAATATATTATTATTTATTTATTAAAATAAATAATATATTTCATGAATTCCATAAATATTTATAAAAAAAAGATATTGAATACATTAAATATAATATTTATCATATTTAGATGTAGTATAATCATAATATAAATAATAATCATTTTAAATTTTTACAATTAATTTAAAGTTTAATTAATTAGATTCCATTTTCATTAATTAATCATTCATTTTTGAATTGATTTCTAATAAAAATTCTATTTTGTCCTATTTATAGAATAAAAATTAAAAATATCTTTTAGAATATATAAAATAATTAATATTGAGTTATTATCTCTTTTTTAATTAATTAATATTATATAAAAAAGAAAAAAAATATATAATTAATATTAAAGAATATAAACAAAAAATTACTAAGTCATCATATTTTATTAATTAAGAAATTTTATAAACATAATTCTAATGAAAGAAAATATAATAAAATATTTTTAAACTCTAAAGATTTAATAATATTTTATAAAATTGGTTTTATTAAAAAGATATTAATTTTGTAAAATTAAACACTTATTTAATTTATTATTTATTGAATAAAATTCTTTTATTTTTAAATATAAATATTGAATAATATTAGAAATGCAGAATAGTAAATAAGATATTCTTTTTTAAATTCTTTTTTTTTTATTTGATAAATATTTGTAAAATTGATTGAAAACTAATTTTTTAAGGTTCTATTTTTCAAAATAAAGGAATTAAATATAAAAATTCTATTAATAATTTGAATTTATAAATAATGATTAATTTATAGAAATTGAAATTAAAATAAAGTAGTAGAAGCAAATCATGAATTCTAGATAAGATGAAAGAAATAATAAAAATTATCAATTATTAAATTATAAATTGTGATTAACAATTAATGTTAACTAGAAGAAAAAGTTCTGAATTAATTGAACCAGAGATTCTTAAAAAGATCAAAGGAAATGAAGAGAGCAACTTGAAAGCATATATAAAAAACAAATAGACAAGAAAAGTTTTAGAAGTAAGATTTTTAACATTAACATGAAAGAGTCGTGGCTTCACCAATTTATTTCCAATCCAATAATAATGTTTTGAAACCATTTATAATGGAGATGATATAATAGGGTAGGATAGAACAGGTTCAGGTAAAACTCTTGCGTATTGTCTTCCAATTCTTGAAAGAATACGAGGACTAGGATTAAAATAAAATAAAAATCCTTATGTATTAGTATTATTACCAACAAGAGAATTGGCAATCCAAGTGACTACTGAATTCAATTCTATTTTACATAAAGAACATGAATACAGGATCTATAGTATATATGGTGGTACAGATCTTAGAAACTAAATTGATTAAGTGAGATAAGGATGTGAAATAGTAGTAGGAACACCTGGAAGAATATAAGATCTTTTAGAAAGAAAGGTTCTAAAATTAGATGAAATTTAAGTGGTTGTATTGGATGAAGCAGATCAAATGTTGAATTTTGGATTTTAGGAAAATATTGAAAAGATTATGTCTTATTTTAATGATAGAAAAATTTAAATGCTTTTATTTAGTGCTACTATACCTGATTGGGTAAAAGAATTATCATAGAAATATATGGAAAGTAATACTAAACACATAAATTTAATTAACAGAAATGAGGTAAAATTATTAATCTAATATTTAGAGTTAAACTTCTAAAACAGTCAAACATTATGCTTTATAATGTGCAAGAAATTAATTATCAGGTGCAATTGGTGATGTAGTTTCAGTTTATGGTGGAAGACATGCTAGAACTATTATCTTTTGTGAAACTAAAAGAGAATGTAATGAAATTATTTTACATTCTAAATTACCTGCTGAAACATAACCATTACATGGAGATATTCCTTAATAATAAAGAACAGTGACATTTGAAGGATTTAAGAATGGAAAATTCAAATGTTTGGTTGCAACCAATGTTGCAGCTAGAGGTTTGGATTTCCCATAAGTAGATTTGATTATTTAATGTAATCCTCCTAAAGATATTGAATCATATATTCATAGATCAGGTAGAACTGGTAGAGCTGGAAAGGATGGAATATGTATCACTTTTTATTCAAAGAAGGATATGAGTTTGATTGAAAGAGTTGAAAGAGTAGCTAAAATAAAATTCATTAAAATATCTACTCCTTAACATTAAGATATTATAAAAGCAAGTTCAAGAGATTTATAAACTAGTTTATAAGTAGTTAGTAAAGAAATTGTTGATTTGTTTTTACCTGTGGCTTAAGAAATTATATCTAGATGTGATCCTGTAGAGGCTTTGGCTAGAGCTTTGGCTTGTGTAAGTGGATACAAAGACAAATTATAGAATAGATCTATGTTGGGATCTTTTGAGGGATATTTAACATATGTATTAAGAACATCAACTCCATTTTAAGCTTGTGGTTACATTTGGAAATTCTTAAAGAATAATTTCTCTGAATAAATTTGTAATGGTATTAAAGGAATGAAAAAATTAAGAAATGAGAATGGTGTTGCATTTGATATTAGTGAAGATGTCAAAGAAGAATTTGAAAATTAATATTAGGAAATATCATAAAATGGATATTGTAGAGGAATAGAAATAGAATAGGCTACTACTCTTCCAGATATAATTGAAGAATAATTCTAGGCTTATTAAAACAATTATTATTAATAACCAACAGTTTAAGTTTCATAAGCAGTTAAAAAAGAATAAGAAATATTTATTGGAGGATTAGATTTTAAAATATCAGAAGATGAAATAAAAAATGAATTTAAAAATAGAGGAATTGAGTTATTGAATCTTAGATTATTAAGGGGTTAAGATGGTTAATCAAAAGGATCTGCTTTTGGAGTATGTAAAACTAAAGAAATGGTATCAGTAGCATTAACATAAAATGGAACTAAATTTAGAGGTAGAAATATTCGTGTAAATATGTCAAATGAAAAACCTAAATGATAATTTATTGTATATATATATATATATATAGTAAAATAAATTATTAACATTCGATATAATAGAATTGAAATAAATAAAATAATTATTAATAAATTACATCTATATATAAAGAGATTCTATATAGTGTTAAAATTGTTAATATAAATATAAATAAAGCTATAGCTTCAATTGAAATGAATTAGTTGTTAACTTTATTAGGGAAGAATTTCACTTTACATTTTAGATCACGAACATTTTGGATTAATCTTTATATTCCAATATTAAGCATACTTATATCTTAAGGTCCTTAAATAAGCTTTTTTGTATAATTATTACCTATATTTATTTGTTTGAATAACAATGGAATTATCAGATAAACCATTTATTTATTTGTATAAGAAAGAACTAATAAATCTAAAGAATTTTAAATTTAAATGGGTTTGAATATATTTTCATATTATTCATCTTGGATTATTACTGCTATTACTTTAAGCTTTGCTATTTCATTAATATATTTGATTCCTTTTTTTATTATGGAATTAAATAATGTAGGTTTAGTAACAGTTAATGCATTTATATTTATATATGGAGATATATTGTATACTATAGCATTATCATCTTTCATGCTTTTCTTAAGTATATTTTTTGAAAGTCCACTCAAAGCAAGTGAATTTTTGAGTCTATTAAATGTAATATCTTCATTTGCATCTTATGTTAACTTTTATCCTTATCCTGAATATTCAGTTTTTGGTTAATTGCCTGCTCTATTTTTACCTTAATCAGCATTTTAAATGTTGTTGTTCAGTTAATATTGGATTTTTAATTAAAATTACGTTTGTTTAAGTAAAGCCACATATATAACATTTTTAATATTCTAAATAATATTTTATTTGTTTTGTTTTATTTACTTTGATCTAAATAGAGGAATTCTAAAGAACAAAATATGGAATTGTTTCAAAAAATAAAATTAATTACATGTGTTTCTTTAAGAAGAAACATGTGATTAAACTAATGGAAATGGAACTTAATAACTTTAAAAACCATTTTTAAATATTTAATAATAGGATTATGAAATTTAAGGATAATCTATTATTAAAACAGAAAATTTAAGTTATTAAATTGGAGAATAATAAATTCTAAAGTATATTAATTTAGATGTTTATTAAAATGAAACATATTGTTTAGTTGGACCTTAAAAGACAGGTAAATCAACATTGATAAAGATTCTTTAAGGATTAATTTAAAAAACATCAGGATAATATAAATTATTTGGATAAGATTTTGATAAAAATGCTAAAAAATAGATTGGTATATGTATGTAATAAGATATTTTGTATGAAGATTTAACAGTATTAGAGCATCTTTAATTTTATGGGACTATAAAAGGAATAGATGAAGAATAATTAAATATTTAAATTAATATTATTCTTAATATTTGCTAATTAATTGGAGAAATTAATTTAAAGGCATGCAAATTAAATGGCTTAAATTCTAGAAAATTATGTTTAGCCATTTCAATGATTGGAAATCCTTAAGTATTATTTTATGATGAACCAAGTTAAAATTTAGATGCATATGGAAAATAGTAAATTTGGTAATTATTAAAGTAAATTCGATTGAATAGAACAATAGTATTTACTAGTTAGTATTTTGAAGAGGCTGAAAATATAGCCAATAGAATGGGAGTATTATTAAATGGTTAAATTGTAGCATAAGGAACACCAGAGTTCATTTAAAATAATTTTGGTATTGGATATAATTTGAATATGTAATTTACAGATGAAAATCAATTATTTATTGAAAAACCAAAGATTCAATCATAATTATAATAAATTGATAGTTTAATATAAGCAATATAAAGAAATGAAACAACTATGTTTTGTGTATTACCTATCAATAAAATAGATTCATTTCATTAACTATTTTATTATTTAGAATAGAATTCTAAATGTAGCTTCTCTTTAAAATATAATTAAATAGATGATTGTTATAAGACTATTGATTGCTTAGAGAATTAAGATAATCTAGATTTTAATGCTCAAGGAATATTTCAATAATAACCTTAAATTTAATTAAAATGTCAAATTTAAAGTTTAATTAAAAGAAAATTATTATTAATTTTTACTGAAAAAGAAAAATAACTTAAATATATATTTTTATATTTTTTAATTACATTAGCTGTGATGTTTGGAATGTTTTCAGCATTTAGATTTGTGTTTTTCTATTTAGGAATTAAGGCAATGACATGTGTTTTATTTACTGATTTTTAATTTGAAGAAAAGAATACTTAAATGAAATAATTTTTATTAGCTAGTGGTGTACCTCTTCGTACATATTGGATAAGTACTCTATTAGCAGATATGATAGTTTCATTTTTTGAAGGTATCTATACTGCAAGTTTATTATGGATTTATAATGTTGGCCATTTTGGATTTCATTTTTTTGGTGTTATCTTGTTAATAACTTTTTTTGGTTTTTCTTTAAGTTGCTAAGTAAATTATTTTATGCAAAAATAAAAATCAGGAAATTTTAGTTTTGGAATACCTTTTTTAAGTATATTTGTATTTTATCTCATATTTTTATGTGTTATGTTAGGAATAGCATAACCAGGATTAACTCCTAGTGTATCTCTTTTAGCTATGTTGATGATGATAGTTTCACCATATATGGCATGTTATATTGGATTTGGAATGAGTCCAAGTCTACTGAACTTAGCTATTTTTGGTTATTGGTCTTGTCTATTATTTTTATTAATTGGAGGAGTCTTTTATTTTTTAATTTTAGTTACTACAGAATCTAAATAACACAATTAAATAGAATAAGAAATGCATGATACAAATGCTGTAATCGATTTATAAGATGTTCAGTGGAAATATGGAACTATTGTAACAAAAGAGAAGATAAATATGTAAATTAATAAATAAGAGATATTTGGATTAGTAGGACCTAAAAATGCTGGAAAAACTTAATTGATTAATTTAATTAATAATTATGATAAACCTGTTAATGGAAAAATAAGAATACGAGATTAATATACTCATGTTGGTTTAGCACCTCAATATTCAATTTTCAAATCATTACTAACTGTATAATAAATGTTAGAATTCTTTGGTAATATCAAAGGATAATAAAATCTTAATTAAAGTATTGATGTATTTTTAAAAGCTTTTGATATATTTGATATTAAATAAAAATAAATTCAATATTTGAATGAAATTGAAATAAAGAAACTTCATTTAGGTATGGCTTTGATGGGAGGTTCAAATAGATTATTTTTAGATGAAATACTATAAGGATTGGATCTGAAATCTAGAAGAAAGGTTTCATAAATAATTTAATAAACTTCTATTAACAATGAGGCTGCTATTTTATTAACAACTTAATCAATTTCAGATGTTTTATTTATTTGTAATAGAATTGGAATTTTTATTAATGGAGTTTTAATTGCTTAAGGAACAATTAATGATCTATAAGAATAACTTGGAAAACATGCCAGATTTAGTGTAAGAACTATAGTTGGATACAAAGAATAGACTCATGCTATTATATGCTAGACATTACAATAATTATAATTTCATATCTAACCAATATTTGATGTAAGAGAAAAGTAAATATTAATTTAATAAATATAGTTTTTTATCTTATATGATTCCAGCTTCATAATTTAGGATGTCAAGTCTCTTTTCATTTCTGTAGTTAGAACTCAAATTCAAAAGTCAGCTGATAACTGAATTTCAAATTTATGAACCAAACTTAGAACAAACCTTTGAATTCTTTGCCACCTAATAAATGATGATCTTGAAACCTCATCTTTTAAATTATAATATTTAGGAGGATTTCATTTAAGGGTTTGGACTTAGATCGTTGACAGCTATGTTTTGTATTTTCTGGTGATTTATTAATTAATTAAGTTCTTTAAATATCTACATATTATAATCATATATATAATACTAAAATATAAATTGATGATATCAAAACTTAAACATCTGTTGTAAATGAGTCTTCATCTTGTAGGCAGATATTGAAGTACAGCACAAGATGAATTATCATTCCTGAGTTCACAAAATTTATTATCAGATGATATGCTTGATGAAGAGAAGGGAATTTGGAATTCATTTAAGCTAATTTGATATATATATTTAGATTATCAACTATGAATCTATAATAATGATTTATTAAACTTATATTTTATAATTATATAATATAGTTTATAATAAAAGTGATGATAATTTATAGTTTGAATGGATATCTTTAATAAATAATGATTTCTTATAAACCATGAATTTTAATTATGAATTGTGATAAATTATGTCATTATATTTATATTTATTTATTTTTTAAATACATTTCTGTTTTAATAATGTAAAGAGAGGATTTAACTATATTTCCTAATACACCCTAAATATAAAGTCTTTTTAATCCTACTCCAATAAATCCTATGACTGCTTTTGTTGCAAGATCTTGTTATAAGTATAATTAACTGCAAAGAAATAAATAATAAAGAATCGTTATATAACACATACCTTAAAAATAGAGACCAAATGAGGTGAGATAGATATCTTTGCCAAGAGCTTTATAAGCAATAAAAAAATAATAATTAGAATGTACTAAATATTAGTAAATATATAGCATTAAGAAGATAATCTCATTAAAAAGATGGGACTGTAAGTTTAGTTTTTTCAGATGTAAAATAAGAGGAATTAATCTTATAGAAGATTGATAAATTCTAGTATTTGTAGCATAAATTATAAACAAGTAATGATGATTTAGTTGATGAAAGAAAAGTAAATCTAAATGAATTAAAAAAATCACCTTCTAAATTAAAACATATTATTGAAAATGATAAAACAAAAACTATATTATAAAATATATTAGGTGGAATGTAATAGAAAATTGATGAAGTTGCACATGAAAATCATATGAGAATAATGGGAATGCAAATTAAGTCATTCAAATTACAAGAATAATAATCTATTAGAAGTAAAGCAATGTCACAAGAAAAAGATAGGGAGACATCAAAATCATATGCTGAAAAAAGAGAATTATATAGTCGTTCAGTTTAAAAGAGAAGACATCAATCACCTTAAAATAAAATGAAAAATATATCATAATAAAATATGAAGACAAATCAAAATTTTAGATTTTCATTAACAGATTATTCATCATTAAGTAGAGAATAATTGTTTTAAATGAAATTATTAAGTTACCATTATTTGATTTTTATAGTTTCTTCATAAAGTAATTTTTATGTTTAACCATCTGAAAATGTGACAGAATTAAAATTTAAAGTTGGAAAAGGAAATAATAGTTTATTAATAAAAGAATTATTTAAATCTAGATGGTGGTGGAATTTAAATTAAGATGCTGATAATAAAGAATTAAATTTTATTTGGACATAAATTAAGGTTCCATAATACATGAATTTATAAGAATGGAGCATAGATCCATTTATATCAAGATAAAAATCATTATCTTAAACATCAACTGATTTAAAAAAAACAAGAAGACATTAATCTCCTAAAAGTAATAAACAAAGTTAAAAATTTGGAAAATTTGATGATCCAATATAAAAATTAATTATAGAATAAGATGTCAATTAATTAAAATCTATAGAAAAATCAATTTAAAGTTTTATTAAATATGCTGAAAAGAATGATTTAAAAATAATTGAGAATGTTAATAAAGTAATTAAGAATATTATTATTTAGATTCATAATCATATAGAAAGAAATTATCATTTGGGTAATAAGAAAGCTATGTTTCATAATATGAAGAAATATTATGAATTAACAAAGTAAGAGTTATTTCTACATTTACCTATGACATTCCATATTTCTGGAATTAAAGATAAATAATATTAATAATTTATGGAATATTTTAAATAAAAGTATTTTAGATATATTTATAAGGAAGGGAAACAATATTTGGATTGTAAAGCCAGGAGAATTCACAAATAGAGGAAATGGAATCATTGTTTGTTAATCATTAGCTGAAATTCATAAAATTGTAAGTAAAAGACAAGTTCATCCTAATGGTAAACCATTTACATATTTGATACAAAAATACATTGAAAAACCTTTTTTATATAATAAAAGAAAGTTTGACATAAGATGTTACTTTTTAATAACTTAATTAAATAATATTATTAGAGCTTATTGGTATGAAGAAGGTTATATAAGAACTTCAAGTGAAGAATTTGATATTAAAGATGTTAGTAATTAGTATGTACATTTAACTAATGATGCTATTTAAAAATATAGTGAGGCTTATGGAAAATATGAAAATGGAAATAAATTGTCTTTTGCAGAATTCTAAAGATATCTCGATAAATGGCATAGTAATGAACATTTGAATTTCTATAAGGATTTATACCCATAATTAAAAATGATCACTTTAAATGCTATTAAGTCTGTATATCATAAGATTGAACCTTATAAAAGAAATTATAATTTTGAAATATTTGGATTAGACTTTATGATAGATGAGAAATTTTAACCATATTTAATTGAAATCAATACAAATCCTTGTTTAGAATTAAGTTCTCCTTTATTAGGTAGAATTATTCCTGCAATGGTTGAGAATGCTTTCAGGTAATTTAATATATAATAATTTATTTAGATTATCTATAGATACATTAATTCCACCTCCAGAATAGTCTACATGGCCACCTAATAAAAAACATTTATTATTTTATGATAATATGTTAGAAAATAATAGATTCTAATTGATTTTTGATGAAAGAGAGGATGCTTAAGAATTAAAAGTATTATATAGCAATTAATCTAATGATGATCAAATAGATGAAATGGATGAAGAAGAAGAAGAATATTAATCTGATGATGATTGATTCAAATAAACTTAAATTTATACTCAATCAGATCCTATATAATCTTCAGCAATCACTTATTTAACTTCAACTACATAATGACAAAGCATTCTTTCTATTCCATTTTTTAATGTAATTGCTGAAGAAGGACATCCTGCACAAGATCCTTTCATATACAAATAAACAATTCCATTTTATTCATCAAATTCTCTAAATACTATATCTCCTCCATCTTCCTAAACTGTAGGTCTAATACGATTATCTATAATCTCTTTAATCATTTAAACAGGCTATATAATTCTAAATTATATCTTACTTCACTATCATCTTCATTAATAATTGTGTCTTAATTTTAATTAAATCCCTCAAATATCAATAATTTCTCTTAACCATCTTGATTCAATTCATATTATTATTAAATCAATTCAAAAATCTTAGGTTTTAAATCATCCCATCTACTTTCTTCTTTTTTAGCTATTGATATATAATCCCTTCCATAAAACACTCTAGTCACTCCATTTATATTAAATAAATTTTAGGCAAGTGGTGAACATTGAGCTTCTTTTGCTCTTGAGAAATCATAGGTTCCATTTTCCATTACTTATTTTCCATTTGGAATAAATTTAAGAAAATTTGGATTAGGAGTTGGCTTAACCTATATTAATAATTTGTATATATTTTTAAATTTTAACATTTTATTAATTATAAAGTTAAACTTTCCTTATATTCACATTATACTACAAGTACAAGCTACCTTATTATCTCTTCTAGATTCCAAATTTTATAACTGTGATGGATCTTTTTTATCTGTCTCATCAAAATAAAAGACTTTCTTCTCAAAATATCTCTTTTTATTAATATACTTTACCTTAAATTACTGGCTGAGTATATAACAGATGGTTTAGATATTTATTTAGTTTATCCAATTAAAGTAATTTCATTAAGTTTGAATGATATAGCTTAAATTTAGAATGTTTAAGATGTATTGCCTCCTAAAATAATTAATGCTTTTTATTTGAATACATCATCAACCATTTTTGTCACTGAAGCATTATAAAAATGATTATAAACCTTTTCAGTGGCAATAATATTTTGATACTTAATAGTAAGTGTATCAACAATAGAGAATTTTCCAAAATTCAAACTTAAATTAGCTTAATCTGTCATTGAAAACTATTTATAATTATAATAATATATTTACTAGTTTAGCTCTAGCTATATGTTCCAATATTAATTTTAAACTAATATATTCACAAGTTTAATTAGCTTCTATCAATTCTTAATCAACTTCTTTTTCATATTCTAATAAAGGATTACCACCCATTATAAAAATATATTTTTGATCTACTGATCTATGTTCAGCATCTACTTTCTCTTTATCTCCATTATCTTTATCTTACCAAATTAAACCTTTGTCTTTTATTAGATCAAAAACTATAGGATTCATTCTTGATTTAGTCATTGTTATTGTTAATACAGGTGTTAATGTAACTTCTCTTCTTTTTATTTCAAATACTTTTATTGTTTTCAATGGTTTTTTTTCTCCTCTCTATAAATGATGTCCTCCAATTACAAGAAGAACACTTTTCCATTAATATTCATGTTCACATTCAATCAAATATAATAATGGATCTTATCTAGGTTTATCTTCATTCAGATTTAATGAAACTAATGGTTTATCCTTGTTATCATTTATCAACATATCTGAACTAAAGATATGTACTCTTCCTTGTTTGTTATCATAGATGTAGAATCTTCCTGTGGTTTTCTCTTAAACTATTGATAATGATGGTCTCTATCCACCAAAATCTTAAATTTTTAATTGTTTCTCCCACTTAGTATTATTACCTAAATGTTGGCTAATTAACAATAGATTTTTAGGAGCCATGAAACAAATTTTAGATATCTGATTTTTATATAATCTAACATATTGTTTCTTTGATGGAGCAATCTCTTTTTCAACAGATGCTCCGCTAACTTTTAATTCTCTTTCTTTTCTTTTAATTCGAGCTAACTTTATTATTGCTAATACTTTTATCTAAATGTTTAGCTTCTTCATAAGGGATGCCTTCATTTTTAAAAAGTGTCTTTTAATTATAAATTAAATTGAAAGACACAATTTCAGGTATCTTTGTTAACAATTAAACTTCTTGAAAAAAATTAACTTTTTCTTCCTGAGATTCTTCTTCTATCTTATCTTTCAATTATGATGCTTGTAATGACATAGGATTATAAAATGCTCTAAGTTACTCACATTAATATATTATACTAATTTCCTTTAAGTATATTATCAATTGTTAGACTTGAATCATCCACAGGTTTATGAATCATCTTGCTTTCTTCTTTTTGTTACTAGGTACCGTAAATATTCCTACATATTTATAATAAGTTACCTATTCAAATTTATCATGTCGTTGAAGTCGATACTATCACTCATTTTAATTAATTTTTCATTTTTTATACAAAAATTGATTTTTACTAGAATAGAACACCCCAAAAATTTCTTTAAAACCTTTTAAATTGATTATGTTAAATCATTCATATTATAAAGTATTGTTATTGATATCAAAGTTTCAAATTTAAAGTTTTATAATTTTAGAAATACAATGATAGAAGTTATAAGATTATTAAAAATAAAGATATCAATTTAATTTTTTAATATATTTACTAATTAGTATTCATTATGATTAATCTTACTAATTTTATTATCTAGCCATGTCATTTCGTATTGCATATTTATATAAAGGATTTTAATTTAAATTAATGGATTTTCTATTGATTTGTTCAGAATTCCCTTCATTTGATTAGGTATTTCCTTCATTATAACTAAACTTTGAAGGTTTCTATTATTATTAATCATTTCTTTAAGCAGATGGACTATTGAAAATATTTGTTAATGGTGATTCTTTTATATTAAATTATCAAATACCTATTTAATCTGTTCTTCCATTTAATAATGGACTTAACTATTTAAGACTATCATTTGATTAATCTTTTCTTAATTTAGAAGATGCTGTTATGATAGGTGAATGCAAAGGAGAATTATTTAATTATTTCAACTTCTATTCATCAAGCTTTAATTATTCTAATTAATTTCTCAATAAAGTATCTTCATTTTCTTAGATTTATTTCAATCTTCTTCCAAAATAACCATGATTCAATGCTTACTAAGCTGATATTCTTGAGTTAGGATCTTTATCAAGCAATTTCTTTAATAGATCCTAAGCTTATTCAGGAATACTTTCAAAGAGTGAAGCATCAAAAGATATTTCACATTTTCTGTTCTTTCCCAAAACATCATTATAACTTTTACCTGGAAATGCTGGTTTTCCAGTTAATCTATAATTCAAAAAAAATAAGCTTACAAAATATAAAAAATTAACCCTAAGCTAAAAACATCACAAATAGGTTCATATCTTCCTCCATCCTTAGAATTTATAACTTCTGGAGCAAGGAATCCTGGAGTACCACAACGATTAAATAAATATGGATATTTGTCAGAACGTTGAGCTAATCCAAAATCAGCAATGCATACTGATGAAATATTACTTCTTATATAATTTTAAAATTACCCTTATTTTCTAAATAAAATATTTTCTGGTTTTAAATCTCTATGCATAATACTTTTTTAATGCATATGACAAAGTCCTTCCAATAAACTAAAAATAAGCACTTCAATTTCAAATGCATTAAATTATGGTCTATTTTTTACATTATCATATAAAGAGCCACCTTCCAAAAGATCAAGTACCATGTAAAGGGAATTCTCACTCTCATAAACTTCATGTAATTTTATTAAAGCATGATTATCAAGCTATCTCATGATTGTTATTTCATTTAATATAGACATCTAAAATAGTTTAAAGATATACCTTTCCTTTTTCTTTTTCATAAGCTACTTCTTTGGAAAATGCTTTAATTGCAAAACTTCTTTCATCCTCCAAACGATCTGCCAAATATACTGAAGCAAATGTTCCCTTACCTATCATACGATGAGCCTTAAAACTTTCATGAAATCCCCTTTAATTTATATGTTTAGCTAAATAATCTCTCCAATTTTATAGCATTTAAACATCATCTGAAAATAGAATTATAATATGTTTATTATTCTCTCTTTCAATCTATAATCCTAAAGGCTTACCTACTTTAAATTTTTCATTAACATGTTCTCTCAATAATTAAAATTTAGTCTCAAATGTTAATGAAATGAATTTGTTTTTATTTGCAACAATAATTTAATTGGAATACCCATTAAGTACCCTTATCTTTCCTTTTTAAGTTTTAAATTATCCTACAATTTCAGGATTTGAGAATTAACTTTAAAGAGGCTCAGTTAATTTATAATTCATTTAAATAAAATCAATGTAAAACTTACTTATTTTGTATTTCTTTCTTGAAATAATAATGTTTCAAATCTTAAAATATATGTAAAGGATTAATCAAATTTTATCCTTTCAAAAGTTTGAAAAATTCAATTTGTAAAAAAATTTCTTAAAATAAATTAATTAAATTTTATTTTTTTATACTATTTGACTTCAAGTCCTTAATCAAATTACTCTAGTAAAAAAATAAATAATTATAATAATTTTAGACTCCTCATAAATTTTGTTTAATTAAAGGACATCAACTCTATTTTAATAAAATTACTTATTTAAAATTCTTAACTTATTCCTTAAAATATTAGGTTTATTACATGATTATTATTCAAAATAAAAATAAAAAGCTGAAATGGCAATAATAAATAAATTAGTGCATAAATTTTAATTATAATATGATAAATTTCTGGATAAATTAATGAAGATAAATTCAATACTATTATTATGTATCATATTTTTAAACAATAACTCTTATGTTAGATTTTATGAGAATTATAATATATCTACTAGTTACAATATCTAACTTTTAATAAAAATATACCTAAATATATATAGTTAACAAATATATAAATAAAATTCAGTTGATAAGACTTAAAATTTTGAGATGTAGATGTTAATTAATTTTTCTAATCAATAATAATATATATGTTTAATTAAACACTACATAGATTTCATATTATTTGGATGATTTATAAAATATATTGATATTTTATTATTATTATTTTGTTTAGATTTATGTAAGAGTTGCTGATAAAGTTATTCAATATTGTAATAAAATAAGCAAATTAATTAGATTTGTGAAGAGGATCAGACAAAATAGAAGTTTTATAAATGCAATAATACATGCGAATAGTTAAAATTAATTACAGATATTATAATTAAAAAGTAATCAGAATTCTTAAGTTTGGAAAAACAATTATAGAAATATGAATCTGAAGTTAGAAAGAACATTAGAGTATTCAAATATTTTTAATTTATAGGATTAGTATTTGATGTAATAATAATAAGATGATTTATAACAAAAAGTAGAAGAATTAGAAAAATCAAGAAATGAATTTTTAAGCAATACCAAGAATACCATTATTGTAATTAATCAATTTAAATCTTAGAAATTAAAAAGAGAAAATGAAGAATTGTATTAAAAATGTAAATCCTTAACTGCTTAATTATAAAAAATTGATAATTAAGTATATTCATTAATCATCAATATATTAGTCAATTAGTAAATATTCAACTGTAGAGAATACAATTACAAATATCACTAATACACTTGATTAAACTAAAATAAGACCAAAAACGAATACAACACCTTAGAAATTGAAAACAGATGTGGATACTTCTTAAAAAAGATTAAGTCAATAACTAATTAAACCAAATTATTTTCAAAAAAAACAATCAACACAGATTTCTATACAAAATAAACGATAGTCCTATTAATATATGGAAAATTAACTAAATTTAACAACTAGTATGTGAAATATTTTATATGTATTTTTTCATTCATTTTTCTGTTTTTCATTTTTCTATTATTCGTTTTTCTATTAATCCGATTTAGATTGGGCTAATTATTATCTTGTTTACACACCTTATTAAGGCTTTTAAGGTTGTTAACCTTAGGATTTCTTAGAATTTGCTTAGCTCTATTACTTTTCAACTTCCTCTACTTAATTTTAAATCAATTCATTTTCATCTTTAATATCTAATTAAGGGTTAATAGGTGTAGTCTAAGCCAAATTGATTTTTTTACTCTTTCCTTTTGCCTTTTCTGCATTTTTTTTCAATTATTTTTGTTTTTTATCATCATTTTTCTCATTCTTTAATAAAAATTACATATTTCCTAAATTACTTATAAGAAAGTCATCTCTAATTGAAGTATATTATAGACTTTAATCTATTTAATTTTTTATTTCTTTTAGTTGTTCAACAAATGTTTATAATTCCTCTTTATTTTTTAAATTACCCTTCCCTAAAAGGTACCCAATTACAAATGAATCTATCATTAATTCTTACCCTCTCTATCCAGAAGTTTTGATAATTGACATCAAGTCATACAATTAATTCATTTATTTATTATTTGAATATATTATGATATAAATCTCAATTAAACACTTCATTTTAATTCATTATATTTTTATTATAATTCTATGAAAGATATCAAATCTAAATCAATTAAGATCAATAATTAAATTAAATTATCTTAAAAAAATAAATGATTTGTTATGATAACTAATTAATTCTATTAATAGAAATATAATTTTATAGGAATACTATAAATTTTATATACTTCAAGATTTTAACTAAAGTGGAAAATGAAAAAATATAAAATCAACTAATTTGAAATATTGATGATTTCATAAAATAAAAGCAAAATATAATTTATGAGATCTAATAAATGTAAGAAAGATTAAATATTCTTTATAAATTAATTAAAATTATATGATATTATTTAAATAAAAGAAGGAAATTATTACCATTTTATCTAGTTCTCACTAAATTATTAATATAATTGGATTAAGCTAATGATTTAAATAAAGTATAAAACAAAAATAGATATTATTATATATTTGTGGAATAAACCATAATTATAATAGATAACTTGTTTAATTTGTTAAATTCTAGGATTTAGATGATATGAATATATTTCACTCTTTTGGTCATGGATCTGGTTTTAATATCTTAAGTAATTCAAACTACTTAATTATTTATTATGTTTATTAATTATTATAAATAATATTATTAAATAAAACTACCATATTGCATTGTATTTGATATAAGGAGATATAATAATTTATGGAAATATTTTATGGTGAATAATATTATTTTCATCTTCAATTTATATCATAAATGATGAATCAATTATTATTAATCTATTTAACAATTAATAACTAATCGGATGTTTAGAAAAAAGAAAATATTAAAGATGGATGAATATAAATTTAATGAAAATATTGGTTTCATCAATAATTAGTTTTTTGTACTAAAAACTATAATTATTAATCTGTTATGTCTATTATGATTTCTTTAGTCATTTGGTTTTATTGATATTTGATTACATAGTATTAAGCTTATGAAATCAAAGAGTTTAGCAATGTTGATAGCTACAGATATAAATTTGTATGTTTTAATTATTTTAGCAAGACTTAATGATTTTTTAAGAGTTTGGCATATTAAGTATAAGTTTAAATAGATTAATGATTAAAAAATCAATTCTATAACTTAATAGATAAACTGAATAATTTGATACAATAAAAGAATATCTTAATTTTAGAGATAAACCATTATATGAAAAAATCAAAAGTGAACCACATCATGAAATATCAGTTAATAACTGAGAACTAATAATATTTCTAGATTTCTAGGTCTTCTGGAATTCATATAAGAAAAAGTGTATTTGACCTTCAAAAGTATTATTTTGTTATATTATTAATTTATATGTATCTTTTATTTATATAATTTTTTAAAAAATGATAAAAAGATACTCAATAAGCTCTTGAAAAATAGAATAAAGTGAATAGAATGAACACTTATAATAAAATGGATTTAATATATATATATGGATTGTCAACATTTGCAGTTGTCAGGATTTTAGGACGGATTTTAATTGTTTAATGAAAGGCCTTGATTAGGGTTGTCTTATCCAGGGGTTAATGATTTAATTTTATACATTTCTAATGATAAGATAATTAAAACCTTATAGCAATCTATCGAAGCATTATCCTACATTCTAACCTGTGACAGCACTTGATTCCTCAAATAATACTTTATGCTATTATGCAAGATTTTTAGCATCTTCTTTTTAAACCTTTCTATGTATAACCAAATATAACAACCTTGCACTTCCATTGTTTTCAACTAAGTCTATTTTATTACCGACTAACATTATAACCACATCTGGTTCAGCTTAATATCGCAAATCTTCCATCCACTTTACAACACTTTCAAATGTCTTCTCCTTTGTTACATCATAAACAACCAAAGCTCCTCCTGCTTTTCGAAAATGACTGAATAAATTTTATTCTAATACGTGCTTGTGATTCCTCTATACCTTTCCTGGCCAGCAGTATCCCAAATTTATGCCTTAACCTTTTTGCCATTTTATAAAGTGACTGTCTTTCCAGCAAACTCAATACCAATGGTGGGTACAGCATTTTTTGGTAGGCAACCTTTCACATATCTGTTGTTGTATAAATTAATTACCTGGTCATTAAATGTGTTTTACCTACTCCAGCATCGCCTACTAGTACAACTGATCTAATTTTCAGATTTGATTACCTTTAAAGAAGTCAGAGTAATCCTCATTATTTTGATTGTCCATTAGAAATTCAAAATATTATTAATATAAATACCTAATATTTTATAAATCAAGATAGTTAATATAAACTGGCTTACTTTATTTAAAGCAGCCCTCCATAATTAAAACAATAAAACAATAAAAGTAGAGTGAAATTGAAAATATCAATTTTTATTTCATAAGTTACCTTTTGAATAATAAATTGAATTACATATCAAAAGAATCAATTAATTTTTTTAAGATCATAATTATCCATTAATTTTTTTGATTAAAATAATGGGTAATATGAATAGTTTGAATTTTACATTATTTATTCTAGTGACGATAATGCAAAGAACTATTGTAGAGATCAATTACTAAATAATCTTTATATGAAACAATAAAAAGAGAAAATAATAATAGGCTAAATGAATAAAAATTTATTATAAGTTGGGTAAAAATTTAGATTAATTAAAGTCTGGAATTTTAGAGAGTATCTTAACAACAAAAGTCTTGTTAAATTAATGAATAGCATTAAAAGAATGATAAAATTTAGAAACTATTAAAGATGATATTTTTATTCATTTTTTAGAATCTGCTTCTAAGAATAATAAAATTCATTATAAGATAAAATATAAATTATATTTTACTAATTAAGATGGGATAGATCTGTAAATTACCTTCAACTCCTGAACTAAAGATGAATAGTGATTCTAATCATATGAAATAGATAACTCATGAAGAAGAAGTTCAATATGAAGAATAAGAAAATAAAATAAGTGAACAAAATTAGTCTTTTTTTCCTGGCAATCAATTATCAATGCAATTGTCATGTACTCCAGAATTTAGTTTACCTCCTCAATAAAATAAATTAATTTCATAGCAAGATAGCCAATACACTCCTGAATTTTTAGCAATAAGTTAACCTTTTTAATAATAAATGAATATATATTAATAATAATTTTGAACCATCTGTCTAGATCCATAAATGTATTGCAAAATTAAATTTTATGAACTCTGATGTTTTTAAAGAAATTTGCTCAAATTATTGTTGAAATCTTTTCAATTATAATATTAATATTTGATTGGAACTCTCTATATCTAAAATATAAGAACATTTAGATATATTTATAGATGATATTATGATATATATTTGATAATTAGTTTTTTAGATTATTTGTGTGATATTATACCTACCCCTGTTTTACACTTCATTCTTATGTGTAATCAGGCTCGACGTTATCATAAGTAATCAATTTAAGCTAGAGTGATAACTATAATACCAATAAATGGTATAACAGTTGTTTTGATAGCTATTTATCATAATTTAATTATTTAAATATTAATGGGTGCAACCTGTAGTAATTCTTGCTGTACTAATGATTAAGAAATTAATAGTAAAGGCGGCAATGATAAATAAGAGGTTGTATTATCAAAAAATAAATCATTAAAAGAAAGTCAATAAAGAAATAATAAAGAAACAGAGAGATTCAACGCTGATAATGATTAAGGTAAATCTGATGCCAGCATTGGTAGTATGAAGAAGGAGAACTTACTCATTTAAAGTACAATTGGTAAAATGTAGAGAGTTCAATTAGAAGGTATGGATTTAATTCATTTAGAAATTACATTTTCTGATGGNTTTTTATTCATTTTTTAGAATCTGCTTCTAAGAATAATAAAATTCATTATAAGATAAAATATAAATTATATTTTACTAATTAAGATGGGATAGATCTGTAAATTACCTTCAACTCCTGAACTAAAGATGAATAGTGATTCTAATCATATGAAATAGATAACTCATGAAGAAGAAGTTCAATATGAAGAATAAGAAAATAAAATAAGTGAACAAAATTAGTCTTTTTTTCCTGGCAATCAATTATCAATGCAATTGTCATGTACTCCAGAATTTAGTTTACCTCCTCAATAAAATAAATTAATTTCATAGCAAGATAGCCAATACACTCCTGAATTTTTAGCAATAAGTTAACCTTTTTAATAATAAATGAATATATATTAATAATAATTTTGAACCATCTGTCTAGATCCATAAATGTATTGCAAAATTAAATTTTATGAACTCTGATGTTTTTAAAGAAATTTGCTCAAATTATTGTTGAAATCTTTTCAATTATAATATTAATATTTGATTGGAACTCTCTATATCTAAAATATAAGAACATTTAGATATATTTATAGATGATATTATGATATATATTTGATAATTAGTTTTTTAGATTATTTGTGTGATATTATACCTACCCCTGTTTTACACTTCATTCTTATGTGTAATCAGGCTCGACGTTATCATAAGTAATCAATTTAAGCTAGAGTGATAACTATAATACCAATAAATGGTATAACAGTTGTTTTGATAGCTATTTATCATAATTTAATTATTTAAATATTAATGGGTGCAACCTGTAGTAATTCTTGCTGTACTAATGATTAAGAAATTAATAGTAAAGGCGGCAATGATAAATAAGAGGTTGTATTATCAAAAAATAAATCATTAAAAGAAAGTCAATAAAGAAATAATAAAGAAACAGAGAGATTCAACGCTGATAATGATTAAGGTAAATCTGATGCCAGCATTGGTAGTATGAAGAAGGAGAACTTACTCATTTAAAGTACAATTGGTAAAATGTAGAGAGTTCAATTAGAAGGTATGGATTTAATTCATTTAGAAATTACATTTTCTGATGGAACTACATATAAAGGGGAATGGATGAATGGATTAAAGGATGGATAAGGAGTTCTTAAGTGGCCTTCAGGCAGTATATATTCTGGATCTTTTTTGGAAGGGAAACTTAGTGGCAAAGGCAAACTAATATTAGAAGATGAAGATTTCTATGAGGGTGAATGGAAAGATGATAAATGTAATGGATTTGGTGTTTATATGTGTAAAAATGGAGCAAGATATGAAGGAAATGTATCAATATTTGCATATAAATAAGTGGAAAAATGATAAGTAACATGGAAAAGGTAAAGAAATATGGTAAGATGGAAATACATATGAGGGATTTTATAATGATGGTAGGAAACATGGTTAAGGAATTTTAAAATTCTCAAATGGAACTACTTATGAGGGAGACTTTTCTAATAATGAATTGGAAGGATAAGGAACAATGGTATGGGAAGATAAAAGAGTATATAAAGGATAATGGAAAAAGTCTAAAATGAATGGTTATGGCGTTTTGATGTTTCCAGATGGAAGGGTTTTTAAGGGGGTAATTTTGAGATAATTTAAATAGCATTTTTAAGATGATAAGAAGAATGGTGTTGGTGAATTTACTTGGAATGATGGTAAAAAAATGATATCAAATTGGAATAATGGTAAATTGATATACAAATTAGGCAAGTAAAATGGTATTGGTATTTGTACAAATGGTGATCGCAAAATAGGATATTGGGAAGAAGGAAAAAGAACTAAATGGCTTGATGAACAAGAAAAGAAATTACATTCTGAATCCATTTAATAATTAGAACTAGTAAAATTTTTATGATATCTACTATCATACTTCATTTCTTTATAAACTAATCAAATTTTTAGGCTGTGGATAATGGTTATTCTATTTTATTTAATGAATTTGATCTCAATGATTATTAAGTTTTTGGTTTTTCTCCTCCTAGATTTTGACGATTACTTTCAAATGCAGTACGAGGCATATTTTGATTATATATTTCATTTCTTCCTAAAAGTTGATATTCAGGTGTCAATGGATTTGTGCCTCTATGATTAAGTAACCCTTTTCTAAGAGTACCAACTTAAGCACCAGGTACATCTTTAGTATCATTAATGACTCTAAATTGAGATCTCTTTTATCTCATTAAGAAATGATCACTTATAGCTCCTACATGACATCCTTCAATGTCTTTTGTTTCTAAATTCTTTGTATTATGATTTAATTATGGATGCAAGACTCTACTCTTACTTCCACTAACAAACCCATATTTTGAATTAGCTGGTTATCCTTCAACATCAATTAATTGATATTCAGGTTCTAGTGGATTTGTCACACGAGATGATTTAAATACTCTATATTCATTGATATCTTTAACATCCATAATTTCCATATGATCTCTAGGCATGAAAGCAGGTTTTGATTTAGCTCCATCTACTTCATCAAAAATATGAACAGTTTTTCTCAATTTAGCTGCTGGAGGATTTGGTTTTGTTCCTGGAATATCCTTTTCATTATTATTCGCTGTACATCAATATTTATTTAATCTCTAATGAATTTCGGTTGCAATGGTTCTACAGGAACAGCTTTCGGTAGAATATAAACAGGATCTACAGGATTGGTTGGAGGTCTTGTTGTTTGAAATTTATTTAATTATGGATAAGCACCTTTGATATCACGATTGTTAAGAGAGAATCCCTATCAAATAATCAAAAATTATATACATCTCTTCCAATTTAGGGAATCAATACCTTAGAACGAGTGCCTGCAATATCATTAGTTGTATTTGTAAAGTCTGGTTTATTGGTAAATTTATATGGCTTCATACATGGTGATGCACCTACTTTGAAAATTCAGTTACCATCAATGTCTTTAGTTTATAGATTAAAATCTTATCCTGTTAACTTATCAGGTCTAACTGTGCCTACATCTCGTTTGTCTAATTTATAATTTTAAGTTTATACTTATAGAGGATAAATACATTAAGTCCTTTCTATTTGGGAATGGCCAATCGTATGGATCACTCATTTATATATATATTATTAATTTATCAAAAGTATAAATTCTAATGAAAATAATTAATTCCAACTGAAATAAACTATTAATAATAATTAGAATACATTTTATTAATTCAATAATATATTTTATAAGGAATTTTGAGAGGAATGGATTAAATGGATGATTTTGATATAGAGATTTTAGATTAACCAGTTAATCAATTTATTGATGATGATTAAAATGATGAAGATTTTCTTGATGAAACTACTAAAACTTTTGTTAATGATAATATGCATATTAATGAAGAAAGTAGAAAAAAAATTAACATTGATTTTAAAATAAAGTTAGAGAAATTTGTTCCAAAATTATTTTCATAAGACTAAATTAAAGTATTTACAAATAATTATATAAATTAGAATAGTGAAATTAGAGCTATTAAACAAATTCTACTTTTGATAAAAATATCTGATCAACTTATTTAAGAATAGAGAATGAAAGAAAGATTGGAATAAAATCATTAAAATTAAAATATTGGACCAAAAAGAAGAATTTAAGAAAGAAATACAGAAGAGTTACTTATTGATAAACTTAAAAAACATTTGATAGGAGGTTGTAAATTAGATATTACATTTCATGATTAACATTATACTCCTCTTTATTTATGTCATAATCCATGTGTAATTTATATGAAAACATTATATCCATATCATACACTTGATATTGTGAATTAAATGTTGAGAAATCTAAATAATCCATAATTATTTGAATAGGATAAATTTAATGAAATAAAGAATAAATTTGGTGATAATTGCTTAAAATTGATTATACAATAAATGCAATACAATCATCTTATAATTTAAATCCCAGATGGTTCTATTAAATTTGAAATTAAAGCAGGAAATGAAAATTAAGATTTAGATATTTATAAAGATCAAATTATGAATGTTTATTGTTAAATCAATCCAGAATTAAAGAAGATATGTGCATTCTTAAATTATTGGGCACATCAAAGAGGTATTTTGGGAGATCATGCACTTCCAGAATTTGCTTTATATTGTATGATAATTGATTTCTTTATGACTTAATCTTTGATACCTAATATATTCAGTGATTAATATAGTCTATGGAGTTAAGAAAAATTATTATTGAAATAGTAAATTAAAACTAGTGATGATTGTAGATTGTCTAAATTTAATAAAGATGATTATATAATATAAGTAACATAAAAAAATGGAAGAAGAGTAGAAAAGATTTTTTGGTTAACATTTCCTAGAACTAAAGAAGAGATTAAAGGTGTAATATAATTATGGACTAAAACTTAAGAAAAATAATATAAATAAGTTCCACAATTCAATCTAGGGTATTAAATTAGTGTATTTTTCCATCTTTGGAATCAAGTTGAAAAATATAAAGTTCCACTTTCATTAACAAATGATGTTTAAAAGGAAGGTTAAGAAATTGGATTAATAATTTATAATCCATTTATAAAAAATCAAATTCTAACTCCTTTATTACAAAAACGTTAAAAGAATGAAGAATTTAAGTCAATGAATATGTACTAATAAGTTAGATCAGAATTTAAAAGAGCTTATGATTTGATTTTATCAGGTAATTATGTTGAATTGTGTGATAAATAATTATTATTATGAAAATAATTTAATATTTATATCATTTAATTCATCTTCTTTATTTATTATAATGAAAGTATTTTATTAAAAATCAACTTAACCTCAACTTTGGGATGTAATGAATTATGAATAGTTCACTTAATAAACAAATCAAGTGTTCTAGTTATCTAAAGGTACTTACAGCATCAAAGCAAAAAGTAATAATTAACCAATCAGAACAACTAAAGATTTATAATTGTATGGATAATAAGCAGGCATTATTATTGAACCGTAAAATTTGATTGCTTATTTTGAGTCATCAACAAAGTTTATTTTCAGTTTTAGGTGTTCATTTACCTGAAACCAATAATCCATAATCTCATAGAATTGTAAAATAAAAAGTTCCAGCAATTAAGAAGTAACTTAAAACTGAACATGATGGAGTTGAAAGCTTTAAGAAAATCCTTCATATAGGGAATAGTAATTTAAGTAATGATTGGAGATAAATAATTACAAGAATCAAAGATCTTCAAGCAGAATCATATTACTTTAAAAATCATATGTAAGAAAATTATGGAACATTTTAAGAAGAAATTGATGCGTATCATAATATACTTATTGATTAGTTTAATTGATGAAGCCAATTAATTGCAATTGCAATAGTAATAAGTCTTTTAGTAAAACACTGAATTACTATAAAAAATTGAATAAACTAAAAAAGAAATAATTGAATAATAGGAATAATATGATACTATTAAGAATTAATTCAAATAAGAAAATATTGAATATTTCATTTAATCTAAACAACAATAAAATAGAAATCAAATTAAAATATTTAAGTATATTGATGAATTTGATTCCTTTTTAAATGAGAATAAATTTATCCTTGCCTATGGAGCTAATTTAGATATCAGAAAGAAATTACAATATTTTAAAAACAAATATTTATAATTAAGTAAATGAGAATATTATAATTCATATATATATATATTTATTAATTAATATTAATGGGAGTAACATAATCTAGTTAAAATGATCATTTAGAAAAGTATTTAGGATAAGACTTTCCTGATGGAGAAATTTTAATTGGATTTGAAAATGTATAAATTAATCATATAAGAGCCAAGTAACATTTGTTATTCAAATGTAATATTATAAGCATTGTATTATTGCAAAGACTTTAGGAATTGCATCTTATAACATCAAAACCCAATAAATTAGAATAATTTACTAGATTTAACTAAATTATTATTCCAATCAATATCAAAACATAAATAGAAAACAGGTGTAATATCAACTAAGAAAATGATGAATTATATTAAAACAAAAAATAAAATTTTTGATGGAAAATATCATTAAGATTCTCATGAATTTTATATGTGGTTTATTAATGAATGTGAAGAATTATTGAAGGATAAACAAAATAATTGGATTCGATAAATATTTTAGGGATAGTAATTAACATAAATTGAGTGTTTAAATTGTCATACAAGTAATTATAAAAATTATAATAAGTCTCTTAAAGAGAAGAAATGTATTGTGATTTATCCTTAGATTTATTTCCTAATTATAGTTTAAACACTTGTTTATAACAAATGTCAAAAGAGGAACAATTAAATGGTTAAAATCAATTCTTTTGTGATAAGTGTTAATCAAAATAGGATGCAATCAAGAGGTATATATATATTTTATATATAAAAGATTGTTATTAAATACTTTACCAAATGTATTAGTAATCCATTTGAAAAGATTTAAATATGATGAAAGATGTGGTTAGATGATTAAAGTATCTACAAAAATTCCTTTTTCTTAATAATTGCGAATTAAGGCTTAAAAGTAAACTAAAACCTATGAATTGACAACAATCATTATCCACTTAGGATAAGGCATATTATATGGACATTATATATGTATAACAAAAATACAAGGAAAATGGTTTAAATTTGATGATGATAAAATATCTGTAATTTTAAATCAAATTATCCTTAGTTATTTGTTGATTAAGATTTACATTATGTATATGGAAGAAGTTATCCAACCTAAGCTTAAACATGTGCATATATGCTGTTTTATAATGCATAATGAATGTTATTAAGAATAATAGTTTTTTTAATTTCTTACTTTTAATGTTCAAAAGCTTTTTGAAAATAAATATATTCACAATTGTTCAAGATTGTTTCAAGAAACTTCTTTAGCTATTATTCTACCCATTTTTTTTTTATTAATTAAATGAACAAAAATCATAATTTTGAGTAGGTCTGCTAGGACATCTGTATATACCATGAACCAATAGAATGTGTAGCAACTCCAATTTAAAAACAAATTAACAAATTGAATTTAAAAAAAGATAAACTAATGAAGAAGTTTGCGTCTCAAATCATTAGATGTGAATAAAGAATTAAATCTCCTTTTTAGATTGAAATGTAAATGTTTATGTTTATTTAGATTTCAATAATAATAATAGCTAAATGATAAGTGTGTAGAAAAGATGTCTTCTGAACTTGTCTTGTCTTAACCCAAAAAAAACCTATCTATTGATTTAAGCAAAAAGTATTATTAATTTACTAAAACAGATGGCATTTAGATTTATCAGACTTAACTGATAAAGGAGTAAGAGATTTAAGTGATGGATTGTCAAAACTTTAAAGTTTAGAATAGTTAAATTTAGCTTTGTGTGGGTATTCAACAAGGTTATTTATTATTAGTTGGGGTTATTGGAATCAAAATATTACAGATAAATCATTATAATATATAACTAATGCTTTAATACTTCAAAATCAATTACATGAATTCAACCTTGACCTTAACATGTGGGCCTATGAAAATAACAGTATAACTGATGAAGGAGCAAAGAATTTAATGGATGGAATAAGTTTATTATCTAATTTAGGAAAGTTGGAATTAAATTTAAAAGGATGGGGAGATGGAAATTAAGATATCACTGATAATACTATTATAGGATTATCAAGATGCCTAAAGAAATTAGGAAATCTATCAGAAGTCAAATTAATATTGTAATTCATTTATTTCTAATTAGATGGTAAAATATAGGAAAATAAGCTATTAAATAATTGAATAAAACTCTATCAAAAATGGAGAATTTGACCAAAATAGATATAAAATTTGAAAGGTATTTCATAATTTAATTTATCTTAGTTGTGCTCAGTAGTAACCAATTTAAAATAATAATATTGATTTAAAACTTCAATAAATAAAAGTAAATGCAGTTTAAAAAAGAAGACTGCTTTTCTAAGTTGAGGGAGTTATGATTACTCTTGAATCTGTAATTAATAAAAGGACACTCTGGGATATTATTTTAAAATTATGATAATAATAAATATAATATTTATATCTAATACTGATATTAAGTTGATTTTTCTCAATTCTTTCAATTTAAATAATTGATAATACTATTCAATTTTTATAAATCATAAATCACATTAACTATTCTAAAAATTGAGCTAACAAAGGAGATATGCATTTTATTTCATCCATATTCTAGTAAATTTTTTATTAGTCACTCTTATTATTGGCAGTCATTCCCATTTTATTACAAATCATAGAGAAAATATTATTTTTGTGACTTTTTAATTATGATTAAAATTATTAATTTGAGTAAATTTATAATAATGTACTTGGAAACAGACTATAAATTTACTTATTTGACATTTAAACAAGACTTTGAATCCAATTCAAAATTCCTTCTTCAATAATTACAAATATTTTCTGAATTGTATTATTATCCAATTACTAAATATTCAAAACAGTTTAACATAGTAAAGTGTGAAATATACAATACTTTGTTAATTCTGATTAGTCTAAGCCATATTAGCCTTTTTATTTAATATAAAATTATACCATCATAATATTTATCTATTATAGTTTATATAGTAGGTTTAATTGACTTTAATAAAATTTAGTTTTTTTAAAGTGTGTAATCTAAATAAAAACAAATTCTATCTATTTCATTAGTTTCTTTCATTTAAAAAATAACTGAACTATTACTAAGTTATTATTCATAACGAGGATTTGATCTTATTAATTTTATTAATTCTTAATCATGGTTGCTTTATCTTTAAGTTATTTAATTATTTGTATTAGATGTTACTTTTTAAATTTTATTTAATAAAGAATTTGCTATAATTTTATGTTATCCTTTTGCTATTTATTCTAATTGATCTAAATATGATTATGATAATGTTTGCAAGAAAAATGGTTATACTTAATTTAATAAGTTTAGACATATTTCTTAACCTTTAACATTTTATAATTATTAAGCAATATTGAGTATTCCAAAAATATCTTCTATTTCATCTTTTGTAAGAGGTTCATTAGATTAACGATTATTTAAATTATTTAATTATCTTCTCAATAATTCATTCTCCCATTCCTTCAAATTAAATTAATCAATATTCTCTTAATAAAGCTCTAATTTTGAAGGGAAATTCTCTTTTAAAATACATAGACAATCCCAAATTAATTCAATAGCTTATTACAAATCATCATCTCCTGTAATACGATAATATATTGTATTTAAGTAAATAGGATTTTTAGGTAACCAAAATATTGAATTTTGTATTTTGAATTTCAAAATGTTATCAGAGTTCATAATTTCTAAATCTTCTTTATGCACATACATTAATTATTCTATTTCAGTTAATGTTCTTATATATCTATCTCGAGGTACTTGGTCATGCACAATTAATCCTAAGAATATGCTCATTTATAAATAATTTAAAAAAATAATATTAATATTCGTTATAATCTATAATCATATAGAAAATAGTTGTAGTTAATGAAAATATTGAATTTATAGAACCATAAAAAAATTGAGTAATTCATAAGTTTTATAATTATTATATTCTAGTATTTGATATGGATCTTAACTTACGACTTATAGGTGAAGTCCTCAACTTTGTCAATCTGATTTCACTACTCATAATGGTAGGAATTCTAGCTGTTTTTGTAAAAATGTTATAGGTTTACTTAGCATTTTCTATTTCAACTTGTTGTTACCTTATTCTATCATTTAGACTTTTTGATATATCACATTAAATTTATAATTCTTTTGACAATTTATCACATTATATTTTATATTATTGAAGAGATTATTTTTATTCTTTTGATTCATTTCTTAATTCTGAATTATTTTTTAACAATTATTAATACTATTAACTTAATTACTCACATTAACTTGTAGATTTGTTTAATTAACCTAAAATATCATTCAATTTTTATGAATGTATTTTTTCTAATTATTCTAACTATTATTATTATGTTAACTAAAGATCATTGTAGTTAGTTTCAGCTATTTTTTTATCTCTAGTTTGTTATTCTTTATTTAATTAGAGTTATTCTGAAAGATAAATAATAATTTAATCCTTTTCTTATAATTAATTATTCAACGACTCTATTTATTTTTAAAGCTCCTTTAATTCACTCTTAAATTTATCTACTTCATACGATAGTTATTATTATAAAAGGTTAATTTTATAATTATGTTCTGATATATTTTTATCTTTTTAAATTTCATATTCTTATTACATCTTATTTAATTATAATTTGCATTCATATTATATTTCTTTTACTTTCTGATCTATTTATTAAGATAAACTTTATTAAAGTTTCTGATACTTAACCTAAATATCAGCATTTTATTGACTTTTTTCTAGAATTAAATTTTATTGTTATTTAATTTACTACTCCAAACTTTTCATATATTATATCTACACTTAATCATCGTATTATTGATTAAAATCTTAAGTAAGATCTTATTATTATTCTGGTTCTAACTTTATTGGATTACCAAGTATATTTTCATATTTAATTTTTTGAATTAAGATTTACTAAACATGGTTTAATTATTGATTAGTTATGAATATGTCTTTTTATTCTAATTCTTTTTTTAATTATGCAATTTAATAATTGAATTAATTAATCTCATAAACATGCTTTTACAAAAGAGTTTAATTTTAATCTTATTGTTATTGAATCTACTCTTTAAATCTTTATTGTCTTTTTTCTTCTATATTAATTTTATTTTATAATTGACTAATTATTTCTTATTATTCTAATTACTGTTTATTTTCTTTTGCTTTATTTTTTCTTTCATTAGCTAATTCTTCAATATATTATTTAATTTTTTATGTTTATTAATCTAATTATTTTTCAAAATTATCTCTTTGTTATTTGATTTATTTAATTTATTGCATTTGCTTTTGATACTTTTCTTAAAATTATTAATTTTCTAAATAATATTTTTTATATTTTTATTCTATCAAATTAGTTTGATTTTCTAATTCTTCTTTAAAAAATTTCCTATCTTTTTCATGATTATGCAAAATAGCTTAGATTTCAAACTAATGTTGTTATTTTATTTAAATGATATCATTATCCAATTATGCAACTCTTTACTTTAACTATTATTATTATTGCTTCATTAAATCTTCTGTATGAAGTACTTAGTCTTGTAACTTAGACTTAATAATTTCTAATTCATTCTATAAATCTTTCACTTATTAGTTGAATGTAACTATTTGATTTTCTTTTTGAATAATTTTTTGTTCTTACTATTCAATCATGTGATGAATATCATTTTATGTTTTCATTTTCATTTGTTCTTCTTTTTCTTTCAAATTTTCAAATTGAGATTCCAAAATCGTAGTATTATTTTTAAGAGTGCTGATGAGATTTTTCCATCTTTATATATTTTCTTAAATGATTACAAAGACATTTGACATATCTGTGATCGAAGCTTTTTGTTTATAGTCTTAATCAAGCTCATTTATTAAAATATCTAAATTATCTTCTACCAAAAATTTGATCTAATGTACTTTATCTTTTAATATAGAATTTTCCTTAACTAAACCAGTTCCATCTAAATTTTTTTTAACAAAACTATATGATCTAATTCTTTAAGTCATAAAAATATTATTAAAATTAAAAAATGCTCATTAATATCATTTACGCAACTCTGACTTTACATATCATTTTTAATGATTTCTTTGAAATAAGCTTATAATCACAAATCATTAATGGTCTACTTTTATTTACAATAGGAGTTTAAATTTATAGATATACATTGCTATGGGTATTACAAAACAAAGAATAAGTAATCTTAATTTTATAAAAGGCTGATTATGTATTCACAAATAAAATAAAACAAGTAACATAATTGGCTAGTATTCCAGAGAAATTGTTAGAGAATTACATTATGCCAATCTTAATTGATGCTATAACCTTGAAAAACATAGTATGATTTAAATTTTAAATTGTAGCCTCATACTATTGCTTTCTTTATAGCATTATCAATAGGCATATCCTATATATCTATATTTTTAACTAATAGAGCTGTTAGAATTATCTCAGTGAATGGATTATATGCATTGTATTATCATTATAGTAAGAATTAATAAATCTATGAAACTATCATACAAAGAACTTAAAAGTTAGGTAATGATAAATGGCAAATAGTTTATCAGAAATTATAAAAATAATAGATGTGATCATTTTTATTTCATTTATATATATATATATATCAATCCTATTTCATTTAAGTCATTTTCACTGCTCTTTAAAAACTAAATCCTTCTTAATAATATTTATAGGCATCAGTCAAACGATTACTTAGTAGAGATAATACATTATCATCCTAACCCAAATAAGAATCTATCAAATGTAAATAGTCTTTTTCTGAATCAATTATACTTCGATAATCATTCTCAACTATTAAGAGAGTACTTAATTCTTATCCCAACATAGAAAGTATCTTTTAATAGTATCCTTTTTCATGAGGTATACAGTATTCTCGAGTTAGTAAAAGATCAATATACTAACTAATAAATAATATACTTATTACTGAATTTATTGATCAATCTTCTTTAGTGCCCATTTAGCATATCTTGGTAAAGATGCAGTCCATATTATTATATAGTAATATTTATGCATTTATTATAAAAACTAATTTGATCCATTTCTAATCATAAGTTTGTTAGATCCTTATTCAAAATGTACTAAGGTTTCATCTAAATCAATAATTAAGATTGGTTAATTTAATTTAGCATTTATGAATGGATGTGAAGCAGTAAGTAATTATTTAGGTAATAATTTTATGATTTCTAAATTTCTAGTTTCATGTAACCATAATGCAAAATGTCTTCTAATGATTTTAAAATTTAGTTTATATTATTATGTTTATTTACATTTTCTATGTATCATCCAGATTGTGTTATTTCCTTGTTGAAATCTTTCATATAAATCATCTATATTAACATAATCTATTGTATTGTTCATTTGAATTTATTATTATACATCTTATAATTACTTTTTATTAAATTTGCCTTTTGAAAATAATTCTTATAGACATGATTAATAATTCTAAACAAATTAACAAAAAAATTAGTTAAATAATTGATCCTGTTGCAATTCATAGCCTAAAGAAATTAGAATTTTTTCATAGTAACAAATTTCAAATATTTATTTTTACAATTATTGAAATTGTAAGAATAATAATTTTTTAAAGAGTTCCTGATATAAATCATAAATATCACCATTTTTTTGAATAAAATCCCATATTTAAGTAAAAAACAAATTCCAATTTATTGGTTTAACATTTTATTACTAATACAATTTAAAATGATTCAATATTATTTAAATGTCTTATCCATCAGAGTTTATGTGTTCCTTTTTTATTTAAGGCAAAAAACTTTTGTAATTTTTTAAGATTTAATTTTAACTGTAATCATCCATCTATTCCATATAGACACTTTTTCTTCTCTTTGCTTATTCATAATAAGATTTCTCTTATTTAAAAGATGAGTTTCTTTTTCTTTGTGTATCAACAGAACTTTAAATTGCTTTTAACTAATTCATAATTAATATTTTTATATTATATATAATTATATCAATATGATTATTATATATGCTAATAGTTAAAAAATAATGTTAAATCTATTAGAATATATTCATTATTGAATAAGTTACAAATTGTCTAAAATACTCTTGCAATTTTACTAGATTTATTATCTAAAATTCTATTATTAATTAACAAGTCTCAATGTTTTGCTAAAAATATGATAAAATTTGAAGAACTTGGTTATTCATCAGAAGATTTTGTATAATTAAAATCTTATTTAGATAAAGAATTAAGCAAATTAGTTTTATGTACTATAAAATAAAAAATTTAAGTGTTTATTGAGGTGTGATAAATAATAACTAAAGAAACATATATATTATTTAATATATGTTTATTAGTCCATAGCTTGAATTAAATTTATGGACTTTTTATTTCTTTATATTATAGAATTTTATTACTTAATTAATTATTTACACAACAATCATTAATTATAATAAAGAAATATGATTAATTAAAAGGATCTACTTACATCAGACTCAGGTGAGATTGTCTTCTTAGAGAGTAAAACTTAATATGATCTTTTGTAATAAAAAGTAGAATAGTTAGAAAAATAAGTGAAAGTATAATATTATATTATAAAAAGGAATTGGACTAAAATAATTAATAATTAAAGAAAAATCTTACACAAAGTAGGAGAGATTATTAATAATTATTTGAGGATCTTGAAAAATATAGTAATGAAAACATTTAATATAGAAAAAAGTGAAGAAGAGTACTTCAAAAATAGAGAATATAATTCGGTCAAGTTATTGAAATAGTTTACAACTCTTGAAAATAAAATTATAGAATAAGAAGAAAAAATAAAGAAATTGATAGAATAAAATTAAATGCTTACAGACACTAATAAAGAATTAGAGAATTAAAATGATTATCTTTAAAGTTAAAATTTTGTCATTGATTAAGAAAAATAGAAGATTTTTGTATATTTTATTTTGATTTTAGAATTCTCATTATTCAAGAAAGTAAGAATTAAAAGAAGTTACATAAGAAAAGATTTAATATGAAGAGAAATTAAAGGAAAATAAATAAAAAATTGAAAGTTTAGAAAATGAAATTGAAACACTTCAATAGAAATAAAGTAACATTAAATATATTATATTAATATAGTTGATTATGAAAAATAAATAAGTCATTGGTAATCACTTTCAGAAAAGAAAGAATAATTAGCTTAAATGTCTTAAGAATTATTAGAATAATAACTATAATAATAATAAATTGTTAATTAACCTAATCAAGATGAATATAAAAGTAATATTATTATGAGTTTGTAAAGTAAAGAATTTTATTATAAATTAGAAATTGAACAATAAATAGGAGGAAAATTTAATCATATTGAATAAGAATTAAAAGATAATGAAAGTTAAAAAGAATATAAGAGGAATGAACAAATTTTATTTTTAAATCAAGCATTTAATTTATAATTGAGATTGAAGTTAGAAAATAGATTTATTACATTTAAACATGAATTCAGAGATAATTAAATTCGTGAGTGATATCAATATATATTGAAAATAATTATTAATAATCATTTTTTATTTCTTTAAAATGTAAAATTTGTTCTCTCTTTTCTAGAATCCCAACATGTTGAATTCTACTAATTAATAGATTCAACTATACTAAAGAACAATCAAAGTATATATTTCTTGATTAATATACAAGAATTTAGAAAATGCTTCAAATAAGACTTTAGAATTATTCATAATTTCTAAGACTTGGCTTCGATAATGGAAACACTATGTAAAGTATTATGAAAACTAATACTATAATTCCATTTAAAGATAGTAAAAAGTAAGCAAACATCTTTATTTTCAAGCCTGGACCTATTAATTCTGATTTAAAATCAGATGAAATTTTCTTATTCAACTATCCAAATAATCATTCTTTTAATTAGAAAATAATAAAATTAGATCCAGAAGATTATGTTCTAGTAAACTATTCAATTAAATTATAGATTGGAAGTGATTTGATGAATATGTGGCATTTAGAATTTGGATCTGATTTAACAATATTTAGATAGATAACTTTTGATGAAAAATCTAAACCAATTACAAATGTTAATCTAAGAAGAGTAAGACAATTTAATAACTATATTAGTAAGAAATTTATATGAAAATTTAAAATTCTACTCGAGGTATTATCTAAGTAGATGAGAAATGTTTGATAAAATAATGGATTATTTTAATAAAATCAGCTTTAAAAAGTGAGTTTTAATTAAATTGTGAAAACATTAGATTATGGAAGCATAAAAACTTTCCCGCTAATTAAGCTTTAAAACAATTAGAATAAAATAATGGAAAATTTAATGGATTGATTTTGGATGATAATTAAAGTGTAGGATATTATAAAGCTGATTTAATTTTTATAGATATTTAAGAAAATGGAAAGTGGCAATATGAATAATTAGATTATAAAGTATATATGAATTTTATATTAGAAATCTTATTAAGAAGAATTTAAATATATATTTAATAAAGCATTTAAAGGATGTGGTAAATTTTATTGTGATAAAAATTATTGTAATAGTAATCCAGTTTTTAATTAATTGCAATTTGAAAAAGCTAGTTTATAATAATTTCTTATTGAATCTTTTAAAGAAGATAGTATAGATTGGAATGAGGTTTGTTTTAATTCTGAATAAGAATTAAAACCAATTTAATAAAGAGATGAAGATTTTATATAATAAATATGCAAATTGTCAGAATATCCAAATAGTTTTGGTTGTTCATTTATTTAGGATTTTAATGGTACTTATGAATAAATACTTATGAATAATGATAATCCTGCATTAAATATGAATCTAATAAATGAAATAAATAAATCTATCTCTGTATATGTTTTGAAAGGTTGGATCAATAATTTATATAAATCTAAAGAACGTAGTCCATTTAAATTGAGATCAATATTCATTATTTTACAATTTGATTGTTTTAATAAAATTATAAGTGAAAAATAAAATAATTTATTTGAATATATATTGAATTTGGATAAATAGAGTAAGAATCAATTATCCTAATATTTGACTTTACTTCCAACTTAACAATTTATTAATATAGTTGAAGTTACAATTAAAAATTTGGCATCTTTTATTAAATAATAGTCATAATAGACAATTTAATTATTATATAAAGCAGACATCAATTATTTAATTTAATAACTTGAATTTTTATAAATATTTTACAAATCTAATGAAAAACTTAAAAGAATTCCTACTGATAAATTCATTATAAAAGAAGTAACAAAACTATATCCACATTAAGGAGAATTATTGGAATATAAATAATTTGCTTGTTATAATAAAAAATAATTTGAGAATTATTACTTTACATTTTGTTTATATCCATGGATAATTCCAATTGAATTTAAATATCAACTTTTAACTTTGGATTCTAATGTAAATCAAAGGAATTAGGGTGATTTTATTTTGCAATAAATAGGACTTGCACCTTCATTAAAATTATTGATAGATAGAAATGATATTGTAAATAGTGCATTAGAATAACTTTCAAGAAAAGAAATTAATTTAAAATCTAGATTATCAATAGTGTTTAAGGGAGAATAAGGTATAGATTAAGGAGGTTTGACAAGAGAATTTTTCTCTTTATTGACTCAAAAACTTTTTGATGTTTAATTTACTATGTTTGTTACAAGAAATAATAATACTGTATTATGGTTCAATAAACATCATATGGAAATGCCTATAAAATATGAATTAATAGGAATGTTATTAGGATTAGCTTTGTATAATTAAGGTATAAATATAATAATAATAAAATTTAAGTTTTATTGGATATAAATTTCCCATAGTTAGTATTTAAAAAGTTAATGAATGAACCAGTTTCATTTGAAGATCTTAAAGAATTAGATTTAGATACTTATAAAGCATTGAATTTATTGAATGAATATGAAAAGGATGATATTGAGGAAGCATTTGCAATTAATTTTTCAATAACAGAATATGATAATTGGGGATAAGCCTTGAATGTTGAATTAATAGTAAATCTCAATTTAATTAATAGTAAAATGGTTAATAAATAATGGTCACATAGAAGAATAAACAATAATACATTTAGTTATGTACTGAATATTATTTGAATTAATCAATCCAAAAAGAATTCCAAAGATTTCATGCAGGATTTTGGAAAGTTGTAGATGGAAATGGTATAAAATTATTGACAGGAGCTGAATTACAAACTATGATTTTAGGATAAAAACATTTAAATATGTAAGAATTGGAAGAATCTACTAAATATGATGGATTTGATAAAAATTCTGAATATATAAGAACTTTCTGGGCATATATTCATTCATTAGATGAATAATAATAAAAGAGATTTTTATTTTTTTCAACAGGATCTGATAGAGTTCCTGTTGGTGGATTAAAATCATTGAAGTTTGTTATTTAAAAGCATGGTGAAGGTATAATTTTATATTTTTATATTTATAGACACCGAATAATTACCATCAGCACATACATGTTTTAATGTGTTTTTATTACCTAAGTATGATTCACCAGAGAAAATGATAGTAAAATTATAGATTGCCTTTGAAAATAGTGAAGGATTTGGATTAATGTGATGATCATATATGTTTGTTAAAAATATGTAAAATATAAGATCCTAAATAATATTGATTTCTATTTTTGTGATTAAAATTAAGAGATGAAGCATAATCAATAATTAACAACAGATGAAGATGAATTGATTTCTGATGAACCATGGAGAGAATATATAGAGCAATTTAAAGATTTAAGATAGAAAGTAAACCCAAAAGCAGATTAGGAATTTTAACTTGTGACAAGACTTGAATAAACTATAAACCTTATTGGTAAGGGTTAGAAGCCAAATCCTGATAAGGCATAGTTTATACATAAGGCTAAATGTATATTACTTAAATTGAAGAGGGATTTGCATTTCTTTTTTGCAGATGAACATGAATTAACACTTTAATGTATCACCATTTTATTGATTTAAATATTGGAGGATTGTCCATATATTTTTAATGATTGTTAATAATAAATGTTAGAAATGCTTACATGTTTGACACTCAAAGATTACACATTAATACTATTAATTAATTCAATAAGTTTAAAGGAATACATAAAGAAATTAACAAAAGAAATATTTTTAGATTCTACATAATATAATCCAACTAGTGAAATTCTGTTTTTGTTAATTGTTATGATGATAGCACATTTAGATTTTATTAAGAATCCAGAATTAGAATTAGTTCAATTAATTGTTAAATGTTTTTAGCATTATTAAGATTAAAGAGATAAAACCTTAAAAGAAAGAGAAATTTACGATTAAAGAAAAAAATTTGAAAAAAAGATTACTAAAAAATTAGGTTAAGATAAGGAGCAATTAGAAATTCCTCCTGAAATGAAATATATGTAAGTTCCATAAGAAACTTGTAGAATATTAAAATTAGGTCTATCACTTATTCCTAGTAATATTTGTTAAATGCCTTCATCTTATAAATATTAATAATCTGAAGAAATAATGAAAGAAATATCTCTTAATGTCTTTTTTTGTACATTAAGTTTCAAAATAAAACAAACATTAGTATAAACAATAAAAGAAAATAAAAGAGATTTTGATGTAGTATAAATGTTAGTGGATATAGCTGGAATGCCAGAATGTTTTACATAATAAAGAGAAGCTTTAAGAACAGTAAATATGTTTTTAGAAGGATTTGATGATACATTATTATGGATTAAATTTGATTCTACTAATCTATTTGATAATAGTAATATGAATAATGTATTAATATATGGAGATCCAACTAAATTGACTATAGATTAAGGATTATTTTATGATGGTTGTGGTTGTTTCTTTGATAGAGATCAAGTACTTTAATTAGAAGAACCATTAAAAATTAATAAAAAATAAATAACAGTATCATTTTGGATGGTAATGTTTAATCCTGAAACAAGTAAAGCAAGAGGTGCTTAAAATAATTATTAAATTCGTACTTTATTGGGTTCTAGTGATGGATTTACATCATTAATTATTTCAGATGCTTATTCTTAATTATTAGGGATTACCAATATTAGTCAAGATGGATATGGATATAAATTCTTTGAACCTAAGAATTCTGAAAAAAACTTTTCTGGTTGGAATCATATTGTAATTATATTTGACAATGATTAAGAATCAGCATATCTTTATTTAAATGGTGCTTATGAAAGTTAAATTAGTAAAGTTGTCTCATCATTTGATATTTAATATATTGGAAATAGTGGAACTCTTGATTAACCTATTGGATATATATGTGATTTGAGAATTTATCCTAAAATATTAAATGATTAAGAAATCAAAAGTTTATCTTATTATGATAAAAAATAAGTTATGCTTAATAATAAAAATGATCTAGTTGATTAAATACTCAGTAATAGAATTATTTTAGATTTAAAAAGATTATTGGGTTATTTCACTGGTAAGAATTCAGAAGCATTAATTTAAACACTTTAAATACTATCAAAATTATGTTAAGCTACAACTATTTTTAGATTAGAATGTGTCAAATATGGAATCTTCGATTTGGCTATGTAATTATTGCCCTCTCCTAATTAATAAGTATCATATTAGGCTGGAATATTAATTAATAATATGAAATGAATAATAAATAATTAATTACTAATCATTTTAATTTATAAGAATATTCTTATTATATATATGAAAGAGCGAATTAAATACTTGAACGATAAAAAAGTCAATGTTAAAGGCAAATATGTTGCTTATTGGATATAAGCAAGTTAGAGAACCAAATACAATCATGCTCTTGAATTGGCTATTTAAAAAGCAAATCAAGAATAATTACCCTTATTTTGTTTCTTTGGGTTAACTAAATATCCTGCTGCTAATCAAAGACCTTATCATTTTATGTTAGAGGGTATTTAAATAGTCTTAAAAAAATAAAGGATTGTAATAACTAAAAACTAGTCTTGCAAATAGGAAAATATTATTTGGAGTAGCTAAATAATCTCCAGATGATTTAGCAATCTCTATTGCTTAAAATGCTAAATTATTAATAGTTGATTGTGGCTATTTACGTATCTAAAAACAATGGAGAAAAAAAGTAGCAGATACTATTGATTGTTAATTTATATAAGTAGAAACAGATGTTTTGGTACCAGTTGAATAAGCAAGTTAAAAAGAGGAATGGGCAGCAAAGACTATTAGACCCAAAATTTAATCTCTTATAAAATATTTTTCACAAGAATTGAATGAGGAAACATTACTGAAAAAAATGGATAAATTACCATTCGAAGAATATGATATATCTAATATATAAAAAGTAATAGATGATTTAGGAGTTGATAAAAGTGTTTCTATTGTTTAATAATTTAAAGGAGGTGAAATAGAAGCATAAACTAGATTGGAAGAATTTTTGAATAAAAAATTAAAAAATTATTCTAAAAACAGAAATGATCCATCACTTAATGCAACATCTAATTTATCACCTTATTTACATTTTGGAATGATATCTCCATTATATATATATTTAGAAGCAATGAAATTTCCAGCATCAGAAAGTAGAGAATCATTTTTAGAAGAATTGATAGTAAGGAGAGAATTATCTATGAACTTTTGTCATTATAATGAATTATATGATAAATATGAAGGTTTGCCTGATTGGGCTAAAAATACATTGAAAGAACATGCTAAAGATAAAAGAGATTATATATATACATTAGAATAATTCGAAAAAGCAAAGACACATGATGTATATTGGAATTCTGCATAACTTGAAGCTATGCATAAAGGTAAAATTAGTGGATATATGAGAATGTATTGGGGAAAAAAGGTAATAGAATGGACAGAATCACCATAATAAGCATTTGAATATTTGGTTTATTTGAATGATAAATATCATTTAGATGGTAGAGATGCAAATGGATATACTGGAGTAGCTTGGTGTTTTGGAAAACATGATAGACCATGGACAGGTAGAAAGATCTTCGGAAATATTCGATACATGATTGATAGTGGTTTAAAACGAAAATTTGATACAGGATAATATGTATTGAATGTAAATTAGTTAAAAAAGCAATCATTAAAATGAATTATTATTATTATTCAAGATTAATTTTTAAAGATTTAATGAAATTATTAATTTTATTGATTAATATTATATATAATTTTATTAAAAATTCAAGGCAGTAATTGCTCTTTTATTTTCTATCTTCGAATAAAATAAAAAATTCCAATTCCTAATATACCTAGTATTAAGAATCCTAATAAAGTCCATAATATTATATTTATGGTTTTATCAGTATTGGTTTATCTTTCTTAAATACACCAAAAGTAATCTACTACTTATTATGTTACTAGATCAATTTATTCAAAATAGATGTGGGTTGAATTATGAATAGTCATAATACCTACTCCATCATTATAACCTGTTTAAAATACAGTATATGGTTAACTTTCATCTATATATATTATTTATTTATATACATGGTACTAATGGGGTATAATATTCTTATCCAGCAGATCCTTCAACTATATATATAGGAGCAGCAGAGTTTTTAACAAGATGTTATTCAGGTCCATCAGTAATTAATCCAGTGTTTACTTAAGATTAATTATTAATAAAAGGAGCATCTCTTTCATAATTATGTTAATGAGCAGACATATAAATAGCCACTCTATATTTTGTAAATAATTCAGCAAATGGTTTTAAAAATATAAAATTTTAAGAACATTATTTATCTTTTGCATCACTACAATACATAGGGAAATGACTATTTACTATTATCCATGGAACATTCTCTCTATTTTAATTTGCTTAATATAAATCATTTTCCATAATCTAAACCATTTCATCTATTTCTTATTAATTACTTTCATTATAAACCATTCTAGTTGGATTGTAAAATACATAATGAACTAAACCCAAATCTACACTATAAAAATTATAATAATTCTATCTTGTATTATATTAAGATTTTTCAGGTGTTAGAAATGATATTCTATAAAAATCGAATTCATAATTTTATCCTGAATCATGATTTCCAGGTGTTGTTAATTATGGATAATAAGATGTAAATGTAGTCATATTCCTTAACCACCAATCTCCTTATTAACAATCTAGAGATTCTAAATCATAGGCCATATCTCCCTCAAATATTAATATATCATAATCACTTTAATTATATTGAATTGATTAAAACCAATCAAAAGTTTATTTAGATTTATTACCAGTCCAATTTGAATCCATATCTCCAAAGAAAATTATCTTATGTTCTTTATTATCATATTATTTTAAAGGTACCTTGAATTAATATTATTTGCTTTTAATATCAATAGCTCCATAAATTTCATAATAGTATATTTAACCTAATCTCTGAATTACATAAGAATTTAATGATACTATATTTATATATGTCACATAAGTAAATGTAGAATTTGAATTCTCATAAACCTTACTCATATTCAAAATTCTAATCTCTTTAATCTTAATCCATTAATCTATACCATTCTAATCAAATATATGTAAGAATCCTTATGGACAATAAGACTATAAAATATTAATAAATTTACTTAAGTATTATATGCAATATCTATTATGTCATCTAATTTATCATAATTTGTATAATAATATCCTAAACTTATTCTTTGACCATAAGGATCACAATTATCCCCATAATTTTATTAAATTAGATATGATTTTTATATTAATTCAGTTTACAATAAATTATCATTATGTAAATATTGTAATTAAAGAAAACTTGAGTTATTAATTTAGAATTCAATTTTATAATTACTTTTAAACTTATTTCCCTTTAAAAATGTTATTTATTAACTATTTGATTATTATGATATAAAAGTATCATATTTTAAATGCTATAATTAATACTTACAATTCTAATCACCAATCAAAACCAACCAAAAATCTAAATTGATCTACAAATGTTATATTATCTAACTTATATTACAATAATTTATTATAATTAATGCTATTGATTCAATCTAAACACTACTCACATCTAATTTCTCTGTTTCTAATCTTAAAGATGAGTTTTAAATCAATATTTATAAATCTCTAAAATGGTTTAATATAGAAAATGGTTGGTTTCCATTTTTTAAAGGTAATCTCAAAATTAAAGATTTTTAACCCAATTTGATATTATAATCTTTGTTAAATTATAATGACTAATTCTAATAGATATTGGTTGTGTAAACATATATGAGATTTTCAATAAATATTGATTCAAATCTCAATTTTAATTTATCAATCTGAGAATATATTTAACACTCTTCCTATTTTTAATATATCAATAATACATACGACTTATATTAAAGTGTAACCATTGTCTAACCCTCAATTTTAGAATAATAATCTCCCAGAATGATTTTTTCATCAAATGTATAGCAATTCTAAGATTTAATTAAGTGTATATTTGCTATCAAAAAGACAAAAAACATTAATTTAATATATGATTTTATTAATAAATATACATTATAATTTTATCTAAAATATCTTATAATATAGACTTTCTATAAAATATGATATCCTTTTCTGAATAAGTTAATTCATGTATTTTATTGAAGATTAGAATTTAATATTAATTGGAATTAATATTAAGTTTAATTTTGATGAGATTTAAAAATCTAATTATATATATTAAATCAATATAAATACATTATATCATTTAATATATATAATTATAATAAATTAACATCTAATATAATAATAATAAGGAATTACAAAAAATATAAATAAATCAGCAAAGTAAGAACTTCAATAATTAATTGTCTAATGAACAAATATTTATGATAATTATATGAGAATTCAATTGAATTAATATGAAAAATAGAAATACTAAAATTAACTAGATATTTTTATTTGTATAATTATAATTATATATAATTTAATTTTTACCTTCTAATATATTTTAAATATATATATATAAACTTAAATTTAATTAATTAAATTTCCAACACAAATATAATATAACAAAAGATGGCTGCTCAAGTTGAATCAGCAAAAAGGCTTATAAGTTTAGGATCAGCAGGATTGTTTGGTCTTTTCTTGATTAAGAACTGTTTCTTTACAGTTGAGCCAGGACATTGTGCAATTAAATTTAGCAAATTCTTTGGTCTCTAGGAAGAGAAATACAAAGAAGGATGGCATTTCAGAATTCCATATTTTGAAACCCCAATCGATTACAACATCCAAACAAGACCTAGATAAATCAAAGCTAGTACAGCTAATAGAGGTACTATTTTATTTAATCAATAATATAGACATGCAAAATGTACTTCTTACTCTTAGAGTACTTCATAGACCATATAGTGATGAATTACCAACCATTTATAGAACATTAGGAATTGATTATGATGAAAAAGTACTCCCATCTATAGTCAATGAAACAATGAGATCTGTTGTTGCTTAATATACAGCATCATAATTAATGAGTCAAAGAGATTAAGTTTCATTTAAAATTAGACAAGCTTTGGATTAAAGAGCTGCATAATTCAAAATTGCAATTGATGATGTTTCAATCACAGAACTTACTTTTGGAAAAGAATATTTAGAAGCTATTGAAGCTAAATAAGTTGCTTAATAAGAAGCTGAAAGAGCTAAATTTGTTGTAGAATAAGCAAGAGAAGCCAAGAAAAGTATTGTTATTAAGGCATTGGGAGAAGCAAAATCAATTGAATTGGTAGGAAAATCTGCCTTGACTAATCCAGGTATATTAGATATTCTATTTATAAATTAGCATTTTTGGATGTTAGAAGAATTGAGTATGCAAGAGAAATTTCAGCTATTTTAGCTGAATCTAGAAATCATATTATGTTATCATCAGATATTCTTAAAATGGATGCTACTGCCAATAAATGAGGGTTAAATAAAATATTTAATATTTATATATTCCTAGTTCTTACTTTATTAAATTTATTTTATCATCAAGAAAATAGAAATAATAATGATAATACTGTTTTATATTTAGTATAATTCATCCAAATAACCATTCTTTTCTTTTTTGTATTTATTCTTCTCCATTTAAAATTGCCTTTAATTTTTATTTTTCTAAATTGTCATTCTACTCTAAATATGATTTTAATGCTTCATCAGCTTCTCTAGTCCAAAGTAAACTTTCTTAATTATTAGAAAATACTCTAAAAAGAGTATTAAGATCTCCTGAACATTAATACATTTTTTAAACAAGATCTTTATATGAGACATTTAAAAAATTGGACAATAATTTTAAAGTATATTTTAATTCTTCAACTGTTTATTTTTATTCTATATTTAAATTAGTTTATTCAGATTAAAATGAATATTATTTTTTATTTGATTTATCATATTTTGAACTAATTTTAATTAATAGAATACTTAGCTGAAAATTAAAACTTTATTTTCTTTTAAACCTAAGGTTCAATTGGTTGTTATTCCTCTTTATTTTCTATTTTTAAATTAGATATATATTTTTAAGGTTACATATTTTCTTTGATTTCCTTAATTGGAGTTTCAATTAAATAATATATTGGAGATGCTAAAATAGCTGATATATCCTTCAATTTCCAACAATTACCATTTTCAAGATAAAAATTGAGTTAACCATCAATGCCATATTTCTATAAAAATTAATAGATCTTTTCAAAGTCTTAGTTTTTTAGATGTTATAAATACTATTGATATCTTGATTTAATTTAATTAATACCTATTTCGTATACTTATATAAGTTCGTTTTAAAATAATACTTATATCTTAAAATCCCTTTTTTTGAGAAACTTTAGGAAGACTATACAATTTCAATATTATTGATAAATCTTCAAAAAGAGTGAAACTATCATGTACTTTCTAATGATTTCTTTAAAAGTTCTCATTTTATTATCCTTAAATTGCTTTAGAAAAAGCATCAAAGTAGATTTATACAAAATCATCATTTTCTTTTAATTTCAGTTTGTAATTTTTCATATTTAATAATTTGGAGGTTTATTCTAAAAATGAATTTATTTCTGCAAATATAAATGAATAATTATTATAAATGATAATATTTTAGGTTTGAGTTAGGATCTAATTGAAATATTATTTGTATTTTTATGATTTCTTATTGATTAGATTAATTTGTTCTATTTTTAAAGTTTTTCATATAATTAATACAACTACTTTAATTTGAATATATTTCCAATAGGAATCATCATATATATTTATCAATACCATTTTCTAATTGGTTTTAATTTAATGATATATTTACATTAATAATAGATTAATATTAAAATTATTATATTAGATTAGAAATTAATGAATGATATGTTTGGTATATATGAATAATGGTTGAAATTAAGAAAAAGAGTAATTCTATTTTTATTATATTTATAATTTTTTATAACATCTAATGATTAGATCAGAAGGCATGAGTCTTTATTAATTGTTGATTCCAAGAGAATCTTCTTATGATGTTATGAGTGAATTAGGATAGATAGATAGTGTAATGATAATTGACCATCAATAGCATTTACTGTCTAAGCCCTTTATTAATTAAGTCCAAAGGTAATAATATATACTAATGTTAGATGTGATGAAATATTGAGTAAAGTAGAGTATCTACTCAATTAATTAAATCAAATAGGATAGACAATTGAACATGTTTATGATTTTAAATTGATGTTGTAGGAATTTGATGTATGAAAATATTTGTAATATAGAGAGTCTTATCATTAAAGTAAATTCAAAAACATACATTTATAAATTAAATTGAGGAATACATAACTGGAAAATATTAATAAGTTTAATAATAAATTGACAATTTATCAAGATTGAAATCTAAACTATAAAATACGATAGAAGCTAAAGAAGCAATGATTAATGCAAGGAGATGGTTAGGAATAGCTTACTTTCATAGTAAATCAAGTACTGCATTAGATTTTGATGAATAAATGATTAAATCATATCATTAACATGGAGGAATGATGCCTTCTTAGAAATTTACTCATTTTGTTGGAGTAATGGATGCTAAAGATTATTAAATATTTCAAAGAACTGTATTTCGTATAACAAAAGGTAATTTTATGGTTAATTAAACATTGTTATCTGTTTCAAGAAGCTGTTTTTTATTAATATTTCCAACATTTTCATTATAATCAGAAACATGGAGAAAAATCAAAAAGTTATGTGATGTATTGAAAGTAGATCATATTTCATTGCCATTAACAGAAGAATAATGGGATTAAAGATATAGTGATTATGATAAAGAAATAGTTGAAATAGAAAATATGGATAAATTGACTCATTAATTATTATAATCTATTTTAAAACCTTTATTGGAAGATGGAAATGCATAACCATCATTATTATTTATCCGATTTTATTTAGTAAGAGAAAGAACTCTTTATGAAAATTTGAATAAAGTAAAAATGTAATAAAGTATTTTTCTTGCAAATTTATGGGTTAGAACAAGTGAAATTTAATTATTAGAAGATATTCTATAAACAATAAAATTGAAGAATCCTCATATTCCTGCTCCTTAAATTAAAAAAAATGCTATTGTTAATTAGAAACCACCAACCTTTTTTTAAACTAATTAATTTAATAAATTATTTTAATTGATTACTGAAACTTATGGAATTCCTGATTATAAAGAAATAAATCCTTCAATATTTTCAATAGTTACTTTTCCATTTCTATTTGGAGTTATGTTTGGAGATATTGGTCATGGAGCTGCTATTTTAATATTTGGAATATTTTTATCTATGAATAAGATCTTCTCTCCTAGATCAGAATAAAAGAAACTTAGAGAATAAAGGATTCAATTAGGATTATAAATAAAAAAATAAATAAATTCAAAAGATTTTAATGATGAAGATCTAAATAATGATTTTAATTTAACTTAGATAATTTTTGATTTAAGATATATGTTGTTATTATGTGGAGCATTTTCTCTATATACTGGATTTATTTATAATGAATACTTTGGTCTTTCTTTAAATATATTTGGATCATGTTTAAATTAAACAGATTGTACATATCCTTTTGGAATTGATCCATAATATGAAGAGTTAAACTTTAGAAATTCATATAAAATGAAATTGGCAATTATTATTGGATTTTGTTAAATGTTATTAGGAATATTATGTTCAGGATTTAATTACTTATATTTTAAAAAATGGATAAATCTTTTCATAATATTTCCAGCAAGACTTATATTTTTCACTTTATTTATTGGTTATATGGTAATTCTAATTATAATAAAATGGACTACATTCTATTAAGATACATCTTAAGCACCAAGTATAATTACAACTTTAGTTGATATGTGGATGCATGATGGATAAGTTACTATTAAAACATTTGAATCTGCAGATTTACAATACTAATTACAAAAAATCATAATAATTACATGTATTTTATGTTTACCTTTTTTATTATTTGCTCCAATAATTGCAGATATTATTTCTATGTTGAGAAGAAAAAAGAAAGATCCTAAAAATCTATAAGAATTTGAAATGGTTCCTTAGAATATGAATAGTGATTCATCTAATGATGATATTATATCTGAATAATCATAACATTCATCTTATATAGATATTATTGTTGAACATCTAATAGAAACTTTAGAATTTGCACTTGGATGTATCAGTAATACTGCTAGTTATTTGAGATTATGGGCATTGTCTTTGGCTCATTCTGAATTAGCAAAAGTCCTTTTTGATTTAACTTTAAAAGATCCACTTGCTAACGCTAATTTACTTGCTTCTCTTATTGGAATGCCTGTTTTTTTATTGTCAACTATTGGTATTTTATTATGTATGGATTCAATGGAATGCTTTTTACATGCTCTAAGACTACATTGGGTTGAATTTTAAAATAAATTTTATAAAGGCAATGGTTATAATTTTGAAGTTTTTTCATATAGAAAAGAAATGTAAAAATATTAAGAGAAAATGAAAACTTGATTAATGCAACGAATTATATGATTTCCTTTGTAATTATTATACGTATTATCAACAAAACTCGAATCTTATTTCTATTGATATTCAAATATTTTCAATTATCATATTTAATGTATATATATTTATATTCTTTATTCTTATTTTAATATATAGTTTTACCTAAAAGCAGATAATTTTTTCTTTTTTAAATAGAAATGTTAATAATTTATATATAATATAAATCATAATATCTAAATAGAAAGTTTAGATATTTCATTTATTGTAAACCTTTACAAATTTATTTTATAAATGTTCTTTTATTGTTTTGACAGAGTGAGATAATTAATCCAAAAAGTATTACATGGATTGACATTATTCTAATTTTTGAAAACTTTTAATAAATTCACTTTTGCTAAGAAGACCACTTTTTTTTTATTTTCTTTTACGAATTTTTTTGTTAGATTTGCAAATACCAATCTCAGAATCTTTAGTGCCAGAATTATCATATTAAGAAAAGTTATGATCAAACTAGCTTCCATAATTTGAACAATTTTCAATCACTGAAAATAAAGGGCTATGCAATCCAAACAAAGAAAGATGCATATTTCTATCCCATTACTGTTGATTATGATAATCTTCTTCAGTATCGATTTCTTATTCATACATATTGCTTATCAAATGATTAATTTCCATTTAGAATTATAATATATGTATCAAATATTGTCAGCAATAATATTTTAATTAAAAAACGTTGGGAACGCCCCCAAAATTAATTAATTTTTAATTTCTAATTCATTTTATTCATCACTCCGTTCAGATGTCAAAAAGATAATAAAGAAAAGATTTCTACTATTATAAGTATATATTTTCTATTTTCTAATTGAAATAACAATAGCCGCCCATCTTTACTTTTAAGAATCTGATTTAAACCTAAATCATTTATATAGGTTTTGAATATTTTCAAAGTAAACACAAACATAGACATATGCCTAACTTTTTTTAAAATAAATCACATTCTCTAGAATATACCTTATAATCTACGATTCCAAATTGAGAAAGTTAGAACAAAATCTGAAGGTTTTAGTATATATTTTCCATATTAATTATTTATATTTATTATATTCTTTACAGGAATAAATTAAGGCAAGTACAGCTGTAAATTAAACTTCAATACTACCCTTTATTTGTATAACTCAATAATAAAAATGATTATAGGATATTATCAACTCTATTAAATATATAATTTAGACATATAACTAAATAAGATCATACTCGAGATCCTTTTTATTAGACTTAGATTAGAAGTTGATTTTTCACTTGTCCTAAGATTCCTTCCAAGTTATCAATTAATTACTTCATCTATTAGAATTGTTAGATTTGTTGATTTGGATTGCTTTATTTGACTTAAGAAAAGAAATCTCGTGCAGCATTTAAGATAGGATTTTTTGATTTTGATTATTTTTTAAACTTGTTTGTTTTTTTCTCTATTTTTTTGGTCATTTTAAGCATTCTTTATACAGGTTCAAGGGAATTATTGAGATCTTGATCCTCATCTATAGTGTCAGATTAAAACGGTAGCTGAAGTAATGAAAAATCCTCTTGAATGTATTTAATTCTTGGAGAAGGACGACCCAACAAAAGAGGAGAAGGGAAGATTATTTGATTTGAATACTCGTCCCATGTATTAAGATCTTAAACCTCTTCATCTAAGAATGTGTTCTCCATTTATAAATTTTATTACTAAATATCTTAAATTCAATTAAAAATATAAACACCAGATATTCTCATTAATAATCATCATAATTAACTTACAATTTTTAGTCTAATAATAATATACTATTCATTTTATGGCATTATATTTTATATTAAAATTAAATAACCATCTATTATAATATACTTATAATTCATAATATAAATTGTATTAGCAATTATAAACATATAGATTATTTAAAATACAAGAGGATCTTAATTTTATATACAATGTGATATAATATATGTTCTTAGAGCATCTAATTTTTGTAAAATTTATGTATTCTATTTCTTAAGATGATTAAATAATAAGTATTATATAAGAGTATGTATTTAACTCATTATTTGCCTAGGACAAAATATGAGAAAAATTATGATTGATGATGAAAAGAAAACTAAGGTTTATAAGAACTTTATTTAAAAGGTAATATGTAAATATTAGGAGAAATGTATAGATAATAAAAAATTGTATTCATTTGTCCATGGAGACAATAAATTGAAATATAAAATAAATTAGTATCACAATTTTAAAAAGAAAGTATGCAAAATTTATTATAAATTTGGAAATTGCTCTTATGAAGTATGATGTTAATATTTATACTCAGATATAAGGGGGAAAAGATTAAATATAGGGAATATTTATAGAAGTAGACCAAAAAGAATATATTTCTTTCACTTTTCTTTTAGATAGACAATTAAGAACACAATCAAAATATGATGAGAATTAAAATAAGTATTCAAAGGATTATTAAAAGGTAGAATAATTATTATTTTGTAAACATTTTTGTATATGAGGAAATTATGTTTTAATAAAATAAGATATAAATATATGAACAATTTAGGACTCACTTAATCTTTTTAAATTCAGGATTGCTTTTTAATATAGCCTGATAGAAGGTATCTTATAATTTGAAAGCTTTGTCTCTTAAATCTTCCATACATTTCTTAAGACACATATTTTATTTAAGATTATCCTATTAATAGGAGTCTTTGCATTTTTATTAACATCCTGAATCTTCAATTTCAATTTTGTTGAATGATTATTGCAATTAGACAGAGTTCGATTACATTCTTTCATCAATAGTAGTGAAACATTTATAATACAATTCAGGCTATTATGAATTTTATTTGAAACAATTAATTTTTTCATCTAAAGTTTATTTCTATTTAAAAAATAAATAGTACTTAATAAAGATTATAATGAGGACTATATTTGTTTCGTAAATCCGTAGTTAAATTCTTGTACATCATCCTAATTTCTGTTTATTAATCGTCCATAATTAAATAAATTATTTTTATTAAAAACAATATATCATTTATTTTTAATAGGTTCTGTATTAGATGTTTAACCATTTGGCTTTTCAGGATCTGCTTCATAGGCCCAAAATTAAAGAAGAGATTTATCAAGATAAGCCTTAATTAAAACACTTAATGTGCATCCTGGTACTAAAAATAATAGAGCTGGTTAAGCATGACCTGATAAAATCATAACAGCTAAGGTAGTCACAATACCTATAGCATAACCTACAAAACACCATAAGAAATAAGTGATTTTGATTTCTGAAATCTTTTTTACTTTTTCAATTTGTCTATCAACATCATATTTAAGACACATTCCAACAAAAATACCAGGTACAACAATATCACCTAAACCTAATATACTATATTTTGTAAATGGATTTCCTTCATCATTCAATGCAGTAAATGGGAATTATAATTTAATTGGTGCATCAATAGATTTTGCAACTGTTACCATTACATCAGTTCCATAAACCCAAAAAATATCATAAAAAAAGAGTCCCCAAAGCATTAAATATGCAATCTATATAATAATAATTATATACTTTGAAATTTGGAATAACAGTAAAATTTGCAACTCCTGAAACTGTAAAGGCAATACCAAATAGATTATTACAAATCCAATTCTTAGATCCTAAATAAAAAGCCAAAGGGAACATTGAAATAAGTAATGATATGAAATTTAACTTAGTTAATTTAATATCTATATCCTTGCTTGTCAATATTAGATTTAGATTGATTTTCTTATCTATCACTATTTTAGTAGAATATTCAATAGGGAATAATCTTTCAATTGCATCTTCAATGATTCCCATTAAACATAAAACCTTTTTATTTAATTAAATATTATTACTCCTACTGCAGAGAAGAATAAAGTTATGGCAGTCTTAAGAATTGCTTCATCTAAATATTTTAATAAAAGATAGAGTCCAAATAAATAGGCAGATAAATATATTGGAAATTGTAAAGCATCCTTTTATGTCATTTTTTCTTCTGATTATTTCTCTTCCTTTTCTAACTTATTGTTTTCTATTTTTTAATTTGAATACATACATTTATTATATTTGATTTTAGATGTTGCCATAGCTCCAATATAGAGACAAGCCAAAGATTAAACAACTAATTAAACACCTGCAGGAACCTCTGTAAGTAGTGTCAACACATGGATTAACACTAAGCTTGCCAAAGACAAGTACACATATTATGGTCTTAAGAAATGGGTTAGAGGTTTGAACTCTTAAGTAGGAGCCATTGTTTTACACGTATTAAAAATAATTTTATTATATGCTTACAAAATAATTGCAATTATTGAGAAGTGTGGCATTCTTTTCTAGAGTTAAAGGAGGTTTAGATAGTGAAATTTATGTTAGAAAATCTCATAAATTCTTACATTCAATCTACAAAAAAGAATCACCAATAGAAAATGCATAATAAATTGTAAAGGATTTTAAATTGACTTTGGGATAAAGGTATTGTTTACTTATTAAAATCATAAAGATACTAACATGGATTTGAACCTGAAGAAATGAAAGAAGCTAGTCCATTAGTTTAAAAAGCATTTGGACTTAACAATGCTACTGATGGCTAAATTGTTGCATATCGAATTTAATAAGCAATTAAAAAATATTAAAAATGGCCATTAGATACTGCTAGTGCTTTAGTAAAAGCTGCTGTATTAAATGAGAGAGTCATTTCATTAATGAATCACATGGAAAAAAATAGGTAAGATAAATATTGTGCTTTGACACTTACAAAATTATTGGCAGATAGAAGAAAGGCTATGTATTATTTGAGAACTCATGATTATTAAGGATTCCTTTGGTTAGTTGGTGATTATGGTTTGAAAGACCTCAAATATCATAATCATAAATACTTAAGACATAGACATATTGCTGCGACAAAAACAAAAAGATATACAAGAAAAGACACAAATAGAACAAGATGGGCATTATGAGTTATTAATATTAGTATTTTATGAAATCAAATATGAATAATAATCGATTTACTTTATATTTAATAATTTAATTTACTCGGGTTCTTTTGGTTTCTCAAAATAGTATCAAATCTTCGTTCGTAAAATCAACAATTTTCTTTTATAGAATTACTTCTTTTCCAGTCTAATAAAATTTCTCTTTGATAATTAAATTATTCTCATTTATATAGATTTCAGCTGTTATTATTATTTATTCAATATCTGTTAATAAAACATTAGAATCTATATCCTCTAAACATTTGAAGAATTCCTTTTATCCTTTAGATCCGAATAAAATCTACTTATTTATTGTTTTAGCAATAATCCATTTAGTTATCTTTGAATCCACCATACATAATACATTACTTTAATTTCCTGAAAAATATTGAATTGGAAAAGGTTAAGAATTACCTAAATTTGAATTATCATAAATAATATTTAGTTTTTTCCATTGAAATTAAAAACTATCTTTTAAAGTAGTCAATTGATAAGCATAATATTAATAAACATTTACAATAGGTTTGTTATAGCAATTAATTTAATTTTTATAATCTCCAGGTAAAAAAATATATTAATATGGTTATTAATTGGATGACAATACAAGCATATAAGGCCATGGGACAAATGATCCCTTAGCAAAAAGTACTTCTTTTGATAATATATATGAATAAAATCCTGATTTAGCCATCTCATCTAACTTTACTATCTCTATTATATTGCAATGTGTTGGATCACTATTTTTAATTAAATAAATGATACTTTTAAAATTCTCCTCCAATAATCATAAAATCTGTTTCTGAAATAGGTGAATTTTATACTACATAAGGACCTCTTCGATTTTTTACTAAATCTGATATTGTAGATTAATCCCTTATGATAGATTTTTGCTTTATGAATTTTTCAGCATCAACCCTATCTAAATCTTTATTCCTCTTTAATATCCTCACTTTGTGATCACCAAAACACTATATCTCTAAAATTATGTCATTGGCCATAGAATGGATATATACCATTTTTTAATATATAAACTATTGATTGTTTTGTATTATTCTCATGTTTTTGACAGATAAACTTGCTTTCTTTTGAGAATCAAACAATAATGCATCATCAATATATTCATTTAGAAGTATTCTATAGCTGATTGCTTAATATAATAATTGAATACCATTAAATTATCTATTAATCCTCTTAAATTTCACCATAATATAAAAAATATTGATTTTTTTTAAATTCGTCTTATTATAAAAGAACTACTAATTTATTAGAATAATCAACTAATAGTTGTGAATTAAAAAAGAATTATAACTTTTTTTTCTCATAATATAAATTTGTTTCTTTGTGAATTTATTTCGAATTCAAAATCATTAATGCTGATTCTTATAAAAATTCTTCAGACTGTATAAATGTATTATTTAGTAATAGATTCCTTAATTCTCTTTAATACATTTTTAAGAATATTGGATCTAATTTAACCTTTATTTAAATATTAACAAATTCTTATAACCAAATAATATACTTAAGTGATAATTAACTTTTATCTTTATCCAAATCAAAATTTATTTTTGATTTTATTTTATTACCTATAGCTCCTTATTAAATACAATTTAAAAATCTAATCATATCTTAATCATTTGTTTAATATTTCAATTCTTAAGGAGATGTTTCTTCTGAATCTAAAAGTATTAAATAAATAAATAATTTATTTTTAGCCAATTTACAAAATTTTTCTATGATTCTTTGTAAACAATCATCATCAAATCTTATATATCTTTATGAAGACTAAATAAAATTAAAAAATATCTACTTTTGATTCCAAGGGTTTTGCTATTGATAATATAAATAAATCTGAATTGACTTTCTTAATCAGTTTCTTAATATGTAATCTATATATTAACTTAAATTAATCCCAATAAAACATCTGATTTTCTCCATAATTAAAATATATATTAAAAAAATTTTTTTCATAAAGTTGACCACAACAAAATTTACTTTATTTTTATTATTTAAACTCTTTGAAATTGACATAAACATAATTTGGTTTGACTTCAAATTGATATTAGTATTTATTATCATAATTATCAAGTCCTGATAAATTTATAAATATTATCTTTTTATCTAAATATTAATAAACAAAAACTTGAGTTCTTAATGGATTAACATGCTGCTAAAAAACACTCATTATACTTTTGACCTTCTTTTTATATATCAAATAGTAGAATATTACCTAATTATTATTTCATTTGCTAGATAATTATGAACATTTTACTAATTATTGTGTTTCATTAATTTATTGCTCAATAAATCTCTAAGAATTTTCTGATTCTAAAAATGACTAAAAAGAATTATTACTTGAAGATATTAATATTGAACTATCCATTTTTCTAAAATATAATTTTTTTATAGAGTATGATGGATATTTAAAAAATGTTCTTTCATTTTGAGATGTTTCTATTTAATTTTACATATTATCCAATAATATTGACAAACTATCCAAAACTTATGATGATTGATTTTATTCATCATCACTAATCACAATTGACAATGCATAGGTAGAATTATCAAATATTTTATATATTTCTTCTTTCTTTTGTTATTGCTATTTTTATTATAATTTGGTTGCTTCAGAATTAATTTATTTTAAGTCAGAGATTTATGGAATCATGTCAATAAAGTAATTAAATTTAATATAAAGTATTGAAAAACATAGTCATAATGGTATACACATAGTAAATTGATGCAAACTATTTAAGATGGCTCATTGATATATTTTGATCAATTCCTTTCGATTGGATTAATTCATTTGAACTATTATTCATCATAAAAAATTTAAGATATCTTTAAAAGGAATCACGCTGATAAATGGGCTATTTTTTACAAACTTCGGTAGGATAATTTATATTCCAACTTTATCTTTTGTCATATAACAAGAATCTAAGGGTTACTAATATTTTTATAATCAAAAATATTTAAGATGTATATTCTTGAAAAGAGTCTTTTAGTCTTTATTTTGAAGATGGAAATGTAATTTATCCATTTTTGTTATTAATTCTTTAAAAACTAAAGATTAAAAATAAAATACCTATTACAAATAGAGGTTTGGATTTAGATTTAATAATATTGAAAAATTCTATATATTACTCTTTTCTAAGTGTTTATCTATAAGTATAATTAATCTATATTGAAGTTTATGCAATAGAATATAAAAATATTCTACTTCTAACTGTAAAATTTTACTCTATATCAAATTCAAAATGCAATTAATTAATTTTGGTTGAATTTGAATTAATAATGATGTAGAATTAAATTTATTGCAATATTTAATCTTTTTATCAGAACATTTGAATTAAGAAAGCATTATGGCAAAGTGTTTAATAAATGAGAAATTAATGTTGTAATTAATCTAAAATTAATTAATACTGAATATTGGACTTAGCTGAATCTATCTTTATATCTAAAAGTACTATTATTTATTAGTTTCTGATATCAAAACCAGATTTTTTTAGTTTGATTATTTGACAATAATTCATCATTCTTTATTCATAAAATCATCAATGATTTGATTTCTTAGGTGTTTTAGTACATGTGTGATGTTAAAATAAAAAATAGTAATAAGAAATTTTTAATACAAATTATTAATCATTTATCTAATTATTCATTCATTAAATATGATTTTAATTTATGTTAATATCATTTATATTAAAAGAATTACTTTTTTGATTAAAAAGCCTGGATATTTAATCATATATATTTATTATTTTATTGATCTAAATCTGAGATATAATTGATTTAATAATCAATATTTTGATAGATATGGAAATTTTTGAATTCTATAATATTTTATAATAAGTCAGTTCAAAATGACTAATATTTCCAAATAACTTATTAATTTTATAATAGATAACACTATAATCGAATTTTTAGTAGTAAAATCTGATTACTTTAATATAAAAATACTAAGATTTATTCTGGTTATATTTACATTATTAGATGATCTCCTGTTTCCATATAGAAAAATAATAAATTTATTATATAAATAAGTATCAAGTTAATTAATATTCTATGTAGAAATTTCTAATTAAATTTTGAAGTAAATACAATATTTTATTATATGAAATAAGAATATAGATTGATAGTATTTATATATTAAATATTATCTAATTATATAATAACTTAATATTTTATAATCTATTAAACTTTTTATCATTAAAAATATAAATAATTTTTATTTAAATCATTCATAAAATCCAATATGATAAACTTTTTATTTTGCTATTTAATTTGAATTTTATAAAGCATCAAATGATTGATTATTCTAATTAGTAACATAAGCTCTATCTTTCTTATGATTCTATGATCTACTACCACTTTATACAATTTTATTGATTTATTGAACTTCCCTATTATAACTTCTATAAGGATTAGTGAGATCTAAATCCTTTTTATTTCTTGAACTTCCTTTCTTACCTTCATCCCTATTTCTATGGTCAGTAGAAACAATATTAGAATTTTTATTTTTGGATCCATAAATATTATATTGAATATTTGAATGTGGTAACTTATTACTCTTTTTAATAATAGGGGGAGATTAATCAAAATAATTTTCATCTTTTTATCTAGCTTATACACTTGTTGCTTATCCATTTTTACCAATACGATTAACACTTTAATCATTATCAGCTAATATTTTATGATTTTATTCATTAGTTTTAATTATCCTTCCTCTATTATTATCAGTTGAATATGATCTTTAATTTATTATTTCCTCTCTCATCTACTATTTAAGTATCTCATTATTCAATAATGAATTGATTGGTGCTGTACATAAAATAAAGATATACCTTTATTAAGTCTCTACTTTGGTTCAAGTAATTTAATGTCAAAAGATTCAGAGTTAAGATCTGCAGTAGATCTACCTCCATTTACTAAATGTCTTTTTAATAATAAATGATAGAATGTAGTAACATCATTATGTTTATTTGCATCTAAACATCTCTAAGCATAATCAATATCAATTCCAAAAGATTTTAATTATTTTAGAATATCTTAATCAATTGGTATTTAATTGTATCCTACAACTATTCCAGGTGGAATTTCATATGATCTTCGATACAACTTAAACCATGGATGATTACGTATATCTTCAATAGTGAATCTTTTTTCTGGATCCACTGTTAGAATCCCAGAGATCATAGATTAAGCATCTCTTGATAAATGAGATGGCATTTAATATGTACCACTTAAAATCTTCTTATATAATGCAGATGTGTTTTGATCTTCGAAAGGTAGATACCCACATAAACAAGCGAATAATATCACTCCTGAACTCCATAGATCCACTTTTAATCCTTAATATTTCTGACCAGCTATCATCTATTCATATATATTATAATAATATACTTCAGGAGCAGCATAACATGGACTACCACATGCAGTCTTTAATAATTCTTCATTCTTATATGTATTTGATAATCCAAAATCAACAATTTTAAGATTCTTATTTTTATCAAGTAATAAATTTTCTGGTTTCAAATCTCTATGTACAACTCTAATCTTATGTAAATATTCTATTCCTGCTATAAGTTCTTAAAATAATTTACAAGCCTCTACTTCTTCCAACCTAATTCATTTATATCATCATTACTTTGTATTTTTTACTATGTAATCAAATAGTTCACCTCCACTTACCATTTCCATTACTAAAAATATATGTTTTGGAGTTTCAATTATCTATTATTTGTATATATATTATGAATACTTCATATAATTAAATAATATGCGGATGTCGAACTAATTTCAGAATGTGAATTTCTCTTTGAACTCTCTCTACATCAGCTGTCTCTACTATTCTATCTTTCTCCAATATTTTGATAGCAACTTTCTCACCTGATTATTCGTGAGTTACCATCTTCACTTTCCCAAATGTACCAAACCCAAGAGTTTTTCCTAACCAGCTGAATCAATAAATCATCACCTATCAAATAATTGCCAATCATTCTAGTTCTTTAATTTTATAGCTTTTCTGGATTTGCAGGCTCTGTCATTTTGATAATTATATAAAATAAGTTAAGAATATTATAATTTATAATAACTCAATCCCAATTATGTTTCATAAGTAAATTAATATAATAATATATCAAAATAATAATCATCTTTTAAAAGTCTCTAATTTTAATAGTTATTATAATAGATTAAAATATTTATCAACATTAAAATAATTCAAATTATCTTAAAATTATATATATAACATATCAAATCCAATATTACTCATCAATATATAGTGGAATAATATTTAAACCATTAATGTGATATAATTTATATTAAATATTCATGTGTAATAGGGATCTTTTGCAGATTTTTTACGCAGAAAGAAATCATGTGCATAATCTTTTGTATTTTTTAATTTATTTTACAAAAACTAATGATCTTATGAATTCTGAATTATAAATAATAATATATATTACTTTTGAAAGAGATTTTCTTCTTTTAAAGAAATCATATAGAAATTCTTCTTCTTCAGTATTACTACTAAGTTCTGATGAAGAGTTTGTTACTTATAAATCAAATTAAGATCTAGCTTATGATTTTACATCCTTTATAATTTTATCTATCATTCCTTTTTAACATTTACATTTCCCTTATATCATCTCTAAAGATTATTTTAAACCTAAAAGAGAATTCTCATTATCAATCTTCTATTTTATTAATAGTTCTTCCAACCATTCACTTTTTTAACTTAATTAAGAAATCTCACTCTAGAATTCTTTTTACATCTATTTAACCTTATTTTTCAAATCATATTCTTTTTATTTGTAACGATTCAATTCATTTGCCAATAATCTATTTGAGATATTGAGTTCTTTAAGTTTTTTCTCTAATTAAGAATTCTTTTTTATTCCAGGTCTGAAATGAAGTTCTGATTATTTATGATATTCTATTGCATTTTCTACAAATTTTAAAAATTCAGATTCAGTTGATTTGGTTTCTCTTTAAATTGAATCCCTCATAATATCACTATCACTTTTAGAATTACTCAACTTAAAAAATTAATCAAACAATTTTTCTCCTTCTAATTCTTCTAAATCTGTAATTGGAGTACCTTATCTATAATTATTTTATAAAGAAGATATTGCTCTTTAATGTTTTTATTTATCTTGAAGATTATGTTAAAAGATCATTTAATCAAGATTATCTTAACGTAATCCAAATGACTATTAATCATTTGGAGTTCTCATTTGTCTGAGTTCTCTATAATTAATAAACTGTTAATTATACTTGCATAATTGATTGTTTGCTTTCCTGAAAGTTAACAAATTGACATTTTAATTAAAATAATGTATAAATCCTATTAGATATTGCCATAAAATTAATTATTTATATGTAAAAGAATATCTCTGTACTTTTAATTATTATTTTAAATTACTAAATATACAATAAAAATTAAGAAGAATATGTTATCATTTACTAAAAAATGAATTAAATAACTTAGGATTTTGATTTTAATAAATTAAAAAAATATTTAATTGTAATTTATCAATTAATATTATATTTACAAAAAGAAGTTATGGATTTAGAATATAAAAATAAATATTATTAGGTTGAAATTTAAAAAAGGAATTAATATCATATTAAATTCAAAATTGATCATTAAAACGATAATAAATCTTAATAAAGGGAAATTAATAAAAAAGGTTAAAAATGATTGGAGAAGGTTCAAACTTATTAAAAATGAATTTTTTCAATGATCTAAAATGAAATGATTGTTGATGGTATAGACAAATTTATTAGTGTAATATTATATGTATATACTACTAATAGAAAAGATTAGATTGATGGATAGAATTACAGAATTAGTATTTAAATAAAGTATAGTTTTTAAAGTGAATATTAAATTTTAATGATAATCTCTTTTATAGTATTAAAGATAATTTAATTTCCATATAAAAGATGTATAATTTATTGTAAATCATAAAATATCTTTTATACATATTAGTTTTTTAATTTAATATAGATTTTATAGAGATTGGATACATTTCTAAAAATGAAAATTGAATTAGGATTGATGCATGGAATTTATTAAAATAATGAAATTTCTAATTTTATCAATCTCTCTCTTTATCGTAGATTTACTATAGAAATTTATGCTGAATCTTATAGCCCTTATTATATCATATTTATAAAAGATTTTCTTTACACTGCAATTATAACTCCAAACAATAAAAAAATGATTAAAATGAGATTGATTAAATTCTAATATGAGTATTCACTTGTCAATATGAGTGCTAAGGAGATTTGATTCAATTTTTGTTTAAAATATAATTAGAAAAGCTTTGAGAATTTTTACTTCAGAAATACCAAAAAAAAGATTTGTCTATTTTATAGAATATTAAAAATTCATTTGTTTAATATGCATTTTATGTCAATAATATTATCCATATCATTAATTGTAAAAGTGTTTTATTTTAATTTAACATCTAAAGTTCCTATGTGAAATGGTTACATCTAATGGTTGCTGATAAAACTAATGATCTAAATCTAAAGCATAATTGAATTCAATGGGCAGTAGCTTATAAACAATTTAATGAAAAGATTGGCAATGAGATTATAAATAATTTATATAGATAGGCTTGTAATAATTATGATGGATTAATAATTGAAACTTTTTAAACATAAGAAGAATGATTTAATTATAAATATACATAATTTTATAAACTAAAGTGTTCTCTAGTTTTAATTATACTATTGATTGACCAATGTCTTAAATTATTATTTGAATTTCAAATTGAGTTAATCAATACATATGAATAATTGTATTAACAATTTTGTTCATATTAGGATATTGTTATAGTTTTTATATAAATGATAATGAAGTAGGATTTCGATAATATTCATGGATTATATTATTAGATAAAAATATCAGGAATTTTGTATTTTATTCAGTTCGGCCTTAAGGGACAATGATAGTAATTGTTAAATAGCAGCTTCTAATACAAGTTCTAAATATAAACATACTTTTACCTCCATCAGAATCAGCAAGAGTTGATGATTAATGTAATCCATATAGATTATTTAATTTTAAGGCAGTCAATGTCGAGCATAATCTAAATTAGCTATTTACAGATTAATTAACTCTAAAAATTAATCTATTGTATTTTACAATCTAATTGCAATCTTAATTTATTAAGTTTGAACAGTTGAAAAGCCAACAAATTATTTTGCAAAAGCAAAGAATCCCCGCATGTTAAATTTAATTATTTAAATAAATTTAATGTTAAACACTAAACAAATAAATATTTTTTTGAGTTTCAGCTTTAAGATAATCAAATCAAATCAACTCTTATTCTAATATATTTCAATATTATATACATGCAAAAAAAATATTATAAATTTTCATTTCATTCTAATCCTCATTATAACCTTTAATCTATATAATAGATCAAAAAAATATAATAAAAATCTTATCATAAGTGACTTCAATTATTTTCTAAATTTAATTATAAGTACTCAAGATAAAGAGATTGTAATAATAAAATAAATGATATATTCAATTTCTAATTCAAAGCTTAAGATATTGAAGATTTATTTAAACATTTGTTTATATTTATATGTTTTTTTATAGTAATTACAAATTAAATTGATTTTATATTCATATTAATTTTTATTTAGTAATTTCTTAGAGTCTCCTATTTTCTTAAGTTAAGAGTTCTACTTTTTCTTAAAGGTTCTTCATTTTAATTTGATCTAAATCTATTATTTGAGTCATATATTTGATCTATTATTCTAATTCAAACTATAGTTTGTGATCCTTTTAACTGATAATTATAGTTTATACTTAGATTTAGGATTATCAATATTATTAATGAGTAATTGTTATTACAAAGTAGAATTTTAACTTTATAAATCTTAAATTGTATTTTTTAATTATTAATTCTCTAAATATAATTTCTTGCCTTTCTTTTATAAATCAGTAATTCTTTTTTCTTCTCTTATTATAATAATAATTATTACTAAAATGATTTGACTTTATTTTATAATAAATAGCATTTTGTTTTATATTTATCAAGTTCAATTTAATCATATTGTTCTTTACTTTATAGTAATACCTTATTTTCATTTTATAATAGAGAAATTTATTTTTCAAGTTCTTATATTTAAAATTTATATTATATTTCAGATAATTATGATTTCTATAAATTAATCTAAATAATTTTACATTAGATAACTATTCTTTTTCCATATATTTTTAGATTACTTCACTCAATTTATTATTTTCATTAATTTAATTGGAGCTCATCTTTTCTAATTATGCAATTCTCTATTTTAAAAATATGATTTCGTCTTTTTTAATTGTAGAATTATTATCTAATGTATTTTCTTTTAAGATTTGATTTGATTATGTATTATTTTTTCTATTTTATATAGAATAATTTTGAATTTCACATGATGAATTGAATTGTTTTGAACAATTAGATCTCAACATAGATTATGAAGAGGATCTCTATTAAAAGGTTATTTGTGGTTAAAATACAACTGGTCTTAATTTCTCATATAAAGAATCCATATAAAATTTTAACGTATTTATTTATATTAAGAATTAATTAATTGTTTCAATCAACTTTGATATATTTAGCATTCATTACCGCAGGCAAAATTTCTTTATTAACTATAAAATCAGGGTCTCTATGTAAATATAAAAGTTATGTATCCATAATAACTGGAAATACATGTTCCATTTTTTATATGCTTTTTTAATATACATCTTTTGGTCTAGAAATAGTTGCAATATCAATTTATTTTGATATACAATATCCATATATACTAGGATGTTAAATTAATACTTTTCTACCACAAGGCAACAAATCAATAGATCTATTTTATTATTTAAATATAATTTACATTAAGAGTCTTTGATATTGACTTTATACAGATCTCATTGAACGAAGAGTTATACCCAAAAGACATAAATAGAAAAGAATTCCAATAAATTTTCTATCTTAGTAATTGTATAATTTTTTAATACTATAATAAGTGAGATATCCTCCAAAGGCAGAGATCAAAATATAGTAATTTCTGAATCTGTTAAAGATTTAGCTTTAGTAAAGAGAACATTGACCCTAAATTAAATAGAATTCATAAATTATAAAAATTTAATGGAATTTTTGGATTATATAATAATTCAGCATCAGACCAAACATCTTTAGATTGTTAAGTACAATTATAGATAATTTTAGTGATGTTTTTTAATGTTTTTGAAAACATTAATAAAGATTATTGCTTCTTTAAATTAAAATTTATATATTAATTTTTGATAAAATAAAAACCATTTATATTTATAATACTTTTTATATGATGAGATTAATTAAAATTAATAATTATATATAAATAATGTCGAGTCTTAAGTCTTCAATTACAGTAGGAATATTTTAGTCTTTAAGTTTTTGTGGTTTAAGATAAAAAATTTTAAAAAATATTGCCTTTTAACCACCAAAAGTTAGTTATTCATTGAAACCGAGATTAGATGATTAGATGACAAAGAGTACTTTAACAAATCCTTCATCACTATAAATTATTGATTCAGAAAATGATATACGATAGAAATCTAAATCTTATGATGATGAAAACATTCATTAATTAGGCCTTTTAGATTTGGCAGAGGAAATCATGTAATTTACAAGTGAAAGTTTAAGTCCAATGAAGGAAAAGTAAGAATAATAATAAAAGAATAGAATATCTGAACCAGCTTATGACTTTTATTTAATTGATGAACATGGTTTAGAAATTCCAATTCCAAAATAAGATAATTTAGAATTGACTGGGTATTTCTTAAAAGGAAGAAAAGGGCATCGAATTGCATCTCTATATATAAAGTGTTTATTTCCAATGAGTGATTATGTAATGTTGTTCAGTCATGGAAATGCGAGTGATTTAGGTTACATGATTGATACATTAATTGGTAATAATTATAATTGATATTATTTAAGATCTTTGCAATAATTTAAGAATAAATATATTTGCTTATGAATATTCAGGTTATGGACTATCTTAAGGTAAATGTACAGATCTTAATATCATCAATAATATCTAAGTAGCTTATGATTTCTTGGTTTCATAAATGAAATTTGATCCAACTAAAATAATTGTTTATGGTTATAGTATTGGATCAGGACCAAGTGTTATGTTAGTATCTGATATTGAATTTCCAGTTGGTGGTTTAGTAGTTCATTCAGGACTGAGTTCAGGATTGAGAGTAGTTAATAATAAATTAAAATCAACTCCTTTTTATGATATTTTTCCAAATGTAGATAGAATAAAAGATGTAACATGTCCTGTATTTATAATGCATGGTAAAGAAGATGAAATAATTGATTTACATCATGCAAAATTATTGTCTAATAATTGTTAAAGATTGTATGAATATTGGGAAGTTGAAAATATAGGACATTAAGGAATTGATACAAATGATGAACATCGCAAGAATTATTTCTATAAATTAAGGGATTTTATAAAATGTATAATTTATTATTTATACAATTTAGTAATTCAAAAGGAAAATTAAACAATAAAAGAATTAAAATAAAGAAACACAGCTAGTCCTAAATCATTTGGATAGTATAACCATTACTATGATAATAAAATAAGAGAATTCCATTTAAATTGCAAGAAGGTTGAAGATTCAAATTCTCCTCCTAAAAAAATTCGTTGATTTTTGTTATAATCAAAATTTTTGAATATATTATATATTTTTGTTTATGAAATTTATTAAATAAATAAATAAATATAATTGTTTTATTTCAATATCTATGATGACTTGAATCTCTTGTTTTATTTGGTACTTTTGTAAATGTAATAGGTTTTGTATGTTAATTATAATAGTTTTATTATTTGATTTTATTTTGATTGATTAATTTAATTTAATTAGTATCATAAACATCTATAGATACATTCATTTTATTAGTAGAAATAGATCTCTCAATGAATGCTGATCTCTATGTTTATAAAACTTATTGAAATCTTTATTGAACATTTGTAATTTTTTGTTTTGGAGATATTGACATTATTCTATTATCTAAAATAATGATATTTGTACCATCAAATGTTGAAGATCTCTCTTTATTATTTAAATTATTAAGATCAATCAATTTGATTGGAATTGTATGATCTTTAAATATTATTTTTTATTTGATTCTTTAATCAACACTTAATAATTAATGATTTAACCAACACATTATTTAATCAACCAAAGTAAAATCTCTTGTTTCATTATGATCTTAATTAGTATAATAGATTGTCTTGATTCCTTAGTAATTATTATATAATTTTTCAGTTTATTCATATGAAACTACTGTATCAATCTTTGAAGTAATAAAAAATGCAGGTATATTAATAAATTTTATATTATTTAAACTAAGAAATATTATTAAATATATATAATTACCAATTGATCTCATTCAAAGTAAAACCACATTGATTTTTTATTTCATCTGAAACATAAGATGATAAAGAATTCAAAATGAAATTTGGAATTTTAGTTCTTTTTGAAGCCATTTATACTACAATCTCAAATAGGATAATTTGAATACATCTTACAAACAAATAAAGGGACTATCAAGTATCAAACATTTGACAAAAACATTTTGAAATTATTACATATATAGCAAAGCAACTACAGAACCCATAGATCTTCCCCATAATATAATAGTTTTAACATATTAACTAATATGTGTAATAACAGTCTGCAAATCATAAATTTCTCTATAACCATATGTAACTTGATTTCCATCTGATATACCACTACCAGTAAAATCAAAAGTAAGAAACATATAATTTTAATTCAAGATATCATTCACATATCTTAATGCTTCTAATCTACAACCATTAGCTGAATGTAAATAAATGATACAAATATCACTTTAAACATTACCTTAAAATAGTGATACTTTTATCCTTTATTAACAATGATTAACTAAATCAAAATCATTTCTTGTATATGTTTAATCTTAAATAGGTCCTATAATTATTAATAGATAATAATAAATACCTAAATCATATTATTGATATTCAGCTCTTAATGGTCGAATGATTTATGCACAAATTTAGTTAATTCCATTTTGAAAATATTTCATTAATATTATTATACTGTTAGATAATGATATCATAACAACTCCACAAATAACAAATCTAATTTTAACAATAATAAATAACTCCAACAATGCATTTGAAAGGAATCTTATAGGAATTACCAAAAGAAACTCTATTCTAAAAATACATGAAAAGTAGACTCAATAAGAAATAGAATCGTAATCTAAATAAATCACCAGAGTTATTACCTTTATAGCCTAAAAATATTATTAATCAAACTACTTATGTCATTAAGAATAAATAATGTTCACTTAAAAATAAAGTTAAGAAATATCTGACTGAAGTAGATAGTATTAGTACAACAAAGGTAGTCTAAAGAAAAAATCCATTTATCAAAAAAAAAAAGAGTGAAAATTGGAATGATCTTGATGGCTGGAATGTAATTGATGAAACCTTTTATTAATGATCAACTTCATACTAATACTATATGCTTACATTTTATATGTTATCTTTTACTCTTAAATCTATTAATTAATAAATAGTTCTTAATTATGAATGTAAATAAGAAGGACTATTTATTATTATTCATTAATATTTTCTTATTGTTTCTAATGTTATTCATTGAGTAACCAGAAATTTTGAATCTTCATAATTTATTAGTTATATACATTTTTTTGAAAAATTATTATAGACATTAATGGGCAATATTTGTCGATAAAATCCAATTATTGATAAAGAAAACAATGAAGTCAACACATCCCAACCACCAGCTGTTCAATAGGTAGTACCTCCTAAACCAGAAGAAGTGAAGTCTGACATTGCTCAGAAACAAGTTTAGTAAGAGAAATAAGCAGAATAAAACATACAGGATGATTAACCGAAGCAAGAAAATGAAGTATAATAAAGAAATAAATTTATGTTAGCCTAAAAGAAAAGAATAAAAAAAGATGGCTAAAATAGCTGCTGTTATAGATTAAGAAGTCATATACGAAAATGTATAAAAGTAAGAAAAAATCAAAAGTCCTTTCGATTATCAATTATTATTGAATGCTTTTGGCAATAGTTTTATTTTTGGTTAAATGCAACCTGAAGACAAGTATGATCAAATTTTATCTTAAGAGTTAAAGTAATTGATACTATGTTTTACTGCACTGTTCATGATGGTGAAATGGTTTTTAAGTAAGGGGACAAAGCAAGTTCTTACTTTTTGATAGAAAGAGGCTAATGCTAAATCATTATCAATAATGAAATTAAGAAAACACTCAAATCAGGTGAAGCCTTTGGAGAATTAGCTTTACTTTATAATGCTCCCAGATCAGCATCTGTTAAAGCTGTAGGAGGTAAATATTCAAAATAATGAATTATAGACTGTGCATTTTGGGCCATTGATAGAAATACTGTAAGAAAGGCTATTGAATCAATATCTTAACGAGATTATGAACAGAATAAAGAATTTATAAATAAAGTATCATTTTTTGGTAATCTATTATATTCATATATAGAATCATTAACTGATGATTAAAAAGCAGCTATTCCTTCTGCTTTGATTAATCTCAACTTTAAAGCAGGTGAAATCATAGTCAATGAAGGTGATTAAGCAGATTCATTTTTCATTATAAAGAAAGGAGAAATCTAGATATCCAGAGGAGGAAAAGAATTAAGAATTATGAAGGCAGGGGATTCTTTAGGAGAATAAGCACTTCAATCAAATTCTGTTAGAGGAGCTACTGCTAAAGCTATTAAAGAAGATGTCACAGTTTTAGCATTAGCAAGAGATGATTTGACTAGAATATTAGGAGATAAAATTTAATTCATTATGTATAGTAATCTAGAGAGATGGGCATTTGAAAGACATGCTATACTTAATAAATTAACAAAATTATAAGTTGAAAGAATTGTTAGCAATATGTAACAAATTTAAAAGAAAGCAGAAGATTGTATCATAGAAAAAGGGTAATCTTGTAGAGAAATTATAATTGTATTATAAGGTTCTTTAAAATATGGCAAAGAAGTATTTGAAAAAGGATAAATGTTTGGTGATAAATTTTTAGATTAAGGAGAGAATGTTAAATTGGGAGAACCTGTTATAATGAAGGATGATGGAATGATTGCTGTTATTACTTTTAAATAATTCTTTGAAATTATTGGAGGTTCTTTAGAATAGATATTTGCTAAAAATGAAAAAGCACATGATAGATTTATTAAAAAAGAAGATGGATAAAAATAAGATATTTATAAACATTTTGAATTAGATTAATTAATATCTGTTAAAAAATTAGGTTAAGGATAATTTGGTAATGTCTATTTAGTTTATAATAAATTGGATAAAAAAACATATGCTCTTAAATGCATTTCAAAAGCTTAAATAATTGAATAGAATCTAGAAAAACATTTAGCTTAAGAAAAGATTGCTTTAGAAACTGTTAATTTCCCATTGATAATGCATTTTGCAAGAAGTTTTAAAGACAATACATATATTTATTTCTTAGAAGAATACATTAGAGGAATGGAATTATTTGATGTTATTAGAGATATTGGATTACTTAATACTTATGACTCTCAATTTTATGTTGGATCCTTAATATTATGTATGGAATATTTACATCTCAATAATATTATTTATAGAGACATTAAACCAGAAAATATAATGATAGATGAAAAAGTATTTTAAAAACTTTATTATTATTAATTAGGGATTTATGAAATTAATCGATTTAGGTACTGCCAAAAATCTAAAAAATAAAAATGGTAGAACTTATACTATTATTGGCACTCCACATTATATGGCTCCTGAGATTTTAACTGGAAAAGGATACACATATTCTGTAGATTTATGGTCTATTGGTGTATGTCTCTATGAGTTTATGTGTGGTAATGTACCCTATGCTGAAGATGCAGATGATCCGTAAATAATTCAAATTAATTATATAGTTATGAAATTTATGAAGAAATTTAAAAGAAATAATTGTCTTTTCCTTCAGTTTTAAAAGACAGAAAAGCTAAGAAATTGATAGAACAATTATTAAGTAAAACTCCTGAATTGAGACTTGGTTCATCATATGCTAGTCTAAAAAATAATACGTTTTTTGAAAGATTTGATTATGTAAATAAATTATTAACAAAATTAGGATAGTCTAATAAATAGAGAATTGAAACCTCCTTATTTACCACCTAAGAATAAATTACATAGTGACAAAGATATATAGAAAGCTATATAAGTAGGAAAATTGATCTCTGAGGAAATAAAAGTATAAAATTAATTAAAATAGAATGATCCTGCTACTGCGTCAAATGTATATAAACCAGAAAAAGCACGTGATCCAAATTGGGATAAGGAGTATTGAATTTCGAATTATCTTTTAAATAAATATTTATAAACTTAAATTAGTTAGTTAGATAATAATATAATATCAATTGTTCCATTTAAGTAGTTTTCCATCAACCCATTCTCCTTCCTTCAAAACTTTATTAGTTCCTTTATATTAACCTTTTCCATGTTGTTTACCATCTTTCCAATATCCTTTGTATACTCTTCCATCTGGCCAATAGAATTCTCCATATCCTTCCTTCTTATCATTCACATAGCCACCAACATAACGTCTATAATATTTAATTATTATATAATTACCTTCCATCTGACCAACTAAAGACTCCATGTCCATCCATTTAATTATCCTTCCAATCTCCTTCATATTCTCTATTATCTGCCCAAATGTAATGTCCTTTACCATGAATATTATTATTAATGAATTCTCCAACGTATGAACTACCATCTGGCCAACTGAATTTACCTTATCCATGTTTCATTCCATTTGTATAAGTACCTTCAAACATAGAACCATCAGCCCACTTTTCTAATCCATTACCATGTTATTAGTCTTCATACCATTCACCTTTATAAAAAGCTCCATCTTTATGACTATATACACCAAAACCATGTGCTTTATCATTTAACCATTTTCCTTCATAAAGATCTCCATCAGAATGAATTAATCTTCCTTCACCATTTGCTTTGTCTTGTAACCAATATCCTTCATAAATTGAACCATCAGCCCAAAATTGCTTTCCTCTTCCATGTCTGAATCCATTTTTCCATTATCCATAGTAAAAGATACTGGGTTCTATTTCAACTGGTCCATAGAAAGGTAATGATTTAAATTCAAACGGTTCATTTTGATCATAATTAAATGGTTATAACTAATCAATTAATGGTTTAGTAAAAGCATTGGTAAAGTCAGGAATTGAATCTAATTTCTTTAAGTCTTATCTAAAAATATTATATTATTAATAACCTAATATGTTATTATACTATGAAACTAGCATTCTGAGATTTAATATTACTCTATGATAATTTACTTTTTTAAGTCAGTTATTAAACATTTTCTTAATCTTCCAAGTTTGGTTTATTCTTAAAAGGTCTCATTTATTCTCCTGCATGTTCATAAATTGATGGATCATCACATGTAGCACAATTTCCCATAGAAATTAAAAATAACTGCAAAAAATATTAATTAAAATAATATGAGTACAGAAATTGATATAAATAAGCTTAAAGCAGAAATTAAAAATGACAAATAAAGAAGATTAATTCTCTTTGGAATATTTGCTACTGGGTTGATTGGTCTATATGTTCTAGTGCATTTCTCTCCACATTTAACATAGTAAACTGATTTATTTATCAATAGAGAAGAGAGAAAGATTGTTTATAGAATTCCTAAATATCCTCATCATATAGCAGAATTGTTAAATGTAATAAATAGATATGCAGAAAATAATTAATTCTACGTTTTATTTGCCTTTATCTACCTTTATGTATTTATGCAAAGTTTTGCCATTCCTGGACCTGTATTTTTGAGTTTGCTTTCAGGTAATAAAATTATTTTATTCTAAAAGGATAATTGTTTGGTCCAATACCAGCATTTCTATTGGTGTGTTTATGTGCTACAACTGGTGCCAGTTTATGTTATGGATTATCTTATTCATTGGCAAGAGGATTAGTATTAAACAGATTTCCAAATTAAATTGTGAATTTCAATAAAAAGATTCATTAGAATAGAGATAATCTATTTTTTTATATGTTGTTTTTGAGATTCACTCCCTTGATTCCTAATGTCTCAATTAATGTTTCAGGACCTATTGTAGGTCTTCCCTTTAAATATTTCTTCTTTGGCACTTTATTTGGTAATTCATTATGTAAAAATTAGGATTAATGCCAGGAAATATCATTCATATTAGAACAGGATTATTAATTTAAGAGCTCAATGATTTTTCTACTAGTTATTAAGTAAACTATTAAAATAATTATTTATTAGGCTATATTAACATTAGTAGGTTTATCTTTGATTGCTCTTTTGCCTACATTCTTTAAAAAGAAGTTATAAGAATTAGATGAAAAGGGATTAAATAAATCAAAATAAGAATGAATGAAAATTTGTATAATAAAAAAATAATTTATAATAAATATGATAGAAATTCAATTAAATGAAAATAATTTCACCTTAAGAAATTTTAAATCTTCATTTATTCTTATAAAATGTTATTATTAAAAGATACCTTATAAAAATATATAATAATATAATAATTATATATATATATAAAGAGATATCAAAAAGGTTTTATGATGTTATATTTGAATTGAATCAAATAAAGTCTATGTAATATTAAACACTTTCCTTTAATTTATTAGATAATAACTTTATAATCATTATATATTTGAATTGATTGTTAATAATAACATTTTGATATGATTAGAGTGTTGGATTTATAAATAAATTTTAGATTATAAATTATATTTGAAGATCATAGTTATTAAGGATTGATAATTTCTATTAAATTTAATAATTATTATTGTAAAAGGAGACGATTTTTATATCTGAATTTATTAATTTATCAGTTTGTAGTAGAAATATTTCTAACTCATCTATCTTTAATCAATATGATCTTCTTCCATTATTTATTGACCCGTCTTCTTTTATAGTAATTTTTGTCATAATTGTAAGAGAGAGTGTTCTTACACTATTAAATTCACCTAATACATGAAAATATTATACTTGATTATCTAATAGTTTATTTAGATAAATTAGTTAAACTCAAAGTTTAAATATAATTAGAATCTGATGATTCAGTATTTTTAGAATAATTTGTTAATGAAATAGTTTTTGTATTTTCAAATTCTGGAAGATCTTCATCTTAATAAGAGTTTCTTCTTTTAGTTGATTTATCATATTTTGTTAAACTAAGTGTTTCACTTTACAATAGTGAATTCATAAATAAATAATAATGTTAAATTAAACATTAAATGATGCTTAAATAGTGGCTGGTATAGACAATTTGAAAATGAAAGTATTTGTATATGTATATTGTATTAGAATCATTGTGCATATAATTACGAACTATATCCTAATGGTGAAAAACCATTATTATTGATGTGTACGTAATATCTGGCTGTAGATGATAGATTAAAGTGGAATGTATTTTTAAGTTATGTACGCACTTTAAGTATAAAAAATTATATCAATTAGAATTAAAGGTGGATAGACAATTCTATGTGAATTTAGGAAAAATATATGAGCAGATATTCAGTCATTGTTATGAAGAAGATCTTATATATTTAGAATCTGAATTTGGTAAGCCACTTGAGGGCTATCAAGATAATCAATTATAAGAGCTATTCTTCATGTTTTCAAAATGTTCACCTTTTAATAACGATGCTAGAACAGGAAGATTTCTTAAAATTGGTGCTTCATTGTAGCCAGAAAATCTAGATGATAGATCCACCGTTGTTGCTGTACAATTATTCAGGAAGTTTTTTCTCTAATATGCTGATTATAACTTTAAAGTAAAGAACAATTTAAATTTCAGCAACTTAATCCATTTCATATAATAAAAAACAACAACAATATGCATTATGACACTACAGTTGTCAGAGAAAAGATTGTAAATCTAATGATGAACAATTAAGATTTTTTAAATTACATAGAATAACATACTTCATTATTTTAAAGTTAAATATCTTTTGATTAACAAAGGAAGATAGAGCATTAAAAGGAGAGTTTGATGAAATTTCTTTATGAAAACACTGATTTACATCACTTTATAATAATGGTATATGATTTATTGAACAAAGTAACAGAAGGAGAATTTAATTCAACTCTTATTCTAAAACATATATCTTTGTAAATTTTAGATCCATTTATACATCCACTTGCATTGTCTATTTGTGATTTTTATGAATAAATATTAGAAGAATATGAAGGGACAGAGGATGTTAAATAAGTGAAAGATAAATATCTACCAAAAATAACATTTTTAAATATGGATGGTATTGATTTTGAATTCAATTATAAATTATTGGATAATTATTCAGATTCTTGCTAATATATATCAGTATTGGATGAAATGTTAGATTGTGATGATAAGTCTTAAATGTTTGATTTAGTTACTAAAGATAAAAATTGTTTTATGTTAGCTAAGAATTCTTATATTATCCCTATTAGATAGAGTCATAAAGAAAAAAGATTAAATGATATGCATTTTAGACATATCTTAGATTTATTAGTATATCCTCTAATAAAATCATTCTAACCTTAAGTCATTATATTTAGTTATTCATTTGCATATTTTAATTAAGAATCTGATATACAATTGTCTTCAAAGTTATTTACAGAAATCACAACTCATCTTTCATTAATTAGTAATTATAAAGTGATTTTTCTACCCAGAATATTATCATCTGGTGTATAAATTTAAGATCATAGATTTGAAATTGAACTCTTAAAAACTGATCACAAAAATATATTATACTATTTAAATATTTATTTAACTCATGTTTAATAAAGCTTTAAATTTTTACATCCCTCAAATTAATAACATTGTGAATTATCACATTATGCTAATAATGCTATGAAAATTGTTAAGAGTAATAGTTTTTATGAAAAAAAAAAGTAAGGCAATATTATACATTATGTTTTAAATAAAGAAAAAGAAAGATATATGTTTGAAATATTATCAGGATTTCTTGAATCTTGTAGAAGTAATAAATTTTATTATTCTTTAGAATCATATTTATAAGAAGTTAAAGATAAGGATAAACGTATGTAAGATCCAAATTTATAATGTTAAGATTTGTTATAATATAAACTATCCTATGCTAAACTTTTAGATAAATTATATCAATATAATCAAAAACATCAATTTAGTAATTTATTCAAATCAACCTAATAATAAATACATACTTATAAGTTACTTTTTAAATAACACTAAAAAACTTAAAGAAGAGAGGATTCATAATTTGTTTCTTTTTTAGCATAAGACTTAAAAGATTATATATATGTTATAGATAATATAACTAACAGTAATTCAATCCTATTTATTATAGATGAACCTTAGTTATTATAAATAAATTTAAGGAAATTATAATCTCCAGTTTATATCCATAATAGACTTACTTAGTACTTTGTAAATTATAAATTAAAAAGTATACTATTTATCAATGTTCTATCATTTATTGATATCAGAGATATTGGAATTGTAAGATGTTATTAAAAGCTAATAGATTCAAATAGGATTCATACTAAGTATGTTTGGTGAATTATGAAAAATATCTAAACCCTGTTTAAAAAATTAATTAAATTTGGGCAGAAATTGAAGTTATCCATGAAACACCTGAACCCCCTGTTTTTTTTAGATCTTTATGTTTTGATAAATTAAAGAATATTATCTATTGCATCTATGGAAAAGAGGCTAAAAATAACACATTGTGTGATTCTATTGATATCTTCAATTTTGAAAAAGTATCAAAATACAAATAATATTATTAGAATACATTCATAACAATTTACAGAGACAAAAATACAAAAAAAGAGAGTGATACTTATTTTGCTAGAGCTTATGCTTCCTCTGTTGTTTTCTCATTCGAGGAAAAGTAAAAGCCTTATTCTGAAGTTTGGACTTTTGGGGGATCATTTCTGTAAGTATATGAAATAAACTATAGAGGACATTATAATCAAGAATATTAGAATATGGGATTTTGTAATTTAGTAGAAAGATTATTTATAAGTGAAGAATCTTATCGATCTGAAAAAATTAATAAAGAATTAATTGTTCCATTATCTATGAGACCTATGTATGGATCTTTAATGTTAAGTGTGCAGTAAAATATATTATATATTGAATAATAGAGACAATGATGAATCTGCTATTTTGATAATTGGGGGATCTTAAAATGAACTTCTTGTAAATATTGATTAATAAGAATATATTGGATATAAATTTCAAAAGATTGATAATCAATATTATGTTAGTGCAATTACTAATCTTGGATAGAAAATTAATCCAATAAGTTTCTATTCACAAAATTAAAATATATATTCTGATCAAGACAAGATCTATATATTGAATGATGCTACACAAATATTAGGTAAATCATATAGATTTAATTATGAAACAAAGGAATTGGAAGAAACTGATCCTTTTTCTCCTTATGGTATTTTAAGTTTAACTACCTTAAAAATATCAAATAATATATCTCCATAAGAAGTATTTTAGAAACAAAAAATCTCAATTATAAGTATTGATGCTAAAAATGTTATTTTAAATGGAACTTAAGTTGTGTAACCTTTTGCTCAAATGCATAAAGCAATGAAATTCTTATATAAAGAATAAGATAATGTGAATTATTAAGCTAGAATTATATTTTAAGATAAAGATGAAATAGTTGGTTTAATTAAAAATTTTGAATTTACCAAATACATACATTTATATGTAAATATAAAATAAGATGAGAATTTTCATTAAGGTTACTTAAAACCATGTTCAATGTGTGTTAGTTATTCAAATAAAAGTCTATATTTACTTACTACAAATATTGAAAATGGATCTGTCTATTTTACTATTTATAGTTATCAAATAAATTAATTGATTTAAGATATCAATTTATCATTAAATAATAATAACACAAAATTAGTATTAAATGTATATACTATTTTTGCTAAAGTTGTCATGCATCTATCTAACAATGTAGAAAAGATATTTAAACAATTAACATGTGATGATGAAAATCTCTATTTGATTGGTGGATACATGGGACTTATTTATTAATAAAATGATTTAGATTTATTACTACTATAAGGATAACAAACTTATAAATATCATAAAAATATAGAAAACATCAATAATAATAATTTTAAAATTCCATTTGATAATCCTGAATAATATTCAAAATTTGGATAAAGTAATAAATATATGTATGAATCTCCATACATTATTTGGACTAATTCAGAATAAATATTAATTATTGAAAAACAATTTAAATAAAAATATTTTAGTGAAGTAATTGATCGAGTACATCATGATTTCAAGATTTGGATAACTAAATTTGAAATATAAATTAATGAAACTTGGGAATAAGGAATTTTAGTACTTCCATCTTTTTTACTTTCTAAAGCATATGTAGAAATGACATCTTAAGAAATTACTGATAAACTTAAAGAATAAATCTAACACAGAAAATTAGATTTATTTCTATAAAATACAAATACAGAAGTATAATATATATATTATTATTTAAATAGTTTGAAACTATTGTTAAAATTGTTGATTATGTAACAATTGATTAAAGAATCATATTAACATGTGCAGTACAAGTTCTAAATTTTATTTAAATGCTGAGCTTTGAATTTTCACTAGAAAATTAAGAGGAGTATTTATTATAATACAAATACAATGGAATTCATTAATAACATCAAAATGCTAGAAGATACTCAGTTCCAATATTTATACCTAAAGTTACTCTTCTAGTAACACCTCAAAAATAAGCAATTATTGATGGATATCAAATATATGATCCTGTGAATGAACATCAAACTATAAGATAATCAAATCAAAGCTAAATCATAGTTAAAATGAAAGAATAAATCAAAGTTTATAATCTGATACCCTAAACCTGAAAATATCAATTTTAGATTTATTTAATCAAACTTTATTCATTTATATATATATTTTAATATCTAGAATTCATTATTATCATCTAAATAAAAATTTGTTAAATTCTTAAATAGACACTACTAAAGACTATAATAATAACTCATTTTCAAGGTGTATCAATATTTTAAGAAAAAAATGAGTCTAAAAAAATGATAAAAATAAGTCAAGAATAGCTTCCATATTCATAAAATTATGTCATTTTAAAGTTGTTTATACTATTATTGAAAAATTATAAATGATTGCATATACAATATAATGGAATTTTAACAAAAAATAAAATTATCAGATTGTTTCATTGTATTATCAGAAACTTAGAATTATATCAGAGAGCAGTCAGTTTTTAGTAACATAAAGTGAAATTTTGTACAATAATAATGAATTTGTTAGAGAAAAGGCTAAAAAATTATGAAAAAGTCGATCAATAACACCTTAATTGTATTATTATTCACAAAAAACAAATATGGTTATTATAACAAGCCTTATATAATAACCACATTTTGCCAAAGTTTGTTATGTCATAATAAAAATTATAGAATTAAAACTAATTTTTAGATTTTACAAACACAATCTAACATTACTCTGATTAATTTTCTATATTTATAAAAACAAGTATACTTATTAATATAATACAATATAAATTATTGCATTTAATCAATTTTAATTATAATTAATTATAGAAGTATATATAATAAATTAATATAAAAAACAGAACTATTAATCTTAAAGAATATCAATATATTTATTATGAAAAATATCTAAAATTGTTATAAAAATTATTTAAATCTTATTTTTTAGAGTATTTATATTAATTTAAGTATTTATTGGATGATTTAATCATAATTATATATAAATTTTTGATATTATATTAGACTATTTATTTCTTTTATAATCTTATTCATCTTTTTATAAATAAACTTTTAGTCTAGATATGAATTCAAAGAATTATATTAACATTGAATATAGTTTAAAATCAATATGTATAGCACTTTTTATTTTATATATTATAAATTTAAGAATTTGTTTTTATCATAATTCTTAAACAAATATTTATTATTTATATCCCCTAATATCTTTGAATTTAGTTGATAAGTTTCTATTGATGAAATAAATCATATATTAAATGATATTAATTATGAAATGAAATGCTGTAATAATAAATTTCTAGATGTTAAATTATAAGGGAAATTTATGGGTTCGAAAAAATTATGTTTTAGGGAATAGGGTAAAACTTATAAGATATCATTAAAAAGACATAATATCCTTTGTTTTTGGGCACAGTAGCTGGGACTCTTTTGCTTTACTTATATTGCGATTTTGTTTTACTATAAAAATATTGTGAAATTCCCAATTTAAGTAAAGTAATTGTAACATTTCAGATACTATCAATATACTCAATGTTTAGAGTGAATATGACAGGTAAACTACAAAGATTTAGATTTTAGAACCTGGAGTATAAATGTAAACAATTTCAGATGATAAATATTTTGATGGGAAATTATGTGAAAAATGCTAAGCTATTAAAATTGATCGTTGTTATCATTGTAAATTTTGTGATCATTGTGTAAATGATTTTGAAGCACATTGTTTTTTAATGGCAACATGCATTGGCAGAAGAAATATAAAATATTTATTAGGACTAGTCACATTTACAGGAATAGCATTATACTTATTATTACTTATTTTGATTTATAAATGTAGAAGTTATTCAAATTATAATAGTATTTATATCTGATTGTAAGAAAGAACTAACCTTCATTATTTTAAATATTGTTAGTTTAGTTTTAACATTGGTTCACTTAAATCCATTTATATATACTACTTGGAGAAATGCATCATAAGTAATAAAAATGATAAATTTAGAATTGGACAAAAAAAGAAATGAATAGAACTAAATTCAATGGATCCCCTTCATATATTTATAAAAATTATAAATAATTTTTTACTAGATTTTATGATAGTTAATTATATGAAAGTCTTATGTAATATTGAAACAATATTATTTGTAAATAAGATATTAGAATGATATTGTTAAATTATGTAATTCTATAAGAAAATTGTATAATTTTAATATTTATAAATATGATATATATATTTTAATTTGATTATCAAAATTGTGCATTTATATATATTAAGAAATAATTAATATTATAATGAAAATTAATAAAAATATTCCAAATTATCTTAAATTACCTCATCTAGGACATTAATGGAAATTTTTGAAAAACATAGAACTTAATACATTTACAAATAGCAGCATGTAATAATCATGTAAAAACAATAATAGTAGTTTGATGATCAATAGTAATAATATATGTCCAAATCGTACTTAATATGAAGAAACTCCTTAAAATAATAAAAGAAGATTAATAAAAAGTTAATCAATAGATACATATTAATAATTAGATTAAATTGATTCAGTAAAAGAATCCAATAGTGGGCAAGTAAAAAAAATAGCAGAAAATCTTATTAAATAATATAATAATAAGAAATTGACTGAAAAATAATAAAACAACTTAAGTATCAAAAATTAATTATCTCTCAATAATTAAACAATTTCAAAACCTCATTTATAAAAATGTTAATCATTATATTAATTATAAAATGAAACAAAATAAAATTCAAAATAACAGGAAACTAATCAACTTAATTCTTTTAATTAATTTCTTCAATTAATTTAAAATCAAACATAAAGCAAAGTTAAAAAAAGATAATGTTAAGTAAATTTTTTTAAGAAAAGTTAATCTATGGATAACATTGATGTAGTTGAACAACAAAAAAAGATTACAAAATTACTTTTTTAATCTACAATTAGAATTAAGCCTAAATTCTCTTCAACAATTAATATTTAAGATCTCCTTTAGTAAAATTGAAATAAATTAAATAAATTAAATTATAATCTAATATGTAAATCTCGAAAATAGAAAATATTTATCATATAGTCTACTACTTAAATTAATCCCTTTGTTCTTATAATGGATCTATTATTTATATAAGTAACATCAATACATTAATTTAAATTGAAGAAATAATAATATATAATCAATTAGAATATAATATAAATTGATGCCAACATATTTTAAGAATAAATAAGGATGAAAACTAAAGGAAAATATATTTTGTTAATAGAAATATTATGCATTTTTTTATTGCAAAACATTATTTTTAATTCATTTAAGTTAATGATTGATTATCTATTTCTGATTATAGAACTTTATGGTCTTAGAATGGTTTTATATTGGGTATTTTTGTTATTAGGAGAAATATATAAATGCTTACAACCATTTCCAGATATTAAAAAAAAATATGGATAAGATTGTTGGGCAGTTATTACAGGGGCAACAGATGGAATAGGAAAAGCTTATTGTTAAGAATTAGTTAAATAAAATGTCAATGTTTGTATGATTATTAGAAATAAAGAAAAAGGAGAAAAGTTAATCTAAGAATTAAGTGCAAAATCATCATCAAAGTTTAGAATTGTAATAGCAGACTTTATAAGATGTTCAGATGTAGATTTTTTTGATAAAATTTACGAATAAATTAAGGATCTTGATATAGGTATACTTATAAACAACGTTGGAGTTTCTATGGTATATTCTTATTCCTAAAATAAAGAAAAACCCTTTTGAGAGACAATCAGAGGTTGATATTCGATAAATGCTTACAATTAATATATTCCCTGTTGTTTTCTTAACAAAAAAGATACTACCAATTATGAAATCAAGAAAAAGTAGATCTGCTATCATCAATTTATCTTCGATTGCAGGTAGATTACCATTACCGTATCATCAAACCTATTCTGCAACAAAAGCTTTTGATGATCATTTTTCATAATCTTTAGCAATTGAAGTTGAGGGAATAGACATTTTGTCACACAGACCTTTTTTTGTTACAACTCCTTTGACCAATTATGAAAAAGAGGCTGGAGCCATAACTCCTGAACAATGTGCTAGAGGAGGATTATAAAGATTAGGTTTGGAAGTGACTAGCCATGGATATTGGTATCATAGAGTCATGGGATTTCTTTTAACTTATATTATACCATAATTTGTTAGAACAAGATAATTGAAGTAAATATTGATTAAAAGAGCAAAAAAGAATTAATGATGCAATTTATGAATTTGTGTTAAATTGTCACCAACAAAGATATTTTTAAAAAATGTTTTTTCATAAATTTATATAATTTATAATATGTTCTTTTATATTATAGGATTGATCACAATAGCTTTTGTTGTATTTAGAATTTTAGAAGAAATCTATAAATGTCTGCAACCATTTCCAAATATTTAAGCTAAATATGGTAAGAACTGTTGGGCAGTTGTGACAGGGGCAACAGATGGAATTGGCAAAGGTTATTGCCAAGTTTTAACTTAATAGAATGTGAATATTTGTATGATTATCAGAAATGAAGAGAAAGCCAAAAAGTTAATATAAGAATTAAGTAATGGATCAACATCAAAATTTAAGATTGTAGTAGTTGATTTCAATAATTCATTAGAAGAGGGATTTTTTGATAAAATATATAAATAAATTGAAACTTTAGATATTGGATTACTAATAAATAATGTTGGAGTTTCACATGTTTAAACTTAGTTTTATTATTATAGTAAGCTCCATTAGAGAAATATACTGACAATCAACTAAGAGAAATAATTACAGTTAATTGTTTTCCTATTGTATTTTTAACAAAGAAAATAATTACTAATATGCTCTAAAGAAAGAGATCTGCAATAATTAATTTATCATCATTTACTGGAAGAGTTCCTATGCCTTATAATCAAACATATGCAGCATCAAAAGCATTTGATGATTTCTTTTCAAGATCAATAGCACTTGAATATTCTAATATTGATATTTTGGCTCATAGACCTATGTATGTTACAACACCAATGACTAATTTCAAAAAAGGATAAGGTGCCATATCTCCATTTTAGGCTGCTAAAGGAGCTTTGTAAAATACATAATTAAATATTAATAGATAACGTTTAGGATTAGAATATTCAACACATGGACATATTTTTCATAGAATTTAAGGATTTTTTGGTGCTGTTGTAGTACCAGAATTCATAAGAAACAAAATTCTTAAAAAGGAAATGAGAAAATTAGTAAGAAAACATTTGTGAAATGAATTCAATAAATTATAGATTAAGATAAATGTTTGTATAATTAATTAATTATAATAATTAATTTATTATTATGACTAGAGTCTATTAGCTTTAGTAATTTAAAAAGTTAATATATAAAATATAATTAATACTATTATTGTTAAGTGAATTCTAACTATAATTAATGATAATCAAATATTTTACATAAATAAAGCTAGGAAGGGGAAGGAAGAATTCAAAAAAAATAAAAGAATCTTGAGAAGAGAGTTTAATAGAAAAAATCAAATAGATTATACGAAAATTATGAAAATGAGGTTAAATTTTCTAAAATTGATTATTTTTAATGAAAAAGAAAATAATTTTTTGCAAATAATGTAATAAAATTTTAATATCCGATCAATTGTTTGCTGTTAAGACATAGCTTTATTAGTTTTTTTAAAGGAATTTGTATTGATATTCCTCAATGCATTTTTGGTTCTCAGTGTATTCAATTGTTTTTCCTATATATATATACATATTGTATACCATTATAGTCCATTTCATCAAAAAGAATCACTTTGGCTCCAGCTGGGACTTAAATTGATTTGATTTTGCTTGGATATTTAGCTAATTAGAAATTAGGTAAATCTTCACACATATTAAATGATTTTCCTAATTAATTTATAAAATAGACTAATTACCTGTATAATTACATTCTGTATAAAGTGTAGCACAAGCATCTGGTTTTTCATAAAAGAGTTTAAAACCCTTTAGTGCAAAAGAAGCATTTTCATTATTTTTTCCAATAGTTGTTGAGATAACTAAATCTAATGTAGATGCTTCATGTCCCATAACAAAATCAACAATAGCATAATTTTCAAATCCATCTCCACCACAAATATCAGCAAGTCCAGGATCTCCAAATCCAAATGTTCTTTACCAAACACTTAATCCATCTACTTTAACAATATAATCTTCTCCATTCCAATTATCAATCTTCCATGCTTCAAATGCTATTCTAATTCTTTTATGAGCTGGTAAATTAAATTTTCTTGAAATTTTAGCATCCTTTCCTGTCTTTTCATAACCACCAAAGAATTTGAATTCTCCACATGTTGATGTAAAATCTGGTCCATTTTTACCATCACTTACTTTCCAATCTGGATTAGGTGTCCAACTAGAACCTTAAAATTCTGATGTAAATTCAACCCAATCTCCTTTTAATATACAACCTGAACCATTTCCATCTTCTGGATCCAATAATATATAAGGAGAAACACAAGCTGTACAATCTTCAGCACTTGGTCCAGTACATGTTGCACAATTACTTGAACATTATGCAACATAGAGTTGGAATTATCTTATACCCCAAGATGCTTATTTTGATGATTTTTTGGTTGTGGCAGTCCATTTTACAAGTGCAGCACCATAATTATGAGGAGATTCAAAGTTAACATTAATAATCTTTTCTGTTCCATCAACACCTCCTGGAGTAATCTTATCACAAATGAAGAATTCTTTATCTTCTACTTAAGCTACATTTTATTTCCATTTTTCTTAATTATCAATATATAAAACTGCATTATCATTATCCCAATTATCAATCTTCCAAAATTATGCTATCACTTTAATTCTATAATGTGGTACAAGTTTATCAAAGATTTTTTAAATTGAAACATTATTACCAAAATTACCAGGACCACCAACAATTGGAATTCCTGCACAAGTACTTGTTTTAATAACATTTGAAGATCCTTTTACATTCCATCCATCAGCTTCTACATTCTTTATCCAACTTGATGATACAGGTACCCACATTTAACAAACAATAGCATCTGGTCCAAGACATGTACCACATTCTGTTGGACATGCCAAATAAGATAATTTCAAGTTTCTAAAACCCCAAGACATCTAAAGATTATTAAAAAGATTATACTTTATCTGCTGCCTTATCAGCTGAAGATGCAAATGCAATAAATAATGCTGCATGATTATGAGTTATTGTTTAATCAACTTAGAATGAATTTACATTACCACCTGCTGGAGTTGCACATCTCTTTGTTCCATCACTTCCAGTCCACATAGTTTCCCAAAGGTAATTATCTAAATAAAAGAACTATCTTTAAGTATCCCATGCATCAAATCTAAAATTATTAAATTATTCAATACTTCCAGACTTCAACTGATATTTTAATCTAAAAATGTGGAGGCAATTAAAATTGTCTGGTAACTATAGCTCCTTTACCAAATACCTTAGGTCCTCCAAAAACAGTGGCATCTGAACAAGTAAAGAAATTATCAGCTTAAGCTTTTGACAATGATCCTTGTATTGTCCATCCATCCAATTAACCTACGTCTGCATTAGAAAAAGCAGAGTAAAATTCAACGAATTCTTGCGATGTTGCAAGCATCACAAAAATTGCAATCACGATGAATCTCATTTATATAAAATTAATATTCAAAAACGCATAATTTTTTAATTTATTCACACACCATAAATATTGATCATTTTCATCCTAAATCCTTTAGGCAAGTCATCAGTACTAAACATACTATCAAATTTCTGCTAGCCAAAAGACTATTACAATTCTTATAAAATATTAACAAAAAGAGGTTTAATAGATGGGAACTCTGTAGATACGACAATACAATAAACAAAATATTTGATATCGTTTATTACTCTCCCTGGATACATTTTCACTATATTTATTAGAATCCTATATTTTCATAAATTATAATACTTAAATGATTCCTCTTTATATTCATCTAAAGATTAACTCTTTATTTAACTAAGTATTAAACAAACTCTTTTAAAAAAATTAGGTATAAGTTCTTCAATTTATTACATATGTGATCCAGCAATCCTACATATTGCAATACATAAATTTTATGCAATAGATTTTGGAAATTTTGGTTCATTTATTATTTTTATCAATTTCTCCATAACTGCATTAAAGATCACTGTAATTTTAGTTGGATCTTTTATAGCTAATTCTCCCAATGCCCAAGCAGCATTATTTGAAGTAGCTAAAAATAATTTAGAAGGATCAATACTAATTGATTAAGCATAAATGTATTCATTTCTATAATATATTATATATTTACAATACAATAGCAATATTAACATTTTTGAAAATTATATAGCAATCTTTAATTAAATCACCTATCAATGAAAGTGCATATTGTTTAACATCATTTTCTGAATCTTATAAACCAAGATCAACAATTTATAAAAATGATTAATCACATAATTCTAAGAATCTTTCTTTTGTAATGTTGATAATTTTAATACACAAATCAAAAGATCTTTTTAAAATTTCCTTTTATTAATACAAAAGTCTAGTTTTTCCATTTTATATGGATTATACATAACCATTCATAGATTACACTATTGCTTAATAAATAATTGGAATATATTTTATTGATCTTTATCCAAATTTTTCAACAGCTTCTGACAAACATTCTATAAGGAAATGATATATTAATACCATAAAGAGGACATATATTATAATCATTTAAATCAACTAAATTGCTGATCAATTTAGTCATTATTAAATCTATTAATTCCTAATTTTCAATAGTTTCACATTCAGCTAATATTGTTGTTATTGATTAATAAATGTATAATAATACCCCACCTTTTTAAGATAATGCTTTTAAATAAACTTAGAATAAATCTAATAAATATGGTTTCAATATAAAAAATGCATCTTTTGATAATGAATTCAATGCAGAACAGGCAGATTCCTTAACTATTCTACAGAATAAAATTTAATTTATACATTGATTAATTTTCGATAGATATCAATAATAATTTTAGATAGGATTAGATAAATTGAGTTTCATTGATGGCTACTGTTTTAATCCATTCATTATATTATGAGAAGGTCCATAATGTAGAAGCATATATATATTCATTTTATTGGTTCTTTTCATTAAACAAAGACATTAATATATTTGGTACAAGATTACCCTGATTCTCCATTATTTTTTCTGCAAACAATCCTAAACATATAACAGCTATTTCTTATTATTTCCAATCTTATTATTATTATAGATGATCAATAATTTATAAAACAATAGGAACTACAATTTTATCATAAAATTCTATTAATTTTTTAAGCAATAAATTTGAAACTGATCTTAAAGAATATTCTCCAAGAGTTTTCTCTTCATCTTATTCCTCATCATCATTTTTACCATTTTAATTATAACTATTTGAAAATGTTGGTTATATGGCTATTTAATCAGCCCTTGTAATTGCTAGATTAAGAATTATAGGTGACAATATTGATGATAAATAGGGTTCAAGCAAGTGAATTTATTCATAATCTTCTGCATCCTCAATTCTTAGAAAATCTGTTAAACATAATTCAACAAATCGAACAACTTCTTTGTCTGGATCTTATAATGATTAAACACATGCCATTATAATTAAATTCATCTATTTTATTTTATCTCTTTTTGTTTCTATTAAAGCTTAAATACCTTAAAAGCACTTTAATCTTATTTACTATTCTTAAGATTGTGTCCCAGTAATCAAAATTTTAATGTAACAATCAATATATTGGTTTAATGAAGGAGGCATAAAGAAAATATTGTAATTTAAAAAATTTAAAGAATTTACAACTACTTAGGTATTTGTATGTTCCACTAAGGATATAAATTTCAAAATTAATTGATCAATTAACTACAATCCTGAATCTGTTCCATAGTAATTGATATTTTCAGAATTGAATTTCAAGTCTTCAATTATTTTAGATAAACAATCAGTTGCAATTACTGGATCAATGTCTATCAATTTAATTAAATATTCCATCATTATATTACTATCTATGTTTAAATAATTATTTTGCTTACTTTTAATTCCATTTCTAACTACAACTTCTGGTACAATAATAATAAATGCCTGCCGCATTATTTATATATTTATATCAACTTGAATAAGCATTTACTATAATTATTCAGGTAAAGTAGAACAATTTTTAATTGCACTCTTTAATATCACAGCAGCCCTATATCTAATTTCTGCATCATATTTTCCTATTATAACAGAACATAAATGAATTAAAAATTATGTATCTTAACTCAATTCCTATGCTCTTTTATATACTTATTTTTGAATCTAATTGTCTGGCTATGCTGACCATTATATTAATTCAATTATTTAATCCATAATTAAATATATATATTAATTATCAATATTTGTATTTGGTTGAATAATCCTTAGGAGCTACAACTAAACCTTTTCCTTTTCTGGCACCTCGATAAATAATTTCAACGATATCTATGAATTCTTACTTATCATTCATAGCCCAATTTATTTTATTATTATTACCTGTTCCCAAATCAATCATCATATGTTTGTTTCTATAAAAAAACATCACTGTAACAGGATCATATAGTTCATACATAGTATTAAAATCAGGAACCTTAGTGATATCTACTAAATAAACAACTGCAAACTTTTTTATTTTTTCAGCAGATTTATAGAGGATTTCATCCATTTACATACATTATGGATCCCTATATCGATATTAATATATAATTACCAATCATGTCCGAAACGAATGATAACTAGTTTCTCTTCTTCATCTAAGATTGCTTGATCAACTTCCCAACCATTATTTAAATGAGGTAGAAGGTAAGACATTTTTAAATTGTTAGTTATAAATTATAAAAATTAGGTCATTTTTTATTTACTTTTTTTTCTCTTAATTCTTAATTTTTCATAAAAGCAACAAAAATTTATTATTCTCTTAATTTTTTCTCAGCTTCAACTCTTTTAATAGCATTAAATCCTTCATTTTCTTTTCTTATTGTAATAGGAGAACTATGTTCAACAGAAGTATTTAAGACTGCTTTTGCTGATTATTTATTTGCTTTAATTTATTACGCTTTATATGATTAACTATAAGATTAAGATTCTTATAATTATCTAGTTGTAATAAGATTTTTCTTTTTAGATAACAACAATGGAGTTTAATTACTAGATTAATTGGAATTAATATTAGGAGATTAATCAGTTTATGTATTTGATTGTATTTATTAGGTCTATTATTAATATAGTAATTATTTATATAATTTTTATTAATTAGCTGTTTATTATGAATGATCTTCTATAGTAATATTATTATTATTTTATTTAGATTATTTATCTTCTACTTATTATTATTATTTTTATTATGATGCTTTTAATAATGCTTCATCTCTTTTTCCTTTTTCTGCTGTTGTTATTAAATATTCCTATAAATAATACTCATCCTCCTTATCTGATAAGTCCTACTCAAGTAATAATTCTTTAGGATCAAATTCTTTTGTTACATTTCCTATATCTTCCCAATTTATTAGATTGTTAGATTTCTCTTTTTATTTTTATAAATTCTTTGCTGAATTTTTTGGTTTCTCTTAAAAAGATATATTATTAGCATTTATAATTGGAGGTTCTTATTTGAAACTTTCAGCTCTAGGTTTAGGTTTTGCTGGTAAGATCAATCTACGAGAACAAAGTTTTTCTTATGTCAAGATTTCGCTTTGATCTTTGGTATTAAATGGTTTACCTACAACAACCATCTTTTTTCTATATATTTTTTGATCATGAACTCCAAGATAATTATATAATGCTCTTAAAGAATTTTCAACTGGGAATATTATATCAGCTATTTTTATTAAAGCATATTAAAATTCTTAATATGTCAATTCTTATATGTTTGAACACTTTTTAAAAATCTCTACTAAAATTACTTTAGTAACAATAAAATTCTCTTTTTCTTTATGTTTATATTTAATTTTATTAAATTGTTTAGTTACTGCTTAGCCTGTGTGTTAATAGACAAAATCATTATTTATTTCCAAATCTATTAATTCAAAATCTTTACAAAAATACATAAATTTTTATAATGTCATTACTTATTGTATCTAATGAAGTTAATCAAAAGTATTTTATTTATTTGAAGTTTAAGCTTATTTTGAATAAAATTTATAAATTTCTTTTAAATTCACATCAACTATTTTTTCATAATTTTTTTCATTATCTTATTAAGATAATTATAAAGGTTTGATTATTGGTTTATTTAATTAATAAGGATCTTCTGATGATAATTATGGAGATCTTGTTTTAGGAGATTTTATAACTTGTTTGAATTTCTCAATAACTTCCTAAGTTCTTAACATTTTTTCATTATTTTATATTTCTTCATCATTTTATTTGATATCTGTAATTTCAGTTGGTACTTATTTTAAAATAATATTTGATTAGTTTTCTTCTTTTGCAATTTAAGTCTATTTATTACTCTAATCTTCTGATTTTTTTATTTAATTATCATCTTGTAAGTCTTAAAAATCTTAATCCTCTGTATTTTCAATAATTTTAGATTAATCTTAATGAAAATTTTATTCTGCATCATCACCCTAATATTATAAATTAGATTAATCAGCCTAATGCTCTATTTAGTTTAAGGAATCTTGATCGTTTTGACTTTTACTTAATTCATTATATTCATTTTAATCTTCATAATCATTGTTTTATATTAAAGGTTCATTATTATTTTAAGTGGAACTTTTTCTTTTAAGTTATGAACCATTAAATGCTTGAGATTGTTAACTGTAATTGTTTTATTTTTATGAGAGAAAACTATCTGGATGTATAACTGATCTATTTGAATCTTATTATTTATGTTTTGATTATGATTAATTGGAAGCTTAAACCTAAGATTAGTTTTCCATGATAATTTTAATTAATAATAATTTGTATTACTATAATATAAATTCAAAGTCTCTAAGCAACTTTATTGAGTTCATCCTTTTTTTATTGTAATCTCTAATCTTCTTATTTTTTTGATTCTTAAAGCTTTTCAATTAACTAATCTCTTAAAATAAGCAAAAATTCTCTGACTGTCATATAAATTTGAATTTGTAATTAATTTTAATATTAATTAATCATTTATAATAGATTAAGAACTTATAGTCTTATTTCAATAAAAGAAACAAATAAAATTAAAAAATATAACTAAAACAATAACTTTAGAATGTGTAATAGATTATAATATAACTTTTAACAAGTAATTGTTTTAAAATTATAGATAACAGAAGATAATATTTCATTCATATATAATATATAAATTATTAGTCTATATAGATATAGATATAAAATTATAATGCTACAATTCTTGATAGTTTTGTAAAATATAATGTTTTAATGATTTTTTTAATTTAATATAACAGTTTATTTTAATAATAGTCATTGTTACTTATTAATTGCATCAAATAACAATTATATTGATTAAGCTAATTAAGAGTTAGGGTTTTGTTCATTAATTAATTATATGGCTTTTAATTTCTTGAAATATTCATTTCTCTCTCTCATCAATAGAATATATTATTTTTTTAACTCACTCTCATCTCTATCAACACACTATTAATTAAATGTTATAGAGTACTTCTTTTAAATTTTATAATTTGCCTAATTTTCTTAAAGTTGCCATAGAATTTTCATCATTTTATTCTTATAATTCTTATATGTATTATGGGATTAATTTCCATTTTTAACTCATTAATTTATTAATTATATGTTTCACAGACAAATAAAAAGACCTCAATCAGTATGTATAAATTAATATAATTAATGAAAATAGGCAATCAAATATGAACCATAAGGATATAAATAAAAGTCATCAAATGAATGTTAAATTTTAATGCCAAGTGCAATACAGTATTTTTCTGATTTAGATTCATTACATCATGTTTCAAACAATTTTCTAAGACCATAATCAGCAGTTTCACTCTATTAGAATAAAAAGATAAGTAGCTCAACAATGGTGGATAATAAATAAGTTAGTGATACAAGATTAACTGATCCAAGATAAACACCAAGATATATTAAGAAAGATAAAGAAGAATTGTATTAAGAATTGTTACAATTATAATAAAAATATAATTAATGCTATGATGAAAATACTAAATTAAAAACTTAAATTTCGTCATTAGAAAAATAAGTTATTCATTTGACAGATTTAGTTAGAAATGTTGAAATGTTTTGTAATAAGAAAACAAGTCATTTCAATGTATTTTAGTTAAAAAAATAAATTTAAGATCTTAAAACTAATCTTAAAACAAAAGATATAGAATTAGAATCATTAAAATAAAATGTTAAAACTACTAAAATTGATGAAATTAGAATAGAATTATAAGAATCTCATATAGAATGTTTAAGATTAAGAACTATGCTTGATTAATAATTAAGATAATAAGTATTATTTAATTATAATGATCATACATTAATTGAAGAAAAATTATATATTTAAAGTTAAATGATGAATTAATTAAAAACAGAAAATGATTAAATGACAGGATTACTTAAAATTCAAGAAGAAGAAACTTATTATTACAAAAATTTATTAGCTGAAACTTTAAAAACTGTAAGAAGATATGAAGAAACAATTGAAGATTTACATAAGAATCTAAAAGGTAAAAACTAATTTATGGATAAATTGGCTTAAAAAATAGAAGCTTTGAAAAATACAAATAATGGATTAGCAGATAAAGTTGTAAAAGTGGAAGATTTAAAAGAAGAAATTCGAATTTTAAAATGTACAATAGAAGATTAAAACAAATAAATTAAAAGTGTATTATCTGATAATGAATATCTTAAAGGAATGGTTCATGAATTAAAAATTAAAAATAATGAAAAATCAGAAATATAAGCTAAAGAAAAAAAAGTATTATAAGATTAAATTACTAAAATATCAAATTAATATGATCTATTAGATGATAAATATAAAAATCTATTATTAATATAGGTATAAGCAAAAAATAAAGAAACTGCTTAATCTTCTATGATTCACAAAAAAGAACAAACTATAGGTTTAACTTTAAAAAATAATAATGATAGTTTTTAATAATAATAGATATATGTACCTAAAAAATTAAGAGCTATAAAAATGAATGATGTTTTGCATATAGGAGAAGAATTAAATTATAGATTTAGAATTAAAAAAATAATATTAATAGATGTAATAGAATAATATCTATTTGATGATGATAACAAAAAAGAAAAAAAAGTTAGTATCAAATAATTATAAAAGAGATTCGAAAAAGAACCATTCATGTTATTTGAATAAGATAAAGCATTAATGTTTGCTCGATTTCTAATAGAAGACAATTCTTAAGAATTTGTAGAATTTAATATTGAACTAACAGAAACCTTGGATAGAGTTAAAAGTATTTTTACAAAGATAATTGGTAATTATAGAATCTTTACTCTTGATGAAGAAATTAAACATAAAGAAGATATTACTAAACTTATAATTAAATATAAAAATTCTCTAAAATAACATTTTGATTCTCTTTAAAGTACTAATGGTGAATTAACTAAAAGATAAATATTAGAAACATTTATTTTTATGGATATTGATATTAATAATTCTTAGCTAGAATACTTTTTTTTAAAACTATTTGTTTTTTCTAATAAAATTGATAGATTTCCATATTAAAAAATCTTTGAAATATTCTAATAAATTTAAACTACATCAAGTATCATTAAAACTAATCATTTTAAGCTCCTCAATTATAAAGAAAAGAAACTCAAAGAAAAAAAGCAACAACTGAATCTAATAAGCAACCTGTATATGTAACAAAAAGTCTATTCAAACCAGTTGAAGCTACTAATCTATAATAAATTTGATTTAATATATAAAATTAATAATTTTAATATTTATTTATAATGTTTTTTCAACAATTCTGTTTAGAATGTGGTACATATTAAAATAATTAAGGACGCTATCCTAAGTGATCCATGGGTATGTATATTGAATGCAATATATTTATGTGAAAATTGTGCTATGATTTTATCAACTGAAGCTGGAGTTACTAATATTAAAAAATACTCTTAATTGAATACAGAGGAGAAAGACAGAATGTAGAAGGGAGGAAATGTAAAATTTAAATTGAATGTTTCTAATCTTAATGATAAATTTCATTCTCATAAAGCATTACAATATCGATTTGAAGTATCTATTGAACTATAATAGTTAGCATTGGGTTTGAGTGAATATGATTCAGATATCAGTACTAATTATGCAAGTCCAAATAAATCAATAATCTATGATCCTGAGCAAAAAAAAAGATTAACTTAAGCTTTAGAATTAGAGGGAATGCAATAAGATATTGAATGGTTACAAATCTAATATTAAATTTTAACAAGAGATTTAAAGAAAAAAATTGATAGAAACTTTTATTTGACTAAATTAGAGGAGATAGGTAAGAAATTTGTTGAAAAACAATAATAGAAATAAGTTCAATAGAAATAAATTCTTAATTAAAATGATATTTTTTAATCCTTTACAGCATTACTGAAAAAATAGACTTGAAATATCATATAAATATTATAAGATTTAATAGTTAAAATAAAATAACATACAAAATTCAATCAATCATTCTAGTTTTATGTTATTTAAAATGTAATCAAATTTTATTTATAATCCTTTTGTAAATTGAATTAGTACAATGTTTTAGACAGACTATAAAATTTATTTGATATTCAAATATTTTTTTATTTAAATAAATTAATTATTATACATCGTTATGAAAAAAATAAATCAATAAATGCAAAAAATAGCAGGACGTAATAGCTTTTAAGAATCTCCATTATAATTGGAAAAGAAAACCTTAAAAAATTCCACTAAACCTATTAAAACTGAAAGACCTTAATAAAAAGGGAAAACTAAATTAATTGATTATTTTAAGAAAGAAAGGAATTCATTAAATTAGGCAGTTAATAACATTAGAGCTAAATTGAAAGGGAGTAAAAGTATTGATAATGTGTTTCCATTAACATAAAAAAGTGAAAGGGGAAAAACCTCATAACCAAATGTAAATCATTTAAATAACATAAAATAGTAAATTGAATAAAGAGTATAAACAGATGAAGGGAATAGTTCTAAACGATTAAATTTAAAAGCAAAAAATTTATCATTAGCTACTGTCTCACTTGAAGTATAAATTAAAATATTATATTATAGAAAAAAGAATACTAAAAATAACCTTCAACTACTAAATAATCTTACAATTAATCTCCATCTAGTTAATCAAAACCCATTTTAACTAAATCTAAATCAAAAGATCAATATTTATTTGAAATGGTATTTATTAATTATCATATTTAATAGTTAAAAAATGCTCAAAAGATATCAAATCAATATTAACAATACTTTAATTTGAAGTAAAATAAGTAATCTATATAATCAGACACTTCAACAAATCATAGATAATCTATTGAAGATATGTTATTAAGTTAAAAATCTTCAAAAGGATCTCCTTAACCTTATTGTTCAAAATTATCAAAAAAAACAGAAGGGGATTCCAAATCTCTTAATTAAGGGTATTCTAAAACTGAATAGACCCCTATAATTAAATAGTAATCAAAAACTAAAATAGAAGAATAACTATAATATGATCCTAAAAAGAAACTTCAAATAGTTCTTATCTATAAATAAACAAAGTAAATTATCTATTCAACAATTTTAGATATTACTATTTATATGATTATATAAATTAAAGTACTGATAACTTATATAATTTTCTTATTGAATAAATTGCAAGTATAGAATTGGCCTCATCAAAGGTAGAAGGAGGAGGCACTGGTTCTACTGAAGATTAACACATATAAGAAGGTATATTAAAGATTAATTTAGAATTAAATAAGATTTGTCAATTTATTACAGTATCTAAAAATATTCCTTATGATTATTATCTATCATTACCAGAGATGCCTTTAAATGTATTTTAGGGCATAACCCTCTAATTGTAACCATTGTATGCTTAGTCCTAAGGCACCAAGAAAGTAGGTTTGAAAGATTTTATTTTGATAAAATGTATAGGAGTAGGAGGTTTTTCAAGGGTGTATTTAGTTAAAAAGAAAGATAATGGTTAATTTTATGCATTAAAATTAATTGATAAAAAATTCATTTTTGATAATGCAAAGGAAGTAATTGTATAAAATGAGAGAGATATTATGGTAAAAATGGAAAATTAGTATATAACAAAAATGCATTATGCATTCGAGACAAAATTTTATATTGCATTTGTATTAGAATATTGTGCAGGAGGAGAATTATTTTATCATTTAAGAAAACTAAAGAGGTTAAATGAACAAGAAGCAAAATATTACTTTGTAGAAATATGTATAGGAATGGCTTATTTACATTCATAAAATATAGTGTACAGAGATATTAAACCTGAAAATATTTTATTGGATTTGTAAGGTCATATGATGCTTAGTGATTTTGGATTATCAAAACCAAATATGGAAGAAGGAGAATTAGCTTATTCATTTTGTGGTTCACCTGAATATATGGCTCCTGAAATGTTAATGAAATCTGGACATAGTTATTTAGTAGATTGTTATTGTCTAGGTGCTTTACTTTATGAACTTGTTTCTGGATTACCTCCTTTTTATTCTAATAATACTTAAGAAATTTATAATGCAATATTGACTGAGAATGTTTAATTTCCAGATTATGTCTAGATTTCTGATTAATTAAAAGATCTAATAATTAGATTACTATAAAAGGATCCAGATCAAAGATTAGGATAAAATGGTGGAATTGTAGAAATTCTAACTCATGTCTGGTTTCATGATGTTGATTTTGAAGGAATAGTAAATTAAACTCTTCAACCTCCTTATAAACCAGAACCTTTAAAGTATAATTTTGATGAAGAAGAATTTAATAAAGGAGATGCTGAATTCAGAAAATAATATACATTTAATCTTTAATATGAATTTTAAGTATTTAACAACCAATTATATTTGTTAGAATGTTGATAATGCAAATTATGAATTGGCAGATTTTTATTATGAAAGACCATAATTAGAATTTAAAAATAGAACTAATAAAGTTAATAAGAGTAAATTAGTTTCAGAAATAGTTTAAAAAGAATCATTATCTCCTAATAAATAAATGATATCTAAAGTAAAGGTAAAATATATATATATATAAAGCATTCACCTTAAGAAAGTAAAAAAGTATTAAGAACAAACATTAAGAGTGAAGCTCTTGATTATTTCAAAAAACATAATCTTCTGACAAAATCATCATAGGTTCTTTAATAGTCCTTAAAGTTTGGTCATGCTTATTCAAAAACCTTATAATAGCCTTCTATGTCTATTTAAGATCTAAAAGTACTAGAATTTAATTATTAAGAAATTAAAATAATTGTTTGATCAATCTAAATAAATATTAAGTTCTGATAGATTGACTACAGTTCCTGATTAAAATAATAAAAATGGATTAGATAGAGTCAAAACTGAATAATTTGGTAATTTGCCTTCTCCAAAAACTACTACTAATAGTGCTGCAAATAAATTAGCTAAATTTTCTAAGTTATTTGGATCAGAAAAAAGAAAAAAATGAATATGTTTTTATAGTTACATATCTATATATTACTAATTTATATATATATTATTTAAATATATTAATGTACTTTTTTGTGCAATGTAATGTATTAATAATGAAATCATTTCTTCTTTTATTCGACTTTCTTAATATAAAATTCTAATTCCTTTCCTTCCAAAATGTAACCATCAGCTCTTCCTGATTATCCTGGTCTTGATGTTATTCTTACCAATAATCTTTAATTTGTAAATTATTCTTAAACTAATGCATCTATGGCATTATCCTTTGCTCTTTGTTCTAATTTCTTAATTAGACTTCTTGATTTTTTAGTTTATTCAGGTTGTCCTTCCTATTTTAATAAATCATTATTACTTTCTTATCCTTTTTCTTTGATCCCAATTCTACATTATATTTCTTTGCATACCATTATCTAAATGGAGCAGCATCAATTTAAACAATCACACCTCTAGTAAGTGTCTTAGTTCTGACCAATTCATTATTTGATGGATGATAAACAACCTCAACAATTTTAGCTTTTTTAGCAACACCTTAACTTCCCCAAGAGAAATTGCCTTCTGATAAACGAAGAGCTCTGAATTTGAAATTTCCTCCTCTCACTCTTAATCTTCTTACTCTTTTTTCTCCTGATACTAATTTAGTCATTGCTGCTTATCTTCCTTTTTCAAAGGCTCTCTTTTTCTTATGAATAGGCATACGACCTCCAGTAAGTCTTCTTTTGTGTCTGCTGTCTCTTGAAATTCCCATGAAATGGTTTCTTAAATAAAAAAAGATTTTATTTAATTTTAAAATGTGCTTATATATTAAACCAAATATTTTATTTATTTTCCATTATTAATTCTGTGTTTTATACAAAAGAGAAAGGTATATATAATAAAGAAATTCTAAAGCATATAAAATATGAACAAATATAAATAAATCAAATTTATTTATTTGTTGGACTTAAATTGAATCTATATTTTATTCAAATTATATTACTATTTATTGTCACAATATTGAAATGAATATTTCCTAAGACATTTAGGAATTTTATATTCAAAGCTCAAATCATCAGTTTAATATGTAGGGTTTTCTTTCTTTTTTTGAATTGACTTATCAATTTATCGTTATTAAGTTATAAATTCCTTAAGATCTTAACTCTATTAACTCAGTAATTATATATAAGGTTATTAGAGGATACACTATTTGACAATATTCTTAGGACTTTTAGAAAGACATTATTGATTACTATCAGAATTAGGTAAACTAGGTAATCTTAATTTGGGTAGTTATTTAACCTTATTAGGACTAAATGGACTCATATTTTAGAATTGAAATATGTTTCTGTTCTTTAATTATTTTACAACTAAATATCGATTTCGAATTTTAAAGTTTTTGAATTCTATTTCTCTTTATGGTTCTATTATATTTTTTTTTAATTGATAGTATAATGACATTAAAATTAATATAATTATTATTTTATCAAAATTATAAGACAATGCAACGAGCATATTTTTGGAAATCCTTTATTTTTAAAGGGATATTGAATAATTATTTAATTATATATTAAGATAGGATTTAAATTATAATTGATTATAAAAATCAATGTAATGTGATCATATATTTTAAGCATAAACAAATAATAATTCATAAGATTACGTCATCAATCCCAGGAATTAGTTGGTTTACGAACTCTATGTTTAGATCTATTGATTAATGATTATAAAATACAATAGACTCTGAAACAAATCCTTAAGTTCAGTATTACTCATTGGTTAAAAGGGATGAGCAGGGAAATATTAATTAGGTCTTTCTAATTCTAATGGAATTGATCTTTATGGTTGTTTGTTAATTGTGCTATCAGCTCTTAAGGATTTAGTTTTTTAAGTTTTTCTTACTTTAGAAATATTAGATTCGGTGGTAAATCTAGTTTTTGATTAGTCATTAATTCTTTCTTAAATTCTGACTTTAGGAATATTGACATCAACTTGAGAATACGAAATCTCATAGCTTAATAATGGAGGTAATTTGATATCTTCTTTTGATCTTTCAGTTGAAGAGCCAAAAGCATAACTTTTTTTTCTTTGTCTATTTTCTTCAATTTTGTATGCAGAAAGATTTGGTTTTTAAACTCTTGTTTTATGAAGTATAAATTTCTGATAATTAAGTTCTGCATCTGTGCTTTCAGTATTTTGTGAGAAGAAATCATATAGATCTCTGACCATTTGATTATGATTATTAATGATGTATTTATATATAATTTATCTGGATTTGGATGATATAGAATAGAGAAAGAGAATAATAATAAGTAAATAAGAGATTGAAGTTAAGTTAGGGTTTGAAGTTTGAGACAATTAAATACATAATAAATACAAATTAATTATAGTTAATTTAGAAATGAATACTTTGTAATCCATAATCTAGTAAAGAGTTTTGTATTAAATAAATAAGCAAAAAATAGAACCATTAGAATCCTTGAATATTACTTATGTAAATTGAATTATAAAGTTTAGACATCAGCAACAAAGATAAAATTACCTTTAGAAGATGCTGCTTAAATTAGAAAAGTTATGCAAGTAATTTCAATTTTAAGTAGGGTATTCAAAGTGTTCATTTTCAGAAATAGCAATCTGAAGCATTAATATCAAATAATAAAGAGACCACTGTTAATATTGATAACAATAATGCTATGATTTAACTTAAGAATGAAGAAAATAAATAAGGTCCATAAAAAGGAAGGTTTTTAGTAAGAAATGAATATGGCAGTAAATTGTAATCTGAAAATAAAATAATTCATACATCAGTTGTTCCAAATAAATATAATAAAAATTAAATATCCTTTGGGGAAGATGGTAAAAAGATTAAAGCAGATGATATTTGGAAGAGAAGGAAAGATTATGATCAGAAAGTCAGATAATATAATTTACCAAAAATAAAAGAATATAATAGATTTCAAAATAATAGTTTATAAAAATAATAATCTGGATAGAATAATGCAGAAATTCAATTTTCAGATAATAATAAAGAAGATTTAGATGATGATTTATTGTAGGAATATAATTAAAAGTAATTTATATTAGAATAAACTAGATATTATAAAAAATAACTCTTTCTTTGGAGCAAAAAATAAAGATAATTTGATATAGATTATGATGATTTATTAGATTGATTTATTATTTATTCTTAATAATGAAATCGATTAAGAAATACTTATAAATATAATTTTAAAATATATTCGTTACTCTTGTATATTTTAACTTTATTGTAAAATGAAAATTAATAAAATAATTTCTTATATTAATATGTCATAAGTGAAAAAAAGCCTATTAAAAGTAGAGAAACTTTAATTTGTTATCTTCATTAATAAATAGTTAATTTAAGTGGATTATAATGAGTAAATTACTGTAAGGGATATTCTTGATTTTATTAAAAGGATACATAATATTTCAAACTCTGATATCTTTTTGTATTTAGCAAAAAAAAGTGGTGAAGCCAAGTTATCTTTCCCTGCTTTAAAAAGAAATAGAAAATTAATTAAAAACAAATGAAAAAAGATTTGTTGTTATTATGAAGTCAGAAGAACCAAATATTAAAAATGATTTCAATTAAGAATCTGTAAAAATAACTGAAAGAATATAGAAAAAAATAAAGTATTTAAAAAAAATGGTTTGGAATATCTATGAATGTAAATGATTTTTTATATAATATATATAATACACTTTTTAATAAAATATCTTTTAATTATTGCTTATAGTGATTATAATTGTTTGTTATATATTCATATCTTTTATATTATATAATAAATTAAATATAGTATATATTATTAGAATCTAAATATTTAGTAATACAATATATATAGATACAGTAATATTGAAAATAAAATAAATAGTAATGCAATATCTATAATTAATATATAAATTCAAAACAAAATCAGATGGATCCAAAATCAACTGCTTTTCATATTTATAAGTAAACCTTGATTAAAAAAAATAATTAACCTATCACATAAGTGTATAGTTATGAATAAAAAGATGTGAGTTTATTATTATTATCTCATATAGAAAATTGGATAAGGAGCCTATGGAAGTGTGTATAGAGCAGTTCATAAAGTAAGTAAACAAGTGAGAGCAGTTAAAGTGATTAATAAATTGAATATTAAATACAAAGATAGATTATTGAGTGAAATCACAATTATGGAATTATTAGTAATAAATGTCTTTTATTTTAGGATCATCCAAGTATTTTAAGATTGTTTGAAACCTTTGAAGATGCAGAGAATTTATATATGGTCTTGGAGTAAAAATATCAATTCAATTACTTGATAGAATCTGTTAAGGAGGTGATGTTTTTGATAAAGTACTTGAAAAGGGTTGTCTATCAGTGGATGATGCATTTAAAGTTTATATATAATATATGAGAGCAGTTAATTATTATTAAGGATTCAAAATAGTTCATAGGTATTAATATTTATAATTTATAGAGATTTGAAACCTGAAAATTTTTTATTTTAAAAGAAGAATGACATGAATTCACTAATAGTTATTGATTTTGGTATTGCAAAAAGAGGAGTAGACAAATTATAAACTAAAAGTGGAACAGTAAAATTATTAATTTTAACGAATAGGCTTATTATGTAGCCCCTGAAGTACTGGATGGATTATATGATCATAAATGTGATGTTTGGTCTGCAGGAGTTGTTCTATATGTTATTTTATGTGGTTATCCTCCATTTTATGGAGAGAATGAAAAAGAAATATTAATAGAAATTAAATCTGGAACATTATAATTTGAGGGTTATAAAATATATTATATGTAGGTGATGAATGGTAAGGAATCTCATAAGAAATCAAAGATTTTATAAAATAATAAGTATGTCCAGCACCTAATAGAGCTATACCTAAAGATTTGTTAAGTCATAAATTAATAAATTAATACAATTAAAAGTTTCTGAATGATTTTAAGATGATTTCAATGTAAAATCTTAATTAATGGATTAAATATCATCCATTAAGAAGATTAGCACTTTATTATTTATCAACATAGATTGATTCATGTGATTTAGTCAATTAAAAGAATACTTTCTTTTTTATTAATTAATCATAAAGTGGATTGATAACACAATAAGAATTAGCTACTTATTTGAAAGTTAATAAATAAGATATTCAAAAATTATGGCCATATTTAGATTGTAATAGCAATGGTTATTTGGATTATTTTGAATTTGTAGCATTAACATTAACACCATAAGATTATCAGAAATAATTATAATTTATGTTTGATTTTCTAAGTTAATCTGATAAAGTAATAACACAAAAAAGTATTAAATTTATATTTGATTAAAATGCTAATTTAAATAATAAATGGGATAGTATTTCAAATACAAAAAATCAAATTGCTTAAGTAAATCAACATGAATAATAAATAAATGTTAAAAACATTATTGATAAAGATATCGATTTTAACGCATTCAAAACAATAATGGGATGATTCAATAGAATATATATAAAATATATTAATTACAATTTTTGTAATCAAACAATGGAAGCTTATAGATTCCATGTCCTTTATTTTTTTTTTTAATTACTTTCATAATCTTAAATTATAAAATATTATATTTACTTGTTATATACTTTTTTACCTACACAACAAAGTAAATGATGACTCCTAAGAATATAGTTTCAATTATAGCTTAAACCATCATTAAAGTTCCTTAATACAATTATCCACAAACAATTTCTTATTTCTAATCATCAGTAATTTCAGTTGGTGTTGGTTATTATGTTGTATTTTCCTATAATAATCGAGTTTTAGATAAAATATTATATTATTATGCATATCCTTGCATTAGAGCCCATACTAAAAAGTAAGTAATTAATCGTATAGCTAAGACAACTGATGTTAAACACAGGTATTTTCCAATTTCGGAAGATGATCTTGAATTGATACCAAGAAATCCATAGGTTGAACTAGCAATCCAGAATATGTTTCCACCTACTATAACTAAGCACAATATTGCATATGTATAACATATTGTTCGATAATGAATGAAATAGTATAGAAATCTTATGCACTAATATATAAATGCACACTAAAGATAATGGATAGTTAACTTACGATTATGAATATATTTGAACTTTGTAAAAATCTAATTTTATCTTCTATAGCTTCATTGAATTCTTCACAATCAGGAGGCAACAAAGAATCACCTTATCGCTTGGTAATAATGAAAGGTTTATTAATTTCCATCCCTTGATTTGAATCTAAAAAAATTAATATTTATATTAATATGAATCAATTAAGAAATTAGAGAGGCACAGAGACAGATGAAGTATACATTGATCCAGAGAGAGGAATTGCTATTAATGCTCGTTAAATGACCACTGAATAACATTTCAAATATTATAAATCATCATTCAGTACATTAAGACCTGATTTGACTGAATATGAGTATGAAGCATTTGCTAAGAGATTGAGAGTGGGTATTTGACAATTTATTATAAAGGTGAGTCTTTCTTGAATCACATGAGAGTATTTCTTAATCATGAATCAGGTAGGATCACAAATCTTTATAATTTAAGTGCTAGATTGGATAAAGCTCTGGTATTTGATGCATTACTATAATCAAGAACTATTAATAATAATATTTCCATTTGCGTACTCCTTTTATTTTGGGCCATAGATCAAATGCAAATAGAAATTGGGCTGATGCATCAAAAGTTGTGAATTATGTTGAGAAACAATTATTAAAAATAACAAAATATGGTAATTATATCAATTCTAAATGTCTTAGGTTTGGATTATCCTAATTATTATGCACCTTCAACAGCATAAGAATTGAAATAAAGAGAAGATGAAATTTATTAGAGATTCATAAAAGAAATGAGAAAACCTCCCATCGTTGCAGTTTAATGAAAAATATACAAATAAATAATAATATATTATTGTTAAAATCTTTTTTACTAATGCATATATACTTATTCCTTATCTATAAATAAAATCATACATTCAATTCTGATTGCTTATTAGTGTGTTACATTCTATTTATTTTTGCCAATATATCTAAATAAAAAAGATATGGATTTATTAAAATTAATATATAAATGTCTGAAACTATAATATTTTATTATCTTTTAAGTTTATAACTATGAATAAGTCAGATAAATACTTTGTGCATGAAGATGATATCTCTAGTACCCAAAGTTCTGAAGGAGAAGACTATATTCCTAAAAGAACAATTTCTAAATCAAACACTCGAAGGATCCACAAAATCCCAATAGAGTAGCAACAATAACTATTTCGACAAGTGTTTCAGGAAGGCAAACCAATTAAAGAGGTATTCTTTTACATAATATAATCAGGTTGCCAAAACTTTAAATCTAAATTACTCTAGTGCTAAATCTCTAATTCATTATTATAAAAATAATAAACGATCTGCTCCCTCAGCAGTATTAGATGTTTTAAGTGGTAAAAAATCGTTGGTGTGTCGAGTTTCATAAAAAATTGATAAAAAATACAATAATCTAAAAATAGAAGTCAGGCAAAAAAATTAAATTCTTCACTCCTACAATTACTATGAACATAAGACATCTAATAAATGAATTATAAATAAAAATTATATTCTTTATTACGTTAGATCTTTTCCTTTGTCTTAATTAGGATTTCTAATTAAATAATTTTATACATTTAATTAATATCTAAATATTGATTTTAAATAATCCAATTTATTAATGGTCTTGTTCCCTTGAATACTATACCTATATCTAAAAGACAAGATAATAAAATCAATAAATTGTATTTAATTTTTATATATAATCATTAAATTAATATAAGTTTCTATCCATAGCTTAGTAAAATGGTTTCCTCATCTATATCTTTCAAAAACTGATGTCTTGATATCATTGAGATCTTATCCTTCCAAATTTATCTAAAATATAAATAATCTAATTTTCTATATAATTCTTTATGTTAAAAAAGCTTTTAACACAGTAAAATTATTTATGAAAATTTTCATTAATTCTAGTAAAATTCTTGATTTGTTATTGGTATATTCATATTATTTTTCATTTTTTATCTAATTTTATGCATATTTTGAATATAATATTTCAAGTCTTCCTCCATTAGATGTCTTATTATTTGATTTAATTCTCATAATTCTTCATCAAAAAAAGTTATTCTTAAATAATAAATTCTCTTATCAATAAAAATCAATTATTTTTTTGAAAATCAAACTATTCAAATTCTAAGATATATTAATTACCATCATTATTAAAATTTCAAATATCTTTATGATATTAATAAAGATTAATTTCATGAACATCAGGTAATTATTTAAGTAAATCCAAATTTTTTCCACTTTCTATTTAAAATTTTATATTTATATATTAGCTTTAAAAATGATAGTTGCATTTTATAAATAAGTGTGTATCATCATATGTCTTAGATTTTAATTGCATAATAATATTTTCTGATTACAAAGGTCTGAGTTTAAATGCTTAATAATCATCTGTTTATAAATATGAAATCCCTTTGTCATTTTCAAATATCAGAAATTAAGTCAAATATAAAAACATTTATTAGTTTTTAGTCCGAATATATATTTATATTATCTTATCTTATTTTATTAAGTTACAGATATCCTTTTTTTATTAGTCTTTTATTTATTAATTTTATAAAGTGATGTATAATTTATATTAATAAAGATGAAATTATTGTATTTGATTTCTTTAATATATATGGGACATGGCTTATCTGTATAGATTAGTTAAAAACCTACATGCTTTTATGTTAAATCATATACAGGAGATACTTATGTTACAGTAAATTATTAGATATCTGGATTGGATGAAAATAAAACAGAAATTACAATAGAATCAGAAAATGGTGATAAATTAGTAAAGAAATAAAATACAAAAGAAGGAGCACTTAAATAATTGTTAAGAGAAAAGGGCACTTATTATATTTGTTTCAAAAGTTTATCTAAAGGCTATAAGACTGTAAGTTTTGATTTTGATATGGATGGAGTAGATAAAGAATATGCTTAATCAGAATAATTCAGTGAGATGTCAAAGGAGTTATCAAGAACTAATAGAAACTTTTAGACAATTTATAGAAATTAAAATTGGATTTCTGACAGAGAGAATGCTCATTAAATGTGTAAAATATTATAATTAAAGTAGTGTTGGAATAAACATAATAAAATGTTAAATGGTGTGCTTCAGCAAAAATAGGAATTTTATTAATAATAGCTATAACTTAGATATGCGTTGTATATTATTTTTTTAAAGATAAAGATTTTAGTGGAAGAGTATGATAATTATCTTATTGATAGATAAATAGATATATTCACTTTTTCTTTTAAACAATTTTATTAGATTATTATTATTACTAAAAAACATTTTGTTATTATTAATTTTGTCTTGTATAAGCAGTAGTATATTATTATTTGTTAGTTTTTAATTATTATTTTGGAAAGGGTTTATCATTTCCAACTAATCCTTATTGTAATTTATAAGGCATAAATTAATATTCTCCATGCCAAAATATTAAAGATTTTACTAAGTTGTAACCAATACATTCCATATTCTTCTGGGTCTTGAAGTACAAACTCTAATCTTTATCATTCACAATTTTCACAACCAAAATTAAATTTTTTGCTTAATTATTATTTCTGATATTATATTAAGAATTTATTATTTAAAATAGTATAGTGAATTATGTTAAATGAATAATTGGAAATTATAAAATAAATTAACTAAATAGATAACCACAAAAGCATTTGCTTTTTGAACCTTTTCTGCTACATTTTGATTTCTATTCTGCACAATAATAAGCAATCTTATTATAATGTATTTTTATAAATAAATTACATTATTCAGTGTTCCTAAAGCCTGTTAATATTTTTAATCTATAATCTTCCTAGAACCAACTGCTAGTCAATATTTTTATACGCCTTCACTTATTTACTCCTCATTCATAGCTATATAGTTGAAGAATTATTATTATTTTATTAATATATAACATCAATTTTATTTTACAAATTCAAATTAAGATGAAACAATTTGATTTTTGAATTTAATTAATGATTTATTTACTTTCAAATATTATCGCATTAAATATAGAGTATTAATTAAAAATATCAAATAAAAATACTAGAACAATTTTAAATAATTAAACTAAACATTTAATCTATTAAATCAAGTATAAGAGTTGATTCAATATAAAAATAAGTAATAACCTTTCATTTTTTAGTTCAAAAATTAAAAAGATGTAATTATTATTGGAGTAACAATATGACAATTTAAGTTTATAGTAATTCCACAAATATACATAATTCAAAATATTTAAATCTTTATGATAATATTTACATTCTGCTGTTTTTCATATTTCAAAAACATATATATAGTATAAAAAATCAGATAGATATTTAATTTGTATTTTTATTTTTATGAAAATCTTTATTTTATAAATATATAAATAAAAATAAGATGATACAAAATGATGCATTTTGCCAACAACATAATGATTATATGATCGAAGTAGTTTGTGTTGATTATATGACTTAAGAATGTAAATATATGTGTAAAAAGTGTTATAAGTTATTTAATAAATCTAATACAGAATCAAAGGAGTTAGAATTTACAAATAGATAAAAATAATTTATGCAAAATTATGAGACGGAAAAAGAAAACCTGAATAAGAACTTTTAAGAAAAAATGAAATCATTATAGAAGGAATTTAATTAGATAATTTAATAACATTTGGAAAAAATCAAGGATTCTTTTTCTAAATCATTAAAATTAATTGAAGACTTTGTGCCTTAATTATTAACTCAAGATAAAAATAAACTTCGAGATATGTTAAAGGAATAGTAAAAAAAAATGAATGAAATCAGAATTAAATCTATAAACGATAAGGCAAGTTATTTACATGAGTTAAAGAATAAGCTTATTGATAAGGCTCTTAATTTAGAAAATTATATATTTTCAGAACATCTCCTGGGATAATAATTATATCAAATTCCAGATCTTAAAACAATATTTGAAAATTTTGATTCAAATAATTTATTATTGTTATTTGAGCAGCATTACCATCTAAAATATCAATATATTACTGAAGAAGATATTGGAGAAAGGATAAAATAATATTCATCAGAGTTGGAAACATTAAAATTGAGCAATAATGAAATGAAGTTAAATATTGAGGCCTAATATACAAAAATATAAATAGAATTAGAAAAATAAAAGTAATCAATGTTAGCTCGATTTAAAAAATATCAGGATTGGATAATTGAAAAAAATAAGAAAATTTTTGATACTAGTAGATTGAATAATCAAAATTACACCGAAATTTAAATGATGAAAAATGAAGATTTCATAAATTTAATAAATAATGAATTAGCAAATAAGAAGTTAAATAATTAACATGATGAAATGAGAGAAACATTAAGCAAAATTTGCCATCTTGGTCATTATGATATTGGAGTAAGCTTGAATGAAATAGAAAGTAAATTTATGGTCAAATTTATTCCAAAAACAATACTATACAATATAGATTGTATGGAAAATAATATAACTTCAAACTATCCTTAAGCAACATAAGTAATAGGAAATTTGAATGAAAATGGAAATGTAATCAATATTTTTATATTTAGTTTGTGGGAACTGCTATTATATAAGAAAATAATTAATAAACTATTGTTCAATTATCTAATAATGAAAGACAAATAGGAAGTGTTTTATAGTAAATCTAAAATAAATGTCTGTTTAATTTTGATTTATTAAATTTTTTCCCATAGAGTAATAACTTATTTAGTTATAAATTTACAAGTACAGAAAATGGAGAAGAATCATATAAAGATAATTAGGGTTAATGGGAACTTAAAAAATCTTAAAATGATATAGTTAAAAAGTATATTTTTATTGTTTATCCAAAAACATAAAGAACTATTGAATTTAGAGATATTGTGATAAATTAATAAGGAAAAATAGATGAAAATAATAATGTCACAGTGATCTATCCTGATTAGAATCATAAATATGAAGGTTAGATAAATAATAGTTTTAAATATTTTGGTAAAGGAAAGTTAACATAAAATGGAATTATTAAAGATGGAATGTGGAGAGATGGTCTACTTTAAGGGGAAGGAAATATTATAGAAAATGGTAAAGAAATATATTTTGGATTTTTTAAAGATGGATTAAAACATGGATAAGGAACAGAATTATTGATTTCAGACTTTTAGTATTAAATTCTTTTATTTTAGTTATCAGGGTCAATTTGAAAAAGATGAAAAACATGGTTAAGGTAATATTGTAAAAAAAGTGGGTGATCAATTTTTAACAATTGAAGAAAATGTTAAATGGAAAAATGGTTAATCTTAAAATGATGTTTGCAATATATATTGAATTATTTTCAATAAATAAATAAATTATTTAAAAAATGAATAAATACTATTACATACAATTAAATTATTATATTAATTGCAAATTAATCTTTCATTTCATTTTTAGTTTTATTTCTATTTTTATTCAGATTTCTGTTAAAAAAGAATTTATTTTAATATAAATAGTCAAACCAAAGATCAAACCAGTTTAATTGTATTTTTACAATAGAACAATTATTTAAAAACACTTTTAGAAAAACCAGTATACTATTAAAGTATGTCTAAAATTATTTAATTGAAAAACTAAAAATACTTTGATAAAATAAAAATTTATAGAAGCATATATTTAGAATTATGTTAACAGCAACAAAACATTTAAAGAGTGGATGATTAGAATTAAAGTANAAGTGTTTTATAGTAAATCTAAAATAAATGTCTGTTTAATTTTGATTTATTAAATTTTTTCCCATAGAGTAATAACTTATTTAGTTATAAATTTACAAGTACAGAAAATGGAGAAGAATCATATAAAGATAATTAGGGTTAATGGGAACTTAAAAAATCTTAAAATGATATAGTTAAAAAGTATATTTTTATTGTTTATCCAAAAACATAAAGAACTATTGAATTTAGAGATATTGTGATAAATTAATAAGGAAAAATAGATGAAAATAATAATGTCACAGTGATCTATCCTGATTAGAATCATAAATATGAAGGTTAGATAAATAATAGTTTTAAATATTTTGGTAAAGGAAAGTTAACATAAAATGGAATTATTAAAGATGGAATGTGGAGAGATGGTCTACTTTAAGGGGAAGGAAATATTATAGAAAATGGTAAAGAAATATATTTTGGATTTTTTAAAGATGGATTAAAACATGGATAAGGAACAGAATTATTGATTTCAGACTTTTAGTATTAAATTCTTTTATTTTAGTTATCAGGGTCAATTTGAAAAAGATGAAAAACATGGTTAAGGTAATATTGTAAAAAAAGTGGGTGATCAATTTTTAACAATTGAAGAAAATGTTAAATGGAAAAATGGTTAATCTTAAAATGATGTTTGCAATATATATTGAATTATTTTCAATAAATAAATAAATTATTTAAAAAATGAATAAATACTATTACATACAATTAAATTATTATATTAATTGCAAATTAATCTTTCATTTCATTTTTAGTTTTATTTCTATTTTTATTCAGATTTCTGTTAAAAAAGAATTTATTTTAATATAAATAGTCAAACCAAAGATCAAACCAGTTTAATTGTATTTTTACAATAGAACAATTATTTAAAAACACTTTTAGAAAAACCAGTATACTATTAAAGTATGTCTAAAATTATTTAATTGAAAAACTAAAAATACTTTGATAAAATAAAAATTTATAGAAGCATATATTTAGAATTATGTTAACAGCAACAAAACATTTAAAGAGTGGATGATTAGAATTAAAGTATCACTGATCAAAATAAAATGCAATTCTAATTAAAAAATAAAAATATATTTATAATAGTCAACTTATAAAATAAAATGTATTTTTCATATAAAATATAATATTATATTTTATCATTTAAATATAAATCTTATTATATTTTTTTAAATAAAAAGAGATGAGATTATAGAGAATTTTTCTTAAGTTATCAGGGAATCAAACTATTATTTGTTAAATTAAAAGCATTTTTAGACCTTTAATACTTTTTCATTCAATTAATATATTTTCTATTTTTTATTATGATTCCTAATTTTAAATCTCTAAAAATAATTTTTAATAAATAACAATTTCATAATTTGAAGTATGTATTTATTATTATGGAAAGATTCCATATTTATTTTCTTATTTAATATTCTTTAGACACAAGTCTTCATAGAAAAGGCAAATGCAGTAGTTGGATCATTGGAAAGCCTGTACATAGCTTTAATAAAAAAAATATTTAATTACTAAATTACAATACTGCTATAATAACTAGTGAATATTTACTTAATGTAGCTCTAGGAAGATATTTCAAAATACAATCTTCAAATGTGAGGCATCCATAAGTCTTAAAAAATTGTGAAAGAAAATAATTTGATAACTAATGTGACTCATAAAAATATGCTCCTTTTATGGATTGGGGGAACAGATCATTCATCAATATATTTTGAGAAAGGGATTTAGAGCTGAAGAATTTGGACTCCTATGAAAAATTTATTTAAGCACTTGTTAAGTATCTATGAATTTAATTTTAATATTTATTGCTCCTTATAGTTCCCAATTACGAGTCAAAAAGTTTTAATTTTTTTTTTCTATTTCTTTTTTAGAGATAGGAAATCAACTTCAATAGACAGGGGTACTCAAAAATGTTTGGAGTTTAATAGATTAAAGTGGCTAATTAGAGTGTTATAAATTTTATAATACTGTAACGAAATTTATCATTTATTATTAATAAAGTTATAGTATTAAATTTAGATGATTTAAATAAAAATAAATTATATAGTTTGTATTCTAAAATAAATAGATACATCTTTAGGGTAGATAATAAAATATGAAATTTTATAAAGGAAGCATACAAAAACTGCATTTGAAAATATATTCATTAACAAAAATTAAAATATCCATTATCAAGGATAGGTTAGAGAAGAAAAGAATAATGCCAATAAAATTTGTAATCATAAATAATAAATAATAAATAATAATTATGTGATTATTGATACTCACATTAAATCATGAAAGATTAAAGAGGAATGGATTTGAAAGTAGAGTAGATAAATTTGAAAGGGGAAATAGTATTCAACCTTATTAAAATTGTAACATGACAATAAACAGTATCCAAAAAGGAGAAATAGATATTTAGCTATAATAAAAAAACCGTATTTATAATTCAAAATTTAATGAGTATTAAAATTTTAAATCATATCAATTGCACCAGAAAATAAATTTTAATTCAATTTTTATAAAAAGAAAAACAAATTTAAAATAAAAGTAGATGGATTTAATAATTTTTAAAGAATAAGAAAAAAGCTGAGTGAAAAAATAAATTGAGTTTATTAAAATTATAATAAAAAGTTATTATGTTTGGAATTAGAAATATTTAATAATTTCTTATAATTATTTCATTGACTATATTAATAGTATCACTTCATTATTAGAAAGAAAGTAATACATATATTTTAAATAAAATTTCTTTATTTAAAATATACTTTTTTATTATAATAAGATAATACCCAAAGACTAATCATTTTTTATTAAAAAATAAGGTCTTTTCATAGAATCTAATATGATGAGATTATTATAATTCAAAAAATAAACTGCTGTTTAATAGAATCCTCAGAATCAGTTTTATTATACAAAAATCATAAAAGGGCTTTGAATTTAATAAGAGTTATTTAAAATATAATAATCTTAAGAACAAAAATTTAAGCATTGATATTAAAAACATTAAAAAAGCTATTAAATTTTAATATAATATGAATTATACACATACTTTACTAAATCAATCTGAATCCTCTTCATCTTCCTGTTATACATCCCTTTACATAAATTATGAAACCCATTGTTCTGCCTACTCCTTGACTTTCTATATGGTTGCACTATCTCCATATTAGTTTTCATATTCTAATTATTTCTTAAATAAAAATTTGATCTTTCTAGGTTTCTTATTATTATGAATAGCCTTTTAAAATATTGATCTAACCACATCAGGTTAACAATATTTAATCACTAAATCTAAATATTATGACCATATATCAGTTCTAATTATTATTCAATTAAAATACCTTGTAGAATTTTTATCCAAAATAGTTTCATATGTAGTTTTTCCTTCTTCAATTTAATTATTCTAAAATTATAATCGTCCATAAAAGGCTAAGAGTTTTACTTGTTTTACTTTTTTCAAACACTACATAGCTCTATTCAATGTATCCTTAAATGAATATTAAGGATTTTCATCATCGTGTACTTTCTACCATTCCATCAAACTTTACAGAAATTCCATCCAACTCTTACAACTTTATTTGTACTTTTAAACAAAAGACTATAAAGATTATATACATTTATATATACTCTTGACAATTCAACTGTTAGATCAACCTTTTCTGCCTTTCTGTAAATATTAATTAATTTTATATGAAGTTTCTTTCCATCACAATTTTAACAGCCTCTCTTAAAGACACTAATTAAATTATCTTCAGATCCAAAATTGAATTCCAAATTTAAATATGCTGTCCATAAATTCAATCTTTCTAATTCATTACTGAAATTGATAACTCTTAATGCTCTTTCAATAACATTTCTAGCACTCTCAATACCTTCATTTTCAGCAACATAAGCCACAAATTCAATCCAAATCACAGATGAATTAGGATTTGTTAATATTTTCCTAAATCATAATAAAATTAATATTACTTCTCATATTCAGCTCTTGATTCTAAATTTTGTACTTCTTCTCTAATTTCTTCTTAATCATTTTCTTCTTCTATCTCTTAATCTTTATGATTTTATTCCTCTTCTGCTTCTGCTTCATCCTCATCTTCTTCGTTATCTTCTCCTTCATTTACATCTTATTAGATTTCCTCTTCAATTCCTTTTATTTAATTCTATTATTCTACTATAACATTATTTTTAATTTAATGTTATTTAACCATTTCTTCAAAACTCTCATACAAATCTATAACATCTTATTGAATATCTCCTAATTCAATTTTTCTCTTCCCTTCAGTATTAATCAATTCTTATATATTGCTTAATCTTAGAACTGTCTAATTATTTTTATTCTGTCTTTATCCAATCACCAAACATTATATTTACTATCCAATCTTAAATAGTTTATTTGCCCACCATCCATCTTCACCTTCCAATCCTTCAGCATCTTTCTTATCCAATTCTCCTTATTGAAGAGTACCCAAAATTTTAACTGCTGCTTTCTCATTTCTAATATTTACAATCAAACCTTATACTACATCTCCAATTCTTATTTATTTTTCATCTAATTTATATTTAAGCAAATTCAAATCTACTGTTCCTTATAATTTATCTAATTGAGTAATCATTAAAACTATTGGTCTATATTTAATATCAGTTTTGAAACCTCTTATTAAACAAGTTGTTTCATAATTTAATTTAACAAAAGTACCATTATGTGTACTTCCTGTAACATATCCCATAACCACTTAACCTACAGACAAAGGAGTTTTTTTGTATAATTATGTTCTAACATCATATTTTAGAGATAGTATCATTTTTTAATAAGAAATTGTATTACTTTTAACAGGATGTAAACATTTATTCCATAATTTATCATTTAGAAATGTTTCTCTGGCACTAGCCCAATAAACTTTATCTTTTCCTATTATTCTACAAACTCCCCACTTTCCTACTGGAAATTATTCAAATAAATTTAATTCCCATAATTCTTATAACTCTGTTATATCAATAGATGCAAATTATCTATTTTTTAATTACACTCTTATATATGAATCATGATGACTTAGAATTCTATAGATTTACTTTGTATATAGAATTTCATTTATATTCTATAATTATTATTGTAATTGATCCTCTTCAGTAATTATAATACCTTTCAATTATTTGTCAAATTCATATAATTTTACTTTAACTGGATGTCCTTATTGGATTTATGATTCTAAATTATTTAAAATTTCTGGATTTTCAACATTTATATCCCAACCATCAATAAAAATATTATAATTATAATAGATTTAAACAACTAATGGTGATTTTGTGTCACTCTTAATATGTTTTATAATACCATAAACAATTTTATTACTATCTTTCTAAATATCTTTTTCTAATTCAATATGATCTGATAAACAAGTCAAATCAAATATTTATTTATTATTTTCTTTGTTTTCTCCTATAATTTAAGCAGTTAATTGAGAACCTACATTTAAATTTTCGAATTCACTTTGTAATTTAAATAATCTATCCTCATTTCTATAACATTCAAAGAAAGCCTTATGAATTCTACCAAATTTTCCATCTTTAAGATTCACATAAATAACATTATTCTTTATTGCACTAACAACACATTAAACTTTCTCTCCTAAACTTAATTTAGTTTTAACATTCTTTGTTAATAAAACATTTTAATTTTATCCTTCATTAATTTATTTCTATTTTGGATCTATTTTTTTTAAAGAGAGTAACAATTTATTTTCACTTTAATTTATGTACTTAACATATACTTTAATTATTTAACCATCTTTAATATCATCAGGGCTTTATCCATCGAGACTCAAATTAGACAGAAATCCAACAATATTCTAAAAGAATTTAACTAGAATTCCATTTTCTAATTTCTTAATTGTAAATCCATATAATGTATCACCTACATTAACTTCATCTAAAGTTTTAAATACTTTAATATCAGTTAATAATGTAGGTTTCATAGTTACTATGATATTATTATGTTATTCATCAATTTACAAAATTCTGACTCTTATTTTGCTACCTATTCTAAATTTAGGTGGATTAGTCAAAGGATAATCTGACATCTAGATAGATGGTAATATAGCATGAAAATTTTCATTTATATTTAATAATACACTGTATGAATCCTCTTTCATTAAAATTTACTTAACTACACCTTTAACAATAGCACCTACATTTAAATCACTTAATTTAGGTTATGAATTGACTTCAAAAGATACAAAACCAACATGATCAAAATAATTTATTTCTTTTATAATGCAAGTTCTTTAGATGTGATCAATAATCTCCTAATCAGCAGGAATCTAAGTTTTGTTTAACATACAAATAGGTCCTAAATTAGGCTATTTAGCTTTTTGAGCTTTCTTGCTTTTTTTTGTCTATACTTAATCATCATTTAATATAGCATTAACAAGATAAGATCCAGAATATAATTGTTGATTAATGACAACTCCTTAATATTATTAACCAACTTAATATGGAGAAATGTAAATAGTATTATCTAAATGTTCTTATTTACTTGAGAGGTAGATTTATCTAGAAGGTTCATCAAATCCAATTATTCTACATAATATATTTTTATCTTGTTCAACTTAATAATCTTAGAATATATATCCTAATACACCAAATTTATTGAGTTTAACAATTTATCCACCTGTAATAGATTTTACATTATTGCATTTCCAAATATTCCCAGGAGTGAGTAGATATTTAGAGATTTATTTCTTATTTTATAATTAAACATCTCTTTATTCAAAATCACAAATGGCAATTTTCTCTTTTTAATTGATTTCTTTAATGTTAAAGAGATAAACTCTTCCACATTTAAGTTTTTTTTCATTAATAAACCCACTAAATTATTAAGATCCAAAATTAATTGTAGTTCCAAATTCATTCCAAGTTTAGGCTATACCTGATATTTACATTCCAATAACTAATTAATTTACACTTAATTGATCATTGATGACATTAGGATGCAAACTCAATTAAACTTTATTGTTCTTTTGTTCTTCTATAACTTTAGTCAATACATATTCTCCTATCCTGTAATCCCCTCCATTAACACCCTTTCTATCTCTGAGATTATGCTAATCCACAAACCCTTTTTTATTTCTAGTAAAATTAATAATTAAATAAGCTCCATTTGGACCTATAGATGAAACACATCCTAAATGCAGAGATCCTACATCAAAAGTCTAATAAATAAGCAAAATTAATCATACTTAATCAGGTATTTTTTATGTCATACTAAGTATTTTTTAGCTTTTCATTTAAAAATAACCCAATATATCTTAGTCTAAATCTCCTAATGCACCATAATCATCTTGATCCAAGATCGGTTACTTATTTTATGGAGCATCATCATCACTAGATATATACTCAGCCAATTAAGCTCTTCTTTAGAGTTGTTTTTTTTCTCTTAGTTTTTTCTTTTTTAGCTTGTCTTCTGTACCCTTTTCATTTTTATATGTAGGAGCTGGGTTAAACATATATTTATCATCTTTCAGTGCATCAATCACTTTTTTTTTCATTAATTAAATTTTTAATAATTATGTAAACTGTTTAAGATAATTCATCGACAATAATTGCTCCTGTTATTGATGAAGCGTAAATCACAATAGGTACAGATGATAGATAATCCTAGTAATATATATTCCTTATTATTCTCTAGATCATTAATTCAAGTCAATCATCATGCTAACATGAAAAGAGTACCAATAACAGTTGTTTGTCCTTAATGTAAACAACAAGGAACAACTGTTATAATACGTGAGGTTGGAGCAGCAACAATAATGGTTGGTTATTTACTCTTCTTACTAACTACGTAAATTGAATTTTCATTAATATAGAATATTTTGTTTTTGGATTCCTTGCTGTGTAGATGAATGTCAAGATGCTATTCATTAATGTCCAAACTGTAAAGCAGAAGTAGGCATAGGTCCCTATTAAATTCTTTGATATATTATTTAGTTAGTGAAAAATTCTCTATGATCGAAATATTCATTTCTTAAAATAAAAATAATAAGTTTATATATGTTTTCTCCGGAAAAGGATTTCATTCTCTATAATGCTTAAAGACCACCGAATATATAAGTTCCTAGTTTTATGACAACAGCTTCTTCATTCAGAAATCAAAAGTTATCTAGCTTAAGGAACAAAAGTTGTGCCACAGCAATCCAAGATGCAGTATATTAAATAAATAAATAGAAGAAACATATATCAACAATAGATTATTAAATTTGTGATAAAAGTGAGCCTATCAATCTTAAGAATGCCTGTTATCCAAAATTCAAATCAGAATAGAGTGAAATGTCTCAAATTGCTAAATCCTAAATTAGTACATTCATAACAGTCCCAAAAATAATTCATTTAATTGATTTCTGTAATAAAAAAATCATAGATGATGAACTTAAAAAAAGAAAACTTAGTTAAGACCAAACTCATAAAAACTTTAACTTAAAGATTAATAATTTTCATGACAATAAGAAATCAATAAAGTTAGTATAAAAAAATACAAAGAGTAATTTCACACTTCCATAAATGTAATCTAATGGAAAAAATGAAATTCAAATTATCTAAGATAAAATAAATTAAAATAAAATAGATACAACATCATTTAATGATTCTCCAGCTCCAAAAATAATTAAAAAGTAACCCAATTTTTAAACCTATACAACTAAATAGCCAATTAGAAGTTTCGATATGCTTTTCAATGTTAAACATCTTGTGAAGTTATAATAAAAAAGATAAAAAGAATTTGAGGAGACTTAATAAAATGACCCAGAATTTTAATTAGAAATTATAAAGAGATAAAATTAAATTTAAATTTTGATGTCGAATACCAAAAAACTAGAATAACTCAAAAAAGCTTCGAAAGGAGTAATCTATTAGTTTAAATTATTTAGATATTATCACACATCAATGAATAAGATCAGTAGGCTGAATAAATATTTTAGGATTTCAAATAGAAATTGGATATAAAATGATACTAATATAATTTTGTTTTATTTTTTCTTATTCAATCTTTTAAGATTAATTTAAGAAGTTTCAAGATGTTTCAAAGTAAAGACCAAGATATTAGAAATATTAATTGTTAGTTATATGTATTAATAAAAAAGATTTAATTTTATAAATTTTGAATTATTCTTTTTAAGATTTCTTTTATTAGAAAAATCTTAAATCTGTGAGAGGTACAGAGATTTTAAAAGTGAACTTTTTTTGTTCATTGAATTAAAATAATTTAAGAATATCATCTATTAGAAAGCAAAAATTATCAAGAGAATAGATTAGATGATCATTTTCGTCTAATCTAAATAGAGATATTATCTTAGAAGGATTGAAAATTGATTTTTATCCTTTGGACAAACTAAGTGCAACCTTGATAAATTAAAGACATTTAAATGTAGTAATAAATTTGAAATCTGCATATATACATTAGATAAAAGATATGTATAATTTATTATTAGACTTCGAATTTTTTAATAAATGATTACGAAGAGATAAGTTAAATTTATTCATCTAAATAGACTTTAGAAAATTTTTATTAGATTTAAAGTTCAATTAAAATTGTAATTTTTTTCAATTTAACCAAATGGCAATTTTGAAATTAAAATGTGAATAATATTTAATGTACTCTATTTTGAAGTGCAAATATATGATGGAGATGAAAATATTATTAAACAAATCAATATTCAAGGATTCTACTAATATCAAATATTCTTTTACAAAACACCTCTTTTTATGAGTTTTTTATTAAAATGTCTTAAAGTTATTATTCGCTAAAAATATGAATTTTTTTTAACATTCTTGTCCTTTGCAATAATAAAAAACAGAATCTACTAAAATCAGTTAAATTTTTTGCACAAGCTTCATAATCTTATATTGATCTCCAAATTTTTAAATGAGATAGAAACCTATTTAAGAATAATTTGATCTAATCTTATTCTTTAAAATTAGTTACTGAAGATAAAAAATTTAACCAAGTCAAATTTTTTACTTCTTCAATTATTGAACTATGAATTACTTATGCTTATTATTCGTTTAGTTTAAAGATCTTTTTAAATATTTCTAAATATTAATTAGTTTTACTAAATTCATCGGAGGCAGATAAGTCTAAAATACTTTCAGGATTTTTTCTTTTTATTTAGTCAATAGATATTTTACTCACAATAAATCGGATTGCTATTGTCTTATATTGCTCCACTAAAACTTAGTTATCACTTTAGAATTCATTTTATGTTAAATTGTATAATTCATACATTTCATAAATTTCATAATATTCCTTATGTAGCATAAGAAACTATTAATAAGATTATCCATCTTCTTCAAAATGTTTAGAAAAAGACTCAAAATACTTAAATTTCTTTTCTTCATTATATTCTTCAAATAGGTTATTTAACAATTTTTAGTATATACATGAGATAGTATAATGTTTATATTCTCTAATATCTGACTACTTATTTTAAATGATTTCAAGTTTTTATAAATTTGTCCATTACTCATTTTTTGGAATCATATATTCAATAAGACCATTTAAAAATTTATTTTAACTTAACTTTAAAACGAAATAATTATTTTCTCTAAGATAATTATGCATAAATTGCTGTATATTCTAATAAATTATATCTAAACTTTAGAACTTTAATGAATTAAAAAAAGCTTTGATTTGATCTTCATCTAATTTATAATTTTTATTGTTTTCCTATAAATTTGGTCTAATATAATAATCAAATATTTCTTCAGTTGTTATCTAATTCATATAAAATAAACATATTAAATTTAGAAGTTGAAATTTTGATTACTAAAATTCTATAGTTTTAATTGAATTGCAAAATTATGATGTATTGATAAAAACTTACTAACAAGTTTCAAATGAAAGTATTAAAATATCTTTACCCCAAGATTAGTTTCCATTTTTCTTAATAATATGATAAATGCTAGCTTAAATTAATAATAAATAAGTGTCTTCTTTATAAGAATCAAGTTTCTGGTGTACCAAATAAGAGATTTTTCTTTTAAAGAGCTCACAATTTAATAATTGACCATTCCCTTCTTTTGCAGACAATAATGGTAAAATACAGTTTGGCTCCTCCTTTTTTGTTTTTAAATGACTATAATATAAAAAATTTAGATCAATAGATTTCTCAACTTTGGAAAATTAAGTTACCTTTATCTAAGTTTATGAGTTTATTTTAATTTTCTTAATTGTAATCCCAAAACCGACAATAGGAAATATCTCTATTAATTCATAATCTTATTTGCATTATTAGCACTTTTATCTAAAATCAGGATCCCTGAGCATATCAACCATATTTTCTAAGTTTATACAAGATACTTCCTATTGTGAGTCTTTAAGGATTATATCTAAAAATTATTATTTCATAAAAATTATTGAATTATTCTACTTTTGTTTTTGTACTATTTTAAATTTGTGATAGAATAAACTATAATTTATTTATTAATAAATTCATAAATAATAAATTGCACTAATTAATATATATTATTTCAGATTCCATAAAAATTAAAAAATAATTCTAATTAAAAGATTTCAGAGTCTTTCTCAGTCATATTTATAAATATTATTAATTTCCTATTTTAACTATTTTATAAATAATTCTTAATAATATACAATAATTTCAAATCATTACATTTTAAATTTCGTACTTCTCTTAACCTTTCTTCCTAATGGTTATTCATCTTCATTAATATCATTTTGATTTGAATAATCATTTTATTAAACACTCCTTACATCTTTTTTATTCTAATTTGATTTTCTTTCCCCATCAAAATTATCTTCTTTTTCTTTCAAATATTGTTCTCTTTATTTAACAAATGTATTGAAATCATCTTCATCTTTAACTTTTGTTTATTTATAGTTTTTTTAATATTTATCATTTTCATAATACTATTTTTCTTAATTATTTGAAAAATCATCTTTTCTACCTTTATAATTTCTTGGTGCTTCATTACTTTCTTCACTATAATCAGTATTTCTTCTTTCAAATCTATCTCCTTTAAATCCTTTTTCACTTCTATCAAATTTATCAAATTTATCCCTTCTTTCATACTTTGGATTTCGATCTTCATATTTATCAAAACTTCTATTTTCTCTATATTAATCTCCATTTGCTTCTCTATCATATTTTTAAGGCCTATCTTTTCTATTATATCTCTCTTTATTATCATATTTATCATATTTTTGTGCATATTTATCATATCTACCTTAATCATTATTATATTTATTTGAATCAAATTAGCGATCATATTTCTATTAATTATCATATTTATCAAATCTATCTTTTCTATTGAATTATTCTGATCTATCAAATTTATTATTATATTTATTTCCTCTATCATATTTATTATCAGAATTTTCATAATAATTTTATCTTTTACCATAATTTTTATTATCATTATAACTATCTATATTTTCTTATCTTCTATCTTCCTTTTTTGGTTAAGTATTTTGATCTTCTAAAAAATCAGCTTTTTTTGTATATTTATCTGTTTTTTTATTTGTATCTTATTAATGAATAGATTCATTTTCAGAAACTTAAACAATATCACTCAAAAATTATTCATTAAGTTTATTTTGGTTAAGTTAAAAATCAATTAAAATGGAATGAAATGTATCTAAAACTCTTGTACTAGACAACCAAAAGCTTTTTTAATCATTTTATCTATAATGATAAAATTATAATAATTTACAAGTTCATTTCATGAGTACTAATGGTTTCTAAAAATTTAGATAGATGTGGTAATAGTAATGTTTACATATTACCTCCATCTGTTTATTAAAATGCCTTTTAACATTTTGCATGATGTGGACATTAAGGACAAACAAAGTCTTCTCTAACTCCTATTTATGCTCTTAATTCTTTAAACAATTATATTTCTGCTTCTTTTGTAGGTGAATCTACTGGACAAGGTGTAGTAATAATTCTGTTGATATCTCTTTTATGAAATCTCCAATAAAAGTTTCCCTTTGGTAAATCCTTAAAAGTATGTGAAATAGATTGCAAATACACCTTAAATAGTTATTAAGACATAATTAAAATAATGTTTTAAATATTTATATTTTGATATATCTCAATGACTATCGTGATGAATATTTACTATGTAAAATGCAGTTTCAATGCTGGAAACAAGAAAGGCTCTATCCTTGATTTCAATACCAAACTCTTTTTCAAGAGCATCATGAATATGAATACAAGTAGCAACATCAACATATCCTGCTGCATCATTCCAATTAGTGTTAAATGTAATTGGTGTCGACTCCCACTATATAGATAATTGAATCAAGATTTACTCTTTCTGGATCTATTTTTCTTAATCTTTCACCAACCACCTTAATGATTCTCTTAGCAGTTACAGCTGGCTAAAGCATAGAAAATATAGTACATTATTATAGACAGAACCATTAGGAAAATGATAGGTATAAAGAGGAGCTTGTGATTGCATACTCTTTACAACAGTAGATATTAATTTATTCATATTTTAATTATTATTATTATATTTGATTAATATACTCATTGTTTCTTAGCTTATTATTTTTTTGGTTATGTTTTTTTGGTTTATTCTTTAGGTTGTTCTTTGGTTTATTCCTTTTATTCTTTTGGTTATTGTTTTTTTTATTCTTTCTTTTCATCCTTGACTTCAACTTCAGCATCTTCCTTTAATTTCTTGATTCTCAACATACCTTATTTTGCAGATAATCCAGCAGGAGTACTAATAAATGAAATAAAATAATACTTGACTTCCCAAGCACCACCAGCAATTTATAATCCAGTTTATGTGCATCTCCAAATACCAATAGCTTATCTTTTGAGTGAATGCTAAAATATTATAATATATATATTACAGCTCCAGTAAAAGTGTTGAAATATCTTTGATGTTATGAAATTTCGAACTTCTTGATAATTTTTCTTAATGATGCACCATATCTGGTACCATATTTTCCTGTAATTCCAACCTTCTTTGTTTTTTTGGTCATTTCAAATAATAATTAAAATCTTTAATTTATTTTTAAATAATTGAACAACTATGAGTGATTCAGATGATGATATTTTTAAAAAGAAGAAGCCAAGTAAAAAAAAAATTGAATAATAACAAAAGTAATAAGAATAATAATTACTACTATAACAATAAAAATAACTTAAACAAGAACTAAATCAAACAGAATAATAAATGAATAATCCAAAACATCCTAAATTAGTTATCTATTGTAGAATATGTACATTCCCTGTTGAATTTTGTTCATTTTCTAAAACACCTAAAGAATGCAAAGAATGGTTAAAAACATCATTTAATGAACTATATGCAATTTTATATCCTGAAGAATTTAAATTAGAATAAGAAAAATAAGCTGCTCTTTTAGAATAGCAAAGACTAATAGCATAACATTAATTATTATTTTAACCTTTAGGAAAAAAAAAGAGGAATAAAACTAAAGTGAAAGAAAGTGATATGGTTTATCTAAAAGTTAAAGAAAGAAATAGAAATAAATTTATAACCACTTTATCAGGATTAGAAAAACATGGTAATTAAATTGCATATTTAAGGTCTTGATATCAAGGAAACTTCGAAAAAAATTAGTAAAAAATTTGGTTGTGGTTCCTCAATCAATGAAAAAGGAGCTATTGAATTACAAGGGGATTTGACTGAAGAATTAATAGAGTGGCTTCCAAAAGAATATCCAAATATTAAAGAAGACATGATTGCAATTAAAGATAAATGAGATTTAAATCAGAAAATATCTATATATTTTTAATATAAATGAAGCACTGTCAAAAAAAGAAAAATTACTCTAATATAAATATTGTCGAAAAAATAATGTGTAGACGATATGATCCTATTTCAAAAGAATAATAATATTGTATTAAATGGCAAAGTTTATAGTAGTAAAGCTAAAAACACTTGGGAACCTTTGAGAGATCTAAAGAATTTTATATTTGACAATGAGAAATTTGAAAATTAGTAGTGTAATAACAATAATAACATATCTCTTGAAATTGATAATAAAAAATTCACATAATTGCTTCAAAATAAATTAACTTAATTTCTTAAAAAAATAGCCCCTAAATTTAAATAATTATAAGAAATAATTCGAATCAATTATCAAAAGCTCATACGAAGTAAAATAATCAAAAATTAAACAATAAGATGCTTTGTCAATATCTATTCTTGATCAATTCAAAGCAAAAATATCAATTCTTACATAAAGTTATCAATAATTTAAACTATACTATAAAAGTCATTATCTATACTATCTTGGTATAGATTTATGAATTATCAATTCTCCTAAATAGAAGAATAAATATTTAAGTTTTTCTTATTTTAAACCATTTAAATATATAAAATTAATAAAGTCATAAATATATATTAAATATTTATTAAACAATAATGATTATTGAGGCTAATTCTTTGGCTGAAGAATTAAGAGGTGTTTCAAGGTACGAAAAAGTAATAAAACAATAATAATTACACATAGATTGCCTATGTTTCAATATTTATGATTGGATTACTTATTATTAAAACAGATGATGCTTACATTACATGTGAAACTACATAAGAGCAATAAGGAATCATTTGGGAAATGGGATTGATTCCTTTAGCTTTTATTGGAGATGTTACTAAAAATTTGAACATTAATATTTTTATTGTAGGATTACTTTAATTTTTGGCTTGTCAATTAAGACTTTAATTTACTATTATTTATTTGCTCTATAAAATTCTGGGATAAGGACAAATGGTATCATAATTAATATATTTAAGAGACTTATAGTTTACTTTACTTAATACCCTTGATAACAAATCTAATATTACCATATTAAAAAGTACTTTTTGGCTTTGCATAATTTGTGTTAGTATTATTGATTATAATGTTAAATAAAACACTTATGCAATAAAAATAACACAAACCTAAAATTAATTTTTAATTTTATGCAAGCAGATTAATAGCATGTATTATATTAATGCAAAAATTGGATATGGTTAATAGTAATTTTTATGATAATCAGGTGATATTTATGAGTATTATTTTTATTTATAAATTAGTACTTAGTTTACCTGTTGTTAAATTATTGTGTAATAGAGTACCAGATATAGCATTTGCTATCCTATTCCTCATTTACTTTTATTTATCAAAAGGTTACCCATTTATATAAAATGTGTTGTAAGGTTTGCTTGTTTGTTTTGTTATTGTAAAACTATTGCCAGTTATAATGGATTAAAAATTTTCAAGTATTTTGTATTCTAATATAATTAGTGACGATTTCGTTACTCTTGCCAATTATAATATTGATTTTCCCTTTGTCAGAATATTTTTTTGTGTTGTTAATCTTCTTAACTATAAGCGAACCACCATAAAACTTATATGAGTAGATTGAATTATGAATAAAAATATATATATTAAAATTAAATTATGGGCAGAGGTGATTTCAATAGCAGAGGTGGAGGAAGAGGTGCCCCTAGAGGTGGAAGTTTCGGAAGAGGAGGTGGAAGAGGAGGAAGACCTCAATAACCATAAGGCCCACCAGCAAAAGTTGAACCATTCGCTACTTTTTCACATGTTTGTGGAAACCAAATTATTGTTAAAGCTTTAGGGAAGCAATTAGTATTAAACATATTTATTATTAGGTTCCAAGGTTCTTTAGAAGTGTATATTTTGAAAATAAGCAATCGATTGGTAAAGTTGATGAAATTTTTGGTCCAATTGAAAATTTCTTATTCTCAGTAACATTAGAAGAAGGAATTACTCCAAAATCAGTACTAAAATATTTAATCAAAGTTCAAATAAGATCAATTGATTTATATGGATGCCTATGATTGCATGCCTATGGATAGATTTTTACCAAGGCCAAAAGGTGCACCAGGAATAAGCAGAGGTGGAGGCAGAGGAGGATCAAGAGGTGGAGGCAGAGGAGGACCTAGTAGAGGAGGACCAAGAGGAGGTGGTTTTAGTAGAGGAGGACCTAGAGGAGGAGGTTTTAGTAGAGGAGGACCAAGAGGAGGCGGTTTTAGTAGAGACGGCGGATAATAAAGAGGAGGTTATGGAAGAGGTGGATTTAAAAGATGATAAGAATATTACATTTATTTGATCAACATTCATATTTTAAGTAATACTTAAAATTCTATTTTGTATAATGAAAATTATTTTAAAGAAAATTTTATTAAAACAATATCATTATTTTTAATAAAAAGTTTCACTTATCTATTATCTCATAATTTTATTCATTAAAGACTTCTAATGTTCTGATTTAAGTTAATAAATTGAATTTTTTATAATTTTATTTAAGAAATTTGTTACAATTTATAAGTCAATCATAAATTTATAATTAATTTTCAATAAAATAATTAATTTATTGGATTAAAAAAAGCTATCTTTATCATATTATCATTTATTAATATTTAAAAACAAAAATATATAAATTGTTGAATAAATCAATAAAAACTTGTGCTAGTAGTAGATCTATTGGATAATTTAATTTTTGGTTAAAATGTACATTATTTAGCCTCTTTTTATTCTTATTATTCTTTAATCTATTTTATTTTTTATTCTTTAACTATATTTTCTTTCATTGCCTTTTAATATAAGGCAGCTGGACCTTTAAATGTTTATCTTTATTTTGCTATAATCTCAGATTTTTAATTTAACTAAGGTCTAAAAGTACTAGAACTATCAGGTTATGTCTTTTACTATTTGGGTTATTTTTAAAATAGACGATTTTTATCAAAAACACTCATTTTTTCAATTATATCAAGACATTTTGCTGTCCATGTTTCTATATTTAATAATATATCCAACTTTTCTAATTATAAAATGACTGGCTGTAATAGTTCTAAAGCTTCTGTTGGCAATTCTTCGAGATAAATATTTTGAGCACTAATCAATCCATCATTATCAGAATCCATTAATTTAAAATATTCTTCTAATTTCTTTCTTCTCATTTATTAAACTATTTAATTAGATCTATCAGTTTAGATTGATTTACTTAAATCATCATATTCAAATTAGATTATTGATTCTTCATTTAAAGATTTTTATTATTAATAAAGGTATTCTCCAATATTAAGTCCACCTCTAGATCTATTGGCACTATGAACTTATGGTTGAAATAGTTTTTATCCACTTTTATCATCATACATTAGAGATTCTTCAATATCTTATTTTAATTTATCTTCTTTAATCTTTTTTTACATTTCCATTCTTTCTAAAAAAGGTAGATATTATTTATTTTAAGATTTATTTGGAGTTACACTCCTTTTTGTTAACTAGGTTTGTGATTCTTAAATAATAGAAGTTTAAGATTTATCATTAGCTTTTCTTTTTTTAGCTTAATTGTATAATTAATCAAATTTAGTCATACTTACATCTTTCTTAATAATTTCCTCGCATATTTTTTAGGAGCTATATAAAAAATTATAATTACATTTTATTAATCTCAGGTCTGAAAGAACATTCTCTTGAAGTTTCATTTAAAAGTTATTATTCTGCTTTTTTTTTTTATTCTTATAATTATTATCCATATTTCATTAAGTAATATTCTGGAGTATTATTTCTGTTTTATCTTATTGTACTAACAATTTTTAATGTATTTTAATTGAGTTTTGGTTTGAATGTTGCTTCTCTAATAGATTCTTCTTCTTTTAAAATTCTCTGCTTTTAGATTGCATTTTTCTTATAGTTCATATACTTAACTTATTTCTCATAGATATCAGTTTTTTTTATGCCATTTTATGATTTGTTTAAGTTATCATTCTTATTTTCCTTCTTTTCCTAATTAACTTATTTTATTTATTTGATTGCTTAATCTTGTAGAGGTTTATTAGTATTAGTGTTACTTATCTAAGTGGATTAATTTACGAAGCTAAAATAATTTTCCTTTTCATTCAGATTCAATTTAATATTTTGAGCAATAACATCTTTTATTTCATCCTTTAGATGATGCTTCTCACAAAATTGACTAGCCTTAACTTCAATATCATCTCCCTCATACAAATAGATAATGTCATGTTCATTTTATCCAAGTTAAATTGTCAACTCCAACAATAATTTTCTGTTATCTAATAATCCTAGTTCGGCTAGCAAACTTTCTTAATCAATCATACAAGAATTCGTTAAAATAATTAAAATTATATTATATGAACATTCAGATACATTAAAATTCATAGGATTTCTATTTTCTTGTTGGTAAACTTAAAAGGGCATTTGAAATTAAATAGTCAAAAGTTATCTTATCTTTCAAATCCCTAAAAATTTTAATTTTATATCTAAATATTTAAATATTTATTTTATAATATATGACCTATTTTTAAGATTAAATTGTTTAAAATCAAATGAGAGATATATCAAAAATTCAATAATTTTAAATGCAAAAAGTTTTATTTTGATTATTGATGAATAATAATTCAAATTTAATTATTGAAGCTTAATATGATATTTTTGTTCTGACTCTAGAAAATTTTATTGATTGGTGATGAATAATTTAGAAAAATTCACAGATTGAATTTTTGTACAATTATATAATTGTCAATTGAAATAAACAGTTTTTAATTAGAAGATTTTTGAATTAGTAAAAATATAATAAGTTAATATAAAATCAACTATGATAAATGATTTATTAGCTTTTAATTCAAAAACTTTTAGGTGAAGATATAAAACAAAATAAAGTGATAGAAAATTTTATTATAAGATATACAATTTTTTTTAAAATCTCAAAGTATGGTAAAATGATATTTTTAGAAATTAAGGATAACATTATTGATTTATTGCTGAATTTTAAAAGCAAAAGAAAGATTCCTTAGAAATAGTATGTAAAAAAATAAATTAGTGAAATTATAATAATAACAATCTATTTAATAACAAATTTAAAATATTTATACCTATTTTTTTATTTAAAACAATCTAATAACGATTATCTCTAATTCCAGAAAGCCTTGTAAAAACTCAAAAGATCCATTTTAAGTGTAATCTTAAAGACTTGTATATACATGTAATATTTATTATATTATTTTTTATTCACCATCCTTGAAAATAATTTTAATTAGGTTCATTTTTAATCTGTTTTTGAATATTGGTTGGTTATTCTTCAGCTACAATTTTAAAAATAGTTTCGCTTTTTTTATAGATTAATTTTTATACTTAGGATTTGGTTGAAATATAGGTTTTAATTTTTTTTGCTCCAATTCCTTCCAATTAATATCTTTAAACCACTTATGCATTTTGATATCATTGAAACCTCCTTTCAGATTTCCTAGCCTATTCATATAGTTTGGTTACAATAATCCACTCACCAAACTCTTTGCTTCTCTATATAAAAAGGAATTATAATTATTTACTATGAAAAATTTTAGGTGAATTAATACTCCCCTTTTACTTTTGCAAAACACTGTTAACTAATATCCTCACTAAAAGGGAATTTTCCTTCCAACATTTAATAAATCAAAATTCCTAAAGAATAAAAATCAACTGGTTTCCAATGCCCTTAAGTTATATAATTATTAGTTTTTATACCCTCAGTTTACATAACTTCTGGAGGTAGATAATTTAAGTTGCATATAAAAGTGTAGGTCCTCTTTTTAGTTTATTTTGCATATGAAAAATTATCTAATTTTATATAACCATCAGATCCAATCAAAATTAATTCTGCATCTACACCTCGATATAGTATATCTTTTGTATGCAAATACTCAAGCGCTAGAACAACTTAAGCTGCATAAAATCTAATTTTATTTTACAAACTTACACTGCCAAATTGTTTTCCAATTTATTTTTGATAGAGATCAGTGACCTAAGTGATCCATAATTCATATTCTCTTGAATTAGATATAGATTCCTTTAATCCTAACATGTTCCTAGCATTTTAATCTAATATAAAAATTTATGTACTATGAAAGGATGATTTGTAATAGATAAGATATTCTTTTCATTCAGAGCTAGAGCCTTTACACGTTCTATTCCTAAATCAGTAGATTTTGAGTTATATTTTATGATTGCTAATGGCGGATCTTCAGTTTTTTCTATAACATATTAATATATTAATATATTAACATTTTGAGTATTCTTTTATTATTACTAACTTGCCAGTCTTTTTGTTTTTAGCTTATTTTTATATAAAATGACTCTCTGTTTCAGAAAAAAATTAAACTAAAATTTCATAATCTTCAATTTTTGGTTTAGTCTCTTAAAGTGCTTTCTAATCCATTTTAATGTGTTATTAATAAAATAAATTTAATAATCAAATTAATATCCTCTGAGATCTGTTTATCAATTATATACTTATATTCAATCAATTTTCTATTAATTTAATAATATTAATTTTACAATTCTATTATTATCACACCATAATAATAATAAAAAAATATAAAATAATTTACTTTATAAGTTAATCCAATAGCAATCAAAATTGATTTAGTTACTTTATGTATTAAAATTCTTTAATACCAAGATACTCTATTGAATAAATTACAATTCTATTAAAATGAAAAACTAAAAATATCATGACAAAATGTTCTTAAGAGCGAGTGTTGCGATCATATAAATAAAATTAATCAATCGAAAAATTTCTAAAGAATATGTTTGAAGTCTACCAAAATTTTCATAAATTATTCTATCATAAAATACATAAATCCTTATAAATGAAATAATAGAACTATAAGTTTAAATATTCCTTTTCTACAGAATCTGAATTAGAATGGGAATAAACCTAAATATGAAATTAAAGATTTATTGCAATTAATATAATAATTAAATTTAAAGTAATAATATTTCTTGATTTAAATAATTAATTTATTCAAAATTAATCAAATATATTGCAAACATTATTTTTAGATTAACCTTTTTTCCATTTAACATTTACTTTAATAGTTAAAAGTTCATTACCAAATTTTTTTTTTCAATTTTACCTTATTCATTTTTTTTAATGAATTCCATTTTATATTATAATAAAATATTTATTATTCTCCAAAATATTAAAAACTATTATTTATTTAACAGTTATTACTAAAAGTTTTGATATATCAAAATTAAATAAAGATTTACTTAATCAACTTTCCTTTTTGTTTTTCATTATCTGTTAATTTTATATTAGTTTGTGCATTAGGTTCTTATATAGTAATACTTTCTAAAAAATAATTGTAATCACAATTTTAGAAGACAAAAAAATTTTATATCTTTGATTTATCTAAATTAATTTTTCCAACTTTTCTTTTTTTATTAAACTGTAAAAATTCAATTTTTATTGAAATTTTTCTGCTTTAGATTTTAGCAGTTTGACATTTTTTAATGATGCAAAATTTTCTTAAAGCTTAAATCTAAAATTTTTTATCAACAAACTTAGTTAAAATTGATGCTAGTAAATTATATTTTACATTAATTAGCTAGTAAAAAAATAATTTTGTATATTATCCTTAAAGTAATTTACTAAAATAAAGACTTCTTGATTCTATCCTTCAATAAAATTAAAAAGATTTTTTTATTAATCAGGAACTGTAAAAAAGGGGAGATTATTTATATCATTATAGATATATTTTGTAGGATAGGAATTTAACTGCATTAACATAGCACTTTTGAATGATTTAGATAAGGAAAATTTTATTAAGATGTAATTATAAATTAAAAATCATTATAATTTTTTCTAATTAATAAACTTATAATGACAAATTCTTAAAAAGTATATCAATGTTCAAATGATGTTAAATTTTTTCATGCATATCTAATAAGAATTATAACAACCATTTAAAGATCGAAAATAACATAGGATCATTCTGAGCCTCTTTGTCCTCTTGAAACCTTTTTAATCAATCAAATCAATTAAAAATTTATTTTTGAAAAGGAGTATGTCACTTAATCAAAATTTCTTTTTTATTTGTTAATATTTAAATCTTTCTTTATGTTCACAAAATTAGTATATAATGCATATGGATGCTTTTTTATTAATAAGATAAAATATTATCTAATCAAAGTATAAAATCAAGTACAAAGCTTGATGTATATCATCTGAACACTATTAAATCAGGCATTGAATATTGCTCTATGAATTTAGTGTCATCTTTAAAATAATCATTTATAGATTCTGATTCTTTTAAGTTCATTAAAAATTTAACAGAATTATAGAACAATATTAAATGAAGTTTGAACATAAAAAGAAATTCTCTGTGCATTTAGATATTTCATAACTTAAATCTAATTCTTATTTAAACTATCCTCTATCTACTAAAAGAAAGTTTGATAATCCCTAATCAACTAGAAAATTGGATACTTCACCTAAGAGTGTAAGTCCTAACAATTCATTTTTGTCTTCTGATAGGAAACTGCAATAAAAATACCCTATAAATAACTGTAAAACTAATTCACTCAAAAGCATACTCTAACCCTATAAAATTAGGTCACCATCAGACAAAGAAAATCATCACAGTTTTTTAAGCAACCGAAGTCAATTAAATAAACTACCTCTCTTAACTGAATAATTTCTTAAATTATATAATTTAACAAGAAATGAACAAAGTGAATTGAATGGACTAAAATAAGTATAAATTTATCATTATTTTTAAGGTATATTATTATAAATAACCAAAATGTCTTGTAGATTAACCTAATGGAGATTATTCCTATAATATTAAGGATCATATAAGATATTAATATGAAATTGTGAATCTTTTAGGTTAAGGCAGTTTTGGTTAAGTATTTTAAGTATTGGACCATAAAACGTAATAATTATATGCTTTAAAAATAATCAAGAATCAAGAAAAATTAAAGAAGTAAGCAATTATTGAAGCTAATATACTTTAATATATCAAAGATCATGATACAGATTAATTATCAAATATAGTTAAAAATATTGAATAATTTACATTTCGAGGACATTAATGTATAGTTTTTGAGAAATTAGAGTAAAATTTATTTGAATTGATTTAAAAATAAAAATTTAAAGGAATAGATCATGAATTAGCAAGAAAAATAGGTATTTAATTGTTGAATTCACTTAATTTTTTAAATAAACATAAGATTATACATTGTGATATCAAACCTGAGAATGTTATGTTATTAGATAATTCAAAAAGTGGAATTAAATTAGTTGATTTTGGTTCAGGTTGTTTTGTTGGTTAATAGATTTATACATATATACAGAGTAGATATTATAGAGCACCTGAAGTAATATTTGGATTAAAATATGGTATTGAAATTGATATGTGGAGTTTTGCATGTTTAATATCAGAATTATACATAGGAACTCCAATATTTCCAGGAGAAGATGAGATTGAATAAATTAATTTTATTATTGAAATTATTGGAGCACCTACTGTAGATTTTGCATTAAAATGTCCAAGAAGGAAATATTTCTTTGATGAAGATGGACATCCAAAGAAAAATATTAAATCTTATAGAAAACCAAATTCAGTTAGTCTCTATGATAAATTAAGGACTGAAGATTCTGATTTGGTTGATTTTTTACTCAGATGCTTTGCTTGGGAACCATAAAATAGATTGTAACCTTTAGATGCACTTAAACATCCATGGATAATTGCTGGTCTTCCTAAAGAGATATAAAAATAACATAAAAAATATATAGAACTTGAAAAATTACTTCAAACATAGTAGACTCCATTAGTTTCACAATTATGTTTTTAAGGATCAAAGTAAAATAAATCTAAAGATCATTATTAAGAGGATTGTCATTTTAAAACTAAGAAATAAATAAAATCCATACTGAATATTAATACAAATATCAGTAATATATCTGATCCTAAAGCTAGTATTAAATCTATTTTAATATAGTATTGAGTTGTCGTTATAATGATAAGCCTTTACAATCTGAAAGGTAAAGATAGAATATTGCTTCATCTATATACAAACTGCTATCTGATAAACCAAAGAGTAGGAAACCATCTTGTAATTGAAAATAACTTTAAACTTACTACTTCATTTAAATGATTTTTTTTCATATATAATATTTGATTGGATTTAGATTGTTTTTTATCTTATTAGTTTATTATTTTTAAATATTCTCTATTCTATTCTAACTTTTATAATTAAGAATTGAAATTATTATATATATTTGAACATGAGTAATAAAAGAAAGCATAAGGTTAAGCAATATATAGAAATTGAAATTAATGAAACATATAAGGATACTCCAACTTCTAAGCATGGAGATAGTTAGAGCAACGAATTGGATTAAACTAATAATTCTATTCAACAATAAGAACCAGAATAAAAATATAAATTTAATGTCATACCTTTAAAAGTAATAATTTATAATTAAATTATAGGTTGTGACATTAACTGTATTTCTTTTTATATTAGGTGTTATTTTTGTTATTTTTGGATTGATATTTTTAATAAAGAATCCAAAAAAAATTCAATAATACCTTTCTCTCTTGATAGTAGGTAGTTTAATGATAATTCCAGGATTATATTATAGTTGCTTATTAATTAAATTTATTAAAGCAGATTCTAGATCGATTTAAGAAAAGATCCTAAATGAACTTCCAATAGATTGAATTATAAAATAATTTTAAATTTAGATAAAAAATGAATTCTTAATATATAATGATAATATTCACATTTTATCTATGTAAATCAAATAAATTTTCAATTTGATATTTGATAATTAAGTTAATAAGAGATGTCTTTTATTAAATATTCAATTTAAAGTTGTATAAAATTATATTTTAAATATCATAATATATAATAAAATTGGGTTTTAGTAAGAACATTTAATATTCATGAATAATTACTAATTTTTGGTAACCTAAAATTAATATTTAGGTAAAATAAGAATTTAGATGATGAATAAACTCAATTTTATAATTAATACGTTTTTATTGATAAATGCACTACGTTCCAATATCATAAACAGAGAGGCATATATCAAAATTGAAGCACAAAAATAAACAGAAGACCATGTTTATAATAGTGGGAGCATTACTAATTTGTTTAATAGCAATGTTGGTGCTTATTGTATTAGATGTTAATAGTATTGTTTTATTATATTAGATTATGTTAAGATTAACAGTATATTTTAAATATGGTAACCATAAACTACAGTAGCAATGGTTTAGACATAAAGAGATGTAATATCTTCAAAACATAAACAAATTGATTAAGAATTATTTCATCTTAAATCAATATTTTAAGAAAAGGCATATAAAGAGGCCACAAATTTAAAATTACCTATAATAGATAAGAATGAATATCAATATTTCACTCTATAGAATGGATTAAAAGTATTAGTGATATAAGATCCAGAAGCTAAAATAGCATAAGCAGCATTATGTGTAAATGTAGGTTCATGGACAGAACCAGATGAATATCCAGGTTTAGCTCACTTTTTAGAACATATGTTATTTTAAGGATCAAAGAGTTATCCATAGGAAGGATATTTCTAAAAATTGGTAGCAGAAGGAGGTGGATCAACAAATGCATATACTAGAGGAGAAGAAACAAATTATTATATGAAAATAAATAATGAAAGAGTAGTGGAAGCTTTATAAGTGTTTGCTCATTTTTTTATTGATCCTTTATTGGATTCTAGTATGGTTGATAGAGAAGTAAATGCAGTAAATAGTGAATATGAAATTGCAGTATCAGGTGATTTATGGAAGATTTCACATTTATTTTAGATTTTATCAAATAAACCAATAGGTAGATTTACAATAGGTTCATTAAAAACTTTAAAAGATCCAATGAAAGAATTAGTAAAATTTCATTCACAATACTATAGTGCAAATATTATGAGTTTAGTGGTAAAATCAAATTATCCTGATATGGCCAAATGGATTAGAGAGTAAAGTGATTTTTCATAAATTCCAAATTTGAATTTGAAAAAAAGATAAAAATTACATTTACCTTTAAAAAAAACAGGTTTAATGGTTAAATATAAAACAAATGGAGATAAAAATTAATTAATTTTAGCTTATTAATTGGATTCTCCTAGAAGTGCTAAAAAAAGCAAAACTTTACCTATGATAGCATCATTAATAAAATCAAAACATAAGGAAGGATTATTAGATTATTTAGTTAGATAAAAGATGGCTTTAAATGTTGATGCAGGTACATTTTTAGAAGGAAATGGAGATTTTACATTCTTTCTTATAGAAATTGAATTAATTGAAGGAGTAGATGAACTTAAAGTAGCTGAAACTGTTACTGGATATTTTAATAATATGTTAGATTAATTCTTTTAAGAAGTAGATAAGAATGAAATTAATTATACTCCATATTTAGAAGAAATATGGTAATAATACAAATAATTGCAATTATCACAATTTAATTATCTAGATAATAATCATTATCCTACTGTATAATAAATAGCTCATAATCTAAATTACTATGATTATACTGATGCAATGAGTATTGAATTTTTATATGAGGAATTCTAACCTGAAATTATTTATAATTATTTGACTGAAATGCTCAATCCATCAAATATTATTATATTTCATGGTTCACCTAAATTCACTAATCTTAAACAATCATCAGAATTATATAGATTAGAATATGAAATAATTGCTCTATCTAAAGAACAGATTAAAAAATTATCTAGTGCTGTTACTACTAAAGTTGTACTTTTTGATTGGATTAAAAGCAAATAATTACCATTATTATTACCTAAAATTAATACATTTATTCCTAAAGATTTTAGTATTAAATCACTTTGTAGAGAGTAAACTTCATTTATATAAGCTCCACTTGTGTTTAAAAGCAAAGAAGATTGTATTTAACATGAAAAAGAATATGAAACCATTAATCATTATCCTCTTATGATTAAAAGAACTGTAGAAACTAAGGCTTGGTGGAAATTACAAAGATAATTTTAAGTTCCTCAAATATTTACAGGTGTTATGTTTAATACACCTAAATCTATTAATTCATTAAAGGATAAACTCTTAATTTAAGTATTTAATACTCTTGTAACTGATAATTTAAATTAAGAAATCTAAGAAGCTATAGATGCTGGATATCAATTTTAATTTACTCCAAGTATTAAGGGAGTTTCACTTGAATTATATGGATGGTCTGATAATTATTAATCATTCTTTGAAAAAGTTCTTTAATCCATAAATAATATAAAATATGATTCATTCTATTAGGTGAAATAGAAATTAATGATTTATTACAATAATATTTATTAAGACAAATTATTCAGAGTAGCTATGTCAGAATATTTGAATTAAGTTGTTTAAGCTTAATATTATACATCTCAACTCTTTTAAGAAGAATTAGCAAACCTAAATTTGGAAAGTCTACAAGAATTTCATTAAAACTATTTCTCTAACTTTAGAGTATCATCTTTTGTGAGTGGTAACATTCTTAGATCTGAAGTAGAAGATCTATTACATTCTATAAGGAAAGTTTTTCATAAATCAAGTAGTCATACATCAGAAGAACCTCATGTTTTTAATATAAGAGATTTCACAAACAAAAATGTTGTTTTTCCTTTAATTCATAAAGGTGGTGATAATAATGATGTTAATGGAGTAACAATTAATTATTATTAAATTGGTCATAGAAACAAAAAGAATTTTGCTATAATGAATCTAATTCAATAATTCTTCCATAATCATGCTTTCTAATATCTAAGAACTGAGAGATAATTAGGTTATGTTGCTCTTATGAGATTCATTCCAATTGGTTGTATAGATGGTGCTGCAATAATTGTTTAAGGAACAGCATAAATGCCTTATGTTGTTAATTAACATATTGAAGACTTTTTGAAACAATTCCATAATGTTCTTTTATCATTAGCTGATGATTAATTAGATAATATAAAAAATGGAGCTGTATTAATTGTATTCTATTTTAGAAATCTGCTCTTTAAGAGAAGGATAAATCATTATATGATGAAAGTGCTTATATTTGGAGTTAGATCAGAGGTAACAATCTTTAATTAGAAGAGAAAGAGATTGCTATTGCTATGATAGATGAAATATTATAGAAGGTATTAATTATTATTATTATTAAGGATATCATAGAGTTTTATGAAAAATATTTTATTAAATAATAAAATAAGTTAAGTTTATAAATTTATGGTAAAGGTTTGAGTGAATAATTTAATTAAGTTAAAGACAATTTATTAGATAAGGAATAGATTATTGAATTGAAAACTCTTAATGAATTTAAATGTGCTTATACCTTAAATAATTTATGAAGCAATAATAATAAATAAGAGATTATTAAATAAAAATATTTTTATTAAATATTAGCTATTTTATTATGATAGTATAAATCATTATATTTTCTCCAAAATACTTTTCTAAAATTATTTAATAGCAATTTCAGTTTATGGTCTTAGTTCTAAATCAAATAATTTTCTATAAAAATTGAATTTATATTATTACTTTTCATAATTCTTTTTATGATACATATTCCAAACTTATTATTCATTTTTACTTTATTTAGCTATAATTCCTCTAACTTAATCATTTTCTCTCATAATAAGTGTTATTATATATACAATTTTTAAAATAATTCTTTTGCCCAATAATGTGTTTTATTTGGTCTTGGACTAGGAACTTCAACTTTAATGTTTTTCTTTTTTCCCAAATAAACATTTTGATGGATTGAATTTTGTCTGAACAATGTAGGTGATCTTTATTATCCATTTTCTTTTTTTACTCTGAAATTAATGGCACTTTTATTTTGATCTACTTTTCCAAACTTTCTTTATTTTCTTTATTGCTTGATATTTTAAACATATAAAGTAAACTCCTTTAATGATTCTACATTTTTTGTTGTATCTGGAAGTATAAGATCTGGTTTGTTTTATTAGTTTTATTTAGGTTATTATTTAACAGCTGACAAGTATTCGACTTCATGATCAATAAATGGCTAAGGAATAGGAAACTTTTTAAATCTTTAGAAGTTTAGTTTAGATAATGCTATATGATTGCATTAATAAGTGTTATTTTCCAAATAAGTGAAGAGATTATTCAATCTCTATAATGTTTAACAAGGACTTTCAATCATTTTCATTTATAAATAAAAATATTCATTATTTTTATTACAAAAACTCAATTATTTCAGAATGATTGTATAATTTTGCTCTATCTAATGCTGTCATACCCAATTCATCTTTAGCATCTAATTCAGCTCCATATAGTTTCAAATCCTATAACATTTTTAATCTCCCTAGACTTGCTGCTAAATGAATTGGTCTCATTCCTTCATAGGTTTATTAATTCACATTTGCTAAATGTCATTTATAATATACTTATACCTTAATATAATAAACACAATAAAAATATTTCATATCTATCTATTACTATACTCTAAGTAAGTAGAGTTTATCCTGATTATTCTATTATCTCTTAATCAACATTGATATTTCCACTTTCAAGATCATCCTTTATTTATTTTATTCGATTTTATCTTAGATCACTCCATGTGGCATTTTCTCTTATTTCTTCTCTAACTATAAATGATTCATCCTTTCTGATAATACCCAATTCTAAATTATACAACTATATTACTTATAAGGAATCTATTTATATAAGATTATAACATTAAATTTAATTTTGTGGTTATATGTTTTCATCCTATAGAAAGAAATTGTTTGATTAGAAACTTGCAGAATAACAATAAAATCTCCATTAGTAGAAGGAACTGAAAATAAGATAGAGTCGTGGTTAAATTGATTAAAGAGCACTTGCTACCTATTTAGGAGCGTATATTCAAATGAAATGTATTAGATTTTATGGATTTTTAAGAAATTGAGGATTTCTTTTATGAATAATGTACCAATTAATGTATTGATATCTAAAATGAATGGATGAATGATAAAGAAAGATAGTGTTTGACAGATTGTAATAGTAAAATAACAAAATTTGTTAAAATTGCTAAAGATAATTATGCAAATATTGATGATGATACGAAAAAAGTTGTTTCTTCTGTTTCTTCATTGTTAAATAGAAGATGATTTATAAATTTAATAAATTATATAACATATTTAGATCATTTCTTCAAATATAAGAATTATCTCAATATAATTATATAAATTGTTAAACTTAACTTAGATTATGTCTTTACATAAAAGGAATTTATAAGACAATGAATGTAATTACATAAAAATTAATTATTACACTTAAGAAATATATATTTTAAAATATTTAACAAAGAAATGATTAATATAAATAATGAGTAATCATTCTAAGAGATCAACTCTTATGAAATGTAATACTGTTAAAGCACCTAAATAATTAAGAAAAGCCAAATCTTTTTATTCTTAAGCTGAAACCTTTCAACTTAGTAATCAAGTTGATGGAACTGATGAAAAATTAAAGTAATTTTTAAAAGAATATAATAAATAGAAAATTAGAATAATCATTCCATAACTAATCTGATTTTAAAATTATGTAATCTTAACCTAGATTTAATAAGACTTTTTCAGTTCATAAAAAAAATAATATTGTTGATACAATTATTCCAGAATGGTTAAAATCTAGAAAAGATTTTTAATAAATTTGTTATACAGAGACTATTAATGATTTATTATCTGTTCCTAAGATTATTTTGAAATAATAAAGAAATACAATTGAAGATTAAAAGATTAAAGATTGGATTCAAAATAAAGTTTATGGATTACCTGATGAACTCTATAAAGATATCACTTAAATTATGACAACCAGAGTATTTGCATTTGAAGAAATATTTGATGTTGATCATAATATAACTGTTTTGTATGAAGGCAAAGTTTAAAGAGTAAATAAAGATTTAGGATTCCCTATTAATGGTCCTCCCATTAAAATAGGTGAATTCTTAAGTGATGAATATTTATATATGGTTAAAACTGATGTCATTATTGTAGAAATCCCAAAAATTGAATTAATGTAACTAATGGATGGATTCAAAATTTCAAAATTAGAATAATTTGTATAATAAATGAAATAATTTCCAGCTTTCAAATCTATTAAAAAGAATAGTTTACATAAAATCATTACAAGAGGATAATTATAATTGATTATTAAGAATTATTAAAGATTTTAAAGGGCTTCAAATTAAGAATACTTAAATATTCTCTTCTATGGCAAATTATAATTAAATCTAAGAAAATTAATAAGTAAAATGAATAAATGGCCTATTAGTTAAAATTAATGGGAAACCAAAACATATTATTAATATTAAGATAGAATATTAGAATTAGAATCTCTTAATTGTTTTGGACTTACAGATGATTAATACACTATATCGACAAGAGAAAGTTGTGTATTATTATAAATAAGAAGAAATATTTTAGAAACAAGTATTAATGCAAGAGATTAACATAGTTTTAACAACAGAATAGATAAATGATTTGAAATAATCGATTGATATATTTAAGTAAGAATCTAAAAGTTAATGGAGAGAACGAATGAGAAAAAAGTTTGATTAAGAAATTATTTAATAGAAAATAAGAATGGAAAAAGTAATGATTGCATTGCTAAATAATTGATTATATAATATTAATGTCTTTTTAAATATAACATTATGTAATAGGTATCAAAATTATAATTATCAATAAGATTAGTTAATGGGAAATGGTAAATATGGAAAAATTGTGATTGCTAAACATTAATTAGTAAATGAAAAAGTCTGCATCAAAATATTAGAAAAAAAGAATCTCAAATTTAATCAAGATCTTCAAAATCTTGAAAATGAAATATAAATACTAAGATAAATTAAGCATTCAAATATAATCTAATTATATGAAGTAATCTCTATTCAATTAATATAGATTTTGGAATCTACATAAAATATTTACATCATTTTTGAATTTGGTGAGGGATATGACTTGAAACAGAAATTAAATTAATGTCAAAAGTATCATAATTATAATTTATTGAATTTCAGAGGCCTAATCATTAATATATTTACAATAAATTGTAAAAGGAGTTTCATATTTACATGAAAATAATATAGTTCATTGTAAACTTAGATTAGGGAATATTGTTTTATAAAATGGAAAACCTAAGATTATTGATTTTAGTGAAGCCATCAAAATAGATAAATAAAAAGATAAAGATTATTCCATAATCAAATTATCATATTAATCACCAGAAATGTTAAACTAACTCTATTATGAATTTGATGGTTAAAAATATGATATTTGGTGTTTGGGTTTAATACTTTATTAAATGTTGTAAGGTTAATTGCCATTTGATAATATAACAAATAATAATGATTTAAAGAATAAAATTAAAAAATCTAAATTTTAAATTAATTATCCAATCTCATAGTAAGTTTGTTAATTACTAGAAGCAATGCTAAATGCTGATCCTAATAAAAGAATTACACTTAATGATTTAAAATATTTCTTAGACACATAAAATCTTATCTTTGAAGATGATTATTTGAAAGTACCTATAGATATTCCAATACATATGATAATTTAAGAATTGGAGAATTATTAGATAGAAACAGTTAATTTATTTCAATAATTAGAATAGAATAAACATTGTACATAAACTACTTGTTATTATTTAATAAAAAATAAATTAATGAAATTAGCTAAACTTAACAAAATTAAATTAAATCTAACGAACTTTGAAAATAATAAATTTAATTTTATGATAAATTTAAGAAACAGTTTATAATTTACAACTACTAAATGTAGAATTTATTAGAATGCTACTAGAGTTCATACTGAAAATAACAATACTAGATCTGATAATTTCTCTTAACATTCATATAAATATAGATCTTTAAGTAAAAAAAATAATAAGAAAACTCCATTAAAGAAATAGTTTGAATAATCTCCAAAATTATCATAAACTTAAAATTCTTTCTTTCCTTCATAAAATTTTTCTAATATTGATTAATAATAGAATAGTATTATCAAAGGAAATAATAATAAATCTAACAATAATTAATTAGAAATAATTAATGATGGTTATTCAATATAATAAGAAAAATAGTAATAAAGATTAAAAAATCTCTTGTTTTCTAATAAAAATTGCATTATATAAGTTAAAAATAATAAAAGAAGATCAACATCATAAAAAAATTGATATTATTTTTATGAATGTTTATCATTATAACTACTAATGAATTAATTAATTCATTTTTATTACTTAACCTATCTTTCTACTCTAATACGTGATACTTCTAAATATTTAGGTTAAGCAAACTTTTTTCTAACAGCTTATAAATTTGATTTCTCTTATGATTGCAATACAAGACACATTTCTTTAGCACAATATCTAAGTTCTTATTCATTATATCCAGTCATTTTTTGCATCTCTTCATTCCAAGATTAAGTAGTCTTCCTAATGAAAATATATTTCTGATACCTTATTTTATGTACAAGATAAATAGCTGCCGCAGAAAGAAATGATGGTTTGTAATTCATAAATTTCATATCAATCATTGATAATTCTAAAAGATATTAAGCTAAACATAAATTCTTAGTATCCAATCCTGCAATTCTACCAAATCTTTAAAGAAAACAATAACTAGATGGTTATGTAATAGAAAAGTCTAATGTTTATAATATTTATCCTTCCATATCAAGAACATCTTATTTTGTGTAAGCATTATCAGTAATATACACAAAGTCTTTCAAATCAGGTGGATATATTTCCTCATATTTACATGCTATAAATAATGAAGCTACACCAACTAATTAAAGTTATTATCTAGTTGTAGTCTTAAGATTTAGAAATCTATCTATCAAATATGTTGTAACATATAAGGTTTCATCTCTTAATTTAAATTTAAGATGAACATCAATTAACCAATCTAATAGAATTGCTCTCATTCTTGCATTTAAGTCAGGTTGTTATTATTCATTCATATAATTATTACTAACTAAATATTTTTCTTCTTAAGTCAACAAATAAGTAAATATCTCTTAATTATATAATGAAATGTATTAAGGGTCTTTAATCATCTATTAATCAAAAGAACATAATTAATGAGTGTTATTTTCAACTTCCATTTTATTTTCTCTTTCTTCCTACCATAAATTTAGTTTCAGATATCTAGGTAATACAGTAAGATGCTTTGGTTTATTTCTATCTGTGTTTTCCTTTTAGAATTCACCTGAAGAATTAACTAATTCTTTTCCGAAGAATCTATACTAATCATGGATCATTTAATTATACGTTAAAAATTATATTATTCGGTTAAAATTTATTATTATTCAATTATAATTATACAATTATATGAACTATTATACTTGAAAATCCAATCTAAATATTGGAAATTATTATTACAAATTACTTTATGATGTAATACAATCTTAATAAAATAAATATCTAGATTAAATTTAATTTATATTTGTTGCATTATCATAACATTATGTAAATATATCATTATTCTCATTTTTTGTTATATTTATTTCTTAATCAACTAATATAATTATGTTGTTAATTCATTATATATCTATATCTTAATTTTTAAATAGAATAGAATATGAGAGTTATTATAAAATTATAAATAACACCTTTATAAATTTATGTTATAATATAAAACTTTAATGATTATACAACATAGTTATCATAATCAGAATATTAATTACTTATATTTTTGTATACTTCTTTAATTTGTTTTGACTTCTCTAAAGTAAATGAATAAATAGTAGGTGAAATTACTCAATATTTTTATCGAATTGAGTCTATTATATAATTATCAAGTTCATATAAATAATTTTAAGAGATTTAGAATATTAGATAGATCTATTATAATAATGTCTAAATCCTTTTATGATGCCCTGATCAATTCAGGTTTTATAAACATAATTAAATATCATTTATATATATATATAAATTAATTTATACTTTTTCCTAAAACTCTTAATTCAGAAGTTATTTAAATATAATGGAGAAACATAAACTTTATAGTCTTGGATTTATGCTCAAAATAATATAGTTTATATATAAGGATTATGCAATAATTATGATAATATTATGATATTGACTTTAACTTATCGAATTAAATAATTAATATCTTAAATAAAAAAATGAACGCCAAAGGTGCAGGATTAACATATGTTAGCGAATACAAATCTGATGAATTCAGAACATTCAGAGGTGGTTTGAGACATTTGCCTGAGAGAGCAGAGTATATGGCACATAATAGCAAGAACAATTTGTCTAATTATCATGACAAATTTAATTATGAGAGAGTAAATTATTTATTTAAAATTATAAGGGGTTCATTTAACACTCAAGATCATTATCTAATCAACACCATAATTTCCATTATATGTTTGGAGGACCCAAAGAATACTTATTCAAAAGACTTTTTTATGGTGCTTGGTATAGAAAGAATATAAGAAATTTCTGGTTCCCTGCTGTGTTTAGTTATGGACGTAAGCATTTTACTATGAAATAGTTGGTTGTTTCTGCATGAGATTATATGATAATGCAGCCCATGACTTCTTTTATTTCACCGATTGAGATAATTACATATAATAATACATAAATAGTATAAAACCAGAATTCATAATAATCTTTCTAATATGATTTTTTCAAGTAATAAATTATTTCTTAAAATACTTTCTTCACTAAACCCTAATTACTTTCTAAGCTTTTAATTTTGAGGAAGTATTTTTTCAACAAATGAAAATTATTCAGTAATAAATGGAGCTCTTTTCTCATATTCAGGTAATTTAACAATTATTTTATTTGTATATTTATTGTTTAATTTGATATAATCGCATAACATTTTTTTAGCCTTTTCCTTATTCCATTTCTTAAAATTTGGTAGACTAACACGATTATCATCATTAGCCATTTTATTTATTCTTTATTTACATTAAGATAAATTCATTTTTTATAAGGATTTTTATCTTTAATGATTAGATACAATCACATCCTTTATTTGTATTACTCTTTCTGTGTTTAAATATTCTAAACTCCTTAATTTATTTGATTATAAATTCCGAAGTACCATTCTAGGACTCTTTTAAACAATATCAGGCAGTATAGAACTTTCTGTTTAGGTTTAAGTCCCTATATTAAGTTTCAACTTTTATTGCAATGAATTCATTAATTTAATTAAAGTCAATACAAATTATTTATATTTCAATCAAAATCTTCCTAATCTCCACTAAAATCATACTCTATTCTTTCATGATTAGCTAATTTTCCATCTATAAATAGAAATGTATCACTTTTAGTTTCCCATGAATTTAAGAGCATTTAATCCTTTAGATTAGTACCTAATGCAGGTTAATCATACATGGATTCCCAAGTATTAGTTGAATGTGGAATGCAAAAAGGAAATCGAAATTCATATTCTTTAATGAGGTTGTTTTTAAAATAAAATCTATAGATTGGTATTTGTTAAATACCTATCAATAAGTAATAAATTCTTTAATGGCTTATCAAAAGTCTTGAATATTTTGGTTGCTCCTAATGTCTTGATATCAAAATATTAAGGTGTAAATTAATAACTTAAAACTTCTTATTATTGATTTTCTTCATCATTATCAAAATCAAATAAAATAAAATTATCATCAGCATCTCTAAGTATAAATTTAATAAATTTAATTTCATCTGAAGGTTTGCATAAAAATTTATCACAAGGCATTGTAAATGTTCTCACAATTTCAGGAGTGACAACTTTTTACATATTAAATTAAATAGAGATGTTAATTTAATAATTTAAATTTAATTACAAAATGTTAAGAAAAGCTAGATAAATAGAAACTCATTCACTTCACTATTCAATTAGTTAAAGTGAAATAAAAAGAACTTCATACTTTACTAATCTATCCCATAGATATAGATCTTAATCAATTGATCTAAGCAATCAAAAAATCAAATAACCTATTTAGCAAACAAAATCAAAATAGAAACCAAGAATGCAAATAAATCCAGTAAAATTCCAGATCTTTAAATCAAATAAGCCACTTACAGAATTCAAAGAGTTCAAATTAAGAACAGCTGATAGATGTAAAAGTAGAGAAAATGTGAGAATAAGAGAACAAAATAAAGAGAATAAAGAAAATATATTTATTTAATATAATAAAAAACTATGAAATTATGTTCAATCATCATTCAAAATAAGAGAGGGCAAAATATCTTTGTTGTCTCATCCAATGATTATTCTCATGAATTATCATTGTAACATTCTAAGGATATATACAACTACATTCTTAGTCAGATTAGTATTCATCAATTAATCATTTAGAGACAGGAAAAAAGATTGATAGATCTATTGTATTAGATTCAAATTATGTTTGTATTTGCAATGTAAATAAAGATGTAATTACAATCAACCTAATGACTTTAGGCAATATTTTTAGTTATTGTATAACGAAATGAATTATTCTTGGGATATGAAGCTATCAAAAAATTAGCAGAATTCTATGCTACATATTATAAGTAAGAAATCACTACTAGAAAATATTAAGAAGTAATATTTCAATTCTATTCTTAGATGTTACTTTTATTAGAAGAATTTTTATACACTAAAGAATTTTTACCTCAAAAATTATAATTTAATTTAACAGTTAAAGTCCCTGTTTCCTCTAGATGCATTGCAGATTGTGATCATCTTTAAAAGTTTTCATCACTCTAAGCCACAATTGAAAAAAATCTAATTGCTAATATACCTCTCAAATATGCAAAGAAATAATAAATTATTGAAAAAGAAATAGATATTATAAACATATTTATTAAACCAATAACAAATTTAGATGAATATAAGCCAAACTAAGAAGAACTTTAATGGAAACAAAAATTCAAAAAAAGTCTATATGATTGTGCCTTTAAAATGAAGAGCAAATAAGTTCACAAAGAAAATATCTTCCAAAAATATAAACCACAAAAACCTAATACTTAGTATAAATAACATGCATAAAAATCAACTTAATTACTAAATTAATATAAGGGCATAAGCAGTTCAGATATATAAATAATGAAGCTTATTTTTTAAAGTTAGATACAAAAAGCAGGTGGGTAACAGGATCTTTCTAATTAATAAAATAAACAATAATCATCTAAACCAATCTAGTAGTAACATACTAGATAAATTAATTTATTAGATTATGGTGAAAATTTTACATCAGTTGAAGCCCCAAAAATATTGCCTTAATAAGTTTAAAGTTCTAATGAAGAATAACCAAAAACTAATCCTATTTAAGTAAAACCAAAATTACAATAAAATGCAAATGATCTATTGGATTTAGATGATAGACCACATCATTAAGTACAACCATAAATTTAATAAATATCTGGTCCTGATTTATCATTTTTAAATTTATCTCCAGTAAAATAATTAGAACCTTGCTTAAAAATGCTGGAGAAAATGATTATTGCTTAAAAAGATGGTAGATTGAAAGAATTAAAAATATATGGATAAATTGCTTTAGATGGAGATTTCACATTTGATGATTAATCTAATCTTTAACTTTTAGGATAATATTGGTAAGATACATATGGATGTTAAAGAAGGATAACTCCAAATTCATTAGATTTGCAATTATTGAATGAGAATAGTTATAAAATGATTGTTAAAAATGCTAGTTATAAGGTTCCAAAGGGCATCATTGATTATATCATTCCAACAAAAGCATTTTCTTAATAAAGGATACCAGTTATATTTTTATATAGATTGGAATGTGTCTAATCATTTGCCAGTTATTGTCTATAATATAAAGTAAATGATTAATGGTAAGTGCCATTATAAGATATTGTTATTGAAGTCAATCTAGAAAAGGATGTAGAATTTGATGATTTAAAAACAATCCCAGTAGCATAAAATATTACTGATAAATAAATAACTTGGAAAGTACAAATATATATTAAAGTAGGCTAAATAATTACTATAATAATAAAAAGGTAAATTGATTTTGAATCTTACAGGTATTAAGAAGTAAGGATCCTAAATTTTAAATCATATAAGAATTAGTTTAAAAGCTAATGTAATTGATAATACTTAATTTAGACATCTGTCATTGAGAATATGGATAGCATAATGTTTTATAATAGCTAAGAATACAAATGCTAGAAAAAGCTGAGTGTTGAATACAAAATATATCCGAATTCTTGATATTATTAAATATATAAATTAAAATTTTGAAGAATGAGTGAAGCTTAAGCAGACCGTATCTTATCAATTGCAAATCAAGAAACAGTTAATAGATTATTTAGAGTATGCTATAAATAAATTACAGGTTAAAAATAAATTGAATAATTAGGTTAAAGACCTGTTGGTAAATTTTAAGATAGCGATCATCAAGCTGTATTGAATTGTCACAGAAGATTGGTTGAAGTACTAAAAATTGTTGCACCTGCAATTGTACCTTTAAGAGAAGAATGATTTAATTATTCAAATCGTTATCATCAAAATCAGAATATTTAATTAGCTACACAATTCATTTATATATATGTTATTTTTAATATGACATTCATCTTCTCATTCCCATAGGAGGTCTACCTGGTTATCCTCTAGGTTTCATTTTTGTATCTTAATCAGATTTTGGATTTTTAACTGTTTCATCAATTGATAAAATTGCGCATGCAGCCTTTCAAATAAATATAAATAAAAACCTCTGTTGCTGAACAAAGAGCATTTCTTTTGACTAAACTGGGTTCCCAAACAAAAGAAGAATGTGTATCACAGACTCCTGATTATCCATTTATATCTACTCCATACCATCTACCTTCTTCTCCACCTTGAGCATGTCTTTATCTAAGTTTATTCATAATTTCAATTGAATTTAATCCAGCATTTTCAGCAATAGTTCTTGGAATAACTTCTAATGCTTTAGCATAGGAATTAACAATATATTATGTTTTGCCAGTCACAGATCTAGCATAATGTCTAAGATATCTAGACAATTCTAATTCAATAGCACCTCCTCCAGCTACAATTTTATTGGCTTTGAAACATCTTCTGACAATCATAATAGCATCATTTAAAGATCTTTCAGCTTCTTAAATAAATTATTCTGCTCCACCTCTTAAAACTATTGTTGCTGTTCTAGACTAAGATTTATAATTTATAATTATAATACTTATGGACAATTTTTAAATAAGTTATATCTTTCTGCTCCAACTTAAACTTCTTCGAATAATCCACATGTACCAAATGTCTCTGGATTTAAACCATTTACAGTTGTTTATACTTAACCTCCAGTAGCCTGATTTAAATAATTGATTTAATTACTTTTTAAACTCTAAGAAGATCTTCTTAAGGAACTCTTCCAGCACAAAAGATATTTCTGTCAGCAAAATATTGTGTAGCTAAATCTCCAATAGGAAGTTTTGATAATACTATTTAGGCACCTGCTTTAACAATAATTTCTAATTTTTCATAAATCAAAGCCCATTCAGCATCTACAATTTATTGATATTCTTCTGGTTTTTCAATTCTAATTTCTGCATTTTCCTTTTCACTTTTAAGTTCTAATTCTAAATTTAATAAACAAATTTTAGGATTTTCAAATCTCTTTGGTTATTATTCAAAACCAGCATATGAAAATGTTTTCTTGAATGCAACTCCATCAACTAAAAATGAATCAGTTACACTTCCTCCTGTGACATTCTTAATTCCAATTAAATCTCTATCTAAAATATTTGGGTCCAACTTCTCAACTGCTGATACAACTAATTCACTAAAGAATTATTTAGTATTGGCTAACTAATTAATATTAATTATTATTATTATACTAATTTTGAATTCAAAGCTGTTTAAGCACATTTCAATAAAGTGTCTCTCTTATCTTCTGGAGAATCTCGAGAAATATTTATTGAGAATCCTTCTAATTTTTCTAATGCTAATTCCAAAGCTTTTCTATATCCTTAGATCACTATTTGTGGATGGATTCCTTCTTCAATAAATGGTTTGGCTTCTTTTAGCAATTCTGCAGCCAACAATGTTGTGGATGTTGTACCATCACCAACTTCATCATCTTGGGATTTGGCAATGTCGACCAATACTCTAGCAGCTGGATGGACAACTTCTAGTAAATTTAGAATTGTAGCTCCATCATTAGAAATGGTAACTTTTGGACCAGTCTAAATCATTTTATCCATTCCTCTTGGGCCAAGTGTGCTTTTTACCACATCAGCCACAGCTTAAACAGCATTGATGTTAGACACTATTTAAGCTCTTCCTTATGAAGTGTCTGTGCCTTCTCTCAATAATAAGATGGTTGGTTGTAAGAATTGGGACATTTAATACACAATTTTATTTATTTAAATTTGAGGCATTTTCTTTTACAAACATTCATTTTCAAATATACTAATCAAAATACTATTAAATTGAATAATTTCATCTGAATACCATCATTACATATATATATATATATTTATTTTAAATAATCAGAATAAATGATATTAAATTATATTTAATAATGTAATATCACCTTAACTAAATTTCAGCAATGTCTTATATTTAAAAATTAGGTATAATTGTAGTTGCTGGAGACAATATTAAATTAATAAATCTATAAAAGGAAAAGGTTTAATAAGAAATTAAAACAGAAAAGTTTTTAAGAATATTTTAATTGGTATATAATGAGCAAGATAATAACTTATACTAATTCAATCAAAATAAAACAATATTCAGATATAGATTAAAAGGAAGGATGTTTATATTAGATAAACAATTTAAATTATAATATGAATTTTATCCTACTTTAGCTACAGTAACTCATGATAATTAAACTATCATTATTGCAGGAATGGATACCAATTTAATTGTGTTTTATAATATGATTAATGACTGTTAGTTTATGATAGAACTTCCAAATCCTGAACTTTAGAATTATTGTTTATTATATAATAATAAAAATAGATGTATTTTAACCTAATCTTGTTTGATAAATGTTGAAAATAAAAAAGTGATTCGATCAATCAATACCATTTATTAAAAGATTAAAGGATGGAGTAGATGTGGTCATTTTTATTCAAAGTAAGATAAATAAAAAATATTTATCACTTCTTCTTTTAAACAAAAAATATTGAGGATTATTTCTGATGATAATTTCATTCCTTATTAAATATTTTCAGAAACAGGAAAATATTACTGTTTATAAAGATCATAGAATAAAATAGAACTCTATGATATTTCTACTGGTATCAGTCACTTTATTATTGAGAAGAATTTATAGAATTGTACCAATTTATAATTTCATGAAAATGACTAAGTTTTTTCAGCTATTGTTAATGATAAATCAATTTATATATGGTATATGAATTAAATTATTTGAGAATTAAGTAAATCTTGATTATTTATCAAAAATTTAATGATGAATATACACAAAATTAAATAAAAATTATTGAAAGAATGAAATATAATTTTGAATCTATTATATGAAAATTAGTTCTCCATTTAATATATCATTTAGAAAGTATTCTAAAATGAATATAACTGAATATTTTAATTTTTTTTAATAGTTATCATATAAATTTAGAGTCTGAATTAACATATATAATTGGTTAATATACCTTTTTTGCTTTAGTCAATATAATATTACATTATATTTATTTATATTTAATAACAAATCAATCAAAATCATCATCTTTTTAATTTTTCTTCATATGCAATTTAACCATAGCTTTACCAATGGCTCCAATCCATGCTTCCTTCTCTTGATTGTTATTTGACATCAAAAAGAAAGTTGTTTCTGGTGTATCAATTTTCTAATTTTATTTACAAATATACAAATGTATTTTCTTTGTTTGTTTCTTCTTAACATGATTTAATTGTACTTATAGTTGATAAAGGAATAAGCTCTGTTGGATTACTATATTATTTTTCTGCCTTGAATGTATACAAGGTTGTTGTTGTTAAAACAAACCATCGTCTGAAATGAATAAATAATATAGAATACTTTCTCCAAGATTTAAATACACGAGATTCTTTTTCTAACCAGCCTTCTTTCATAATATTTTTGAGATCTTCAAGCATGTTGTTTTACATTAGATAAAATCTATATTTATATAATATATATTATTATTTATGCTTCCTATATTTTTTTAAATCAATTTATATTGTTTTTCATGGTGCCTCATATTCTTTCATATCATCATCTTCTTATTAATTTAAAGCTTCTTCGATATCTTAATCATCACTAGAGTTCTTTTCATTCTCTATATCTGTTGGAATATAATAGCCATCTTGATCATAGAAATGTTCATGATAGACATCACCAGGGTGCAAAACAAACCATCCAGCTGGTTACCCATCTTTATCATAATGACACCCATTCTCATCTCTCCATCTTTAAATTATAATTATACATCTCTTACCCTCCTTCAGAATCAAAAAAATATTATTATTAATTCATTAGAAATCCTATAACTTTATCATCATCATCCTTTAATTCAACATATTAACTAAACTTTTCTGGTTAATGTTATGGAGCATCTTTCAAAATTGGATTGTCAAAAGGATCAACTCTAAGCCAATTTTACGAGAATTCTTTGCTCTCTTGCATTTATCAATTATTTTTTTGATAATTAATATATAAGTCCCCCCCCCCCTTTTTCATATATAAATACATAAATTTTTTAAGAATTTTAATAGAAAATATATTTAACAATATGAGTGGAAGTAATTATGACTCAACAATCAATTAAGAATTATCTCAAGATTATGAATAGTATGACCAGTTAAAAGCGAACTTAAGAGATAATATTTTCTATGTTGAACCTATATATTATTAAGATCAAATGAGAGATTTCAATTAAAGGAATCCTACTTATGGAGTGACAGTGGAATACAAATTTTTAAGGACAATCTAATCATGTGATTTTTTGGAAAGCTCCTAATTGTAATTTTACATCAATCTATTCAGAAAAGCATATAAAGATGTCAAAGTAATTATTAATTATTAAAATAGTTAGCTGCTGCTACATGTCACTTTTTTGCTGACTTTATAGTATCATTATAAAAGCCAATTTAATTTTAATAATAAAACCAGTCAACTAGTAGTTTTTAAAGACAAAATATATATTAGGAACCTTAAAATTAATAAAAAATAGTGGATTCTTAATATTAAATAAAACTTAAAGAAGATTTTTTGGAATCAAAAGTTCTTGATAAACCCATAATTTAGAATCCTGAATAAAAATTAGCTAAATCTTCAATTATTACAAAAGGAACAAATATATCTAATGAAACCTAAAATTCTATAATATCCAATTAATAAACAATATAATCGAATATTCAATAAAATCAAAACTAAAAATATACTCAATCTTAAATATAAATGTAAAATCCATTATAATAAGATATAACAATTAATAAACAAATTTAATCAGCAATTTTCCCAAATAAATCGAAAGAAGAAGGAATAAATCATGATTTTGTACATGAAAAATCATCATAAATTTCAGAATAATAAAGTACAATTAATAATTAAGCAACTCAATAGGGTTCAATTATTATTAAAACAGATCAAAATTTAAATTAATAGGATATTAATATTTAATCAATTACATAAAAGTCCCTCTTGATACAACCAAATAAAGAACAAGAAAAAAGTACAATTAATGAAGAACAAAATGCACCAAAAAATAATTAATCATCAATAATTTAATAATAATTTATTAATTCAAATGTCACCACTCCATTTTAGAATATAGATATAGAAAAAGAAAGTCAAAAATCAAAATTAACTTTAGATCAATAAAAAATTGAATCTACTCAAGTAGACAATCATAAAGATTAATCTTAAATTGAAAAATCAAACCAATAATCCTTAGTTTAATAGAAATAATAATAATTTCCTCCCATCTAGCCAGTAGTTGAACATAAATAAGTATAACCTCCCCCTGAAAAAAAATATCATTTTGAAATTACTCGCATGACAATAGAAAAACCAGTTTAATAAGAAAAAATAAAAAAATCATAACTTCCTTCCTTAATAAAATAATTGGCTGAAATGAATAACTTAACAGAGGAGGAATTAAAATAATAGGATTATTGGTATTTTCCCATAAATTAATTATAATCTCATTGGATTAGTGTTGTGATATATTTGAAAAAAAAAGTAATTTATTACTTTGACTCTTATTATAAAAAAATTGAATCTGTTATCATATAAGGGATAAATTCTATATTAGAATACTTTAATTTGAACCCATAAAACTTCTAAATAATACCAGTATATAATTAATAAATTAATGGGTATTATATAATTTTAGTTTAGATATGATTGTGGTGTTTTCATATTGCTGTCCCTTTTATATACTTTACAAAATAAAGAATATAATTATAATTAAAAAGTTGCAACACTTTTCAGAAAAAGTATTCTCTACAATTTGGCTGTTATAGGGGCTTAATAGGATATAGAATAAGACTATCTGGAATTTATTATTGAATAAAATTGAGCTTAATAAAAAATAAATATAATTTAATTAGTAATTTTTTCATAATTCTAGACAGAATGAATAGAAAAATTAATCCAAATCATAAAACAGAATTATATTAAATTATAATAACCTTTCATCAAAATTTAAACAATATCTTTATTATTAGAGTAGGTTAAGTAGTTAAAGAATAATAGCATGATTGAAAATAGATTGATATCAATGAAAATTAAAGATAGAATATTTTTAAAAACGTTAGAACTCTTTGAAATTATTTAAACACATATATTGATAAAGAAATAGATACAAACTCATTTTTTCCAAGGTTTAGTTTTAAATTATTTTTATACATATGGATTTGCATTATATACTGCATTTGGAGAATGAGCTCTTTGCCTATTACCTATAGGTTTAAATTATGTGTTTGGTTAAATAGTTAGATCCTATCTTTAGCTTCCAGTAGTATTTTTCTTATATGGAGTAACTTATAGTCTAGGTGCTCTTAATTAATTAGGTGCTGTTTGTGGTCTACGGTCATTTTATACTACTCCTTAAGTTGAATCCTAATTGATTTTTTATTACTATTTCAAAAAAAACTATTCTCCTGAATCCATATAAGTATTTGGTTACTTCTTAGGCTTTAATGATTCTATAATTAACTTAATACTTACAAGTAGCTTCAGGTAATTATTATAATTTTGAACTATCACTCTTAGCAACAACTCTTTTAACATCTTAAGATGAAGGCCTTTGATGAACTGGCTGGATTGGTTATAAAGGTTAAGTCTATGACATTAAATTAGTTTAAGGACAAGGAGATTACTAAATTTATTATTCATATTAAAGTGTCTTTCCAGTAAGACAAGATTTAGTTTCAATAGGTTAGGTTTATTTCTTCTTATTGAATATTATTTTTTCATAAGGAGGTATATACATAGTAATTTTTTCAGCAAAACGTAATCTAAGTTTTAATTTAATATTAATTTACTTTTAAGTTTTAGGTTTTTAATCATGATCTTTAAATTCAGCTACTCCTTAAGGTTAAGCATTTAAATATGTATTTCTTAATACCATTTCCTCTGGGTCTCCTTAAGAATAGACTTCTTCCCAATTATAAGTTTTTGCACCCCATCCATTCTTTTAGAATTTACTTTCTATTGCCAAAAGTTAATTAAAAAAATTAGCTCTGATCTCCAAATCTGGTCTTCTACTATGCATAAATTATAAAGTTTTATATAATGTCCATCTATATTTTTTCATAAAATAAACACAAAGAACAGCAATTGATCTATTGTGTCCTCTTATTGAATGTACTATAACACTTTCTCCATTATTCAATGCATCATCAAGAAATTTAATTACTTAATTAATCAGTTCCTCTTGTTAGAATATTACCTCATTATATAAAATGTTACTTGAGTATCGTTATCAATCCATGGTAATGACATATATACTATTCCAATTGATTCCCAATGATTTGGAATTTATTTACAAGCACAATTAATAATTCTGGAAACCTTATTCGTTACAATAAATTCTAAGTCCTAAAAGGCTGATTCAACTATCTACCTAAGAAGCAAATTAATCTCCTAAAAATAACCCATCTTTTATTTTGATAGCACCAATATAGTCGTATTCCATTATATTGTTAATATTATAATATATATAAGAAATAATTATTCCAATAAATAAAAATCAATCAAATTAAAATAACATTCTTTAATTCATCAACTGGTATTCTTTTCATTTATAATTAGCAATTTTATTGAAAATCCATACTTCTTTAAAAAAGAACCAATTCTAAAGAACATAAAAATTTGTTGATCTTATATAGATGTATAAATTTTTAAATATTCTCCATTTTTTGAGAAAATTCAAATATTAATGAATTTTCTGACGATATTCTAGTTTTTATAACAATAAAATCATTTTCTCGATTTGTAATCATTAAAATTCTACAAATCTATAGAAAATAAACAGAAAATTAATTTTTAGATCCTATTAAACTAAAATCAACACTTTATTATTCAGCATTAACTAAAATATTAGTTGCTCCAATAAACTTTATCACATTCTTCAATATTTCAACTGGATAATAATGAATTTCTTTATTTCCATATAAATAAAATCCAGATATAAATTGAATAGAAATATCAAATAATAATGTTTTATACTTTTAAGGTTTCTTAATACACTTGAAAAGTTATCTAATCAATCGATAAAAATGATTAATTTTCTTAATAGCAACTATTTCTTATTATGATTATTATTATATGCTTGTAAATTTTACTAAGAAATTGATTTTATCAGTAATTGTGATTATTACATCAATTTAAGAATAACATCGATATGTAAATGAAAATTCATCAATTGTATTACCTTTTTAAAATGAACTTGTTATTTAACTATATTTTTCTAACAAATAATTTTCTAACGTTTAATTTCCAAAATGAATATATCTAATTAAACTTCTTAAATTACAACCATCACAAAGATTTATGTTCCATCTCTTAATCTTATTTTACTTACTTAATAGAATTGGTTAAAATTATTCTTATTCATATTCAAACAATATAAATGGATCTGACATAAATTTCGGTAAGTATTGTACTATATTTTAAAAACATTTTTACAATATCGATCTTCCTTAACAGTCAATAAAAATTGTTATCTCTTTGCTTAGCCTATGAAATAATAAGAAACAATTGAAATAATTGTTATAAGTACACTAAACTAGATTGAAACCATACTCAAACTCTCTTTATAATATTGACTCATTATGATTAACTTTAAAATACATTGTATTACAATTTATGGTACTATTTAATAAAAGTCTAAAGACATCATTAGTAGCATTTATGATGCCATAACATTTGACCCAAGAACAAAACTCCTTTATTAACCATATACATTGTCAACCCAAAATTAAACTAATGAGAATGTGTAATTTAACAAAATCATCACAGTTGATGAGTATTAAGGATACCCAGATATCACAATCAAAGACAGTATTGAAATAATCAATCCTGGAGTTTATAATTCAATTCTTGAAGGAGCATCCTAAGATTAATCAGAAATTAGCTTTCCTAAATGCAATAGAACAGATGATATTGATATAACTTTAAAAATAAGGGTTTGATAGTAATCTTATTGTTTTGCTTGATATTAATTTTCCAAAGCCTAATTCTCAAATTTAAGTGTCCATTTATTCATTTAATTAAGTTATAATATTTGTTATCTCATCATCTATGAGAATAACTTGAATACGAAAAATAAACTTAATATATTATATTTTCATATTATCTTAGGTTCAGTCTAATTGATTCTTCTTTAATTTCTTAAATTTAAAAATTCTTAATTTCTCCATTTAAATTAGAAAAAGTCTTAAATTAACATTAAACATCTTTGATATTTTACTAAATGTTGGCTTCTTAATTTTCCTATATTTATTAATCCTAACGAAAAACTTTAAATTATGATATTTATTTTAATCAATTTAAAAATTATTAAAATAATTAATAAAGCATCTCCAAAAATTAAGTCTCCTTCTTAGTCCTCTTTTTCAAAAGCTAATTATTATTTTCGAATTTCCTTCTCATAAGCATCACCTTACTATCATGTAGGTTAATTAACCTGAAGAAAATAAGATAATTATAATAGTGGATCATTCCTCACTGGTAAATCAAAAATATTATTACTTTATTTAAATACAATAAAAGGTGATGTAGAATTTTCAAAAATTCTACAGGAATCAATTTATTTAATTAAACATAATTCTTTACAAATGATGAATTATTACTATGGCCGTTTGATTATAATTACAATTATTTTTAGTCTTTAGAAATATAATCAATAGGTTTTGATCATCCCTAAAATTCTTATTTTTCTTTATTAGATCTCTTTTTGATATTATTAATTTTAGAAAAAAAGTAATTAGAAAGGCTTTAAGATTGTTTATATAGTTTATTATAAATTTGAGTTTGAAAAATATCTATTTAAAGTTTACTAAATCCTTTTCTATTTTTATGTTCTAGTAACATCTTAATTTAAGTTTTAATCTTTAAATTCTTTTAGATAATAGTTAATTTATTATTTACCTGATTTTAATTATAAAGATAGAATTTAAAGTTATAATCTTAAATAATTATTAATATTTTCCAATTTTTAATAATTTCTTATTATTTATATATTTGATTTATCTATTATTTTGCATCTTAAATTGTAAATAATTACTTTACCATTATAATTTTTAAATAATTTAAATTATAAATATTTTTATTACTGCTATCAACTATAAGTCTTGTAATTGAATTAATTGTAAAATTATAATATTCACGTCTCAATCTTTATATTCTCCATTGTCAGTTTTCCTCATCATTTCTTTTAATTTCTTTCTCAATCTAAAATAATTTAGATATTCTAACATTTTATCTCTAGGAGGTTCATTTTCACTATCTATACTTTAACTTCTAGATACTCGATATTATGGACTACTTCTATTTTTAGGACTTCTACTTCTGCTTCTACTTTTAGAGCTAATTAATTAATAATTTAATATAAGAAACTTTCTTCTTCTTTATTTTCTTTCTTTTTCCTTCTCTCTCTCAAATCTATCATAATTTCCTCTTGATTATCTTTAATTAATTTTCCATTTTACCCTCTATCATCCCTTGGTCGATCTCTTCTAGGTTCTCTATTCTCATCATATCTGCCTGACTTTTTAGACCACTCAACATTAATTCTCAATCCTTTTTAATTTCAATAACATATTAATCTATACCCTATAAATCTCTTTAATGTAATGCATTTTTTGCAGCTTCTGCTTCTTATTCACTTTTATATTAAATGAATGCATACTAATATATTATTAAATGTATTTACTCTGTCATTATTTTTTACTCTAAAATCTACAGTGCAATCACCATAGACCTTAAATTCTCTTTCTATATCCTTCTACTCAACTAATCTCGAAATATTGCCTACAAAAAGACTCATTCTTGCATTCCTAAATTATTGTCTGCTCATTATAAATTATATGATTTTAATATAAATTATATTTAACTGAAAACATTTAATAAAAAGTTAAAAAAATAAAAATCGTTCAAGAAATGAGTTAGTTAACGGAAAGTCCAAATAGATTAAATGAATAGCAGAGTATTCCTCATGATGAAATAATTGATAAATCATAAAAATTAGCAACATCCTCTCCAGATAAAGAGAACTCTTAAGAATTGTTTAGATTGTAGAAATAATAATTCTTACAAAAAATGACTTAAGACAATTCAACAAGACGTTAAAAAAAAGTAATAAATTTTTTTTAATTATTCTTAGATAATTGGAGATATTAAAGATGTAGTTAATGTGAATAAACAAATTGTTAATTTTGGATTGGTAATACCTGGTAATATTTGTGAAGATGATATATAATTTTAAAATCTATCCAATGAGACAGTTATAATAGGCATATAAGTAATATGCAATAATACAGAATTTGATGATCTAGATGAATATGTTTATTCAGCTAGAAAATTAAATGGATATGATTATAATGATCGTTTCATGTTAGCATGTCCAGCTCAAAAACAATTCTCTATGAAAATAGCTTTAAAGGTTCCTAACATTAAAGAATAGAAAGGACTTTTTGGTACTATAATAATTACAGCCTCTTATTCTAATCATTCAAAAATTTAGGGTCAAATTAATACTTAAATTTAAAGTCAAATTACACTTCCTTCTATTGAATGTCCAAAAACATTAATGAATTGTATATTTCAATCAATAAATTAGCTGCATATAATCTACCTGTAATTCAAATGGCATTTAAATTGGGTAAGAAATTAGATTGCAAAATTCCCTTTAGGAATAATAGTTTAATAGGATTACCACTTGAAATGGAATTTCTGAATAAAAATGATAATGAAATACTTATCAATCCTCCAACTCTATCTGTATAGGGGAATTCTTAATTCTTAGTTACAATCTATATCAAAAGCAAACAAGAATAGATTATTAAGAATGTTTTAATAGTTAAAGTTAAAAATTCCAATGTTCATTTTAGTTATCCATTTATTATCAAAATTTATTGATTTTACTAGATTATAAAATAAAACTATGATTCAATCAATAAGATATAAATTAATTTGCAAACACTTTTATCATAAAATTTTGATTATTTTAATAATTAATTGCTTCTACTATGTCATTTAACAAAAAAGGAAGAGAAGATTTGATGCAAATAACAAACGATGAAGATGGAAGAGAAATTAATCCACACATGCCTCAATATATTATAAATGCTCCATGTATGATTAAAACATGATCTTTTAGGGTATTTAAAGGAAAGTACACCATCATTGAAACATTAAAGAATAAGAAAATAATAGAACACAAGTACATTTGATAATTGGTATCAAAGAGGATCAAAAGTATAATCTTATAGTGATATAATGATAGGGTCCAAATAATTTTAAATTTAAAAAAGGAGCATGCACTAATTGTGGTTCTACAACTCATTAGAGTAAGGATTGTTGTGAAAGACCAAGACAAATAGGAGCAAAATTCTCTAATACAGATATTTAACCAGATGATATTGTATTAAATGTCTAAGGTCTAAACTATGATGCAAAAAGAGATAGATGGAATGGCTATGATCCAGAAACTTATAAGTCATAAATATAAGAATATGAGATTTTAGAGGAGAAGCGAAAAGAAACAAGACTATAAGAAGGATAATAAACAGAATCTGGCAACTTAGATGATGAATTTAAAGATAATGGAACTGGTGAACACTAAACTTAAATGACTACTAGAGATCCAAGAACTAAAACTATGACTAGGAATTTACGTATTAGAGAAGATAGAGCCAATTATTTATTGAATTTGGATGTTAATTCAGCATATTTCGATCCAAAATCTAGATCTTTAAGAGAAAACCCAAATCCACATTTACCTCCTGAGAAATAAGTTTTTAAAGGTTTAAATTAAATTAGATTGACTGGTGAAACTCTATAAATGTATGAATAAGAAAGATTTGCATGGTAATATGCAGAATAACATAATTTAAATCTAAATACTGTATCTTTACCAACTTTGACTGAAAAGACTGTATGATATTTATATTTATTAAATTAGTATAAATAAATTAAGGCAAAAAAGGAAGAATAAAAAATAGGAAGAGCTGAGAGTTTGTTCGATAGATATGGTGGAGAAGAACACTTAAATCCACAAATAGATTTGTTATTAGGATAAACAGAAAGATTTGTTGAATATGAAGAAGATGGTTTACCAAAAAATCCTTTAAAAAAGAAAGATTTAACTAAAAGCAAATATTTAGAAGATTTCTTTTATGGTGATCATACAAGTGTATGGGGTAGTTGGTGGAGTGATGTTCTTGGATGGGGCTATGATTGTTGTTATTCAAATGAAAAACATTCAGTATGTTTAGGAGAAAAAGGAAGAAGATTATAATTAAATAAAGAAGCTAGATTAAAAAGAGAAATAGAAGAAGATTTATAAAAAGCATAAATTTAAGATTAAAAATCTAGTCCTTAACATTAACATTAAAACTAACATTAGTAACCTCAACAATAAATTATTCAATAAGCTTAATAACAATGAATTTATTTATATTTATTGTTATTTTAATGTTTTAAATTCATAATTTAAATATAGATATATATTAAATATAAATAGAATTATGTTTACTAAATAGAAATCTCTTTATAGATAACTATAATTTAATTTACTTAAATTTCTAAACTTAAGATCTTATAGATTGTACAAAAGTCTTAAATATATATATTATGAATAAATAAAATAATTATAATTATAATTAGACCATCTATCATTATAAAATACTCAATTCTTTTTTTAAAGTTATTTCATTATATATTGTATTCTAAATAATTTTAATATTTATTTACTTTAAATAATAGTAGAGGCTCCAAATCTTTAGATGTCTCAATATAACTAGATAGGAAATTTAAAACTTCTGATCTAACTTCTTAATCCATTCCAATATTGTAAAATTGGAAAGGAATTTTCTTTTCTGTCAAAATTCTAGCTATTTCACAATTTAAATCAGGCTATCCATCTATCAATATGATGTATTTTGATATTAATTAAATCTATTCTAATTTTGAAGTCTTATTCATGAAAGCCTCTTTTGGTATCAATTCAGAAAATTTCTTTTATTCAATTAATTCAACTGTTGCCTGATTCTTAATTAATATAAAATACATCAGCTCCTCCTACTAATTTTCCATTCACAAATACTTAAGGAAAGGTTTACCATTTTGAGTAAAGTTTTAAATAACCAACCATTAATTTATCAATTTCAATATCATAAAATCCAAATTGAACACCAAAAGGTTATAGTTTTTAAATTAGCTTTGAAGTAAATCTGCACATAGGTTTTTCTGGGGTACCTACAATAAAAAGCATTATAGGATTTTCTTTGATCATTGATTCAATCTTTAAAAAATATTGTTATTATTGTTTTTAAAATTCAGCTTCAAATTGTTCATATATGCTCTCTAATTATATTAAAGTTTGAGCAGGTTCTAGGTTCAATATTTAGGTATTAATTAGTTAAGGATATGATGAAATCAAAACAGATGGTAAATATTAAATCTAAAATTGATGTTTCATTTACATTATGACTTCTAGCTATTTATTCGTCATTACAATATGATAAAGCATACTTCTCAACATCAAGAGGCATTAATTCTAATAATTTTTCTAATCTTGTTTTATAATCATCATTATGATAAAATACAGTTATTATTACCTAATTCATATAGCTTTAAAATATACTTTATGAAAATTAGATGATTGGAATGCATCCAAAGAATATTCTTATGTAATTGTAGTCATAATTAAATTTTAATTATTATTATATTATAAAAAAATAAAAAGTAATAAAACATATAAAAATTTCTAAAATTGAGTTAAATCAATTTTATTGAATTATTATTTTTCCTGATTTATTATATGCAGAAACAAACATAATTTATTCTTTTTATTCTCATTTTGCAAAATTTAATTACAATAAATTTGTATTCTTTAAGTATTTTGTATTTATCTTAATGTAGTTAAAGATATACATCTGAAATAATAAGTATTACATAATAATTCTTATCTTAACTATTTTTTTATCTCTCCATATATAATATTCTATTTTTATTGTATAATAAATATTTCCTTTCTTCTAAGTATTTTTCATTTATGGGTAGGCTATTTTTGAATTAATAAAATATTGTTTTGAAATATTCTTTCACAATTTTTCATCTTATTATTTGTAAATAAGTTAAAAATTATTTTTGATCTTATTTTTTTTTCTACTTTTTAATTATTCGTTTTTCTGATTCTCCTTCTATTTTAATACAAATTTTATTCTTCCATCCAATTTTTATAATAATTATGCTTAAAATTATATTGGATTAATACTCAAAATTTTTAATTAGTTAGTTTTATCTAATCCAAAAGAATTTTATTGACTTAAATTATAATTTATTGATTTAATAATTAAGATAAAGGTTTATTACTTTAATTATAATAAATTTCTAAATTCTTTTGAGTATTAGTATGATTTATTACTTATATAGTATATATTAATATTGTTGGAAACAGTAAATTATTAAAAATTAATGAATTATCAAAATAATATTGCTGGTCTTTAAAATAAAGTTAAATAAACTAGGATTGAATTGAAAATTTAATCAATACTTAAAAACGCCTAAGATAATAAGAATAATAAAATTAGAATGGATTTGAATGGTAATCCAATAAGTAAAAATTCAAAGAATTACACAGTCAATTTTAAATAAAATCTATGTACTGTCTATATAGTAGAGAATTGGAAGAAATACAATATTTTGGAGAATAACAATTAATTATAAGAAGTTGAATATAAACGAAAATGTATGAAAAATTGTAATTTATTTTGAATATATAATTTATCCTTTTGTAATAGATTTTTATTAAAATGATATGTGTTATATTCAACATATCCTAAATTTATCTCCACAATTATAACATTCAAAAAATTTAGTTGTTGGTTCATCTGATGCTCTAGTTTGTTTCTCATCTACTAAATAAACTTTTTTTTAACCACATCCTTTACACATTTTCCCTTCCACACCTTCCATTTCTCGTTTACTTAAGTCTTTATAAAAACCTAATTGTTCAGCTTCCATTTTTTCTCTAATAATTCGACTTTATTCTTATTTAGTTTCATCATCAACCCAATCAGCAGCTCTAATTTATATTTAAAATACTTTAATTAAGCAGCAATTAAAGGATCAAATTACTTTGAGAAAATCCTATAGGTTAATGAACCATTTTTATCCTTCTTTAAAAAGCCCGCTAAAATTTTTAGATCCTATTCATATGCTTTTCTAGGACTATGTTCTGTTTATCTCTTATAATAAATTGCTTTTTCCATTTTTTCTACAGAATCTTTAATTATTTAATAATCAGAATCACTTAAATCATCTTGATTTTTAAATATTTAGATATTAAGAATAAACAATTTACTAATTGCTGTTAAGTATTTCACACGATCAACATAAGATGGATAAGGGACTTTGTAATTTACAAATAAATCAATATCAGGTAAAGATTTACTACTTTATATATTTTATACACTATTCTGTTTTTACATTTTTATTTCCTCACTCTTCTCTCTTTTTTTTTCAATTGTATCGTTATCATTTGGTTTATTTTAAGACAGTTTTTTAAGTTTGTCTTGAACTATCTATGCTTTAGTTCTAATTGTTGCAGCTAAGGGGTCGCTTTTATCATCAATTATTGTAAGAGTGTGAAGTGTTTTGTATATTTTAGATTTATTTACAGCCTCTTAATCAATTGGAGTTTACTCTAATAATTTTAAGATATTAATAGTTTCTTTAGGATTCTTTTTCCAATCCACAAGTTTTTTGCGTAATTCATATAATTCTTAATAATCCATAAAATAATTTAATTTATATCAAACATTATTAAATTTCTTAAATGTGTCTATTCAATGTTATCAAAATTATCAATTTATAAGATGAGATATATTTAACTTATGCCACTAAAGAGAAATCCTAATCACTTCCAAGACAACTATTTCACACAACAAAATCGTCGATTATAAATCATTCATTCATTTAATTTAATAAATAAATTTATTTTATTTAATAAGTAATTATGCTATTTTACTAATAGCCTACAAACAAAAATATGATAAAAATATATCAATTATTATGTGACAGATTGTTACAATTAGTTTAGATTCTAAATAATATTGTAAGTAGAACTGTATTTTAATTTATTGTATTAATTTATGTATCAATTGAACCTATCAAGTTTTTAGGAATTATTTAAAGTATATTATATTTTTTATATGTTAAATGAAAATATAGAAAATATGAACATATATTATTAATATATTATCTTTTTTGATTTTCATTTATTTGGAAAAAATATACTTAATTTTAAATCTAATCATATAATTGTATGAATATTTTAATTTTTATTGATATTAACTTTTTATTGAGATATCAATCTTTTATTTAATTATATAATAAATATAATAAATGCATCTATTCTTAAATTTGATTCATATCTTCTATAATCTTGGAGATTTCAGTAATTTAATAAATTTAAGATGTTTCTTATTACTCTTAACTGTCTAAGTTGATAATCTCAATTATTTTAGATAGATATATCCTGAAATATACATTTATTAATATGGTTTAGATAAAGTAAAGAATAGATTGAATTATCATAAATTTGCAAATAAAGTCAATAAAACAAATCTTATAATATACAATTTCATCATCTTGAGTATACTTTCAAATATTAGATTATTTTTTTGTTAAATTTTTATGTAGTATAAAAAATTAGAAGGTTAATCAAATTATTGGAAGGCTGCCATGCTTGGCACCATATTCCTATTCATGTTTTCATCATTTAATTCAGCTGCAAATTTAATAGGCTTCTTATATAAGGAGGCAAATTATAATGATTTAGGAGTGATTTCATTATTTTCGTTATATGCAGCATTTGGCTTCAGCTCATTATTTGCACCTAATATTAGCGCATTGTTTAATCCAAAATATGTAGATAAATGTATTAATTTGTTAGGTTATGTTCTTTTCGTCATTTGGATATACATTATATATGTCATGTGGAATTATTGTTTATTAATGCAAAGAACATGGGACTCAAGATGGAGTTTGCAGTAAAGGGATTCTGTATACAATTGTTAATTTCTGTGCAATAATAAATGGTATATGTGCAAGTACTTTATGGGTTTCATAGCCATGGTACATCACAAGCATTAGTACAAATGAAACAAGAGGTAAGTACTTTGGCATATTTTGGGCATTAATGTAATCATCATAGATTGTTGGAAATGTGATGGGATTGGTTTTAGTACAACTATCACCTTTATTATATTTTTTGGTGATGACAATTGTTTGTGGTGTTAGTGGATGTTGTTTTTTATTTTTGCCATCTAAATTTGAAAAGGCATAAGAAGTGAAGAGTGTAAAGGAGAAACTAAGAGGGATTTGCATTATAATAAGTTCAAGAAAGATGAGACCAATGTTATTATATTACTATTTTGCAGGAACTATTGTAGCATTTTATACTGGTTTTTTGTATAAACTTATAGCTGCATCTCAACCAGAAGATTAAAGTTAAGATGAAACAACAAAAAAGTAAGCATATGTTTTCATAATTCTTGGTGTTTTTGAATTCATAAGTGGAATTTGTTCTGGATACATATCAGATAGAGTTAATCGTTATATGGTAGCTACTACTAGTACAATAATTGTTGAATTGGCTTTAATTGTTAGCATTATTAGTTATTATACTGACAGCTATATTTTGTGTTTCATATCTGGAGCTTTATGGGGAACTTCTGATTGTCTTGTGTCTAATATGACTATGGTTATCACAACAACTCTTTTTCCAGATCAAATTGAAGCTTTTGCAATTAGAGCCATCATGACTTCCTTTGCCACTAGTGTTATGCTTATATTTAGTATTGTGATTCCTAATCAGATCATTTATCTATTAATTGTTGTCTTAGTTGAGTTATTGACCAACATAAGTACAAGTAAATTAGGAATAATCAATGAAAAACCAGATGAAATAAAGTTGTGAATTTTTATTTGAATATTTGATGGTAAGTTTTATAATAATATTTGTACGAGAGATAATTTAATTATAAATCTGGTTATTAATACACATTTATTTAAATTGAATTTTATTTTATTATTGTAAAATCTTAAATATTAGTCTATCTTATAATCATCATTCAATCTAATCTCTAAATTGCCATATTGTTGCTATCCCTGTTGTTCACCTACTAATTGTTCAAGTTTTGAACAATATTTATCCAACCAATAACACCTTATATCAATTGCTTTGTTATCTTTTAATCCTTTTTTTTATAAATCTTTTGGTTGATTTAAATGATTACCAATAAATGTTATTCACTTTAGATATTTAATTTATAATACTATTAATTTTAACATATTTAATTTATCATGCAGATTTAAAAAATATTTTATCATTAACATGTAATTAAATTGGAACTGAGTTTTATACCATAAATGATTGATTTTAATCTGTAGACCATTAAGGAGTGAAATTAAATCCATTCTTTTGGATATTAGCTATTATTAATATATAATTATATACTCCAAGAATCTTCTCTATGAGTGAAATCTCTCAAAACATAATCCCATTCAAATTGATGATATATTCTTGTATCAAATATTCTAATTAAAACTTCATCAATTCTTAAATAACTGCGGATCAATCCAAAAAAACAATCACCCATAACTCTAAATCTGTATTCACAATTTGATAAACCATTATCACCTAATTCATCTTCAAATAAAGAAATATGAGATGCCCATTTTATTGGATTTGCCTTTTATATTTGATATCATTCAATACTTATGTTAAGTTATTTAATGGAATCTCATCTTCTGTATATTCACAATGGAATGTATTCGATTTTATATTAAATACTTAATTTAAATAGTCTATTTCATTTTTTATAACATTCTCATTTAATTATTTTTCAAAGATCGATTTACCTTAAATTCCTGTAATTTGTTTAAATCTTTAAAATTAATAATTAATCTAATCTCCATCAACTATTGTTCCTTTATATGGAGATGAATAAAATGTATCAGATATTTTATTTAATACTTTAATATCTGCATTTTATTTCTAATTCCAGATATTTGCATATTTAAGTTAAGCTTGTTCTGGAATCACTGATATATAATTTAATTTGTTTGATTTTACATCCTTCTTGATATCTAAGTAATTTGTTTCTCTTGACTGATAATTACATAAATATAAAGCATCTTTTGGATCCACTAAAAACCCAAAATTAAATTGCTTATTGTAGATCAATCCACAATTATTACCATTTGTGATATCTGGAATACCTTACAAAGTCAATGCGTCTTGTAACATATCCAAATCTGATGTATTATACATTCCAGCTTTAGTAAATATGAAATTCCATCCATTTTATTCATATTCTTCAATATTTACATCATTATATGTTTTATGTGAGATTATATTCATTTTTAATAATAAATTATTAGAGAAATATCATATAAAATATCAGATAATATTTAAATTGTGCATCAATGAAAATCAGAGAGATTCCCAATTTTATCATCATTAATTATAATATAATTATATTATTATTAAATTTTAACTAATTTTAATTAGCTTAAATACTTAAGTCTTATATATTATTTATATTTGTGTTAATTAACTCATTTAATTAAATCTTATATACAAAAAATTATCAATCTCATTTTTATTTTGATTCACTATTAGTATTATTTCCATTCTTTGAATTAGTCTTTCCAAATATTGATATCAATCCACCAAAAAGACTGTTATTTTTAGGATTCTTAATTATATTATACTGCTAAAGTGCAAGGCTCTACTATGCTTTTTATTATAAATTTCTAAAATCAAATTATATTATACTTAATTTATTTACACATTTTTTACATCTTATCCATGACCCAACTTAAATACTTCATCCCTACTTCTAGATTTAATAGTTAAATAAAATGATTGATCATCTTTTATTTTTAGATCTGTTATCATACATGCTTTATAGACAAATCTTTAAGCAGAAGTTTCAAGTTCAAAAATATATTCTTGAAACAAATTTTGTCTCGGAATAAATAGGCACTCAATATCCAAGATTTAATTATTAAGTGTAAGTTTATATTATAACAACTTTCCACTTATTTCTTCTAATTCACTTAATAATTATGCAATTTTAAATCTACAATCATCTAATCCTTTTTTTAATACTTTTGTTTCATCTTCCTATTATTAAATAATCTTTTCAATTGTTTTTAATTTTAATTAAAATTACAATCTTTCTGCTGATAACTCTTTTATCTTATTATATAAATCCCTTTCATTATCTTCAATACTCTTTCTTTTGTAAGTTTATCAATCTAATAATCTTTTTATTTTTAATCTCTTTCAAATTCTTTATAAGCTATCTAAATTATCAACAATAGGGCTTCATGATCGTCTTGTTTTTATTTTAATTCTCTTACTATATTTATAAAATATACTGTTAAAGTTGCTTTATTTAATTTGTTAAATTGTCATTATTATTAAATGGATCATTTTAGATAAGAGTTTGAGGTAATCCAATATAATTTATAAGAGTATTTCTTGTTTTATCTTTGTTAGTGTTGAGAATTTAGATTTATAATTGCAATTCAATAATTACAGAATTGTATTTTTCATCCTAAATTAATATAAGTTCACTATTTTACTAAGTCTGTCTTTTCCTTAGTTAAATTAATATTCTTTTATGTTAATTCTTATATAGTTTTTAGTAATTAAGTCTTTCTTCTCTTAATTTTATAACTGCTTTTTTTAATGTACTAATCTTATATGTATTGCTAATCTTATTCAAACTACCATAATCTTATTGACTGTTATTTTAACCTTATGTGGTTTTACTCATTTAATAGTAATTAATATTATATTAAGAATATTACTAAGAAGTATTATTATTATAAAATGTAATTTATTCAATTATGATGATTTAGAATTTAAATTTGTAAATTTATATTGAATATGAAATAATAAGTTTTAGTATTCAAATTAGTAATTTATATATTTTTATTTCTTGTAATAAATTGAATATATTATCATAAATATTGCAATGACTCAAATATAAAACTATTATAAAATTTCACTTATCCAAATTAAGCAATTATATAATTTTTTTCTACAATTTACTTCAAATCTGAATATTGATAGGTTCTATGATAAAATGGATAAATTTACAAATCATCTATTTTAATATTTTAATTTTCACATTTGATTTTACAAATTAGTTTTCTTATATTACTCATTAATTATTTTTCTGTTTCAGTCAAACTTATTACAAACTCTTTTTACTTTTATACAACAATATCTTAAATAAGAGGATAGTAATACCATCATATTTCCTTCCATATTATATAGAGTTTTAATTCCAATCATATCTAAAATGTAATTATTTTCCATTATTAAATTCTCTAATTTCCATCACATTAACACTATAATCATCTAACATATAATTTAAATTATGTAATTCTTTTGCACTTATAAGAATTGTTGTAGTGTTAAATTTATGGAGATTACTTAAAATTGAACAAATAAAGCATTATTTTTTGCTAATTGATAAATGCAAATTGTCAATAGCAATTGTGGTTGGTTTTTATTAAATGAAATGAATTAACTCATGTAAATTATTTGTTCCAAATTGCTATAGAGCTTGCTCTTATGTTTATATTTCAGATAAAATATTAATGTAGATAGCTTATTGACTTTCTTTAATTGACTTATTAATAATGTATTAAAAGAAAGTAGAAATACCATCTTATTTCATCCCATAAAATAATTAATATGAATGAACATGAATTTGATTTTTGAGAATGAGTTCATCTAATTAATATTCAATTGGATATTATTTTGAAAATGCAGCTTATAATTGTTCTGTAAAATCACCTAGCTTATGTGTAGTTTCACTATATATTGCCATTGCACCTAGAAGGATAAGAAACATATCCATAAAATATAACTTTTTTTTTGGATTGAGTTTTGTTAGTTGAATAGTAAAACTGATAGCAAGAATAATGGCAGATGCAATTATTATATACATTAAAATAATTTATTTGCATGTCTTATAAAATAAATAAAATATGAAATGAATTCTAGTTATTAGTGAATAAAAGCAGAGGGATTTATTTAATTGTGAATAAATTTAAAATATATTTAAATCTTTTTTATTATGGGAAAGAATTATAGAAATAGATCAAAGACATCTGATACCCCAAGAAAACCCTTTGAAAAGGAACGTCTTGACAATGAGTAATTAATTATATTTAATTTCAGATTACAAATTATTGGTAAATATGGACTCAAGAACAAAAGAGAGGTTTGGAGAGTTTAACTCACTTTAGCTAGAATTAGAAAGGCAGCAAGAGAATTATTAACTCTTGATCCAAAGGACCCAAGAAGATTATTTGAAGGAGAAGCTTTAATTAGAAGAATGGTTCGTTTTGGTTTATTATCAGAACAAGAAAGAAAGTTAGATTATGTCTTGGGTCTCACAACATAAAAAATGATGGAAAGAAGACTCTAAACTTTTGTATTTAAAAGCAATTAAGCATCTTCAATTCATCATGCCAGAACTTTGATTAGATAGCGACATTTTAGGTAAAATAAATCATTTAATATATTTAGAGTTGGAAAGAGATTAGTCAACTCTCCATCATTTTTAGTCAGAGTAGAATCTGAAAAACTGGTTGATTTTGCTGTCACATCACCATTTGGATAAGGAAGAGAAGGAAGAAGAAAGAGAAAGAATGCCAAGAGAGTAAAACCAAATAAAGAGGAATGAAAACAATTTATTTTAAGCATAAGTACAATATTATCTATTTATATATCTTCATTTTTCAATCTGCTTAAACATCTATTGCATATAATCCTGGATGGATGTTTTTTGGATTACCCAATTTTCTCATTACCCAACTTTATGATGGTTTCAGAACACAAATCATACTATATTTAAATTATAACTAATTTTTTACCCTGAAAATAATTTGGTTTATGAAGCATTGCAAGAATTTGGACACTCCACTTCTCTATTCCATTATTCAACAGTCAATACCATTCCACATTACTAACAAGCTTTTAGATCTTTAGTTGATTTTGGTAATATAAATTTCTTTTCATCATATTCTGACATTTCTGATTCAGATTACATATTTGGTTTGTTAATTATTATAAATTATTCAAAAGTAAAAAATATTTATAATCAATTTATCAATGTTTTTATTTTCTTCTCTTATTCTTCTTTACTTTATTTTCTATTATAAATTAATAGTTATCCTCAATATTTGAAAAATAATAAGCATCTTTATAATCCTTAAACTAAACCTATTCCCAATTATTTGATAAAATTAAATTCAAACAAATGTTGAGATTATTAATCTAATCATCAAATAATCAAAATACTTCTTAAAATACTTCTAAACTATTTGTGAATTTTAAATTATTTATCTATTCAGATATTTGATCATAGATAAACCATTTTAGATTAAACTATGAATCAGTTTATCGAATTGTTCTCATCATCAATTAGTTAGCTCTATTTTAATTGTTTATTAATATTCTAATGTCTTCATCAAAAAATTCTTCATTCACCAATTCAAAATGAGATTCTTCAAACTAATTAAAAATTCAGATATAATTCTATACAAAATCTAGTTCCTTTTCTTTCTGCTTTTCAAACTCTGATATGTTTATAATCTTATTTCCTATCTAAATTTGATTCACTATTTATTTGCAAAAAGGACATATTTCTTTTGGTACAACTGCAATTTTGAAACATTCTAAACATATTTTATGTTTGCAATTCATTTCTCCTATTGAATTTTCATCATTGCAGCATATATCACAAAAAGCTTTTAGAAAATCCATAAAATCTAAAAAATTTATTAAATTCTTTAATTATTTCTTAAATACTTTTCTTTTAATTCAATAAAAACTTAATTTCAATATGAACATTTTATTCAATATAAATCAATATAAGCTTCTATCAAATTCAATTGATATTAATAAATACCAATTCATTTAATTCATATAATGAGTAATATTATTTAGGATTAATGATATATCTTTTTATTAAATCATATTTAGAAATTTGCTGATTCAATATAAATCTCCTATTTATCTTGTTTCTATTTATGTTATGGATCAATTGAAAATATTTTTAAATGATAATTACTTATTTTGACTTGCTTTCTATATTAATTCATAATTTTTGTATTTTTGTAGATCCTAAATTCAAAATATAAATTTATTTAAGTTTTATTGTTTTTAATTTACTTGAAAATGATTTTAATTCCAAAATAGAAGAAGAAATTTCAACTTAATACAAGAATAGTTATCTTCTCAAATTCAGCTTTATTATTACTTTTTTTTAATTTTAATCAAAGTTAATCATACTATATATAACAAAAAATTTGGATATAAATAATTATTTCCATTCTAATTTAATTTAATAATTAGAAATCCAGAACAAATTTTTAAGAGAATGAATAAAAATTACAATCCTAAACATTTAGAGCAACAAACAATAAATGATTTTATTCAATATGATAATCTGTAAGCTATTGAAAATTATTAAATTATTTATATTGTATAATTTGCTTATATGTTAAATCTTCATTTCTAAACAGGCGATTAAATGGTCTGAAATGTTTTGTTAGGTATTGGTTAAAACGCTTATGAATTGCTTGTAGATGAATTCATAGTGTTAGAAGGGTTTAATGAACCTGGTAGTGGAAATGAGGGTAGTGTTTGGGTTTGGAAATTGGGTTTGGGTTGGTTTGGGATTATGTTATCGGGTTTGGTTATAATAGGAGGGGGTGGGGTTAGTAAGGGAGTACTAGATGGGGTTTCGAAAATTTCTATGTCGTAAATGTCAAAATATTCACAATCTGAAAGATACTCTTTTTTATTAAATATTTTAGCTCCAGATATATCAAAACCATTTCCTAAATTAGATTTACATTTAGTGAATGTAGAATTTATAATAATATCCTCATCTCCAAATTTCAAAATCCAATCATTCAAATCAGCAGTTAAGTTTAATTTAAGAGCCTGTTGAGAGGTCTCTTTTAATTAAAAGAATTTTTCTTTATTCATTTAGAATAGAATTGATTTTTGACGCTATTAAATACAATTATAGACACCAAAAACACATTTATTTTTAGTTTAAATAATAGTAATTGTATCTGATCCTTCTAATTATTACTTGATATCTTATAATTTTTTATAATTTGATCCTTGTTGAGTCATCCTATAAATTCTTTTTAAATTTTTTAAGAATGCTTCTTCTTTACCAAATGCAATTTTTTCAACAACCTATTCTATATAAGGGGTGGCTAAAGTTGATTAAGAAAATGTATAATTAGAAAATGTTCTATTCTCCATTATTTCTATTGATTCCATTACTTCTTTAAAACAATTCTTAAATTTTTCTAAGTTAAAACTAATTTATTATTATAATTTACAATTATTTCTATTTATCAACAATATCAACCAAATCGATTTTCATTTTCTCATCGTCTTTATTAATTTTCTTAACATAATCATCAGCCAATTTATTTAATTCTTCAAAATTGTAAGGACTTCTTTCAAATTTTTCATCAAGTAATTTTTTCTTAAAATCATCACATTCAAAATATTCCATTATATTTTCCTTTAAAGTCCATCTTTACACCTCTTCCAAATATTTTTTACTTTCCTCTAAAAACTTTTCTTTCATAACTTCAATTTTTTATAACATTTCTTCCTAAAAAGAGATGACCATCTAATTATAGAGGAATTTCTATACATTTTCAATAAACTTAACATCCTAATATGGGGAGTGATTTCTAGCATAATTAAAATACTCTTATTTTTTATCACTATCAAATTTAGTATATTTGAAGGCCTCATAAATTCTGCCATTGATGAGCTTAGAATATATTTAAAGATTTACTTCTTAGAGATTACAACAATATTATTGATAAGAATTGTAATTTCCAAGGAAACATTCATCACAGAACAACCTTTTTGAAATTGAACCTTTTTCTTATTTCACCATCAAATATTTGATCTTCTGTCCTCTATGAAAATGTTAGTCATCTTAACAGTAAATTCCTATTTTTTGCTTTTTACTAGTCATCTTTAATAGAATTTGAAATAAATAAATTTATTAATAATCATTTATTAACTATTTTGTTAAATATATCGATAAGATTATAATAGAATTACAGTTATTTCAATTCTTCAAACTCATATATCAATAAAAATATTAACCTAAAGGAGATAAAAAGGGATTCTTTTTATACTTAAATGAATTTCAATATGATGTTTAGAATTTAAAAGGAGGGAAAATAAAAAAGAGTTTTAATAATTTAATCGTATATATATTTAATTTAATAAATGAGAAGAATATGCCAATATTAACTTGATTTATGTTAGTATTAATGGTTACTAATTTATAGATGAAACACTTAAAATTCTTAATTTATTTTTAATGTTTAATATAGAGCTATCTACTAACAATTATTAACATTGATAATTAGTATTAATGAATATTGTGTTTATTTATATATCCCGATAATCAAGTTTTAATTTCTGAATTTAATGGACTCATTAAAATATGCTTAAAAACTTGAAGAAAATCAAGAAACAACTAATAATGGTATTTATACATAAAACATAAGACCTTGGTATCAAAATCAAATAACTAGATTAAGATGAGCTATCAAACTCTTTATTATATAAATGTATGTGAAAATGTTTGACTATCATCTTAGAATTTTCATTTATTTTGAACCATCTTCTTAGAATGATGACTAAAAATGAATAAAGCTATAGATACAAAATGCATTTAGGATTGTGCAAAATGATGGAGTTCAATGAATTAGAATTAGTATATTGGCATTTATTGAATTTGTAATTTGACTATGGTAAAAAATTACATACAAACTACTTGTAAGAGATTAAGTATTGATATAATATAGAATAGAATATGTGCATTTAACTATTTTAAAGATTTTCTTAAAATATAGGCAGAATTTATACCTGATATTTCATTATATAAAAGAGAGTTACTCTTTGTAACATTATCAGCATTCTACACTATAAAATTAATGAGAAATAATTAAAAATTTGATAAAATAGGAGAGTTTATAAAGGAAGAAAAGTTTTGTGAGTTATTTAAAAGAATTGAACCTGCATTCACAAATGTTTCATAATAATTGACATTGTATATAGTCAATCAAAAATATATGGAAATGATAAAGTTAGAAGAACCATTAGAAGAATAATAAAAAAATTACAATTTTATAGTAGAATAGATCCTAGAAATGGCACCTGCATATTAGAAAGATGAAGAATTGCCAATAACTAAGAAGGTAAAGAGGTAAAAGAAATTGATGGTAAAAAGAACTGAAACCATATAGAAATAAGAATTAGAATCATAATAAAAAATAGAACAATAATCACAATAAATACAATAATTATCTCAGCAATCATAATACTAAGGTTAATAATAATAAATGGATTCATAATACTTAAATTAACCAATAGGATCATCATTATAATTTTCAAGATATAATTAAAAAGAAAATTAATCATACAATTATATGAATTAATCTTAAATTTAACAAGATTAATTTATTATAAATGAGAGATCTTCTTTTCAATAATATGATAGATAAAATTCATTTGTAATGTAATTGAGATAAAAACATTTAAATAACTTTAGTCAAGAAAGTCTTGGTCAAGTTTATTCTAATTAATTTTATTCAACACCTTCTTAAGAATAATAATATACATCTAGAAATCAGAAATCAATATAATGGATGAATAAGAATGGAAAATGAATTATGAATATCTATATTTAATATGAATTCAATATAACTCACTTTAAGAAATTTTATCAAATAGTACCTTTTTTAAATTAATAAAATAATTTTTTAAAGAAGCACTATTTTTATAAGTTTAAACTTATTAATTTGCATTTTCAATCATCTTTTACTTTTTATGATAATTCCTTCTCTATTAAAATATATATTCAATTTTTTCTTATGATAAAGTTCCCTTTAATTCAGGATTGTTTTCAATTTCTTCCTAAATTCTTTACCTTAATTATTTATCTTCTTCAGATTCTTTTTCTATACAAATACTTTGATCTTCAATTGATTTCTCTTAATCAGGAGTATCTATTATTTGATTTGGATTAATATTTTCATTTAATTCAATTTGAGTATCTTTAATACTATTTATATTAATTTATCTTTCTAATACAGACCATTCTTTTTGATTAACTCCTATTGCTAAATGAAAAGATTAATTTAATCCAACAGATAAAGCCCTAATTCAATTAATTAAATATATACATTAATGCTCCAGGTAAAGTAATAATCACAAAAATTAGACTGCAAAAATAGTTTTCATAATATTTTTTATCAAAATTGTACCCACTATATAAACAAATGCAACAGCAAATGATGATTAACAAATTCAAAATTGATTAACAACATCCACGTAAACTAATAAAATAAATGAATAATATTTTTACTAAAAAGTAATATTACAACAAAAGGACATTAAGAATGTTAAAGCTGCATACTGTAAGTAATATGATTTATATAATTTATCTATAGTTTCTGAAATACTAAACTTTTGATATAAATGTTGTAAGAGAACAAAATACCATATAATACATTAAATGAGAAGAGTATAAATCCATCCTATAAAATATCTGTAATTTCTTTATCCTATACAATTACTCATAAAAGTGCAATGACTTATTTATTTTAAATGTTTACTGATCATACATCTTTACACAATTATTACAATTATAACAATGACTGCTTTTTGGAGGTCTCATTATTTTACATCTTGCACAATACCTTTCTTAGAAATATTCCCCAACTTTTTCATTTCTAACACTTTTATTAGATTTTATTGAATTAAATGATTCTTCATCATCTGGTTATGGTCTTCTTATTACTCCAGGTTCTGTAAAAGTCCCACATAAATAACTATATAAGAACATAACTAGGCATGTCCAACTGATCCATGAATTTGTTAGATAGTAATCTTCTGAAAAAAAATAGAGAAAATAATCTAAATAGAGAAATGAACATAAAAATTACATTGTAAAATGGCATAAGAACCTAAGACGAATATAATCATGAAGGAATCAGATACTGATCCTATCCATAGTTATCCAATTAAGAGAGAATTTTCAAAATGCTATACTCTCATTAATTTGATGATTAAATTATTTTTAATTATATATCAAAAATATCTATTTTATTCTATACCAGATTCTACATACCTAATTTGTTAATATTTGAGTAAATAAAGATATGTTCTATATTAATATATAAATTAATTCTTAATATAGATAAATAAAACAAAATTAAATAATTTATTTACATTCACATACTAAAAAATTTATTCTAAATCTATACTAATTGATTTGAGATGCTTAAAATGTATAATAATATTAAGGTTGTAAGATAAATTTATTTGATTAATTAAGATGTAAAATACTTAATATAATTAAATATCATTAAAAAAATAAAATAAAGTAGATTTAATTTAAAAATTCCTTCATAATGATTATTGAGGAAAATAGATAGAAATTAAGTTTACTGTAATAACATTGCTATACCATCATATTTGATTAGTAATATTGATTTTGTTAATTTTATAATTAAAATTAACATAGAATTAGTATAAGATTTACTCTACCTATTTTTAAAGAAATAAAATATAATTGATAATTTAATATGATTAATAAATGTAAGATACAAAATTTGCTTAAATTCATTAAATAAAATAATCAATTTAATTGTAATGTTGATTGTTTTGCTTTTATTTTCAGTTTCAGTTTAATTAACATCATAGAAAAATGATGAATCAAGTGAAGACTATAAACTTATAATATTCTCAGAATCTTGCTATGATTAATTTTTTGGAGAAACAGAATTGAGTAATGAATGCATATCTGATGTATATCATAAATAAAAAATAGACAATCAGCAGAACAATTAGCATTTTAATGATAGCATTTGCTATATTGAATCAATTACCTCAAATTCTTAAGATTTTTAAGTCATAATTGATACAAGGAATTTCATTTAATGCTTATTACACAGAAGTACAATATTCATATATAAATAGTTATATCTATTTTCATTTATAACAGCTTATAATATATATAAAGGGACAAAATTTATTTTATATGGTGAGAATGTAATAGTAGGCCTAGAATATTGTGTAGTTTTAAGTTTATTCTTATTTTACGATAAAGATTTGAATTTTCATTAATGGCTATTTAAGGCAGTTTTTTTCATAACTATCAATACTCCTTTATTTGTAGGTCTAGGACCATAATGGATCTTCGATATGACTATATACATTAACATGAGTTTATGTAAATTGTAAATTTAATGAAAATTTAGTGTTTATGGCTAGATTTTTATAAATAAGACTCAATTGTAGAAATAGAAATACAGGATAATTGTCATTGCTCACTTAATTGTAAAACTATGCAGGAAGCATCGCAAGATTATATACTTTATTTAATGATGATGCAGATTTCTCATATATGGTATTTATTAGAGAGAATATAGATATATGTTTTAGAAGACAATATTATGGGTACAATATTGCTAATTTAAATTTATAATACTTGGAGAGCAGAGAGGAAAAAGAATAAGAATAGTGATGATAAAAGTACAGAACTCACATGTAAAGAAATAAAATATGATTAAATTTGAGAAATAATTTATTCATTTATAATATTCTTAATTTAAAATGTAATGTGAAATTTTGGATTGGAAAGGTTATTTGGTTTAAGCAAGTTTAGGATTGTTTTCATTTACAGTATTAATAAGTAATATAGTTTAGTGAGTAATAGTAAAAAGATATTTTGAAAGACCTAAAAGAGTTTGGAAAATATTTATGATGGTATTTAAAATGAAAATTAAAACATAAGGACTCTTCGAAGCAATTACTTTCAGCATTATTAGCTCATATATTGAATGTAATATTGGCTATGGAATTATCTTCAGAAACAGATAAGAATGCTTGCATCTGGTATTTTATTACATTTATGTTGGATTCAACAATGGGTATACTTCTAATATTTTTACTCATGAAATCGTTAAATATGATATTTACCTATTTTGATATGAGAGTATATACAAATATTAATTATTCAGAAATTACAAAGTGGTAATTATTTCAAAATCTAAGAAAATGTAAGAATAGATGGGTAAATATATGCATGTCAATTATTTGTATGGAATTCTGTTGTAATTGTTTCTAAATTTATATTATATGGATTTCAAGAACTAGTTGCTGATTAATTAAATGAGATAGGTACCTATCTACTATCTCCCATAAATAATCCTGATTTGCTTTTGGTTTTTGTTATGATCATTATTCCATTTATTATGAATGCAATTACAGTATTTTAGGAATAGATTATTTTAAGTTCTGGATTCAAGATAATATAATTATGAAAACTGAATTTAGTAATCAAGAAGAGAAGTAATTATTAATTGGAACATTTTATGAGGGAACATTAACAGAAGACTTTATATAAGAATTAGTTGTTTTATGAATTTTATTATAATAATTATTATATTAGAAATGAATCCAATTTCTATGCCTCAATTTAAAGGAGATCCTCTTTTATTTCATGCAGTGGCACATGGAAATGTTTAAGAAGTCATCTCATTAATCGAAGATAAAGAAGCTAATGTTGATGCTCGTAATATTAATGGTGCAACTCCTTTAATCTATGCTATATAAGCCAATCATCCTTAGATTACAGAACTTTTATTGAAATTTAAAGCTAATCCAAACTTAAAAGAATACTATGATGTAGGAGAAAAGACTGCTTTACATTATGCAGTTGAAAAAAATTAATTTAAATTATGTTAGTTACTTTTAGATTATGGAGCAAATCCAAGTTTATAAGATAAAAGAGGTCTCACTTGTTTACATTATGCAGCTAGATAAGGATTTAAATAAATAGTTGTGTTATTACTTAATTATGGAGTTGACATTAATTTAAGAGATGAGAATGGATTTAATGCTTCCTATTGGGCTTAAGTTAATAAATTTAATGAAATTATGGTTTTATTACCTCCACCAAAATTCATTCCCTCTAATGATTTGTTAGAATTTAAGACTTAAATGAGAGAAATCCATAAAATAGAAATAGGTAAAAAAAAGAAAAAGAAGAAGAAATGAAAAAATTCGAATATATATATATAATATAAAATTTTTTCTGTTTAACTATTTTAGTTTTATTTTTATTATATTATCATAATAAATATTCCATTTAATCTCTAATGAATTATGTTTAGTGATACTTAGTTTTATAGAATATTTATTATAGATTGATAAAATAGATATACTTTATTATAAGGTTATACTTTGATATTTATCATTAATTAAGTATTATTATAGTAGAATTAAATATATTATTCTTTGATAATCCATATATAAATTAATCATATTATTAAAAAACCAGAAATTAGAATATAATAATTTTTGAATTAAATAATCAATTTATTATGTCAATATTTAATATTTAAATATTATCTTTTAATATATTAATAGTAAATGCTAATCAATTTTTTAAATAAAATTCAGGAGCTCTTGTAGAAAAAGATCTTATTCTAGTTTTAAATTGGGATGATTAGGTTGATTTTTTATTGGATGTTTGATACTAAGTTAAATCACATAGAGGTTTAAGTTTTGATGGAAGAAATTTCTTTTTTGTAGTAGTAGTAGTTGCAATAGATAGATTATTTTCATTTCCTGTAATTATAGTTGTCATTTTTTTCTTTATAATTTTTTTTTAATTTTAATTATTTTCATCAAAAGAATGACATGATTCAGAATCTGAAATATCCATTTATTAATGGAATTTTGGGAATTACTTAATAAGTTAAGGAGTGGTTGTTAGATCAATAGCTTAGCAAATATTAATGCCAATCTATTAAAGGTTTTTTATTGAAATATCTTTACCATTCTCATCTTAATTAGAAATCCTCATTTAAAATAGGCAACTCATTTTTAAAATATTACTAAAAAATAAAATGAAAATACCCCAAAGCAAATGGAAGAGTTTTTTCCATTTTAGTTGATTTTCCAAATTTACTTTAATTTAAATTAACATATTAACATATTTAAGATATAGCTGCAATAAAAGGTTGATCTTGATCATATTTACCTACAAAACTTATACCATATCTAATTAAAACTTTAAAAATATTTTACTTATTAAATGTTTAATGTAAATCTAAAACTAAATGTAAATTTTCAGCTTTTTTTAAGATTGCTTTTACATGCTGAGCACTTGGGATTAATTTGTTAACTTTATGCCATTTTTAGTTGATATCTATTCCCTAAAGTGTAGTAGTACTATTTCCATGAATGACTCCATCTGGATTCATCATTGGCAAAATTTTGAAATAAAATTATTCTCTAAGATTTTAACCACTTTCATTGACTAAATATTAAATAATTCCTTCAGCTACATATGAAGATATCACTTCTGAAGGATGTTATCTAGCTAGTATAACTATTAATGGTTTAGATGAATCTCCCATAGATATAACAGGGCATTAATTACCTGAATTGATAGTTATTGACTTCAATTTAAAAAATGATCTAAATTATGATAGAAATAAATACAGATTAGACAAAGGTTTTAAGAATTACTAGAGACTTGTAATTCCATAAGGCGGATATAAAGAAAAGTATGTTATATCTTCTTTTTCAAATAAATAACTAAAGGATAAAGTATAATAATTAGTGTCTTGAGTTTTTTTATAATTGTTCTTATAATATTACACATTATCTCCACCTCTATACCATCCAGTACGAGCAGTGTATATATATGGATTTACACTTAAATATGATGCCTATTTACTCAAATTGATAATATTCAATTATAGCATCATTCTTTCAGGAGTTCTAACACTGAAAAAATACCATCTTGTGCAACCACTGGTTTAGGTATCATTATGCAATATTAAATTATATTTTTTATTGGCAACTTTATGTACTGTATAAAGATTGCCACATTCAAAGTTAGAGTCAAAATGAATAGGTCCTTTTGAAAATAGATGAGTTCCAGAGTATTTTGGGGATGCAAAATTCTATCCTTTAGGAGTTTATATAACGAATCTTTAATAAATCAAGGCAGAATTGTTATGCAATTCATGAAATGTCTTATACTAGCTTTACTCTCTTTGAAAAAAGTCGATATCACAACATTCAAAGTTAAGAACATCTTTGGGAGGCTTGTATTAATGATGAAAATAAGGCAAAGGACTAATTACTATATAAAATACCCAATCTATCCTGGATAATCAAATTTAGGTTTTGTAAATTCAAACGGAGTTGAAAGAATAGGGTTTGCAGTCGGTAACAAATTTTCCATTCAATAAGAATTTTTCTGTTAATTATAAAATAATTCTAAAACTTAGAATAAAGTACAACGTATTATATTCTAAATTACTTTATTTAAAAATATATATAAAAATAATGTAACATATTTAACAGATCTTAAATAGATTTGATAATATTGTAGTTATTATGATGGTAAAGAAGTTTTATCTAGTAATTTTGATGTTTTTAAATAAATAAATTAATAAAATTAAATGAGAAGGCCTAATGAAGTTGAATACAGCAAAACAGCTTTAATGGGTATTTATAATTTTAATTTCAGCTAATTGGTATGAAGATAGATTGGCTCCTTAATAATTATAGAGAGATCCAAATGCATAAAAATCTGTATTTATTGAGAATATAACTAGTTAAGAACTGTGGAAGAGGGAATATCCATACCTGGTGATAATGGATGCTTACTTCCATTACCTAGAGTGAATCGCAATCCTCCTTACATTACAAAAGAAATAATAGTTCCAGATGATGGATATGTATTAAGATATAAATAATATATTAGAGAGAATTCAGAACAGAATTCTAAACAAAATTTGATGCAAAGAATATTTAGAATATGTAATTAGGGGATTGCAGAGCTCTTGTAAAAACAAATGGAGAGAAAGTAAATTTTCCTGAATGTAATCCAACAGTTGCATAAACTGCTGGAGCTAGATCGATAAAGCAATTAGATTAAACAAATATGCAACAAATTTTAGTTGACAGAGCTGTTCATTAAAATTACACAGACTTTGGATCCACATTTAGAAATCATCCAGAGTAGCATAATAAATTTTATTCAATTACTACTTACTAATAATCATTTCAACTTCCTGAAAATAATGTCAAAGAAATTTTAACAGATAAAAAAGTTAAACCTTTAGCTGCTGGATGTAGAGAAAGAGATCCTTTTGATTAAGGATTAAAAATGACTTCTGTAATTACAGGTGAAAAATATAGAGATTGTATAATTCATAATTATATTCAATAGCTGTTGATCCAAAAGAAAACACTGAAGTATAAAGATAATGGGTTCATTGTGGGGATTCTGGATTGAAAACTGCTTAAAATAATTTGAGATCTAGTAGTATTTAGAATTATAAGAAGACTGCTTATTAAGTTCATCCATATGACATAGCTACAAGTTTACCTTTAGGAGGTATATAATTAAAATATGTAGATGGTGTTTACACTTTACATCCTAAATATACAGATCCTGGACAATTTAGACATATAAGAAGTGATGTCACTAGAATAATGAATAAACCAATCACAAGAAAATGATATTCTATTTAATGATAATCCATTCATTTAAATATTGTTAGATGTCTTTAATTGGAGTAAATTCTTTCTATAATAATCTTTATCTTATTAATATAATTTCATTTGGCTAAATGTAATACTGCACCCAAAGCACCAAACAAAACAGTTGAGCCCAATGCTTATTATTTGGCTCTCTACCAATCCCATGGCATATGATTTTTATGATATAAAATACCAGAATTGCTCTTCAAATATGGGTAATCCAAGTGATGATCAGCATCCAAATCATAAGTTCTAATAAAGTCTTAAATATAAATTAATACCTCATATTTCTCTCATCTAAAGGAGTATTGAAATTGGCTCTCTCTAACACAACCTTACCAATCTTGTCAGCATTCTTAAATCCTGTAAATTATCCCATTAATTGAAGATCTGCATAATTCCATTATGAATTTCTACGATTAGCTACATTTCCAAATGAATTGTCTTATAGCTCTGGTAATTGTGATAGGAAGCAATCAAATGTTTATACTGAAGCATCTTCTAATTTATGTCTATCTGGTATTTCCTTATATTCATAAGGCACAAATCCTAAAGATACAAGAAGCTATTATTTAACAATTTATTATACTCCTTCCTATACTGTTTGATCTGCATCCTCCTTTGTAACAAATGGAACTACACATTCATATCCTGGCTTGTAAAATTCTGTTCTTGGCACCATCATCTATAAGTAATGGAGTGGTCTTCCCTTTACTCTAACTCTTCTGTATAACCACTCATTTAAATTTGAACTATTCCATGGTGGACTAACAAGCTCTTCATCTCTGAGTTCATAAATTGGTTTCTTGAGTTATTCTTTTCTGAATTAAATTTCTTATTCTCTCCATTATTTTTGTACTTGGGCATAAAATGCATAAACCAATGATCCACCACTCAAACCAGCACAAATACTAAAAAAGTAGCTTATATTTGATTTACTATTTGTAAGTTGGACATTGAGCATTCATTCTACTGAATCCACTTAATTACTTAAGCACAAGTGCCATTTTTATTAATTATATTAATATAAATAATAAACCTTTAGATATGAAATAAAAAATAAAAAGTTTATTAATAAGTTCTATAATAATTATTATTCAAATTTTCTAATTCATTTAAATAATCTAATAATTAAACACTATTTTTCATTTTTAATATCATGCTCTAATTCAAATTAATTACATATTTATCTAATTTTTATATAATAAATATGAAAAAATTTAAATCGTTTAAATAAGTCTTGAATCAATTATATTCTCTATAATCTAGATAAAAATAAGGAATATCCCAAAAATAGAATTATTTTGAGACTTTTCCTAATTTTGAAATTAATATTCTACTATTTAATAATTAGATTCCAAAAAATTAAATGAATAAAAAAATAATTAGATATAGAAGAATCATTCAATTGAGCGATTACCAAAATAGATAATAATTTACTATTTATAAATCTTTATAAAGATTATTTATGAAATTTTTATTTATCATTTGATATCAATTTCAAAATTCGACTAAATATAAAAATAATGATTCCTAGTTATTTTGGTATTCTTAATAATTAGAAATGTATAAAATTATAATTTATTATCTTATCTCTAAATATTCAAATTACATTTCACTACTGTTAGAAACTGATCAGGGAGTAATATTTAAGAAATATAAAAGAATAAATTTTATTAAAAATAAAATGGATTAAGAATAAAAGTATCACTTTCATATTCCTTTTGTTAATATTTAATAAGAGAAAAAGGAGGATATAAAGCTTACAATTATAGGTTTGATTGATGTTTCAGCTTCAATGTATACCAGATGGGAATGGGTAGCTAATTTTTGGAATAAATCAATACCAAAAGATAATTTAATTACATTGACTTTTGATCATAGAGCAAAAAAGGTTTATAATAACATTCTATCTTAAAATATTGAGGATCATGGTGAAGGAACTACAGAAATAGTTCCTGCATTTGAACTTTTAGAGAAAGAAATAGTAATGGTTCCCTAAACTCATAATATTACTGTAATATTCATTAGTGATGGTTAAGACAATAATGTAAAAACTATAGAATAAAGAATGTAATAAAAGTTAAAGGGAAATGTTTAAAAAAGAAATATCAACTTTATTTGTTTGGGAATTGAAGATGAATTCCCTACATTTTTAGCAATGAAGTTAAGATAGTTGTATCATAAAGGAGATCCTTAAATTCCTGCATTATATCTAATTGAACATGCATCTGAATAAGCTTTTTATAATAAATTTGAAATAATGAAAAGGTATTTTTATTCTACAAAAATGATACGTGTGAATAATGTTGTAAAGTTATTTCCATACGATGAAGAAGTTACAGATGAAGTATATGAAGGACAATGGGTTTATGGATAAAAACCTGACCTAAAGTTTATTGATTACCCTAATATTTAGATTATTCCAATTGAATAAAATAATCTTGAAATTGATGATGTTGTTGATCTCTTTAGATCATGGGTTCAAAATATATAAATTAGAATTATGGGAAAAAATGAAGATAGTAGAGAAAAAGCTAAGAAATGCTTATAAATTGTTAATTTAATTACAGATAGATTAACAGAATACTTTTAGATGGATGTATTGAATTTCAAAATGGAAGAAATTAATGATCCTAATTAACCTTTTAAAATTAGAGCAAAAAGAAATTATGCATATAAATATGGAAATAAATTATTATTTTTTGTGAAAGAATTAACATAATTATCAGAAGGATCTAATCCAAATGAAGTAGATGATTTTGAAGCAGCAAAAAGATTGAATATTGGTACTATTGTTGGAAAGCATCATTAAAAGGCTTTGGCATTGAAAGGTATTACAGTATAAGAATTTAAATAAATAAAAATAGAATTTTAATAAATCATTTAAAATTGTAAAATTAATCCTTTGAATGAATAAGGTCAAGAAAGATCAGTAATATCATTAGAAAATTTTAGAGATATTCTCTCATAAAAATAAGATATTTTAGAAGGATTATAATTCATAAAAACTTAATATGATTTTGCTGAAACATTTCCTTTAATTGGTCATGGATTGAAAGTTAAGAGAAATGATGGATCTTTTGTTAACCCATGGTTAATTTAAGTTTAATCTTTTGCAAAACATAATAAAGTTATAGATTCTGCCTATTTAATCAAAAATAATTTCAATATCTAATTGTAAATTGGTGATAATTAAACTGAAGAGATCAATTGTATTTTACCATTATTTCCATAATCTGATAATGATCTATAAGCTGTTCTTAGATCAAGAATAATCAAATTGTTATTAACATTTATGGTATAGTAAAATGTAGATACTCTTTATGAAGAAACTTATTTGGCATTGTTATCAAATTCATTAATAAATGTATTGAAAAAGTAAAAATCATAATGGTAGACTGAAATAATTGAATAAATCTTTGAAACTACAAAGCTAGTATATGCAGGAACATAAAGTTTTGAAAAATATTTATAAAAGCTTATGAATAATCCCAATTAAGCTTATTTAGAAAAAGAAGCAGAATATGAAGATTATGTATCAACAGCAAAACCCTTCATTCATTTGTTTTATTTAGCTAAATTAGGTAATGTTGTGAAAGATTTTGAATTAGAAATAGAAAGATTAATTATTTATTATTTTATTAGAGAATAATACAAACATTAATAATAATTATCTTATTATCTTAAATTAAAATTAGAAAAATAAGATGAAAATTTTGTTTAAGAATAATTGAAGACAACTTTTGAAAAACATGTTAGCATCAAAAATTTTAGGAATGCAATTACAAAAGAAATTGAAGAAACAATATTAGATAAATATCAAAAGGATTCTACTATGATTGGTTTAAATGAGGACAAAGTTTTCAATTAAGATTTGAAGTTAACTTTAAGTGCTATTGAAGCCTTTTATGAATAATTTAAAGGTGTTAAATTTGATCAATAAAGATATGTTCATATCATTTATCATACACTTAGATTGTAAGAGAACTAGGTTTTCTTAAAAAAAGTTGATTATAATAACTTAAAAGAAATTTCAAAGGCTTTAATTTTAGAAAACAAAGTAAATTTAACTAAAGGAACATCAGGGATCAAACATGCTTTAGAAAAAGAATATTAAGTTTGGTTTATAAAAAATCATATGATGGTTCAACCATTAACATATGAGTAATTACAAATTGAATGTTAATAAAAAGGAATAAATGTAAATACTATAGCTTATAATGTAAAATCTGGATTAAGTAGTAATTGCTGTATGGCAAAGTAATGTCCTTTTTATTTAATTGTTAATGGTTTAGATTATAAAAGACATGTTTAAACATGGGGGAAGAAGGTTCCTTAAGGTTTTCATTAATATGTAAGAGAAGAGATTTTGAAAGGATAAAGTATTTAATAAATTATTTAATCCTCAAGTCAAAAATGGAAGAAATTTCCTCAACTTTACTTAGGTAATGAAGAAGTAGTTCATTAATACATTAAATTGATTTCAGAGTCTTTACCCAAAGAATACTAAATATAAGAATTACCTAAAAAATAATTATTGCATAATTAAGTTAAATTAACATTCCCAAAAAAATAGAAGGTTAAGAAATATGGAAACAAAAGAGGATAAAATAGATAAAATTATAGAGGTAATGTTAGAGGTCGTGGAAGAGGAAGAGGCAGAGGTAGAGGTAGAGGAAATTGAGTTTGAATTTTTATAATTTTCTAAATTATTATTATATATTGTATACTATTTAAATGTTATTTATGGAAATGTATTAGTATTGAAAATTATAAAAAAATAAAGTAGGTAATTCTTATTCGATTAAATTCTATAAAATAATGATATGGTTATTTAAATTAAAAGTTCAATTTTATTTTATCTATTATAGATTCAATTAAAAGAAAAGAATATTTATATTTTATTAAGTTTATATATAATAAATGGAATATGTTGTAATTAGTAATATAGATAATTATACATTAATGGTTAGTTAAATTGATAAGATTATTCTAAGATTTTATAAAAACCAAATTTTGAATATTTTTACAATAAATTTATAATTATGTAATATGATGAGGTTTAAGGTAATAAAAGAACAATTTATTTATCGTTGTTTGTAAATATTTTAGAGTGATAAAGAGTATGATTCTGAATGTTTAATAAATGGATTATTAATATAATAAGTAATAATTATAGTTTCTGATGGAGGAACAAAAGAACTATGGTATATGATGGATAGATGAATAGACAGAGAGAAAGATTTTCTGCATATGATCCAAAAATAAAACTCAAGTGAAAATTCATATTCGATTTTTAGGATTTCTATTTAAACAAGTAAAGATTTAGGATTAAAGAATACTATAGTAGAATCTTAATTTGTTAATGGAACTATAGAACATTGAAATAAATGAGAAAAATAAATAATTATTTATTTAAAATATGACAACTTGGAGAGCATTAATGTCACCTTCTAGGAATGTGTCTCTATAAGAATCGAATTAGGAGTCTATAGATAATCGGATTCACACTCAACTTAAGGGAAGACATGCAAAAACTATTACATTGAGTACTAATATTTCACATCAGAAACCTACTACTAAAAGATTGCACTCCAAATCTATTGATATCGATAAAGCATTTATCTAATCATCATCAGATAATTTATTAGAAGTTATTAAATAATCTATTTATAGGTAATTAATGTAGTAGATGAATAATGTAATTTGAGTGAGATAAAAGAAATGTTAATTAACAATACAATTGAATTGCAAAAGTTATCCTAAGAAATTGATAAATTTGATTATAATTAAAGACAAATTAAAGCATTATAAAAATAAATTTTGTTTTAAAGAAGGAAGTATAATTTATAAATCAATATGAAAATAAATGATTGCAATAAAAAGATGTAACAAATCTAATGCAAATTACAAACAAATTATTGATTATTAGTAAGTATGTATTTATCCTTTATATTTCAATATTTGATTATAATTATATATTAATAATTTTAGAGTATTCTATTTAATAAAAATAGAATGTTGTTTGAGTTTTTAATAAAAATATAAAAATTAGAATATTAATTAATTTATATAATAATGGAAACTTAAATCACATTAAAGATAAAAACCTTAGATAATCAAATCACTTCATTTTCTATTGATCCAAATAATACTGTTGATTAATTGAAAAAAGTAATTTAAAATAAACTAAACATACCTTTTGATAAGTAAAGACTGATCTTCTAAGGAAAAGTTTTAGAGAACAATAAAACTTTATAAGATTATAACGTATTTAGTAAATGAATCGATATAGTTATAAAATGATCATGTAGTTTTATTACCAGGATAGCCAATATAGGAAGTCTAGAATTAAACTCAATAATAATAACAATAATAATAATAATAATAATAGTAATAATAAAGTGTAAATGAATTCCTTGAAATAGATATCTTAAGTAATATTTTAAGAACACTAAGTAAAATAAACTCTATATTTTAGGGTAGCATTAATTTAATAGATAGAATGTAAGAAGAATGGTACAATAATAAAGAAGCAATGGTAAGAACTTCAAAGATTTCAATTAGGTTTCAATATTGATAAACAATTATCATTAGAGGGTATAAGATAAAATTACTAAACTGTTAAATAGTTATTAGATTCATAAGTCAAACCTGAAGAATTAAAATAAGAAGATATTTAAGGTATATATAATTTAGTTATACATATAGGTGAATATGTAAACCCATTTGATCCAAAGAAAAGAACATTTTAAGTTGGATAGTGGATTGATGTGAAAGATACGATTGATCAGTGGGTATTTATGTTGTTTTTATAATTTCTATTTTAGCTTGAAGCATAAGTATAAATAGTTGAATAGAATAGAATTTTTATTCATTATAATGGATGGGGTAATAGATGGGATGAATGGATTGATATATAATCTCCTAGAATTGCTACTTTTCGAACTTATACTGTAGGTAGTATTAATTAAGACTTCTTATCTCCACATCCTGTTAGTGATCCTGATGGTGATGTAGTAAAGTAAGAAATTGATATGCATAAATTTATTTTTGATGTAGGACATATGATGAATTAAGTTACTTAATTATTAATAGAATTTGGAAGATTTGAAAATAATAAAAGAATTGCTGAAAAATAATTATAATTGTAATAATAATACTAATAAATGTTAATGAATAAAAATAAAGAAAGTAATCCTGAAGAACATAATCTTGAAATGAAAAAGAAAGAAAAAGAATTAAATGAATATGAAATTAAATCTAGTTTAATTGGTTCATAATTAGCACCTATTTTTGATAGAATGGGTCGAATGATGACAGATTTAGCTCCACATTTAGCTTTGATGGGATCTAAAACATAAAGAGTTAATAATAATAACTAATAATAATTACTTTTTTAGGTACCTGTTACTTTAACTCCAAATGAAATTTAATAGTCATCATAAAATGCTCCAACTCTTCATAGTCGCCTAGATATAATTAGCAATAGACTCGCTATACTAAGAATGACAGAATTCATTCAATAAGAAGATAGTGATGATGATCATATTACTATCTGATTTTTATAAATAATTAATATTATTGTTTCATAATTCTATGAGTTTAATCAACAAAGAGAAATACTACAAATTAATTTATGATCTTTTTCATATTTCATTTTTTCATTTTATGATATTCATCTATTAATAATAATCATTCAAATATTATTTTTGATTATATTTATATTTTAGTGATCAAATATTTAATAAGAATTTATTATTATATAATTAACTAATTATTTTTGATATCAGATTATTATATCAAAATTGGCAAAGTAATCATTTATATATATATATATTTATTAGTATAATAATATGATTTCTTATAAAAATTTGAACAATATTAATAGAATCAACTCATCATTCATAATAATCAAATTCATCTTCAAATTATTTTTCATCATCTAAACAATCATCGAATCCCCAAATTCCTATTCCATTAGCTTTTGCTTCTATTTCATAATTTTTGAACTCTTTAAAAGGATTATATAAAACTCTATTATCTATTCTTCCTAATCTAAATAATTTTTATATTAAATATATATACCCTTATTCTAAAGCAATTTTATTAATTGTAAATTATAATTCATCTGGTTTATCTTATGGTTAAAGAGTTACAAATTATCTATTGAATGATTTCTCTGTATAAGCAATTTTAGAATCAAATTATTAATCAAGTAACAATTCTCTAAGTATATCAGATGCCTCTTCTGCAAATTCATGTGATGATGGAGGAAATCTCAAATAAGCTAAAGAACATAATTTTGCCTATTAAGGAACATTTGTAAATTAAGCTGGTAATACTCCCATATCTTAATAACTGACTTCATCATTATTTCCATAATCTATAAATTTAATTAAAAATTTATCATTCTTAAATGCTTATAATACTTAAGCTCTGTAAATTCTATTATCTTCAGAAAATCTTGCTAAACATAAAGTTCCTTTCTTAACTGGTTTCTTAAGAGGCTAAAAATATAGATATATAAATTTACAATCAATGCAGCATTTTCAATTTGAATTTCTAATTCTTCAAATTCAGGATTAATTTCTGTTCTAAGATAAAATTCATTGCAATCATTAACAGCAGTAACTATAACTTTTTAAATTTGTTAATTTTCATTTTTATATATATTTCCCTAATTACTTATTTATTTTTTTAAAGTTTATTTATTTTATGAAAAGTCTATTATGAATTAAGCATAAGATTCATTCCAAAATCCTTTTTTAAGTTTTTCTGCCTCTTTCTATGCTTCTTCATATTTACTATAATAATCAGTATTATTTTTGATAAATGTTAAACCTTACTTAAGTAATTATAAAGTAAAATCAGATTCTTTATTATTTTTCTTCTCATAGATCTTTCCATAAAACATATTCTCTAAAATATTAAAACTTTCAAAATTAATCCAAGCATTTCTTTACATTAAAATTTTATAACTAAACTATTATCTTTACTCTTCATATTTGATAACATTTGGGAAACTTGTAGCAAATTCTGATAACTTGGCTATTCCTTATATGGTAAAGTTAACCATTGAATGATACTTTAAAATAGTTATAACAAATTGTCCATTAGGTAATATTTTATCTATCAATACTTCAAGTTAAGTATCATCTTTTATTGTAATACCAGTATTCATAGCTGATTATTTTAAACTTTATTTATCTCTCTAAATACTAGACCAAATTATTTCATTTACACTTTTTCCTTACTTTTAATCTGTTTAATCTTCAATTCTCCAAGTCAATTCTGAACTATATTATCCTATTTTCTTTTATTTAGCTAAAAGATTCATTTATTAAAATTGTTAATATTTAAATTTTGATAATTAAGGATGATTCTCTTTAGCTGTTGCCCATCCATTCACTATAAGTTCTTCTTCAATATCTAAATTATTATCACAAAGTTGTATAGTTTATAATGGCATATTATCTCCTACTTATAGAATATGAACTTATTTTCCTATTAATAATTTTCTAGCATATTCTTTAGCCTCTAATCCTTCAATGAAAATTCTATCTAATTTTATTGTCAATATTTCCTTATCTGTTTTTATTAAATATTAATTGGCCTCTATAATTTCAACAATTTATCCTATAATTTAAGAACTAACTGAATTGAGCATTCTTCTGTCTAATTCTCCATTCTTCCAAAGTCCTAAATTATTTTTTTTAGCTTCCTCTTAATTATTAAACAATAATTAAAAAGAATTTTGTGATAAATTCAATTTTCTAACATTTATAAATAAGAATACCCCCAATCAGTAATAAATGCATATCCATTTGAAATTAATGAAGAGTAGAATTCATTGTTTAATTCATTACTTTTTTAACTTGTAGGATATAAATCAGCTTTTAAAATTGGAAAATGAATGAAATTTTTTTAATAATTTATGGTCATAATTTATGTACCTTTAAAAGTTATATTAAACTCTTTATTAAGCCATTCTTTCTACATAAGTTTAGAGTATCCTTAATCTTAAATTGCAAATTCTTTTATAAATTATAATGAATACCATCAATATAAATAGCACTAGGAATTAAACTAATTAATGTATCATTATTATATAGGAAATTTAATATGTTTTCTTCAAAAGAGACTAGGATTGCATTTAAAGATTTATTCCTATATTATTTAATAAAATCTAGAACTGGTTGTGTTTATTTTGGTTCCTCATTTTAAACCCCAATTAGTTTTAAATGAATTTCTGTTTCATCTGGAATTTCTTCTTATAATTCTGCTCCATTAATTTGTAATTAGTTAGTTTTTGGGATGTACGATGCTTCCTTATTAATAAATTTAAATTATTGAAAGTATATATCTATAGCCTTTTGATTAATATTTAATTTGTTTCTCATTAAAAAATTAGGAATTCCATTTCCAACTACGATTGTCTTTTATTATTATGTTTGTATTAAAAATTAATTGGGAGAAATCAAAGATAATATTTTGCATGGTTAGAGTGCCATCTAATATAATAATTAATAAAATTCTTTAATTATTTGAGTTCTGAAAAATTAAATAAAATTTTGATTCTTATAAAAAATAATGATGATGCATAAACTCAACCTTTTTTAAAAAAGATTATAATAATTGTATATATCTATAATTTTCATAATTTGCGATCACCATATTTTTAATTTTAAATTTCACCTTTCTTTTATTCTTTTTCTTTATACATTTCCATGTATCTTAATTTTCTTTTCTTCTTTGTTTCTTCAATATTATGTTTAGCTCTCAAAAATTTATATGCAACATAAGCCAAATAAACACCGATAGACTTAAAAATATAAGAGATTGTCTTACTCTAAAAATAAAATATATTCCCATTATCAAAAACCATATATAATATAAAATATATTAAGATTAACAAGCATCTTCTGATTACATTGTATGTAATTCATAAACTTTTATCATCTAACATAATGTATCAATTAATTGATAACAATCTTTATTAAAAATATTATTACCTTTAGACTGTAAAATATATGGGAGCTATTTCTATCAAAACTATAATTATAGTCAATATTGTAAACTTAATTATTGATATTATTTAATACATATTAAAAATATTAGTAATTGTTTCCTATTCTTATCATACAATTAATTAGAATTGTTATGCAAATTAATATGGTAAAAAATATAATTGGTAATTATTACTTGGTTGCACTAAATACCACATTAACTAAAATTATTTGCACAACTTCTAAAATCTAAATTTGAAATATAATATTTTTAATCTTACACACCAATAACTGTTATAAATTCTTGAATAGTTAAGACTTTTATGAACCTTTGGATTATAAGTAAAGAAAACAAGCAAATTATTCTTTATGAAACTAAATAATACATTTCTTTTTTATACTTTTTAAATGTTTATTCTTCTTAATCCTTTTAATCCATTTTATTAATTAATATAATAAACAAAAAACTTAGAATTATTAAATCAATACAATTAAACAATCATCATTATTTTAATAACTATATCTATCCAGTAAATTAAAGATATCATAGAATGATGATTATATAAATTATAAGCAATCATTCTAGTGTAAAATTTGTTATAATCATTGATTTATTTGGAAATTGACGGAACTATAAATTTTTATCTGAACTTATAACTCTCCTTCTAAATTAATTGCTTGATGATCGTTTAAGTTAATTAGACAACAGATTCACTGTTTTATATTATTAAATCAATGCTAATTCATTTAAACTTATCAAATTAAAGCTGCTGTCAATTTATGATGTACTATTTCTCTTCAGACTTATTGAACTTATTGGTCTTGAAATAGAAAACTTCCTAGATTTTATTTGTTCCATAGAATGTATAGCTGACCCTTCATTTTCTCTTCTTCCAATGAATAATTCACTCTTATTATTTAAATTTTTCTTTCTATTGTTTATTTGCTAATAATATTCATAGTAAAATCTTTTCATTTATATTATATATAATTTTAAATAAATACGTATTTCATTAATTTTTAAGTTCAAAAAAAAAAATAATATATATTATTAAGCATTTTCTAGTTAATCATACTGTAATAATTTGAAAAAAGAAATTATTGTTCTATTATTAATTTATATATATATTTTATGTTTTGAAGACGATATTCTAATATAAGAGAGAATGAAATATGTTAAACTAAGAGGAGATGCTTTTATTTTTTTAAATTATCTAATTATCATCCTAATTATGTCATCGCATTATATACAAAAAACTCATAATTGTTGATGTGTAGAGAAGATTATTTAATTTAATTAGAAAAAAGGAATAAAAATTTTAATTTTAATTTTGATTTCAATTATAATTATAAAAAAATGCTGAACAATTACAACGATTAAATATAAATAAATAAACGATTGAATTATCGCAAAATATATTATTCTATAGTTCAACTTAAGTTAGATGGATGATTAAATGAAAAAATATTAAACTAGTTATTTTATCTATTTCTCTATATTATTACTAATTTTAAATATTATAATGATTTTAAACATGGATTTTAGTCTTATATATTATATAAATCAACTCATATTCTAAAATATTATAGTTTATATATAATATCTACAAGTTCTTTTTTATTTACTGTATCAATAAAGTAATTGATTAAAGAAATGGATTAAATACTGAAAATAATACTTCGATAATTAACATAAAAATATCTGGTATTTTTATTAATTAAATCTTCTTTTTAATCTAACATCAAAACTAGAGTCTCTAAAACTCATGAACTTTAACCTCCCTTGCTTTATTCCTTCATACCCTATTTAATAAACAGCCTTTGTTTATGTCCCATTCTTTTAATCTTACCCTTCATTCAACTACTAGGTTCATCTGTAACAAATTTAAACAGTTGTACCTTAAATTGAATCAATGAATTAGCTTCCATAATTTGAAATTCAAGAGCTAAATTAGAATAGAATAGAATAGCCACAACAAAAGGAAACAGAAAATTATTCAAATACTTCTCATTTATTGGCTATAATGAGTTCAAATATTACAAAGGATAAGCCAATATAAGAAAAGGAAAAAATATAAAAATCTACACATCATCTAAATTAAGTTTAATTTGAAAAAGAATCAAAGAATATATAAAAGAATTATGCCAAAGCCATTGCTAGCTTTGTCTATAAAAATAAATAATTAGCTTCTAAAATCCTTAACACTCCAGAAGTTGATGAATTTATTTAATTAGTAAAGCTAATAAAAAACTAAATCTAAAATGTTAGTCATATTTCTTAATATACAAACAAATAAGATTTTATAAAGGCTTTTAGAATTTTAGGGTATATAATACGTGTAAATATTATTTTAGAAATTATTTCTTAAAAACGAAAAGTAATTCTTATATATTCAACTCCAGAATATAAAAAAAGAATAGCCATCTTAGACATAAAAAATTGATCCACCATAGTCTCCTAAGATGTTGAAATTAAATAAATCATACAAACATATATTTGAATTCTAATTATTAAATATATTTCTTGTATAAATTACAAATTTCAAAAGTAATTATCTCAATAAGAATAAGCTTAAGATTTTTATTAAGATTCGTATGATATCTCTAAGCTTCATTTTCTCATATATAATAAATACTTATAATATTTTATAATTTAAATTGAAAAACTTCAATTCTATATGAAGATAATTCTATCTTTACTCTACCCCTAATAATATTATAGCATTTTTCTAATATTATTCAAATTTGAATTAAATTTTATTAACAAATAAACGAAAATTAAGAATTGATTAATATTTTCTTTAAGTATCTTACAAATGACAATTAACTAAGAAAAATATTTAAATAAAAAGAAAACCCATCACTTAAATGATTTTCAATTATAAACTCTAACTAAAGAATAACAAAAGTGTTAATAAATTTTCATATTGAATATTTAAGATAATTTTAAGGTGAGATTTATTCAGTATCAAACTATAATTAATGCTATGAGATTAATATAACAAATTCAATGGTTTACATTCATATATCCTGATACAATTTATGAATAAATTTAAAATCATAACTTGTTTTAAGTTTACTTATAAATCCAATTCTTATATTATCATTTAGATTGTATTTAGAAATTTATAAATAAATAAGTCACTTTACTAAGTTATTGTTAAATTTAGTTCTTATTAAAACAGAAAATCTAGTAATTGAAATAAAATTCAGTAAAATAAAAATGCTAATAAATATTCAAAACCTACCTCACTTTTATTCAAAAAGTCAATATAAACCTCATTTTCTTGGAATTTTTGAAAATTAATTCCAAAATATTACGTTTTTGAGAATTTTAATTATAAATAACAAATTTTCACAAAATATTAATTGCAAAAATTAAGTAAATAAACTGAAATAATATGTTTATAATTAAACATATTAATCGATGTTATTATTTATTAAATCTAATGTGGAATCAATAATTCCAGCCAGCTTATAATCTCTATGCATAACTTTAATAACCTATCTTTTATCCTTTATACTATATTCCTGTCATTAATGGGAATTAGGGATATTCTGATGGAAATTTAAGTAATTCTTTAACAACCTAACTAACCTAATAATTACCTTCAATTGCACCATAAGAAGCACCTTTCTAACCTTCTTATTCCCTTTTTAAAGAAAAATAAGTCTAAGAATCTCTAGAAAGTATTGATTCGGTGGTAGTGAATAATAAAATTAAAAACTATTCTTAATCAAAAAATCTTTCATAAAAGTCTACAAATATTTAAAAAAATTATGCTAAAGCTATTTTACAATATATTTTAAGGCAAAGAATAGAAATAATCAAGTATTTGGGAGAAAAATAAGGGATAGAATTTTTAAAAATAATCACTTAATTAAAAAATAACATTAAAAATGTTAAACATTTAATTAAGTATACTAATGATGAAAAGCAATTAAAATTATTTAGAATTTTATCAAATAGATTTTTGAAGAAAGAGGCCATAGGATATGTTTATAATTCGAATATTAAATCAGCAAGCCAGCACATTTAGTATAGACATCTTATTTTACAAAATTTATAAAAAATTTGAGTTAAATATTAAATACAACCTTAATTCTTATCAATTATACATATAATATATCAAATGTACATAATCTAATCATAAAAACTTAATGAAGTCAATCATTATCTGAATCAAAATATTTAGTACTTTTAATAATGAATTTTTGTTTTAATCCAATTTTTATTAGATTTATTTATAAAAAAGTACAAAAGAATATTATTCTTATCAATTTTGTCTATCCTTTTCTATTTAAGATAGGTAAAATTTTTCATTTAACTATAAAATTATTTAACATTATCATTCGCTAATGAGGTCTTATACCACAACTATTTAATTTATTAACAGAAGATTAACAAAAGTTTAATGATAAAAATATAAATAATTAAAGTATATAATGAAACTATGAAGATAGTTGTTTTTAATATTAATTAATATTAGAAATTAAGTTTTATAATTAATAAAATTAATTCTTATATTATAAATAAATATAAAATAAATTATTTAATATTTATTTATATTTTATCAATTATCATCTGCAATTTACTATTTTAACAGAAATATAAAATAAAATCACAGTTTTAAAATAATTAATGACACACTCAATATAAGATCTTATATTATCAAATTACTATATTATAATCTACAAAATCTTTAACAAAGTTTGTTTTACATTTTTATTCATTAATATCTTCTCTCATAACCTAATAAATATTTAATGCTTTTATTTTTATAAATCTCATTAATAAAGTGAATTTATCAAAATATTTATTTATCTTAAATTTAACAATATTCCAATTTATTGATTTTCCAAAACATTAAAAATTTCTTATACTTTATTAACATATATTAAATAATAAGCTTTAATCATCTTGTTAAGCAAATTGTAAATTAAATGTTAATTATCAATCGTCATAATCTTATTTAGGACCTACTTAAGTTTACATATAGATTTGACTTTAAGTTATGACCTTCTAACATAAAATATTTTATACTTTGTTAATGCAATATAAATTTATGGCTCTCTTAATTAATCATAGAAATGGTATTATTCATTATTTATTTGTCTCCTTATTTTCCAAAAGTGGTGATATCATTTATTGCCATATATTTATAGATACTATTGCATCTTATCACTAAATTATTATTTGATAAAAATAATATCCTACTAATTAAAAATCCTTGCTCTAATGTTTATATTAATTATTAAGTGTTTAGATTTTCTCATTATTGAAATATTACCAAATGTATTGAAAAATATATCTTTATCATATAAAACATTAAAAAATCAGAATTTCTAATAATTTAGTATATCAATAAATTAAAAAATATAATTTATCTTGAATTTTAAAGGGCTATCATACTTTATATTGAAATATGAAGAATTCACTTAATTCAATATAAATTATTATATGTAATATATATTTTGTGGTTATTATCATCGTTTAATAAAATACTAGATTTATAGGATCTTATAATCATACTTATTTTCAATTATTACATTTCTTTTAATAGTGTAAACTATGTTGCCACATTCTACAAACATAAATTCAATTTAGCAGATCACTGCTATCTAATATATTTTTCAAATGAGGAATTGGATATAGACAATAATTAATGTTATTAAATTTGAATTCCTAATAGGTTTAACACTTTAAAGATCTAAAATATAAAATTATTTCAAGAATTATCATTTACTTTTATTTTTAATTAATAATCAATTCTCCAAGTAAATACCTACTAATATTAAGAATCTCAATCTATTTATATATATATATAATTATAAGTTACACTCTAAATCCTTTATTTATACAATTAGAAAAAAGAAAATAGTTACTCACCTATTCTTTCATTATTTTTCTTTTATTAAATTGAGTTTATTATTAATTCAAAAATATATTACTTAGGTACGAATAATAATTTTGGAAATAATTAAGCAAGAATAAATAGAAGTGAAATAGATGATATTCTAATTGATTATCCAAACAGAATGACATATATGATATAATTCAAAATTGTAATAATGAAATCAATAATATTAAATATTTTAGTCAGTCATAATTTTCTAAATCCGCATCTCTTTTAATACTCAACCTCGTTTGTGTCTTCATTGTTACTTATTGACTTTCTATTGAAGTAATCTAAGCTATTTTCTTCAATCTGCTTATTATTTATCCACTTCTAATCAACTTCATAAAAATAGTAAAGGTATTCTGTGTAAGAGTTGTCCTCTTAGTTGAATAGATAAAAGTTTTAGGATTTCATATAGACAGGAAACTTTTACCCTTAATAATTGACGAGCATTAATTGTCCAAAGGTCATGGAAGCATTACATTTAAAAATTATGGCTAAAGTTTAACTCCATCTAGGATTTCCATCACCAGCAAAAGATTATGGGAGCATTCCTGTCTAAAATACATAATCCTTAAGTATTTCTTCATTAACTCCTATCATTTAGAGGTAGGCATCATTCATTACTCTAGCTGTTGTAGTGATAACTCCATTTTTATTCTTTTAGATATATAATGTAAATGGACCTTGAATGTTACGTTCAAATTCAATAAGGTTTGATTCATTTACGATATTGTATTTAGAGATGTCAGTATTTTTTTTATGAAATTATTCAAAGCTCTCAAACAATGATGCATCTTCTTTCATTAAGACTTCTTTAATTATTTCAAATGATGTATATGGCCTGTGAATTGTTTCTAAGTTAAAAATGTGATAGCTATTGTATTTGTCGTATCTAGCTACTTTATAATTATAAGAATGAGGATCAATATTCAAAAATCCTAACTAATATTGAGATTCAACAGTATTAGGGAATTATATATTAGAATTCAGTCTAAAGATGATATTTTGAGGAATGCATTGAGGTATATTTTAATTTATAACTATAATTTCTTTAAGTTAAGAAACATCTATGTTACTGCCAAAGTTAAATTCTACAGTGTATTGATTTTTACGCTTTTTCTTTTATATTTATTTAGATAACGCCACATTTTTTTCTTAATTTATTGTTTTCTATACATTTAGAAAAGAAGACATGCTTGTATTTTAAAAGTTATAATAATTATTAGTTTTTTAAAATAAAGAATAAATCTTTATGAATATGCATTAAATAAGTAATTAATTACAGCAAAAATTTAAAATATTAAAAAATTAATTCTAAGTTATCTTTTTCTTTATATTATATAATGTTTGATCAATTTCTAAATAATTAACAAATAAATAAATAAAAGCTAACCATTGTAAACTAGAGGATCTAATATTTAAAATTTAAGATATTTAAATTTATCAATTTTTAAACATTTAAATAATTTTTTGTTTACAGAAAAGAATGAATCAAAATAATCTAAGAATAACTTATTATTATAAAATAATCAATTATTTATTTATGTATAAATGTAAACAATTATGATATCATTCCTATCATTATGGAGCACCACCTGCTTATTTACCTGCTCTCATAATCTAAATTTATTATATAAATATATACTTCATCAACTAATAATAATTATTAAGCTAATGTGGGTGCAATGTTCAACCATGATCTTTTACAACAATAATTATCAAAAATGCCATTAGCAATAGGAGCAATGAAACCTTATTCATTAATACTCACACCAACAGGAATATTATTTTTGATATATTCATCAGTAACTTAAATGAGTGTTTCTTAAACATCATATCCACAATTTTCTGATAAAGCTTTTGGAATAACTAATAATGATTCAGCAAATGCTTAGACTCCCAATTTAGCCTTTCCAGCAACAGAATCTTTGAACTTTTAAAGATGAACACTAGTGGCAATTTCAAAAGCACCAGCTCCAGGTACAACACATTTATCTTCAATAGCATTTTTTACAGCTCTTAATCCATCTCTAATAGCATCTTTGATTTAAGCAATAGTATGTTCATTTGGTCCTCTAATTAAAATTGTACATGATGTAGGATTTTATACTCCTTCAATAAATGTATACTTTTCTTCTCCTAAGGTATATTCTCTTAACTAATTATATATTAAAATTGATTACCACTTCACAATATCCAAGATCACTTTCTGTTAAATCTTCAACTGCATTAACTGAATTACCACCACAAGCCTTTGCTATTCTTTCCATATTTCTTTTTTTTGCTCTTCTGATACCAACAATTCCTTCTTTAGCAAACATTTCTAAACAAACTGGATCAATTCCTTTTTAATTGATAACTGCAAATCCATATCCATTCTTCTCACAAACCTTTCTTTTGAAATCAATAATTTATTAACATTTATCATCTGTCAATTTTCTTTCAGATCTAGCTAATTTCTCTCTGTCTTCAGCTGAATTATAAAAGAATCCACTATGAACCTATTTATATAGATCTAATTTACTTCAGTCTTTTCATATTCTAATGAAACATTCAAATTTAAAATGTAACATTTCTTAACAAATTTTGGCATGTCTGGATGTCTTGCTCCATGGTCTAATACTAATCCTCTAATCAATTCTGTTTCTGCTCCCATTTTATGTTACATATGCATGATCTCAACCATAAATAAATCTATTGGCTTTTCAGGTACTTAAACAATTTAAACTGCATCTACAACTATCTCAATAATTCTAAATATATCTTAAAATAGTTTTTACTAATTTGCAATATCAGGTGTCAATTTGCTATTTAATGAAGTTCTGGCCACATTTATTAATACAGCTTTATCTATTTATGAATATTTAAAGGTATCTAAAAATGATAGGGCTTCCTTTCTTGCAAGTTCAAATCCTTCTGTAATTACTCTGGGATGAATTCCTTCAGCCAATAATCTTTCTGCTTATTTCATTAATGCGCCAATCAATAAAACATTGCTTGTTGTACCATCACCAATAATATCATCTTAAGCAGTAGCACTTCTAGCTATCATAGCTGCTGTTGGATGCTATATCTACATTTCTGATAAAAGAACAGCACCATCTTTTGTAAGTTTTATTTATCCAGCACCTCCAACAAGCATTTTTAAGGTACCCTTAGGTCCTAAATTTGATTTCATGACTTCCATCAAACCAGCTGCTGCATTTATATTCATAGCTAATGCTTAATATTTACGAAGCACTTCAGCTTTAGAATTGACAAATTGCACACTACTCATTTTTTAATTAAAAAAGAAATTTAATTTTTATTTTTAAGATTTGTAATATGAAATCATTTATCTTAAAACTTTCATCATTCCTAAAGTTTCATAAATTGCATCTTCTTATACTAATTATGGATTTCTCAATTAATATATTTATTTTTCTATCAAATTCTTAATATCTGGAGAATAGACATAGAAATATCATTTTATGTATTTTCAACATACTTTCTTATAAATTATATTTCATAAAAAACTGAATTATAGTCTTCGATTTTTTTAATTTTATAATTCCATTATTATTATGTCTTTATCCTACATTCCATAGTTGCTGGTTTCTAATGATTAAAACAATTAGTACTATTCTATAATTACTTTTTATTCTTCTATATTCATCAAATAATTGATTTAAATTCTCTATTAAAGAATACTCTTTTATTTATTAAATTATATAATTTTCTATTTATTAATAGATATATATATAATACTTATTAATTAAATTATGATATAAAAGTTTGCATAATTAGCATAACTAAAATCTATTCAAAGATTCTCTAACATCTTTGTTGCACATAGAAATAGAGATGATAATAGTGATTCAGTACCATTTGATTTTACAGATGAAAATTATAAAAAAATTGAAGCTATTTTAGCTAAATTTCCATCAAATGAGAAAAAATCAGGTACCATCCCTTTACTTATGCTTGCATAAAAATAAAATAATAATTTTTTGAGTTTATCAGCAATGAAGAAGGTTTTAATGAGATTTTAACTTAATAGATTGCTAAAATTTTAGAGATCCCTGAAATGGATGTCTTTGAAACAGCATCATTTTATTCTATGTTTAATAGAGAAAGAGTAGGAAAGTTTCATCTTTAAGTATGTGGAACTACTCCATGTTAATTATGCGGATCTAAGGATATAATTAAAACAATTGAATAAAAATTGAATATTAAAAATGGAGAGACCACTGCTGATGGTTTGTATACATTATAAGAAGTTGAATGTTTAGGAGCATGTGCCAATGCACCAATGATGCAAGTTAATAATGAATGGGTATATGAAGATTTAACACCTGAAAATACTGTATATTATATTATAAATTATTTATAGTTAAAGTTATTAGAAGATCTTAAAAATGGAACAGATAAAAAAGGACCTTAAAATGGTAGAAAAAATGCTGAAGGTCCTTAAGGAAGAACAACTTTATAAAATATTGCAAATCAATAAGATATCAAATATGATAGAAATTTTGAAGCAGCAAAAAAAGAATGGTTAGATCAAAAAGAGAAAGAAAGACTTGAGGCTGAGAAAAAGAAGTAAGCAGCTTAATAAGCAAAAAAATGATGTTTATTTATAATAAACATAAGAGAACAAATAACATTTGTTATATTATTAATTTTCTTATTTATTAATAAATATATTTTCTATTTTAACATAATCTTTCATTCATAAATTAATAAAAATAAATGTTATTCATTTTGATTTATCTTAACAATAATTATTATTTTATTTTGAGAAAATAGATTATTGATTATTTCTATTTTATAAGATGAGATTAAAATATTAGTCTTTCTAGTTCTTTGTATAATTATTTTGTTTGTTATTATGTAAACTCATTTAATATAAAAAAATTAAAAAACGGCATGAAGAGCCTTTTATTATTGTTATTTGTTGGTGTTTTATGTCAGAATGAAGTTGATACAGTAGAGAAATTGTTGGCTGACTTAAAGGGAGCATCAGCTGTTGAACTTACAGCACTCAATACAGATTATACAGTTTCCAAAAATGTATTGAATGTAATAGACCTTTTAGTTGAAAGAGAATATCATTTTTAATTTGGGCAAAGCCATTTAAGAATAAAACTTTTTATGCGCAAGTCGAGATAAATCAGTTTCTGATAGAGAATCTGACATTGATAAAACTAATAAATTTATTGCTTATTTACAAAGAAGACTTGTTGATAATGCAAGAAGAGTAGAAACCCTTGATAATAACAGGTAGTTGATACAAATATAAATTAGATGCACACATTCATCCAACTATATTGAAAGAGTTAAAAATGATAATATGACATTGAGACTTATAATATTTTTGAGAAATTCCTTATAAAACTTAGATAACAATTAATTAAATAGATATGGAGCATATGTAGAGAAATTCTTAACAATGTATAAATCTGCAAAAATGTCAGAACTTGTAGAATTAGCTCATGAGTTTGCTGATACAATGTTTATCGATTGGACTTAAGTAACCCCATCTTCTTAAGGAAATATCAATACAGTTAAAGGATAATTGATTGAGATGCTTGATGATATGGAGAGATACATTAGAGAATAAATAAAAAATTCTTAGAATTTAGAAATCACAACAGGAGTCACTTTGGCTGACTTTAAGGGAGCAATTGATATTGAAAATGAATAAATCAATTACGACCTCTCATCTGAAGAGAAAAATATCATTAAACTATAAGAATAATTAGTCCAAGCTAGATTAGCTGCAGTAAATTGTAGAGAAAGAGGTGTTGCTTTACAATAATAATAATAAAGAGCAATTGAAGTATCTCTAAAATAAAATATGGATAGGACTTAAAAATAGAAGAGACCTAATATAATAAAAATAAAGCTAGATTACAAGAAGAACTTAATTTATTCACTGATGTATACAGAATCTATTCAACTTAAGTTGGAACATCTGAAGACAAATTTAAATAAAGAGTTGATGATTATGTAAAAGATAAAGTAATCATTTTATTTTTATTTTAGTAAGTAGAATCATATGAGAGATCAGAATATTCATTAAGTGATGCAGTTAGAAAATAAGTCTAACATGAATGATATATCAATTCAATTTAATAATATATAGATGATAACGCAGTTCAATAATTAATTTATAATATCAAAATGACCTTAATCCGTTTTAATTTATTGATTATGACTATTGGAGTATGTTTATCAGCCATGACACCTTAAGCCTCATTATTAATGAAGTCATTCCACTAAGTATTAACAAGTATTGAATCTTGTAGTTTGGCTAAAGTCCTTATAGTGATTAATTAAAAGAATTAGTGTAAATCAAATTAGAAACAGGAGCATAAGTTGATGAAGTTCTGAAATTAATAAAAGAATTGTTAGATTCATTGAAATAAGATTAAGTTGATGATGATGTTGAACACTCAAGATAAATGACAGTTTTTGATTAAAATATTAGTCAATTAGAAGATGATCTCTCTAAATTAAATACAGATTTAGCAAATGCAAATGTTCTCATATAAACTTTAGCTGAATTATTGCTCATTTTAAGAGAAACTATTATAACATATGAAAAGCAATTGTCAATATTAAATGAGCAAGAATAATTTATTAGAAATGCCAGAGCTGCTGATATATAAGCTTATAATAGAAGAGTTTAATCTGCAAATAAAGTTATCAATGCATTAAATCTTATTATTGAAAAACTTAGCAAAGCTGTTGATGAATAGACTACTGATGAAAATAGATAAGCTATATTAGCCTAGATTCATAGTGAATGTCATGAATAATTTGGACCTAATCATCCAATTACTATTTTGATTAAATTAACAACTAGATTTGATGTTTCAACAGTTTAAAGAATCTTAGAAAAATTAGTATAAATTAGAGATGCAGCTATTAAAAGTTTAAATGAAGATATTGCAGCAGAAGAAGTGGCATCAACTAATTTTGATAATTCTATGACTGAAATTGAAACTTTGAGAAAGAGATTATCTACAGATCTTGAAAACTTAAATCAATAATTTGATGATAAATTCAATTAATAAGTAAGAACCATATGAAATATTAATAGAAAATAGTTTTGGCTTAAAAAGAATAACTATTAATTGATATTCCTCTTACAGAAGAATTACTTCAATTAACAAAGGAATAATAAGAATAATATCATTAAGCATATATTAGTAGATAAACTTAAAGGTATTGTTAATCTTTGATTTAAATAAAGACTCTCTGAAATAGAAGTTGTATAAAAAGCTTACAATCTAGTATTCGACCATGTAGATTCAGTTAAAAAATCAGAAGACCTAACAGCTAAACTAAGTAGTTGATATATATAATAATCAATAATAAATTACAGAAAATTCTATATACAAACCCTGTGGATCTTAATTTTAATTTACATTTAACCAAAATAAAATAATATTTAAATATTTAACTTTATATTCATTAAGACACTAATTATTTTTAAGATTCTGATAACCAATAAAATTATAGTTCTTCAATAAATTATAAATTGATTTAATTATATCTAAATACTTTTTACAAAATCTTACTAATTTGTAATAAATTCACATTTAAATAATTCTATTTATTTTATTATTCAATATTATCATATCTCAAATTCTTGTCTTCTAATAAATTAGAATTTATAAGAAATATAATTTAATTGTTTAACATTTAACTTTAAGTTTATCAATTTTATTACGATAATAAATCATATAAATAAAAGGTAAAAAATAAAAAAATTCATTTTTTAATTTATGATAATATAAAATTAAATTAATAAGAATTCTTTTCATATCTAGTATATTCAAATTTCTAATAATAGATCAATTTAAAGATCTATTATTATAAATAGAAGTAATTCAAAAAATGATTCAGTTTTGTTATATATCCTACAATAAATATTTGATAAATGTAACAATTATATTATTTTAGATAAATTCGTTTTATATTAATTAATAAAATATGTAATAACCCAATGATGACTAGATTCCATTGAATATACCAAAAGAACAATTTTAATTACCTGAATAACTTGATGGTACTGAAATTATGATTATGCTAAGAATTTGGTTAGCCAGTAATGTTCAAATGCAGTACTTGTGGAGTTCAAGCTGTTTCTATATTGCAACATAAGCCAGGGACTCATACATGGTTATGCTGTGTCACTCTTTGCATATTTGGAGCATTTTTAGCTTTCCTACCATTTTATATGAAAGATTGCCAGGATGTTACACATGTATGTCCTGCCTGTAGTCAACCTGTATTATATTTGAAAATTAATATTAGAAAGGAGTTAGACAATTTAAAGCATGTTGATGAAATAAGACATATTATTATCAAAATCATTTATATTAAATTATAAAACCTATGTCCACATATTCATTATATCCTGTGATGCATGAGGCAAATACTTTTGAAATATTTTCAATGCTTTTATAGATAGGACTTGATAGAGCAAACAATACAAAGACAATCTAATAGAGACTTAATCAAACAGAGCATATTAAAACTCCAACCGATTTCTTATCATTTGTTAATGTTAATGAGAAATGTTTATCTCAATCACTTAAATAAGAGAAATAAAGAGTTGAATAAGAATTTGCACTTATTGAAATGTTAGTCCCAAATAAATCGAAAACACATTTGATGTATGAGGTTTGTATGATGAAGGTCTTTCTATCATTTATCACTAAAACTAATAACTTAGTGGTTACCTCAATTCCAGGTGAAGGTGAACTTATCTGGTGAATTTTTAGATATTGCAGAACTGTATGGTCAATTTTTTATTGCATCTGGAATGAATCATAGATTATAATAAATACAGGCGATTAAGAAGAATAATTTATATGATAAAGTAATTAAGGGATAATTAAATTTAGATTCCCTTTATGCCTCTCCTTATGAAATGGCTACATGAATATTGCAGATCATAATTTAATAAATTATTTGCTTCACTCTATGAAACAATCTCATAAATGAAATCCAACTATGTACTAAATATTATATTGATGTTTATGTAGAGATAAATAGTTAGTAAACCAAAAGAAGAGATTTTTTCGCCTAGAGTAAATAAAATGCCAATAAATAGACCTACTTCATGTATTATTAACAAAACAAGAAGTATTAGTAATTACAGTATTCGTAAAACATCATAAGTGGTCACTAAACGTAACAATAATTAATCAGTCTCCAAATTAATAAATTTAATTTCTGATGTCATTGATATTGATCTTACTCATTATGACTAATAAACTCATAAAAAAAAAGAATAAATATTTAGTACTCTTTGGAGTAAAAATTTCCATGTTAGAAGTACTCATGAGAAATACTAATAAACTTATGGAATTCAAAAACCATAAATATAAACTCATTTTTTTAGTACTCAAAACAAAAGACCAACAAGCTTTTTTAAGCATTCATTTCATATAGATAATAATCTTAGTTTATTTTGATTAATAGTTTTGTTTTATGTTTTTTCGTATTTATTTAATATTATAATCATTATTTAAGTTGAGCTCTTAGAATTTGATTTTCCTATAAAACTTAGTCTAATTTATCTTTCCTTTGCTATTATTCTTAGAAATATCTAATCTACTCTTTAAGAGTACCAATTTAATTAGCTTAAATGCCTGCTTCTACTTATAACTTTATTAATCAATATTATACATTCTATCTTTTTTCAATTTCATCTCTACATAGAGATTAAACATCCTTATATTATTATTAAATATGATGAATTTCTTATTTCAAGTTATCATTGATTTCTAATAATTTCTCAAGATCTTCCTTCTATGATTAATATTTAATTTGTTGATTTTATAATTATTTTATTTCTTCTTCCAACAAATGAATATTTTACTATTATGATATTTATTCACTTTTAAACAACTTACTCATTTTATCCTTTTCATCTAACATTTCATTAATAAGCATTTTCTTATCCTATAATTAACTTTTTAGAACTCTAATTTCCATCACTTATTAATCAACTAATTTCTTTAACTAAGATTAATCTTCCTATTTTTAAATATTTTAGATTATACTTATTTTTATTTAATTTCTTAATAATCTAAATTAATGATTTCTAATTCTTTTTTTTGAATATTAATCTACTCAATCTATGAACTAATTTATTTTTCTAACTAATTAATTTATTCTTATCTACTATCTAAAGAATTTTAATATCTGATTTTCATGTTTTCAAGAATTTATTCTGATTATTTCTTTTATAATTCAATCTGTTTTGTTAAGAAATCATCTAATTTAATATATTCTAATTATGCTCTTTCTAATTACTCTCCTAATCTTCTGCATTCTTTTAATAATTATTCTTTAGTCATTTAATCATCTTATAAATTTGGAATTTTTTTCATTTTCTCTAATTATAATTGATTCTTTATATCTTTCTCTTAATTTAAAAGTTCATTATTCATTAATTAAATCATCTTCATTTCTTCACTTATTTTTGTATTCTCTTTAATTAATTCTTATATTTTATATTCATACTAGCTTAATTAATCCTTAATTGAATCATTGTCTTTAATTAAAGTATTAAATTTAATTTATAAACTTTCAATTTCAATTTCCTTTTGATTAACTTAATCAAAAGCATTTTTTTATATAATATTGATTTTATTAGAAATTAACATAAGTTGATTTCTAAGTTCATGATTGTTATCTTCATAACTGCTTAATTATGAAGACAACTCAACAATCTTCTCTAAAGCTTCTTTATATTATGAATTCATTTTAACAAGTTCTCTACTAATATCATATTCTCTTTCTTAACATTATTTGAAATTCTATTGTTATTACTCAAACAAATCTCTAGCATTACTTAATTCAGTTTCTAAATTGTTAATAACATCATCATTTTGATTTCTTCTCAAATCTTCCAAATGTGTAATCAATAGATTATTCTCATCTTATAACGATTAAACTTAAAATTTGAGATCCTATATTTCTTCATTTATTTATGTTTTTTATGTCTATAGAAAATGTTACATTTCATTAGTTTTCAAATCTAAATGTTTCTTTATTACTAAATTATCATCTATTAATCTTTCAACCATAGTAGTTAATTCAACAATATCATTAGATTATTTGAAACATTCATGTTTTAATAATTTATTTTCATCAGTGAGTGCAGATAATAAAGGTGATATTTTAGCAGGATCAATTAATAGATTTACATTCTCAAATTAGTATTATTTCCATTAAGCTAATTTCGTATATGCAGTTATTGGAGCCTTTTGAGAACCTAAATAAGCAATATATTCAGCATATTTTTAATTAGTCTAAAACACACGTTCAGGAGCTCTATTTGGATCCTCGATTATGAGTTTCTGTAGATATTATGCAGAAGGTCCTTTAGATTACATTATTTTTATTTTAAATTTAACATACAATACATTTTCATTTAACAGATTAATTTTCTCCAAACTTTTCTTCAATCCATCTTAATGTAATAGATCCTGGTCTTTCAATAGGTAATCCAAAGGCTCTAGCCCAAACTAAGTTTGCAGTACATCCAAGTGCTCTTGAAACAGCAAATACAACTGTATAATATTCATATTCTTTCAATCCAAAATGATTTAATAGAACTCCTGAATGAGCATCAACATTAGGCCATGGATTTTATATTTTTCCGATTGTCTTAAGAACAGGTGGAATAACATGATAACATTATTTAACAAGATCAACAAGAGGATCATCTTTAATTAATCTTTCTGCAAAATTCTTTTAATGAATATATCTAGGATCTGTATATCTTAACACAGCATGTCCATATCCTGGTACAACTCTACCTTCTCTAATAGTATTTAGAACATATTCTTATATTTTTTCATTAGAAACTTTATCACCTAATTTTTCCTATTTTATAATTTAATAATGTTTACTCTAATTTCAATCAACCATTTAAGAACTTCTTAATTTGCTAAACCATGAAGAGGTCCAGCCAAACCATTAATACCAGCTGAATATGACAAATATGGATCAGCCAAAGCAGATCCAACAAGATGAGTAGCATGTGCACTTACATTTCCTCCTTCATGATCTGCATGAATGCTTAAGTACATTCTAAATAATTCATATGCATTAAATTAATTGAAACCCATCATATGAGAGTAATTTGCTGCCCAATCTAATGAATTATCACTGTTAATCAAATCTCCATTCTAATTAAATATTATTTTTTATTTACTTTATATTTATGTCTATAAATTAATGCTGCAACTCTTGGGATTTTGGCAACCAAGTCCATTGCATCTTCATAATAATATTCCCAATATTATGGTTTTGTGGCTTTTCCACTTTCATAAGCCTATTAAAATGTTGAGTCCTTTTATAAATATAACACACTCTAAGATAACATTGTCATTGGATGTAATTATTTTGGAAGACTTGTTATGAATTTAATTGTCTCTTAGTCTAATTCTCCTCTTCTCTTCCATTCTTCTTAAACAAATTTGAATTCTTAATCTGATGGAAAGTCACCTGTCAATAATAACCAAAACAAAGCTTCAGGTAAAGGCTCATTACCATTTTTAGCTTTCTGTAAGTATTCTTAAATCTCTGGAATATTGTAATCTCTGAATGTGATACCCTATCAGTAACAATAAAAAATTACAGTTTTTGAATCTAACAATGAAATATCATAAAACAATCCAAATACATTTCTCATTCCTCCAATGGCTTAATCAACAGTCACTTTACAGATTTCTTTCTATCCATAAGTCTTTCTAATATCCCTTAATAAAGCTTATTTAATTGGTATAATTTCTCTCAACCTTTCTTTTAAGAGGTTAGAGGAATGGAATATGCTTTTGCTATTGAATGATCTAAAAATATGCTACATTTATTATCACTTTTTAATTATTTAAAAAATCTATTTTAAACTATATCTTATGCTATTATTCTTAAAGTGTGCAATTAATAAGCGTATTATTAATTAACATAAATTAAATCACAATTTATTTATAATGTGTATTTAATTTTATTTAGTAATTTATTTCTTCTATTATTTCTATTTATTATTAGATATTCAAAATATTAATAATTCTCTAGTGTTTGAATTTTTTTATTTTGAGCAATTTTAATATAAGTTAAGCATATAATCAATAAAAACATCCTATTTCTTCTAAATGAAATAGAGTTAGAATGATGATAAATACTAACTCAATTAATACTATAAAATGCTCCTTTGAAATAATAAATATTTCTATTTTAGATGATATATCTATTCTGACAACTAGAGCGGAAATGAAATTTGAAGTAATGTTGAAGGAAATGAAAATATTATGGCATAATTTGGACTATTTAATTATAAAATAAATGATTAATTAATATGATGACGAGTCATTAAATTTTTAATATAAATTTTTATAATAATTATTTTAGGATATATATCTTAAAATATATTAAAAATATCTCTTAATTAATTATAATAAAAAAATCCAAATGGATACATAAGCCTACTCCAAGATTTCAAATGCTGCTCTAATTTAAGAACTTTATAGGAGATATAGATGTCAAGAAGAAGCATTGAGAAAAAGAATTGTATTATTAGGAATGCCAGGAGCAGGTATTAAATTCAATTTATTCAAATTAGGTAAGGGAACACATTCAGCTAAAATGTTGGCTCGTTTTTGTATGTGTCATTTGTCTACAGGAGATTTATTGAGAGAAGAAGTACGATCAGGAAGTGAATTTGGAAAGAAATTAAAAGGAATCATGGAGAGAGGAGAATTAATTGAAGATGAAGTTATGTGCAATCTCATCAAATAACAATTAGCCAAGTATTTTACTTTTCTTATTAAAGACCTGCTTGTGCTAATGGTGCTATATTAGATGGATTTCCAAGAACTATTCCTTAAGCTGAAAAACTTGATTAGATTCTCAAATAAAGTGGATAATAGATTGATTAAGCAATATTTATGAATGTAAGAGAGTAAGTAGTTGTTGATCGTCTTGGAGGACGATGGACTCATTTGAATTCAGGAAGAACATATCATTATAAATTCAATCCTCCTAAGGTTCATGGAGTAGATGATATTACAGGTGAACCTCTTGTCTAGAGAGAAGATGATAAAGAGGCTACAATCAGAAATAGATTAAATGTTTATTAGTCTAAGACATCTCCTATTATTGATTATTACAGAAAGTAAAAAAAATAAATATTAATTTTAGAAAAGGAATTTTATTTGAAGTAAATGCTGAAAGACCTGTAAATGATATATGGAAGGATGTCAAAACTATTGTCAAAACCAAATGATTTCATCTAATTTAACTTATTTTTTTTAGTGCTTTGCAATTTTCTTATTAATAATTAATTATATAATAATATATGGTTAAAATCGTATAATCAACCAAATTGCTTAAATCAAGACGTCTACTTAGGTTAAAACTAAGTAAATTATCATTGTAATCCAAATAAATTGGAACAGATAAAAAAGAATCAGAAACAAAATAGGTTCAAATTATTAATGAGGATTAATTTATTACGCATATTGAACCAATTAAATAGTTATTGCCTTTTTATTAAGGTGGTAAAATACAAATAACAAATAATGTGATATATACATGTTTTAATTTTTGTGTGCAATATCTTGATAAAAAAATTTAACATAATTAAGAAGAAATAGCAAATTTTTGTGTGAGCAATTTAAATGATTATATTGCAACATTTACAAAGAATTATATGCTCAGATATGTTAGATTGAATGATCATATTACTTAATTTACAATAAAAACAGATCCTTTATTTGCCATTGATATGTAATTTAGTCCAGAAGATGTTTATTTGGCTTTAGGTGGTACAAATTGCATGGTCAAAATAATAAATGTTAAAAAGAATTAATAAAGTACTGAATTTAGAGTAAGTGGAAGTGTTCTTAAATTATAATGGATTCCTATAATGAGGAAATTATAAATTGCTATTGCCACAGATGACAGACGCATCTCATTATTTGATTTAGTAGCTAATAGAATACTTTGTGCTTTTGTTGACTTTAATAGTAGAATTACTCATATTTAATTTAATCAACATATGTTAATATCAAGTTGTAATAAATATATTAAATTTTGGGATACAAGTGTATAAAAAATGAGTGAAACTATAGAATTTGATATTGAAATTGAAACATTTATTTATTTTAAAAATACTTTAATTATTGGTACTGAATCTGGAGATTTGCATATCAAATAATAAAATAAAAATATTGTTATTGATTAACAATTTAATGGATAATAAATATTGAAATTCATTAATTGCAATGAGAAATTATATATTATAACAAGTGAATTGCATATTTATATAACTGAATTAGTATCTGGTTAAATTTAATAATAAAAATTATTATTAGGATATAATGATGAAATATTACATGTGAAGTTTATTAAAAATAATTAATTACTTTTGGCTACGAATTCACCATTTATGAAGTAATATTAAATATCTATATTTTAGAATATTAAATTTAGATAACATGGAAGTAATAGCTTGGAAGGCTCATTTCAGTGTAATCATGTGTTGTGAATTTATTGATGATCTAATAGTAACAGCATCCAAAGATAATTGTGTCATTATATTTAAATATAAAGGATTTAAATAACCAATAGAATTACACAAATATAGTGGTCATTCTGATGATGTAATTTCTATAGATGTCAATTCCAAATATATTGCTTCAGTTTCAAAAGACAAAACTCTTAAATTATGGGATTTAAAGAATTATCAATCAGAATAATCTATCAAAACTGTTGTTGCTCATGAAAAAGAGATGAATTGTGTTCGATTCTCACCAAATAATAAACTTATTGCCACATCTTCTTAAGATAGACTTATTAAATTATGGGATGAAAATTTGATGAATAAGATGATACTTAAAGGACATAAAAGAGGTGTTTGGGATATATAATTCTCTCCAGTTGAAAAAATATTGGCTTCAGCAAGTGGAGATAATACTATTAAACTCTGGAATCTTAGTGATGGTTCTATAATTAAATCTTTTTAAGGAGTAGCTCCTTAACTAAAAGTTTCATGGTTGGCTAGAGGATCTGAATTAATAAGTTCTGATGCAATTGGTAATATTAAATTATGGAATGTTAAAAAATAAACATGTATTAATACTTTCTCACAACATACTGGTAAAATTTATGCTTTAGATATTAAGAGAGAAAATCAAGATGTTTATATAGTGACTGGAGCAAATGATTCAAATCTAATTTTATGGAAAGATAAGACAGAGTAAGTAACTTAACAATAATAACTATAATAACATGATATTAAAATAAAATTACAAACATTTTAAGATTTTATGAGAGATAAACTATATTTAGATGCAGCTTTTATTGCATTTTAGAATAATTATATAAAACATTTTATTTAAGCTGTCACTGAAATTTATAAGTAAAATATTATGTTTATTTAAGGCAAGATGATTATGACAATGTTGTCTCTATGTTATCCTAAAAAATGGTTAAAGAAGATATATTAAAATTTTTATAATTATTGATAACACTAAATTAAAGCAAGAAAACTTATTAAGCAGCATAAAACTTATTCTTTTATTCAATTAAATTAATAAATGTTAATGAATTTAAAGATGAAAAAAGAGAGTTAGTAAAAAAATTGCTATAATAATTAAAATATTTGACATCCAAATGTTTTGATAGATTAGAAAATAATTATTCTTCTTAGTTTTTAATTAAATTCATGATAGATAAGTCTAAAATAGTTGTGTGATTAATGATGTTTATTATAAAGTATTATTTTCAAATTTTCTTTATTTCTTTCATAATTTGTTGTAAACATAATATTGTTTCATTTTAATTGAAAGTAGTTTTAAAATTATTCTTATCCTCTCCTTTAAGAATCATTTGTAACAATACTTGAAGATAATTCAATAAAGTATCCTTTAAATTGCTTTAATACTTTATTGAATTAACATAAGAATCTAAATCTATTGCAGGATACCTCATTTTTATTTAGTTTATTTATTTTTTCTATAATTTCAAAAGCATTTAAAGTTAATTTATAGATTTCTATAAGCCATCATTACGTTTGCTATACATTACATTTTCATTTTAAACTGCCAAAATTTCTTTTAATAGACTTAGATAATATTAAATATCTTACTTTTCAGATTCCTATTGTAATTCCTCTTATCTACTATTAAATTATTAAGTTTGTTCTTATAATTGTTTAGTTTTTTCTTATAAACATTTCCAACTTTCTTTTGGAGACAAACTTCTATATGTTACTGTAGATTAAGTATTTTTCATTAATTTAATTGTTTGATTGAGTCTCTTTTTAATTTCTTATGTTTTTCTAACTATTGAATATTGTTTTTGATTCTAAATTTAACTTAGATTCAAATTAGGAACTGGAGAATATAATCTATTTTAAAAGGTTTACTTTTCAGTAATTAAAATTCCACCACTTTAACCATACCAATATAATTCTTCAGTATTTCTAATTTCAATTCTTTTATCTTAAGACACAACTTAAAATGTGCCTAATTGTATATTGAAAACTTGACTAACTTCTTGAATTAATTAATCTAAAGGCATTAATTGCCATTAATATACTTCATTAGTTTTTTCATAAACAAGTTTAATTTCTTTTTATTTCATAATATGAATGAATTTATTAGCATTAAAAGTTTAGACAAAATACTTTATCAAAGACAACCTTAAAAACAGAATTCATGTACTCCAACAAGTTTTTTAACACCAAACACATCTCCAAATTCTAGATTAAGAATACTAAGTCCAACAAATAAATTAGATTAAACTGATAAATTCAATCAAACTCAAAATCCTTCTCAATAATTTAAAACCATGATTAAAAGAGATGCATTAAAAAAGAAAATGAATCTATTAACAGCAAAATTATAAACAAATAATACTTAAATCATTAAGGAAGAGAATGCTTTTAGTGATAGATTAATTATAACTAGCTTCGAAAAATTTGTTAATGAAACTGATCAAAAATCATAGAAATTATTTAATTGTATTAGTAAATCACCAAAAAGCATTTCTAATTCATAACATAAAATACCTGTAAGTGAAGAACAAATAGAAAATTTTGAAAAGAAAATCATAAAGTATTATATTAAATTAATATAGAACTAAACAAATTTTATAAGAGAAGAGAGAATAATTAAAATATGCCAAATAGCAATATTAGTCTAATAAGTAATTATTATAATAACTGAAATTTGAGTTAGATTAACTCAATGAAGATCAATAAATACTTGAAATTAGTACTACTAATAGATCTTTGAAGGATGAAATAGTATAACATAGGTAAAATTTAATAAAACACAAACAGATTTTATTAAAAGTAGATTAATTCATTTCTAAGTATTTAAAGGAATAAATGTTCACATAAGATTGTTAATTTGGACATTATATCAATAAATTCAATAATATTTTTATGTAAATGCTCATAACTTTAGACCAATAAATCTGAATATATATTTTAAAATTTACTATATTTATAAATAATAAGTTTAAATTTTGATATGAATTGTAAGGCATAATAGCAAGAATAAAAGGATGAAAAATTGAAAATAACTTAGGATAATTAAAAGGAGAGACAATTTATAATTTAAACTTGGAAAGGTTAGATTGTATAAAAATCAAAGATAAGTTGTTCTAAGGATAATTTATAAAGTCCAAGTATAAATGCTAAAAAATAAATGCTTCTTGTTCATAAGAAATCTATCAACCTTACATCTGAACGTTCTACTTAATTATCAACTGAAAAAGACTTATTTAATGATAAATTTATCAATGCAAATCAAGAAAGAATAAAAATTTAATAAAAGTTATTGGACATTCGTTTGTAAAATGTTATGATGAAATCAAAAACTAAATCATCGAATGATTTATACATAGAATACATATAGGAATAAAATCAAAAGGTAGATAAACAAAAAGTTATCCTAAGTGAGAAATTAAGATAGTATTCATATAATATATAAGCAAAGCTGCCAAAATGATATTGATAAATAAAAAAAAAGTATACTAAATGATGAGATAAATTTATAAGAAAAGTAAAAGGAATTAGAGATTTTGAAAGAACAATTATAATTGATTAAAGATTCGATATTATAAATAAAAAATTAAAATGTTAACCGAACGAAAGAAATAACTTGTAAAATCTAAATAAATCAGATCAAAGAAAAATAATTACTAGTTTAAATTGTATAATATATTGAGACTTTGTAAGATCAATATAGTACTCACTTGTATTAATTTAAAGATTACTTGTAATAATTAAAATAAAATATTAATTCAATAAAAATGGATTAAGAATATGATATATATTAATGAAATATTATTACACTAATATCAATTGTTAAAATACATCTCATATAATAACAATTACTCTTTTATTTTGTGATTCCATTTTTTTTATAAATAAGTATCAAAGTAATGATTGGTTTCCTCATCATAATCTTTTTCAATTTTAAGAAAAGTTCTTAAATTTGTTTGAAAAATAGACTTAATTTCATTTGAATGATTATCTGATTTCATAATTCCAAGTTATTCAATTTATCTTTTAAATTCTAATGCGCATAAACATCCAATTAAATAATGACCTGTTTCATGTTCTAACAATTCATCATCAGAAATAGATTTAGCCCATGATTTATCTGAGAATTTGCAAGTAACTTATAATTTAATTTTCTAACGAGCTGGTGATTATCTTTTTAAACTTGAACTAGAATTGCTTCTAGCAACTTTCTATTAAGGAGAACAATTCTTTGGTGTTGATACACGAGTAATTCTCTGAACACTTGAAACTCTTGTAGAAGGTGTTGGAGGTTTATTAAAAAGTCTATTATTAATTCTAGGTAATTGATCATTTTATTAGAGAGGCAATTTTGGTGGTAATTTAGGAGATTATTATCTTATACCATATTATTCTGAAGGTTCAGTTATTTTTCTAAGAGGTATTAAAGGTGATTTTTTAATATCTTAAGGAATATCTTTAGCTTAAGCATCATTTTATATTTTGATAGGTAATATTGGTGATTGTTATTGTTTGATTAAAGGTTCTTCTTTTTCTTCAATCATTTAATAATCATATATAATATTCCAATAACAATGAGCAATCCATGGCATTTCTTCATTTGGTTTGCCTACAAAATCAGCCCATTCTAATCGTTTGATTTCAAAATTTTAAATTTTAATTGGTAATATATCTCTTACATATTTATCATTTACAGGATCTAATAAATATTCCATTTCATATTGTGGATTTTTAATATTTTTTAATGAAATAAATCCTCCAAATGAGATGTCTGTCATAATGTACTTAATAATTTAATTAAAAAATAGTATTATTTTTATATAATAAAGTAAAAGTGATAATTGATAAAATATATTTAAATCGATTTTATTATTATTATTGATTAATAATAAATCAGATCTATGGAAACGTAATTTTCTTAATTTTATCCAAACAATTTTCTTCTCCATTCTTTTGAACTTAAAAGTATCCTTCCATTCCCCATTATTATCCCCAAGAATTTTTAACAAACCAAGTTTATGTATCATAAGCAACAATTACAACTACATGTTGATAATTGGAGACTTTAGGATAATTACAAGTATTAATAATTCCAGATTTATATCTTAACCAACTCTCATCAGCATACATTAGAGCAGCTACAGGTCCATCTTGCATTGCTGTTTCTATATCATTATTTGTGAATTTAGATAGTCCTTCAATCGATTTAAATTGTTTATATCCAATACTTCCCTTGGGTTTTGAACATTCATCTTCTTTTTAATCATATTCTCTATAATCTTTTTCGTAAACTGTTCCATATTTGTTGATAAATTCAAATGCATCTCCAACTGATCCTCCATCACATCCTGCAGTATTTCCATCAGCACAATCAATTAGATGAGTTTTTGATAATTAATCTAACTTATTTTTATTTGCTATTGATAATCTACTGATTGTGACATCAGATACAGCAAATGCCCAACAACTACCACATCTTCCTTATTATTGTACTTCAGTTATCTTAATATAATCTCAATAATTATTACTTATTTTAACCAATCTAAACTAGGAGGATTCTTAACAGGTTCAGCGGCTACTTTTTTTGATGCTGTTGTTGCTTATTTGACAACTTTTTTAACAACAACAGTTTTATCAGCTTATAAAAAGGAATTGTGATTTAAAGCATCAGATCGAATAGCATTGATATCATCCTCATTAAATAAATCATAATGTGTTTCAAAATCTCTCTTCATAAATAATTTATCCACTAATTCTTCATTAGTCTCATCTGCAAAATTGTTTAATCCCCAAACATCTTTTGGTAATTATTCGTTATGATGCTAAATGATTCAATCAAATTATATAATACCTTCATTGCTCTATAGTTCTTAACGAAAACTTCCATTCTATAGATCAATTCGAATTCGTTATTATAAGTTCTCTAATTTTCTTTGACCCAATTTTAAAAGGTCTTCTATTCATCCTCTCTCCATCCATAAACAGATCCATTTTCATGTAGAGCTGATTCTAAGTTCATATTTGAGAATTCTGAACAAACTACAATAGCAATGACACATAAAATAACGATTATTTTCATTTTATTTAATACAAATATTTTGCCGTTGACATCTATACTATACTCAAGTTTGATTAAAGTAATAAAATAATTAACATATTCAATAATCATATAAATTATAACTAAATCCAGAATTCAACAATAGAAATATATCATCTTAATGTTGTTGATAAAATTCAATAAAAATAAAGTTGAAATTTTAATATTTTTTAATATAATTATGGATATTCAAAATAGGAATAAATTGTTACTTGATCTTTAAAATAGTTTATTTCTTCCTCCATTTAATGAAGAAGAATATTCAACATGCACAACAGATCATTAGAAATCAATCAAAGAAATCTAAGAAATTTATAAGTATTTACATCTCATCAATGTTTAGACTTCGTAATGATCCTGAATTAGCTGATAAAATTAAACCTATTATTTCATTAAAAATAAAAGATGTTGAAAGAACAAAAAGAGTATAATTAGCTTATCTAATGCATAGAGTAATTTTGATAATAAAAATTATTAGATTAATAAAATATAGTCTTAGTATTTTATGGATTCTGGCTAATTAAGTAGTGATCATTTAGATTAATTATCTAAAAATGAAAAAGATTACTATAAATTTTTTGATTAATTAGTCAAAAAATATGAAAATGATATTGAGACTAAAGTTAGTTAAGTAATTATCAATTATTTAAATATATTAGAATATAATACCACCATCCGAAGTATTTATTGAAGTAAGAGTGATAAAATAAATTGGAAATATCATTACATAAGATGGGGATGAACTTGATTTAGAAGAAGGAACATAATAATTAGTAAAGAAATCAGATGTTATTAAATTTCTTTAAGAAGGCTCTCTTGTTTAAATATGAATATAAAATTATATTAATATTTTTATTATGAAAGTAATTATTACTCTTAATTCTGAATAACATGAAATTTAATTGTAAGATCCAACCATTGATGCTTTAATTCATGTTATCTAAGATTAATTTAATGTAATTCTTTAATATTATCAATTAGATATCATATCATTTTGAATTACTTACAACTGACAAACATACATTGACTGAAATATAAGAAGGAATGTAAATTATAGTCTAAAAAGTCTAAAATGATAAAGTAAATTTAACAAAATTTAAATCATTCTTTGCAATAGCAGGAACAATTATTAAATCAAAAACAATAAGTCATAAATTCTCTCTATAAAAAATAAATCAAATATCTAAATAGAAATCATGTGATTAAATTTCAGACTCAAAAATTTAGATTCCAAATCAATAATCTTAATAAATAGATACAAATAATTAATCAGTTGATGAGTAAAATATTTAAAAATGTGAATTATCAGGAATTCTATAATAAGATTCAGCTATGATTTTGGATGAAAAATAATCTGATAGATAATTATTAAATGAATTACAAGAAGAATCAGAAAAAAAACAAAAACCTCACAATTCTCAAGAATAAAAAAAGAGACCAAAAAATACTTCCATAAAATAATAGTCATAAACAACCAAAGATTAAGCTTTTGCATATGCAGAAGAAATAGCTAATATTCCAAGACTTAATAAAAGATAATAAATTTTATAGAGGATGGAAGAAGACAAAGCAGAAAAAGAAAGAATTGCAAAATAATAATAAGAAGCCAATAGATTAATTAAATAAATTTAAGAAAAAATTAAATAAAAGGAATTGTTGGTTAAATAAAAAGAAGAGGCTTTATAGATGCCTGAATTAGAAAAAAGAAAAGTATATATTTATTAAATTAAGGCTGTTCTAGCTTAAAAAAGAGAATTGAGTTAACCTATTAAATTAAGTGATTTGACAGAGCATTAAAAGAAATATGAAGAAGACAGAAAAATTAAAGAATATGAAAGAGAACATCATAAATAAGAATTGGAATTTGAAAGTAAGCAAAAATCTCTTAGATTTCCTAAGAGTTAAGCTTAACTAAGAGTTGAAGAAGAATAAAAGATGTAAAAATTGATAAGAGAATAAGAAATGGAATAAAAGAAGTTGGCCAGATTGAAATAATTAAAATATGCAGATGTTGCTTAAGAGATATATTTTAAAGATCATCCTTAAAAACCTAAATAATCTCCACCTCCTAAAGAAGAGTAATCTAAATAAATTAAAGAAATTTAAATTACTGAATAGAACCTAAGAAAAATTAAAAAATTTATACCTAAATAAAGGCATTTAAGTTAAGATTCTAAAGATTCTATTACCGATTAAAGCAATCATCAAGAAAATCGACCACCAAAACCAATGACTAAAAAGTTATAAAAGGTTGTAGAAAAGGTTGATAAACCTTCAGAACTTCCACCTAAACCTAAAACTACTGATTATCTCTAATAATTAAGATAGTAAAGAAAAGTTTAAGTAAGCATGGAAGATCAATGGGAAAAGTATATTAATATATTATTATAGAATAATTGAAAATAAAGGCTTAGAAAATGAATAGAAAGTTTAAAATGTTTTAAATAATGTTTAAAAATTAGAATAAAAGGCAAAAGAAAGAGAAAAATTAGCATTACTAAATAGAGATATATAAGCAGAAGAAGAAGCAAATAATTTATATATTGCAAGCATAAGAGCTAAATTAGCAATATTGGAGAAAAATTGATGTTTTTTCACTATATTTTAATTTTTGTTTGTAACTAATAATAATAATACAATTTATATCTGAAAACATAAATTTTAAGGAATAAAGATGAAAAGTCCTTTAAATAAATAATATCTAAATTCAATTAAAAAGGATGGGTGTTGATTCTCATTAAAATAATCAAGATTAAATTTTAATAAATGAATTTTAATTTTAATATGAATGAAGAGGTATTTATGAAATAAATATTTATTTGTTTATCATATTTATACTCAAATTTATCCAAAAAGCTTATTTTTAAAGAAAACATTTCAGATAAAGGTTTCAATATGAAAATTGCAAATTACTATCTTAAGACTGAGATAGTAATGCTTCAAAGGATTTAAACTAAATTATACTCATGTTAGATGCTTATGTAAAATTCATTATATCTTGAATCAAAGTACATTCACTTATAATAATGTCTTAAACATTTAAAATTAAGTCATCAATCAGAATAAATATTAATTATTCTTTATATTATGTTGAAACAATAATTAAACAATATAGTTGAGTAAATTTTCATATAGAGTTCATACATAATTGATTCTAATATTAAATTATTAGATATTATTGAAATGCTCATGGCATTTTTTATAAATATTTTCAAATAATTCTATATATTTGTTAAAATGTAAATAAAGCAAACCTATTAGAAAAATTATGCCTTAAATGTAAAACTTAATTTAAAACAAGTATTAAGCTAGAGAATTGCTAAAAAAGTATAATTAATTTAGGCTGATTATTCTTTGCTAGCTGTTCATTACTTTCTTATAAAATTTCCAAGTATATAATTTATTTTCTTTATAAAATACCTCATTATTTAGGTAATTAATCAAAATCTAAATCAAATATGATGGGTTTAGCTTCTGGATTATATTCGTATTAATTGATTTCTTCTTATTCATTCTTGATTAAATAATTCATATATTACTTCTTATCTAATTTCTTAAATATTCTCTTATTTCATTGCAATTTTATTTTACTTGATTCTTTATTTATTTTCTTTCCTTCTTTATTGATATTAAGCACTTAAGATTTTCATCCAATATTCTTCAGCTCCTTTTCTAATTCTTTTTTCTATTTCAACTCTTGGAACACCTTACATTCCAAATATTTTATTCTTAATATCACTTCTATCACCAGTAGCATTTGGTATTCTGAATTTAATAATAAATTACTTGGTTAATACTTCATGATGAGCAGATTCAACATGATTTTTTAAAGAATCACAAGATGAAAACTTTTTTAAACATCTTTAACACATAAAGTGTTTAGCCTTTTAGTGTTAATGTAGATAAACTTCATTTTTAAATGTTTTATCACAGTAAAAACAAAATGGTTTTAAGTATGATAAATCTCTATTTTTTCTTCCCATTTTGATTATTTAAATATATGTTTATTATTTTAATTATATACATAATATTTGAAAGAAATGTTAAGAATTAAAAAAATTTATTATATTTTTATTTTCACATCTTAAAACTTTTAAGAAAGATTTGAAAAGTATATTCTATGTTCAATTGAATTATATTTGATTCCTTTTAAACTAATTCAATTTATAAAATGTAATTGTTATATAATAATTATTTGCCTTTTATTTGAAACTAAAATAGATTAAATTAGATTCAAAACAAGTTCTTTACAATAATATTAAATTTTGAATGAGATGACAATTATAAATCAATTTATGTCTATATAAAAGATGTTAATCAATCAAAAAATTTGAAAAATAGCAATGAGGTATTGAGATAATTATTTAATTCATTATTTGTTGGCACTATAAAAAAATAGAAATAAATGTGTTTAATAATTATTGAGCTATATATTTTAAATTTAGATATTGGGAATATACAAAGAAAGAGAAAAAATAGCATATTTAATAGTAAAAATTAATAAAAAAAGGTTGGTTATAAAATATTATATAGATAATTTTTGGATATTAGATTTAAAATTAAAAAATAATATATGATGACAAAATTTATGTGTTATAATAGATAGTATGATATTAATCAATAAATGGTTTTAATTTTAAAGTTTTTCAACTAAATGGTAACTTAAAGTTATTAATAATCAAATAATTTAAGATTGGAAGAAAGTATGAACAGTAATTGAAATTATTTAGATAATTAATAAAAACAAAATTAGACAAATGGATTACAATGATTAAAGCGTTGGAGTATGTTATTGTTGCATGTTCTTTCGTTATAAACAGTTTATTTATTTGATGATGACAACCAATGCTATTTAAGGAATACTTCTAATGATAATAGGAATTTTTGGTCTATTAGAACAAGTTTAGATACTTGCATTTACAAAACCAATAGCATTGATCTTTTTATGCATAGGTAATGAAAACTTAATATAAAAATAGGTAGTTTGGTGGTTTCTGGACTCATATTATAATTAATATTCTTTGTGAGACATACAATCTTATACATAGGGAGAATAATGGTAATAGTAAATGTTTTGACTTCTTTATTTGACTTAAGTTCAGGGATAATCTTACTATTGTCTTGTTTCATGAAATTAAGTTTTATAGAATTCAATGATATACAATAATCGTTTAGCTCGACATAAAGAACAATTTTGTTAATAATCTCAATAATAATAATTGTTGTATCTTTATATGGATTTTGGATGACATATCTTCAATACTAGACCATTGTACCATTATAAGAGTAATTGGATAGAGAGACTAAAGTTGTGCCAGTAATATCTTTACGCCAAGCAGTAGCTAAAAAATTTACAAAGAATTTCATTGGTGAACTTACTCCAAATAATAATAATAATATGAAATTGAATAGACCAACAAGAGGAGATTCAACATCAGAGTAATCATAGCCATTATAAAGAATATATGTATGAAATCATAAATAACTTTACAGTCAAAACAATAAAATTAGGAAGAATAATATGATACTTATCCAAATCAAAGAAGTGATAAACTTATAAAAATATCTGATAATTTGACTCCATATAATGAATATTATACTCCTTCCACAAATACGATAAGACATTCTAAATAAATAGATGATTAATAGGGTTTAAGAAAATAAAGGACTCCAAGAAATACTTATAATAAAAAATAATAAGAATGATTATCTAATTTTTTAAATTATTAAATATTGTCATAGTTGAATGAAGATGTTTCTTATTTTAATGATAGCAATCATTTAGTTAACTTATGGAGATCAGTGTTCTGAAGTATCTGATATAGGTTTATGTTTAAAAACATCAAATTTTTGTATCAAATCACTTATAATATTAGGTTATATTGTGGAAGCAAATGTACCATATTTATCAGCTAATAATCCAATAGAGGGTGTAGTGTTAGATTAAGTGAATGATAGATGCATGGTAATTAATTTTAAAGATTTAAGAGTCTAAACTATTTTACAAGATGTGATTAATTAATAACTAAAGAGTCATGTAAATTAGGAAGTTGTTTATGGGATCCTATTAATGTTGAATGCTATGTATTTGATTTGATTATTAAAAGGAATGGGATTAAGCACCTTGTCAAAGTTACTCAAAATAAATTTGTTAATGGAATTCATAATGTGAATTGGTGAATTTTACATAAACATTAGATTTAATAACTAATTATACATTGATGAATAATGTAGATAATTTATAGAGAGATGGAAGAGCTATAGGAACTTGGTTATATGAGTTTGGATAAATAATTTAAATCTTAGATAAATAATAATATCAAGAAACTTATCTATTCACAAAATGTTAATTAAAAAATCTTTGTGAATTAATTTAGATTACTGATGTTAGTTCTGGAATTGCTTTATGTCATGAATCTGAATTAGGATGTTATTTTGATGCACAATATAAAATGTGTAGAACTATTAGTCATACTACTAATTGTGCTGATATTAAATGGACATCTAGATGTGAAAGTGGAGCAGCACCATGTATATGGTTAGGAGTAAAATGTGTTTAATATAATGATCCAGATGTTCCATGTAGTTTTTTAAGTACAACTACTTGTTTAAATAATGAAAAATGCTATTTAGAAGGTGCTAATTGTAAATCATATTTACGTTGTAGTGATTTTAAGACAAAAGAAACATGTGATAATGATCATGGATTTAAATGTTATTTTGATGATTATGAAAACAAATGTAAATTATTAACTACTAATGTTCCATGTAAAAAAAGAGGACAAAATAATTGTGAATGGTTGGGTACTTGTGAAAAGATTGATAATAAATGTCAAGTTAAATTACCTGATTATATTTGTTAATCTTATTCATAAATAGATTGTGAATCTGATATTGCTCCTTCTTAATGTGACTGGGATGATAATCTTTAAATATGTAAATATGAATATGCTTACGATTGTTCAATTCAAACATCTTTAGATTGTGATAAAACAGGAAATTGTTATAATGATAAAGTTCTTAATTTATGCACAGTGATTCAACCAAATACAAAATGTGAATTATTAGGTTAAATATCATGTTAAAAGAAAATTAATTAAACAAATAATCTTTGTTAATGGTCAACAACAAGAAATCTTTGTATTTCAATTTTTGACTTTGCTTGTGAAGATCTAACAATAGAATTTTGTACTTATAGAGAAAAATGTTTTAAAACTGGTAATATGTGTAAAACAAGAAAATAATGTTAAGATAATATTTAAATTGTAGATTGTTGGGATGAATAATCTTAATTCTGTTATTATAATTTTGATTAATAAATTTGTACAAGAGTTACTACTTATTCTCCATGTGAATAAATATTTAGAGAAGCTTCTTGTAATTAAGCCATTTGTGCTTGGTATAATGGATAATGTTAAAAATTAGAAAATGTTAGCTGTAGTGAATTAACTATTTAAAATTGTAAATACTCAAGTTAATGCTAATATTATAATTCAGAATGTATTCCTCTTGATCAATGTGGTTTAAACAATGAAAATTAAGATGCATGTGAATTAGATTCTCATCATTGTATATATAATTCAGAAACCAAAAAATGTTCATAAATAGATGGATTGTCTGATTGCACATCTATTGTTGGAGCAGATAATTGCAATTATGGAGCATGTAAAATTATTATATATAATTAATATTAGGTGTTCTTTAACCTGGATTAAATAAAAAATTATAATGTGTTGAATATGAAAATTCTGATTGTTCATTTTTGAAATAAGAATATTGTAATTTTGGATAATGTACATGGAATGTTACATAGTGTGTCTAATATCCATATAAAGTACAAAACACTACTATTATAATTGATAATTCAAATGCCACAAATACATCATCACCTACAAATGATACAATTAATAATGACAATAAAACAACATCATCTAGCTATGATCATGGAATCTTATTCATTTCTATTCTAGCATTTTTTATAGAATGAAATCTGATAACATATTACAAAAATCAAAAAAATAATAAATATTAAAACTATTTCATTTCATTTATTATAATAATTCTCTTTCTAATTTGTCAAAACCAAAACTTAATTATTCATTCTCTTTTAATAATAATTCTTAAACTTGCATTTATACTTTATTTATAAAATCTTTTTATTTCTCTCTAAATAGATTAACACTTTTATTATTCTAAAGTTTTAGATCATCATTTTCTATACTACTTTTTTGTTTCTTTTCTTAATTTTATTTTTTATATCCATATTTCAACCTAAAATTCATTCTTAAGTATGGAATTGCTAAGCGTTCTTCTTCTAACGGTTCTATTTGAATTTTATACTATTTCTTCTATCCTTAATTAAGATAAGGTTAAGAGTTATTCTTTGTAACTCTTTGTCCATTCTAAATATCTGGTAAAATTCTTGAATTATTTTAGGAACGATGAAGCTTTTATATAACTAATCCATCACCTCCTTTTAAACTACTTCTATTTGAAAAATTATTCTTTGAACTTAATATGTTAGGAACAAAATAATTTTAATGATTTTATTTTTCAAAAGGTGTCTTTTTTAAAGATCTCACAGAATAAAGTTAGTTTAAGTTTAATTCTTTATAGTAATTATCAAGCAAAGCCTATTTCATAATAAATTATATTGTTTTTTATTTCTAAAATAATACTTAATTTAAAGAAATACTAGTATTCTCTCACAAACAGATTAATTAAAATGGTATACTTTTAAAAAATAATAAGTTTAATTAATATTTATATTTTGTACTTATCACAAACTATTTATCATAATGTATAAGTTATAAATAAGAATAAAAATGAAGATATCATTTTAACAAAAATTAAATATCTTAATTATTATATTAAAACTATAAGTTTAATTAAAAAGAGAGTATTAATTATTAAATGAGATTTATCCAAATTTAAAGTGATATCCCATAATGCAATGAAAAAGTATCTTTAATATTTTAAATTAATAAGATACATAGATTATAATTTAAAGATTAAATTAAATTGAAAAGATTATTCAATTAAACTTTAGTTTTAGGATTAAGATTACTTAATTTAATACAATTTTCAATAAATTTCATTTATATTTAATTAAATATATATGAGAAAATATATGAGAAACATAAAGAAATATATAATTCATTCGTTTTCATATTTTATATCATCTAAATTTAGATCATGTTTTAATTTATCGAATAATTTACAAAGTTTCTGATCCCTAGATGAATTAGCATATTCAATTAGAGATTAGATATTTTTAACTAATTTTTATTGTCTATCTTTTACTTTTTGAATAGTAAAATGATTAGAAATTTTATAAATTTATTATTATGTGCCCTCACTTATTTCTGTTTTAAATCTCCTAGCTGATGGTAGTATTTTACTAGTTAGAATTGGAGGATATTTTTAAGGAGTTTTTAAACTTAAATGAGGTATTTAGATTGGATTTTGATTTTCAATTACATCAAGATGAATTTTATATTTCTCTGTTTTTGAATTAACTCCAACACTACTAACAGATATACTTTTTTTATTTAAATCTCTTAATTATTTATTATCTGTAGAATGATCATTTATAATATGAGAAACCTTTCCTATTTAATTATTATATGATCTATCACTAAAGCTATGTTTAATTAAGTGTTTTTTGGAATCATATTTTTGTTGTTGTTGTTTAGGTGAACTCATTTCTTTGAGTGCACTTTGACATTATTTTTCCAATAAATTAATTGGTCTGGTCTATATTTTAGGAAATAAAAAATTCATTATATAATATTTAATACTTTTTTAATTCATTTGATTTTTAATTTAAAATATTATTTTTAACATCTATTTAATTTATATAACTATAATATCGACATCATTTTAAAAGTAAAAATAATATGATCATTTATTTGATTAATTACTTAATATGGATATGGATGAAAGTGAAATAATTAAAATAATATTGAAAAAAATTGGTATATTAAAAATGGATAGCAAAATTATTAGGAATATTAGTTAATTAAATAGAGATTTTCTTATAAACTATAAATTATAAGTTATTAAATTAACTTGGTTCCATGAATAATTGTTAAAACAAATCTAAGCTAAAGTTGATGGACTCAAAAAAAGAGTATAATATTATAAAATGAATATTCAGCATTAAATAAAATAATCAAAGAAAAATATTTCAAATTGATGAAAAATAGAATTGAATATGAAAATAAGATTAGTAGATAAGATTTTAACCAATTTTGAGTTATCATTTAAGTTATTAACGATAGAAATTAAAAGCATCTAATAATTTTGAAAATTTAAATTTCAATATATTATATTTAACAATTATGTAATAGAAAAGATTATCATCTGTTGACAAAAATTTTATGTCTTCACTACGGAAATACGAAGAATATCCTTCATAAAAGTAAATGAATGCTTAAAAAAAAGAAATATTATTATAAGAGCAATAATTATTGATTTAAGACATTCAAGCTAATATTTCAGACTTAGAACTTGGAAATTATGTGAAATGCTTTACAAGTATAAATTTAATGTTTAATGATCCAAATTATTGTCTTCGTAAACATATTTCTTTTTAATTATTTGTACCTGAAGAAAAAGATTTCATTGGATTTACACTATTGAACTAAAAGGAAATTTGGATTTTATTATTACTATACTTTGATATAGTGAATTAGGATAAGAATTAATATGCTATTTATCTTTGGTAAAGCATAATTAAGAAAATGTCTGAATTTTTAAATTATGAACTAAGAGAAGAAGTAATAAATAAAGTCAAACTTTATATTTAAAGGTCTAAAATAGGAAATAATATTAATAAATAATATAATTATAAAACAAATCATAATTATTATCTTCAAGAGAATGATAATTAAAATAAAGAAGTGAAAGAGATTAATGATAATTTTAAGGAAATTTGTTTTGATAAATCTAATATAGCAACATTATCTGATAATTCAATAATTGAAAGAAGTTAGGTTTTAGAATAAAATATAATAATAATATATGATTAAGTTGATTCAGCAACAAATGATGATGTATCTAATTATGGTCCAAATAATAGTTCACTTGATTTGAATAATGATTTTGTAGAAATTACTTATCATAATTCTAATCCTAATGATTTTCAAATACCAGATATTTCATTTTAATAGTAATCATAGACAGAAGATTTAATAAAGAATTCTACATAAATAGATTAAACAAATAATTAAGTTGAGATTTCTTTAATAGCATAAATGGAATAATTAGGTTTATAAGATATATAACAAGGTGATCAATTAAATAATGCTATTATTTTAGATAATGATGATGATATTCAAGATAGTTGTCAAAATTTAGAATTAGAATCAATCAGTTAGACTTCACTTGAAAATGTCAAAATTTAAGAATCATCAATTTATTAGTAGAAATTTTAAGAAGAAAATAAATTAACAGAGCATCTTGATGATAATAAAAGTATTAAGAATTATTAAATAAGTATTTCAGATTTTGAATAAATCAATTATGATTCAATATAAAATATTGATTAATTTTGTAAGAAATCTCATGAAACTCCTCAATTTTCTATGAATTAATAGTGTATTAATGAATGGATAAATTTAGAATAAAAGAATACAATATAATAATAAGAAGAACATTAAGAAATGTAATTTTTAAATTATGATGAACTTTTGGCACATGATTAGGCTAAATAGATTTTAAAAAAAGATTTAGAATAATTAGAAAATGATTTAGATAATTAAGATGATATAGATAATTATAATAATTTAATTGAAACTAAGTAGTAAGAATATGAAAGAAAAAAGAATTAATAATATATTGAATAATAGGATATAATAAAAGTTGAATTTTAATAATCTTTAGATATAGTTAATTCATAGAAAAAGACTATTGAAGATTATTTTAAACCTAAAAGTAAAAATGAGACAAAAGATTCTATTACATTAGATGAAGAATATGTTTAATAAGATGAATTTCAATATACTTCATAGAATTAGAAAAAGAAATAAAGTAGAATAAGTAAAATTATGTAATAATCAAATGCAAATTCGTAATTAGATAATGCATTTGAATATGATATATCTGCATAATAATAATAAAAGTAGCATAATAATTTAGAATAATCACATGATCTTGAATCTTAATAATTATCATATAATAAAAAGAAACGATCTCCTTATCTTGATAAATAATATGATTAAAATTTTATGGATAAACATGGATCAGGATATAGATTTGAGATTTAAAAGGCACCATAAAGATTAAAAGAAAAATATTAAGTTGAAGAAATATTAGTCCCAAAAAGATCAAGTAAAAGAATTTAATATCCTCAAAAAAGTGATTTAGAAATATCTAAAATGATTATTGCTAATAATGATATCTTGAATTATTTTACTCCTGCAGATCTCTAATCTTAATAAATATCTGAAGAAATCAATAATAGAATACATCCTATAACATATTTTCATTAACTTAATAAGAATGATAAAAATTAAATAATAGTTGTAAGTTATTTAAATATATATTCTAGTTATCAAAAAACTAAGAACATTTTATTGATGATATTGTTGAGATAGAGATTTGTATTGAAAATATAAATGATAATGAGAGTCATAATATAGTTAAGGTAATATAAATAATTAATTAGATTTTAAGGGGATAATTAAATGGACTGATTGCTTTAGCCTAAATAAAAAAATAAAATTCTGAATAAATTATCTTTGAGGATTACAATTTCTACAATAATTATCTTCACTTTCATCATAAACAATCATAGGCTATCTATTTACCATTAGGCAGCTATTTAATTAATTAAAATTGATTATATTATATTTAGTATTATAATATTGGATAGATATATTTAAAGAATCACATTTTAAATAAGAATATATATAAATATATATTCAATACAAACATCAAATTCCATTTTAGATTTAGTAATAAAATACGTTAAAACTATTTTATTTAAACAAAAATTATCAGAATTAAAACATATTTAAATATTTCTTTAATAACATGGTTAGATTCATTAAATTAGATTTTAAATAGAACTCTTTTGTAATTCTATGATTGTGATATTGATAACATTATCATTAATGAATAGAGTTTATTCAGAATAGACATTTGAAAAATTAACATATTATTTAGACACTACAACATTAGCTCAAAATTTAACTTGCTAAAGTCTAACAAAAGTTTATCAATCCACAACTACTGGTACACCAAGAGTTATGTAATTCAAAATAAATACTGCATATGGTTACAATAGTTTACTTTATACATTTGATTTACATACTCCATTTACATCAATAACTGATATAATTTTTGTGGAAAGTGGCCAAACTGTATATAAATTACAATACAATTCTGTTCGCTCTTATGTTTCAAATTTCTGTTCTATTACAAGTTCAATTCAATATGTACAATTCACTTCGAACACTTAAATGAATGAATAATAAGTAACTCTACTTGTTTCAACTAATAGTGCAATCACATTTTAGATAAAGAATTTAAATATTTATGCAGAGAGATGTTAGTTATATTGTAAAATTTGTAATAATGATAAATTTTGTTCAGAATGTATGCCTGATTTTATATTAACTTCTATGGGTAAATGTGTATGTAATTCATAATTTCTTACTTATTTCTAAGGATAATGTGTTACTTAATGTCCTGTTAATCATATATTTAATGGTTTGACTTGTTTGCAATATAATCAAATAATAAATTTATTATATGATGATACAGCATCTAAATTTATAATGTACCCTGATTATAATACAACTTAAAGAGAATGTAAAATCACTTTAGAAGGTAAAAAAGTAGCAGGTCTATTTATTTAGAATGAAGTTATAGAATATTAAATTAATACTCCAATAACAAAAGCTTATGATATTATTATGGAAACAGAAATTTATCTTTTGAATTAGCCATACAATATACCATTACATTTATTTATTAAGTTTAATAATAATTTAATAGGATAAGCTTTAATTTTATATAATTATTAAAATAAAGCCTAAGTTATAGGAGCAGTAAATCAAAAACAATGCAATATTATTGGATTTAATTCATGTTTAAAATTTACTTTTATATTAAATGTTTAGAATATTTCAGATCTTTAACAAATTTAAATTAATTTAAATATTCCATTAGAGATAAAGAATGCTGCTTGGGCTATTTCTTATATTAAAGTAAATGCAATTGAATTAACACCAATTATTTGCCCATTAAAGAGATTTAAGAATGAATGTGTAGATGAATGTCCAATAATTTCAAGAGCTTAAGGAAATGAATGTATTAGCATTATAGATGATTATAAATTTTCAAAAATTTTAAGTATTTTAAACACAGACAGATTTGCATTAAAATAAAATCTAGATATAAACAATATTTGTGAATATTTGTAAAAACCTATTTTACCTAGTTGTTAATTTTATTAAAAACGATATCTTTAAGGAGGTGAATTGATTTGGAAAAATACTTAAATAAAATTAGATATTTCATCAATTTAACCACATTATAAATTGAAACTATTTTTTAAAGCCATATTAATAGATCCTGTAGATAGTCAATAGAGTTTAATTGTGAGTATAGATGATACTAAATTTATATTAAACAAAAATTCACCAAATTCATATTGTTTTAGTAGTGTAGCTACAATAGGATGCATAATTTAAGAAGATCTTGGTTAAACAAATGCTGATTATTTAATTAATTTTGAATAAGAATTTGATCATTCAGATACATAATTAGAGATCTTATTTACTTGTAATATTAAATAAAATATTAACAGTTATTGTGCAATATATGATATAATTGTTCTTTAAGCAAACTGTCCTGAAAATTGTAAGTTTTGTTAATCAGATTCTATATGTCTATAACCAGATCCATATCTTGAAGTATTTTATGATTGCCCAAGTGAAGGTTATTATTATTCTGAAGGTGCTTGTTTAAAATGTAAATTATCTTGTAAAACTTGTAATAATGGAAATTATTGTATTACTTGCAAAGATTAATATTTTAAATATGGTAATTTGTGTATTTGTTAAATGAATATGGTTGAGGCTTTTTCAACAGATTGTACAAATGATGATTGTCATCCATCATGTTCTAAATGCTAAAAAAAACTTAATAAAAATTAAAATAATTAACTTTAATCAATAACATAACTTTGTGCTTTTTGTGATAAAAATGAACATAAAGTATTTAATAATAATAAATGTGAATGTTTCTTAGGATATTATATGGATTAATAAAATTATCCAAATACTTGTTAATTATGTAATTAAACATGTTAGACCTGTTCAGATGCAATAACATGTATAACATGTTTTCCTGAATAAAATAGGATACCCCAAAATTATTAATGTTAATGTAAATAAGGATATTTTGAAAATGGATTTGACACAACTTGTATAAAATGTATATCCATTTGTAAATCATGTTTATATAAAGAGGAATATTGTACTAAATGTTATACAGAATAATATAGGTAATTATCAAAAGAAAATACATGCATATGTGAAAATGGATTTTATGAGGATAATAAAACAGATGTTTGTTTAAGTAATTTTATCTTATAAATTTAGAATGTAGTGATTATTGTAATACTTGTTCAGATTATTCTATATGTACATCATGTAGTGATTTTCAATATAGAATATTGGATTTACACACTAAATAATGCATATGTTAATAAGGTTATTATGATAATGAGTAATTAAATTGTTTACCATGTCACTATTCTTGTAGCAAATGTAACAATTCTAATTTAATATCTTAATGTACTGCTTGTCCAAATTCTAGGTAGAAATCTGCTCATAATATTGATACTTTTGAATGTAAATGTAGAAAAGGATATTTTGATGATGGATATTTAGAATGTTTATCATGTAATAATTTAATTAATCCACCAATTACACATTATTGTTATTCTTAATGTGGAGATCTAATCATCTAATGGAATGAAGAATGTGATGATGGTAATTTAGATCCAAGAGATGGATGTAATCAATGTTTTCTATAAAATAATAATTGTATTGATAACATATGTTTAATTTGTTAACACAACTAATGTCTTTAATGTAAAGATGGATATTATTTAAATAATGATTATGCATGTTCTTAATGCTCTGATGAATGTTTAAAATGTGAATTATAATAGAATAATTGTACATAATGTAAATTTAATACTCTTAGTAATGAAAAATGTTTAAATTGTTCTTAAGAATAAGGATTTATCTAAATAGATAATTAATGTTTTAGTGTTTGTGGAGATGGTATTCGAACATACTAGGAATATTGTGATGATGGCAATTAATTAAATGGAGATGGTTGTGATTAATACTGTAATGTAGAAGAAGGTTATGTTTGTAATCTTGAATGCCAAAAAATTAATTATATTCAAATTTTACTTTAGGAATATAAATTTGATAGTATTTATAATTCAAAAAGAACTATTCAATTAAAATTAAATCAAGAAGTTAAAATTAGTGTTATTAATACAATTAAAGATTTTTTTAATGTTACTTCATCTACTCCTAATCTTAAATTAACTATCATAAGTATTAATGACTATTCATCTATGAAAAATGATTATTTTAATATCACTTTAGATTTTAATATAGAATTAGATTCATCTGCATAACCTCCATTAATTACAATTACTATTTTAAATTCTACATTTTTTACTAATTAATAGGGTTATTCCTTTAAAACAAATAATACAACAATATAATTAATTGATTTCATCAAATAAGATCAATTTGTAATTTAAAATAGTCAAAATTTAGCTTAAATGAGTTCATATTTCTTATATATATTATTAGGATTAGCAATCATAGCTATGATTTTTGGAGGTTTGGATATATTTTGGAATCTTTTAGATACAATGTAACTTATTTGTTATCTAAAATATTTTAATATAACTTACCCTTATAATCTTTAATACTATTTTACTATTTTTGGATTTGCTGAATTTGACTTTATTAAATCTTATTTTGATTTTGAATACTTGATTACTCAATATGTAGATACTCCAGAAGCTGATCCAAAATTTAATTTGGAAGGATATTCTACTGTTTTTCTTATTAATATAATTTCTGTACTTATAGTTTTTCTTACTACTAGTGCTACTTTTATTATCATAAGAGTTATATTATATTTTATACATAAAGTAACAAAAGAGTTTACAGAGAATATGATATTAATTGAAAGAGAAAAAATAAATATATTTACTTTTCTATTTTATAAATTAGCTAATAATTGTTAAAAATATTTCTTAAAAATTATTAGTGAATTTAAAAGTGCACTTATAAGAACTTTTATGGCTTCTGCCTATGATTTAAATATAGCTATATTTTTATAATTTAAAGATATTTAATTTTAAAATCCAATACTCAGATTAAGTAGTATTTTTGCAATTATTATGTTTTTTATAGAAACATATTTTATCTATAATTGTTTTTTATTAATGAGTAAGGATTAAGTAACATATAAATTACAATAGACATAATAAAATTATGGATCACTTTTTGAAGGATTAAGATTAGAAAGAAATCGTTTCAATTATTATTTTAATTTATTTATTGTTATTAAAAAAGCTCTATTCATAGCATTATTAGTATTTCTCTATAATACTCCTTGTTTATAGATTAGTCTAGTATCTCTATTAAGTTTAACATAAGTATTATATTTATTACTTAATCGATCATTAGAAGATCAAAATGAACTTATTAAATAAATTTTAAGTGAACTTATTTTATGGTTATCTGAAATTTTAATATTATCATTTGGTTTCAATGAATAAAGTAATATATTTAATTATTCTCAAATGACAAATATTGGGTGGATCATAATTGGATTTTTGTCGTTAATAATATTTGTTTAATTAATAATTGATTGTAAACAACATTTTTAATTTCTTGATGAAAAATATCAATTATTAAAAAATTTAAGAGTTTGGTATCAATAATATTTTTAGTAGGATGAAGGTTAATCATCCTTAAATACAGAATTTAGTTAATTTTCAATAATATTTCATAAAAAGCAGAAATAATTACCAAACATTCCATAAGCTTAAGGCTCAGATAAATAAATAAATAAACGTCGTATTGTTTCTTTTCAATTAAACTGATTTAAGATTAATTTATACTGATTAATAATTTATATTGAATTATTTCTAAATATTTATTTATATATCTATATGAATCAAAAAATAATTCTAAAGATATCTTAAGTTTAAGAATTTAACAATATACTTAAAAATTTAATTAATTATATTTTATATAGATGTAGTTTAATTATCATAAAAGAAGGTTGAAATATTTACAATTTTGTGATTTAGAATATTAATATAAATAATTTAAAACTAGCAGATGACAAAAATTATAAAATCAATATCATGATGTTAATTTAATAAATGTAGGTAAACGTCTCCATTTTGTTTCCGTACAAGTTAAATTCTCATCTAAAATAAATTTAAAGTGGGGAAAATAAGAAGTCTCAGGAATTCTATTATAATAAAGAAAGTCATACAATTCAATAGCATTAAATTCTTCTTCTAAATTTTTGTTAATGAACAAATTTGATGGATTAAGTAAATCAACAACTTCAGTATAACTAATATTTTGAGGACGAGAAGTCTTTTTAGATGTAGCATTGCTTTTCTTTTTTTTTCTAGTTTGCCCTTCTAAAGAATCATTGGTTGACAAAGATCTCAAAGAGTCATTCATGAAATTAGCAGTTAGATATATAATAAAAATATTAATCAAATTAAAAGTCTCAACGATAATTTCTTTACACTTCATAGTAATTTATTAATAAGATATATTAACATCTAATTTTGTCTAGAAAGAGAAAATACTCATAATAGCAGGTTGATATATAGTTAAATATCTTCTACAAATAGATTTCGAAAAAAGAGGAATTATTAATAAATTCTTCATCTAGAACAAATTATAGAATATTATTATACATTAACAATTAATTTTATGTTTTATTATTTCAATAATATGTTCTCAGAAATTAAAGCTCTTAAAATCAATGCAGTCTTAAATAATAAAATTAATTTGTTATATAAAAAACTATTAATAAATAATTTGAAATATTATCTAACAATATGCTAAACTTAACATATGAATTCTATTCTGTTAATTAATTCATTTAAAAAAATATAAAACAAAATACTTATTTTTTACTAGAATAAAGTATATATATAATTAAAAATAATTTATAAAAAGTTAAAACTATTAAATTATAGTAATAATATCTTAAAGTATAATAATATATTTTATTAAACACTCATATAGATATTAAGGAAATTGAAAATTAAAATTAAATTTTAACAAATAAATACTTTAAAAAATTAAAATTTATTTTAAATTAAATTAAAATAAAATGTATATTGATGAATTGCCGGTTGGATAATAAAAGCAAAATTTTATGGTCGAAGAGTTTCCTCCAGGTGATTTAAATTTAATAAATTAGATTTTGATCAATAATAATTTGATAAAGTTGATTTACCATTAAAACAAAGAATAAAATCAAAAGTTTGGAAAGTTAGACTTCAAGCTTATGAAGAATTAGTAAATGAGTAAGAAATTGAATATGAGTGCATTTTATAAATAATACAAGACATACATGTTTAATGTTAAGAGAAGGCTCTTTAAATAGCACTAAAATATTTTGAATAAAATCATTAACTAGAGTCTTCATAATAAAAGGAGATAATAAAAGTGTTAATAGAGAAAGTGTTAATATAATAAAAATTAAAGCAAAATGGATATTAATTGGCCATTATACTATTTCCATATTTTAAAAAGGCAATTTTTGAAATTATAATAGCAGAATTAAATCATAAAAATCCAAAAATAGTTTAAGCAACTATCAGTTTATTATTGGAATTACTTCAATAATATGGTGTAAAGAAATTAGATAATTTAAAACCATTTTTTCCTATTTTATCAAAATTAACAGAGGCATAATAAACTACAATAAAAATTGATGCAATTTCCTTTTATAAAGAAGTAACAAAATGGTTTGGAAAGAACATTGAAGCATTTTTTGGTGGATTGAATGAGAAACTTTAATAAGAATTAAAGAAATAAGCAGAAACTATAACAGAAGTATAAAAAGCACCAAATCAAGATGGAGATTTTGAAACAGGAAATCAATAATTATATGATTTGGCAGAAGCAGTTGAAGTATTCCATAAATTTACAGATTCTTGGTGTGAAAAGGTGTTTTAACTTGAGAAATGGTAAGAAAAAAAGGAACAATTAGAAAATTTATAAAAAGCATGTTCAGTTACAAAAATGATACCATCTCCAAATGTTTATTCAGTAGTTTAATTATTAAAGAAATTAATTAATGAATAAAATATAGCTATATGTACAATGAGTATAAAAATAGCTGGACTTTTAGCTAATGGATTAAGAAAGAATTTTGGATAATATGTTAAAATATTAATATAACCATTATTTGCAAGACTTAAAGATAAAAAATAATGTATAGTTGATGATACAATATAATCATTAAAGAAATTCTTCTATTGTTGTACACTTGATGAATTATTTGAAGAAGTTAAAACTTTATTAGATGATAAAGCATCAAGTCCTAAAATTAATGCTTTTTTACTTGTTGAATATTGTTTAGATGAAATTATAAAAGAAAAATTAATTAAACTACAATGTATAAAGTAATTAGTACCAATTTGTAAGAAATTAAGTGATGATGGAAATGCTGATGTCAGAAACAAAGCTATTATGTTATTAGCTAAAGTATCTGTTTAATTATATAATGGTTCAATGGCAGTAGATTTAAAAGGAGATAAATTAACAAAGTATCAAGCTCAAGTTAATAATTATCTTGAAGAAATAAAAGCTTTATAAGGCAATTGTACAGAAATCTAATAACCATAAAAATCAACTTTATAATAAAATAAGGAAAATATATAAAATTAACCAATTATTAAAGCTAAACAAGAAACTACTATTTAAAATAAACCTCAACCCATTGTTTCTTAGTAAATTAACTAAGAAAGCCAAGATTTAAAATATTAATCTACTATGACTACTAGCTAAGTTGAAGTATTTCTAAAATAATATAAAACTAAAAATAAAGATATAAATGAACTTGGAAATATTTTATTAAATATTACTTAATAATCTAAGTAAATTTTAATATTCACTATGGATTATATAGTAGATAAATTAGGTGATTAAAAATAACTTTGTTATTAATTATTTGAAAAATGTTTCTAATCATATAAACCAAATCATTTATCTCAACTTATAACAAGCTTTAAGAATGCTCCTACTTAAGTATAATTAATTGAAGTTTTGACTTTATTACTTAAATACATACCTTTAAGTGATAAAACAATTGATTAATAGTAAATTTCTGAATTTTTAAAACTCTATTAAAATCAATCAAATTAAAAGGCAAGACAACTTGTAATTGATTGTTAGAATGCATTAAAATTATTATTTGAAATTAAAAAGATTCCATCAGAAACTAAACCAGTAATTCCATTTTCATTAACATAATTTAGTGATTTATATATTGAAAGATTGAAAGAACAATTAAAAGTACCATAAATTCCTTAAAATTTGTATGATAAATTGTTTAGTTACAATACCTCTTAAAATTTAGCTGCTGCATCTTATATTAGATAAAAAATAGCATAACCAGCAGAATTCACTGAAATATTTTTTAAATGGGGTTATTTAATTTCATGGTTTAAAGAAAACATACCTTTATAAACAGAAATAATCATGTTATTTTAATTTCTGACTTCTTAGCATAAACTCACATAATTAGAGTAATAAATTGTATAGTATTATATTAAAATGATGATATTATTATATATAAGAAATGGAATGCCAAAATTAGCATAAAGAACTTTGCCATTACTTATGAATTTATTAGCAGAATAACATTTATAAACTATTTAGATATTATAATTAGGTTAATTTGATGAATTTGATGATGTTTCTAATTCTTAAGCTAATTAAATAATGAAATAAATGTAAGACAAAATTCCTGAATGGAATTGCAATTCTTAATTATAGTAAAAATCAATATTATTTAATTTAATGTTATTAATTAATAAAGATGATATTTTAAAAGAAAAGATTTTAGAATAGAGAAAGCCTTCTATTAGAGTAGAAGGTGTCATAAATTCTAATATTGATTTTTAAAACAAATAAGAATAAATTTAAAGTAATTAAAAACTTGTTTAAGAGTAACTTTCTGATAAAATTATTACTTTACCAAGTTATTCATAAAAGAAATTATTATAATAAAAAAATGTTAATTTACAAATAAATTAGAATATTAATAGTGGAAATAAAAATATTAGTTCTTCTTAAATTTTAAATGTTAAAGAAAAAGAACATGATATGATTTTGAGAAGCTTTAATTAAATGTATCTTAAATTTAGAGAAACTAATTGTATTGAGAACTCTTAAAGTTTTGCAGAATAAATTATATATCTTTTAGGTTCTCTTTTAAATGATGAATGCTATGATAAAATGAATGAATTCTTAGAGAAATTGATTCATATCTTATCATCTAATCATTTTTATAAAAGTATTTCTTATCAATAATTTTATTTCATTTTTGATACACTGATTTTTAAAATGGTTGAATAATCAACTAAAAATAATGTCAAAGATGGAGCATAAAAATGTTGTTACAATTTAATTAATTCAAATTTAATCAAAATCTTAAATAATCAAGATTTATCTAATTTATATTTAGCTTTTCTTGATATATTAATAAAAGTAAAAGAATCAGATACATAAACTAAATAATTTTATGTATTAGTAACTAAATGTTTAAGTAAATCTGCTGATTAATTAAAGGGATAATTTTAATGGTCATAAGTCTAAGCAATTTTAGAAAAAATTAATTAATATTTAATCAAATCACAAAAACCTTAAATTAATCTTGAATACACCCAATATCAAAATTGTATATTGAATGCTCTCAAAACTACAGTAGTATTTTTCTTTAATTATAATGATGGTATTAAAGTTTATTAATATATCATGTAAAACACAAATGAAACTTCAATTTTAAGATCATGGATATTAGATGTTTAAGAAAAAAATAATAATCATTTAATAGTAGATTTAGCTAAATATCGAAGATCGAGAGACACATAATTTATTTAAATAGTTGAATTACTCAAAATAGACTTTGATAAAACTGTTGAGCAATTCGTGCCCATTGTGAGAAGATAAAATATCAATTGGAAACCTCTAGTTTAATTTTTAAATTAAGAATAAATCAAATTTATAGAATAAAGATTGGAATAGACATCACATATGAATTTACTAGAAAAAAAGGTTGGTGAGCTAGAAAAGATGCTTAATTAATGATATTATAATTTAAACTTCAAAGTAATAATTTACTTTTCTTGTTATTATCATTTTAATATATTTTAGTTAAATTATGAAAAAACTTATAATTTATATATACTTCAAAGTAATTCTTTTTTTTAATGATATAAAGATTACTTAGATTTAATATCTAAATTTAATTAATTTTATTACAATACTGATATATATTAATAATATTATAAATCTATAATTTTATTTGTTAGGTTGATACTAGAATACAGAGAAAGAATTAAAAATACCTATGTTAGGTTCATTTATTTGGTTTAGATTTTATTATTAATAGAAAGATTGTTCATATTTTTAATATTTTTTGAAGATTAATATTAATTTGATACTGATATATTAATTAATTAATCCTGCTATTTTCAGTTGATATGTCAGTTTAAATGCATTTTTAATGGAATTTAAAATAATTGAATTTTAAGATCTCTATTTAACAAGGATAGTTATTCATTTGTTAATTACTTTAAATTTAAATTTAACCAGAAAGTAAATGATTTACAATACAAAAGATCTAAATATTGATTTTATAATCTCAAATAGAAAATATTATTATTTAATAATAAATAGTCTTAAAATTAAATTTTTAATTTTTATTTGACCTCTCATTTATTAATGACTATTGCTTATTTAAATATTTCTCCTTATTTGGCATAAATAATAAAAACTTAATAGATATAAAGAAACTTAAAATCTATTGAAATGAGAATTAATGTATTATTAATCAATCAAATTTCTTCATTATTTAATTATAACCAACCACAAATAAATGGTTCTGTAATTTCTGTAATTTATGGAGGTTCTTCAAAATATTTTTTTGTACTTTTTAATTTTTTGTTATATAATTGATTAGATTGATTATCTAATGTAAGAGGTTTATCTGATTTTCCATTGATTAGTCCTGATCTATTTGATTAGTTTCGTTATCCCATGATTTTCCAATCTTATATTGCTACTCTTCTAATGAATAAAGATAGTCTCACTTCTTACTCAGTGTTATGTGAAATTTTAGGTTTTAACTTTTATTTTGGTTTGATATTGTCTAAGATATGTTGATTTTAATTGAAGAGTTAATTAATTTAAGAATCATATCGAAATGAATGTGATTAATGTCTTTTATCTTCATTAATAGGAGGTAATTAATGGATAATTTTGTTAACATACAATTTGCTAAAATCATTAAAATTATCATTTAAGGGATTTCTATATTAATATTTTTACTATTGAATTGATTATTTATTTCTTTGATATAGAAATCGACTTGTTAAACTCATTAATTAATATTTTCAATATTTTAATTTTTATTATATTAAAGTTATTTAATAATAATTATTCATAATATAAAAACAACAACGAAATAATTACCATATCTATAGAATAACATAAGATAATAGTCAATTAGGGAGTATAGCTCAGTAGCAGAGCAGCAGACTGCAGATCTGTAGGTCTCAGGTGCGAACCCTGATGCTCCCTTCTTTTTTTAATTTTAATAAAATAATTAATAATTAATTATTAATAATTTAAGAATTAAAATTAAAAATTTAGCGAACTAATTAATGTACTAATTTTTTATATATTATCACAATTAAAAGTGATCCTATACTTTAATGCTTTCATCTGTAATTTTATCTTCCTCTTGTAATATTTCTTTTAATGCATCATTATGTATTGATAAAACTGCTCGTCCTGATTCATCAGTATTTTTCTTGAAAGCCTCATCCCATTCTAAAGCCTAATAGATATATTATGTCTAAATACTTTTTCAGTTGAACATGCAATTGACTTACCATATGGCACAGTTAAAGCAGCACTATCACTTGGAAAGGCAGTAGAATAAACTTATCTAAACCAATATTATTCCTTATCTCTTGGGGTTGATAAGGGATAGGTAGTTGAAGCTTAAGAGAATTACTAATCTGATATTAATTAATTGGCTCTTTCGATAATACCATCTCTCCAACTGTAACCTACTCCATCACTGAATTATTCCTTTTATCTCCATAATATTTCTTATGGAACAAATGGATTTTCTAAATCTTCAAAGGCTTTTCTTAATATATATTTTTCAATTTATGGTTGGAAAGCGTTGATCATTTTATATTTTGGATCAATAGACATAACATATTCAATCCATGATTTATTCATAAATGGTGGTCTAGTTTCAATACCCCATGCTAAACAAGCTTTATTTGCTCTTAATAGATCATATTTATGTAAATCATTTAATTTTCTTATTAATTCTTAATGAAATTCAACTCTATTTGGAGCTTTATGGAAATATAAATAACCTCCAAATAATTCATCACTTCCTTCTCCAGTTAAACATATTTTAATTCCCAATGCTTTAATTCTTCTACACATCATATACATAGGTGTTGATGCTCTAATTGTAGTATTATTAAAAGTCTCTGTATGATATATTACTTCTGGAATATAATCTAAACCTTCTTCAACTGTATATGTAAATGAATGATGTTCAAATCCATGATATTCAGCTACTTTTCTAGCAAAATGTAAGTCTGGTGATCCTTCCAAACCAATACAAAATGAATGAACTTTTCTCATTCCTCTTTTACTTAAATCAATTTCTCCATTTTTTATCAATTTTGCAACAATACCAGCAACAATAGATGAATCAACACTAAAATTATGATATAAGATATAATTACCCTCCAGAAATAAATAAACCAAATGGTGCATCTCCTTTAACTTCTCTTCTTACAACATCAATAAATTTATCTCTCATTTCTTAAAAATTGATTTCTTCAGTTGGAATGTGATCAAAATTATGCCAAATTGGATTATACCATTTCTTTATTTCATTAGTTTGATCTATGTAATGACCTTTTATTTTTTAATAATAAATTCTAACCTGGAGGGAATTATCTTACTTCAACTACTTAATCATGAATTCCCTTTAATTCTGATGATAAAAATAAGGCACCATCTTTGTTATATCCATAATACAAAGGAATAATTCCAATATGATCTCTTCCTGCATAATAAGTCTTATTATTCATATCCAAAAGAATTGTAGAATGCATTCCATCCATATGATTCCAAAAATCATTTGGACCATACTTATATTATAACCAAATCTTTTACTTCTTTATATAACATTCCTACTATTTCTGAATCAGAATTGCTACTAAATTTATATTTTTTTTCAAATTCTGGTTTGATTGACCAATAATTGTAAAGTTCTCCATTTTGCATATAATAGATATTTTAATCATCAACTAATTAAAAGGGTTGTCTTCCTCTGTCACTTAAATCTACAATGTTCAATCTTTCATGTGCTAGTATATGGTAAGTATTTGGACCAGCTTCCTTAGTAAAATAACAATCGAAATTTACTATTATTATGATACGAGATCTATCAGGACCTCTATGTCTTTATCTCTTTGATAAATCATAAGCAAGAGTTCGTACTTCAATATAAGTACCTTTTATGTTGAAAATTGCCAAAATTCCACACATATTTAATTTGGAATAACAAAATCGTGTAAATAATTGTTATAAACTTGTAAATGCGTATCAATTAATATGAAATATTAATATTAATATTCAATGTGGCCAATAAATTTAATTGAGTATTATAGAATTCTACAAATACTTTATATTTGATCACATAAAATAATATATTTTTGATTAAATAATATATAAAGCATTTAATAATCTCTATACTATTTATGTAATTTCTTATTTAAATTCAAACTATTATGAAAGAATTTATATATTCTTCATTTTTAGTGTTTTATCGTTAATTTCTTGATTTTTCTATATTCTTTATTTTTATAAATCTTCTAACTGTTAACCCGCTTAAAAGTTAAATCATCCTCTTAATTTTATCACAAAGAATTTATCTATTCTAAATATAATAAAAGAGATCTTATATACATAATACTATGTTAATTATATGTAAAATGAACAATTTTATTTATTACATTATTTTTGACATACAATTTTCTATATTCAATTATATTTTTATATTAATATAAAAATAATGCCCAAATATCTATTAAATACTATATAATCATTAAGAATATATTTTAATAAAATATATATATAATAAAATTTATTTATTATACAAAAAAATATTTTCACCAAATCTTTCTCATCTTCTTCAATAATTATTATATGTATTTTGAAATAGATTTTTCATTTTCTTAATTATCCATATGATCATTTTAAGTTTTATTTTAATTTTCTTTTCCATTTTTTATCTAATTCACTTTTTTATTTTAATCCTTTAATTTTAAATTTTGCAACTAAAATTCAGTGAAATTCAAATTTTTTGGATCTTCAGTTTTAGTATCATTCTCTTTTAATTCTTTTTCAGTTTCTCCATCAGAAACAATTACATACTATTATTGATCTTATTCTTGAGATTATTTATCTTAATCTTAAGATTTTGATTAACTTTAGTTATTCATTTCTTAATTAGACAAAGTAACTTAGTCTTAAATTGGTACCTTTTTGATAAATAAATAGGAAATACAAAATATTTTGCATATTTCAATGACAATTCATCTTAAATCCAATCTAAATTTACATTATTATATTTTGGATCTGGTTTATAAGCAAAATCATCTTCTGTCATTGGAATATTGCTTGTACAATTCTATTCATGAAAAGGCAATTATGAATATGGATAAATGTGGAGATAATTATATTTGCAATGACCAAAAAGTGAGTCATCTTACCTCCAACATTTTGTTACATGCAACAATAATTATTCTTCAACCAACTTTATTGTACAACCATAAGGACATGTAATAGGTGCCCTATAATCATTAGACATATTAAAGGCTTGATATTTGGGTATTGTCTCTATGCTCATTTCTTAGTTAAAACTTTAATTTTATAATTAATTATNGCATTTAATAATCTCTATACTATTTATGTAATTTCTTATTTAAATTCAAACTATTATGAAAGAATTTATATATTCTTCATTTTTAGTGTTTTATCGTTAATTTCTTGATTTTTCTATATTCTTTATTTTTATAAATCTTCTAACTGTTAACCCGCTTAAAAGTTAAATCATCCTCTTAATTTTATCACAAAGAATTTATCTATTCTAAATATAATAAAAGAGATCTTATATACATAATACTATGTTAATTATATGTAAAATGAACAATTTTATTTATTACATTATTTTTGACATACAATTTTCTATATTCAATTATATTTTTATATTAATATAAAAATAATGCCCAAATATCTATTAAATACTATATAATCATTAAGAATATATTTTAATAAAATATATATATAATAAAATTTATTTATTATACAAAAAAATATTTTCACCAAATCTTTCTCATCTTCTTCAATAATTATTATATGTATTTTGAAATAGATTTTTCATTTTCTTAATTATCCATATGATCATTTTAAGTTTTATTTTAATTTTCTTTTCCATTTTTTATCTAATTCACTTTTTTATTTTAATCCTTTAATTTTAAATTTTGCAACTAAAATTCAGTGAAATTCAAATTTTTTGGATCTTCAGTTTTAGTATCATTCTCTTTTAATTCTTTTTCAGTTTCTCCATCAGAAACAATTACATACTATTATTGATCTTATTCTTGAGATTATTTATCTTAATCTTAAGATTTTGATTAACTTTAGTTATTCATTTCTTAATTAGACAAAGTAACTTAGTCTTAAATTGGTACCTTTTTGATAAATAAATAGGAAATACAAAATATTTTGCATATTTCAATGACAATTCATCTTAAATCCAATCTAAATTTACATTATTATATTTTGGATCTGGTTTATAAGCAAAATCATCTTCTGTCATTGGAATATTGCTTGTACAATTCTATTCATGAAAAGGCAATTATGAATATGGATAAATGTGGAGATAATTATATTTGCAATGACCAAAAAGTGAGTCATCTTACCTCCAACATTTTGTTACATGCAACAATAATTATTCTTCAACCAACTTTATTGTACAACCATAAGGACATGTAATAGGTGCCCTATAATCATTAGACATATTAAAGGCTTGATATTTGGGTATTGTCTCTATGCTCATTTCTTAGTTAAAACTTTAATTTTATAATTAATTATAATTTAAATTTCTTAGTAGATATATAAATAATTTTAGAACGTCATTTCGAAGTAAATTTATTTTTGAAATGACAATATATAATAAATATCAAATTAGTTTTAATTGAATATATAAATTATAATATATAATAAGATATTTTATATATATATATATTATACAATTAAGAATAATTTATCAATCAATTAGAATAGCATTTATTTCATTTATACCTTAAGGTTGAAATTTGTTTTAAGAAACAATTTCATTATTGTTGTCGAATTAAGGAAAGCTTCTTTCAAAATGAGTATAACTGTTAATTTTATTATTTTACATAATTGCATATAAAGGATCTTTACAATCTAAACTACCCTTAATACTTCAATATATTTCTTTACATTTTAATCAACAGTAATATAATCAACTTTTATATTTAGCTATTAAATCTTCTTTAAAATATCCCATTAATATTGATCAATTCTCAAACTAGTACAATTTTTCTTGCAAATTGGACAAATCCATTTCATATGTTCTGCATGAATCATCATATCCAAATAATTATTTAAACTAAAACATTATTAATGTTAACAAAATTCTCCTCTAAATTATAAATTACATTATACCTTGCAGGAATTTTAATTAAATCAAATGAATATTAACAAATAAGACTTACTTTAGATTTATCTACTTTGATTTCGTTTTTACAAAAATCAACTTTAATTTGAGACAAGATACTTTGATTAACTATGGAATGAATTACTTAATCCAAACTTTAATTTTGAACTAAATACAATCCAAATATATATATTTATTTAGGAATCTCTTACCTCATTTATGAATCAGGGATAATTTCCATACATGTGAAATTATACTTTTTTTATATTCCATATGTTTTTTAAAGATAATCAATATTAATTAAAATAGAATTATCTTTTCTTTTTTTTAAACACGATTTATCAATAAGAGGTTTAAACTCTTTAACTATAACTCCATTAATAAGAAGTACGCAACTATTAGGGAATGTAAAATCTGTTAATCCATTTTAATTCATCATAACACATCTAATTTCAAATTACATTCCAGGAGTTAGAAATTATTCTTTTGTGATTGTGAAATCTAAATGTATTTTACTTTATGACTTTTATTGATATTGATATTCTAGAAATCCTAAAGTATACATAATTTTTTTAAATGGATTCAATTTCTCTAATAAACAAGATGAACAAATTTTAACTCCATCTTCAACATCTACTAATTTAACATTCCCATCCATTTATTTGCAATAATTACATTAATTTCCATTGATTTTTATTTAATGAGTCTTATTTTAAGTTGTGAAATAACCATTTCCAATATTATTGTTATTAATATCTAAAACCTCTATCTTAGGCTTTTTTTCTTTTTAGAGTTCTAAATTCTATCCACTTTCAAAAATTCTATTGTTATATTGTCCAGATTAAGGATAGATATTTGATTAAAAATACATTTAATTTGATATTTATTAATTATTTTGCATTTAACTCTGTAATTAATATGGGAATTAATTATTTTACTTCCAATATTAATTATTTGATTGGATATATTAATTATTCTTTTCTAGATTTGCACCTTAATAATCATTTTTTTTGATTTATAGATTTTAAACAATAAAGTTAGATGATTCTTTAGAAATGTCAAATAAAGGATTCAAAATGGGTGCCGAATCCACATTCTGAATATCACATAATGAATTTTTTTATTATATTATACTATTACTTGTATTAGTTAAAGAACTATTTAAATTATTTCTTTCTAAATTCATTTAATAATTATCTGATTTTTAGTAGGCAGGTTAAGATTAGATAATGCTATATTAATTTTCTAATAATTATTTTTGTTTTTGAATCTGAAATTCAATTCCATCTATAGGTTAGAGTTAATTTTAATTTTATGAAATTTCAGTTTATAAACGAGGATTAATAGATTTTTCAATCTATGTTGCTTAATTGAAAGTTATATTTTATATGTTTTATTTTTGATTGAATACTTTTTATCTATAATTATTATTATTTTTTAATGCTTTATTTTTTTTAATTTAATCATCCATTAAATATTTTCCTTATTTATTTCTTAAATCCTAAATATTTTTTTATTTTAATGATTCAGAATCTGAAAGTTATAAAAATATTTCACCTTCTTCTGGAGAAGTATCAATAATAGCTCTTGAAGGTTTTTTTTAAATTTAAATTTATCTATTTTTTCTAGAGTTTTATTCATTATTTTTATTGTTATCATTTTACCTATTATTTTCTCTTTCTTCATTTTATTATTCAATTTACAATTAATTTTAAGTTTCATTCTTATCATTTGATTTATCATTTGATTTAAATCTTGAATTAGATTAGATTTCATTATTAATCTCTTTAGTACTTTTATTTTTTTATTTTGAATTCTATTCTTAGTTGTAATTATTATTGTTTCTTTCAATAATAGATTCCATTTAAATCTATTCATTGGATGTGATTTTTTATGTTTTTTCTTTGCATTTATTTTTATCATGATTAATATCATTAAGAGGATCAAAATTATATTGAGATAACTTTTTATCTTAAGGTACTANAAATTCTATTGTTATATTGTCCAGATTAAGGATAGATATTTGATTAAAAATACATTTAATTTGATATTTATTAATTATTTTGCATTTAACTCTGTAATTAATATGGGAATTAATTATTTTACTTCCAATATTAATTATTTGATTGGATATATTAATTATTCTTTTCTAGATTTGCACCTTAATAATCATTTTTTTTGATTTATAGATTTTAAACAATAAAGTTAGATGATTCTTTAGAAATGTCAAATAAAGGATTCAAAATGGGTGCCGAATCCACATTCTGAATATCACATAATGAATTTTTTTATTATATTATACTATTACTTGTATTAGTTAAAGAACTATTTAAATTATTTCTTTCTAAATTCATTTAATAATTATCTGATTTTTAGTAGGCAGGTTAAGATTAGATAATGCTATATTAATTTTCTAATAATTATTTTTGTTTTTGAATCTGAAATTCAATTCCATCTATAGGTTAGAGTTAATTTTAATTTTATGAAATTTCAGTTTATAAACGAGGATTAATAGATTTTTCAATCTATGTTGCTTAATTGAAAGTTATATTTTATATGTTTTATTTTTGATTGAATACTTTTTATCTATAATTATTATTATTTTTTAATGCTTTATTTTTTTTAATTTAATCATCCATTAAATATTTTCCTTATTTATTTCTTAAATCCTAAATATTTTTTTATTTTAATGATTCAGAATCTGAAAGTTATAAAAATATTTCACCTTCTTCTGGAGAAGTATCAATAATAGCTCTTGAAGGTTTTTTTTAAATTTAAATTTATCTATTTTTTCTAGAGTTTTATTCATTATTTTTATTGTTATCATTTTACCTATTATTTTCTCTTTCTTCATTTTATTATTCAATTTACAATTAATTTTAAGTTTCATTCTTATCATTTGATTTATCATTTGATTTAAATCTTGAATTAGATTAGATTTCATTATTAATCTCTTTAGTACTTTTATTTTTTTATTTTGAATTCTATTCTTAGTTGTAATTATTATTGTTTCTTTCAATAATAGATTCCATTTAAATCTATTCATTGGATGTGATTTTTTATGTTTTTTCTTTGCATTTATTTTTATCATGATTAATATCATTAAGAGGATCAAAATTATATTGAGATAACTTTTTATCTTAAGGTACTATCAAATCTAAGTTTGCTGAATTGTTAGTACATGGGTTTACTTCAATATCTAATAAATCAGATTGATTAGATGACTTTAATTTTACTTTTTTCTTATTCTTAAGTGTGTCTAATTAATCCTTTTTCTCCTTATTTGACTCTTAATTTGATTTAATTAAACTTTTACTTTATTAACTTTAATTGTTTTAATGAGAACGAACTTCATTATTTTTCTTCAAATCACTTCTTTTTATTGAAGATTATTCTAAAATATTTTCAATTTCATTTTCCACTTCCAAATAATTTATAAAGAACTAAGCAAACTTTCTTTGAAAATCCTCTTCTTTTATATTACTGAAATTTTATAATTAGAGTTATTGGCATATGTTTATTAATTGCCAATCTTAATACTATGAATTATAATATAAAATAGTTTTACTTAATAAATTGGACAAGTTGGATCCTTGAGCAAATCAATCATTACATTTTCTAATAGTTTTTTATGCTCCATAAAATTATTATAATTAATAAAGAGCTGATTTAATTTCAAAGAAAAATACAATATATATTAAATATCAAATATCATCATAAAAATTAGTTAGTATTCATATATTACATATTCTAAAGTTGTTTTATTATTTTTAGTTAACTTTTTGATTATAATGATTTTTATATTAAATTTGATTTCAATATTAATCTAAGCATAAAAAATAGCTATAATAGGATGTGGTATTGGAGGAGCAACATTGGCTTAATTGTTACCAAGTGCAACTGTTTATGAATCATATTATTAATGTGGAGGAAGAATAAATCATGTATTAATACCTGGATTAAATGCAGTTGAATTTGGAGCTACATTCTTTATTAAATAGAATGAATATGTATAAAAATAAATTGAAAAAAGAAATTTAGAAATTTACAAGAGAGATCTAGGGAAATTAGCAGTCATTAAAAACAAATAAATAGTCTTATAAAAGACAGATTTAGATGTAATTAATATTGTAAAGATGGTTTATAAATATGGACTCTCACCAAAAAGAATGAAAGATATTACTGATGAAGTTTTAATTAATTTTAAGTCAATCTATACTTTTTTAGAAAGTGGTTAATATTATCATAATTTCAATGAATTTTTATAGATCATTAAATTAAATGATATTAAAATGAATTTTACAGAATTTTTAAATGAGAATGAGATTGATTAATAATTTTAAGAAGAATTTGTAGATGCAATTTTATTAGCAATATATAACTAAAAGGATGTAAATACAATTGCAGGATTAATCTCTATGGTTGCTGCTTTCAATGATGCATATTCAATTAAAGGAGGAAATAGATAATTAATAGATGAAGAAAAAATTAATGTAATTCATTCTAAAGTTGACATTATACATCGATTAAAAAATGGAAAATATAAAATATTTAATGATTAATATGATTATGTTGTTGTAGCATCTTTAGTTAATTTAGACATATCTTTTGATAATATTAGAGAAATGAATTAATTTTAATATGTAAAATACTAAAGCACATATGTATATATTGTTGCAGGTAAGATTTCTCAAAAATATATTGGTGTGAATCCTGAAGATTTAAATACAATAGTAATTCTTGATGATGGTGAAGTTACTGAATTGAAATAAGAATGTTTAAAATGTTTTTCAGGATGGAACATTTATAAAGTTCAAGGAAGATCAGAATTAAAATTAGACTAAATATTTGAAACACATTAAATTATTCATAAAAAAGTATGGGATGCAGCTTACCCATAATTAAGTTAAAATCTATTAAATACAGAATTTGAATATGAAAAGGTATATATATTTAATTTAATATAAGAATTTCTTTTACTTGAATTCAATTGAAAGTTTAGCCTCATGTATGGAATTTATGATGATATAAGCCAAAAATATAGCCAATATTATTAAAGAAAGGCATAATTAAATGATTCATGAAGATTTATGATATTTATATATATATAATTTAAAAACATAAAATAGTTAAAATTATGCTCAATTCATTATTGTCTAAATTCAAAATATTGAACAAGATCTAGAACAACAAGAAAATGAAGATGGTATTTCTTTTTCACCTTCTAAAATTGTTTATTTTTAGGAATAAGTAGTAGTTTTAGTTGCTTCACCATATTTTTTAGTAATTTATTTTTTGCCATTTCGTTTTTCCATATTTTCACTTTCCATTTCAATTAAATCATCTTCATCATCATCAATTTATATAAATTATTGATCTTATTTTTTTGTTGTCGAACTTTGATATGATTTAGATTTCTCTTCAAAATCTTCTTATTATTATTATTATTATTATTATTATTAAAAATTATTCTGTTATGATTATTGTTCTCCTTATTATGATTCTATCTAATCTTCAAATACTTCAACTTACTGATTCAATAAAGGATTTCCATTTTCCTCTAATACAGTAATCTTCATAAAGCTTGGTTTTTTGTTGATTGAACTTCCCATAGAATTTATTGACAAATGAGAGTTCTTCTTTAATAATTTATTTGTTCCAGTATGAGTCTCTCTTTTCAAAATTGGCCTATAATAAATTTAACATTTTACCAAAATAATTCAACATTATTAAAATCACCCCCATATTTGATTTCTAATTATTCTTTTGGAATATACTATAATATTTATTAATATTCTGATATAATTTTTATTTTAACCTATAAATCTTTTATTTTTTCTATAATTTTAATCTATATTATAAATACCAATGAACTATTTGACAATATCATCTATATCATCTGGTCCATTAACTATTAAAATCTTATTTAAGTTCCCATAAAAATGCAATTACAAATATAATAAATCATCTAATTCTATGACTGGCAAATCTGTATCTAAATCTAGAATCACTGTCCAATTTTCAACATAATAATCAATTAATAACTATCTTTTAACAGTTTCTAAAAAGTAAGCAATTATTTTTATATCACAATATTATCTAATTACAATAACAGGGCGAAATTAATTGTCAAATCCACAAACATATAGATGCCCTTTTCTTAATTCATTAACATAATCTTGCTTTGAGTATTCTTATAGAAAATTTAAATGAGACTAGCAATTCTAAAGTACTTTTAGTATAAAAAATGACATACAATAATCGCTTTTTCAATATTATATTAGGCAGCCATTAACATTTTCAATAGTATGCTTCTTTTTAATTTTATTTGTAAACCTTTTTCTTTCATTTTAGTTTTAATCTCATCAATTAATTATTTCTCATATATGTCATAATCAACATTTTCAAAAATGTTCCTTTAAATAGATGGTCCATTTCCACTTTTTATATAGAATTCTTAAATAGCAACATCTTATACCACTGTGTACGATGGATGTAATTCCTTCATAAATCATTAATATAAATATTTTAAATATTATGTTTATTCATTATTTATTAAATTATTTCTCAACAAATATCATTTTACATCAATTAATTGATATCATCAGATCAAATATCATGAATCTCTTATTAGAATATAGACTATTTTTAATATCACTATTAATAAAATATAATAATTTATCAATAATCATTTAATTCATTAATACTCTTATTAAGTCTCTTAAACTCTAATCTTCCATTGTTTCTCATAATAAAATATATATTATCATAACCATCTCCTAAATTTTCAAGTCTTTAAATCCTATAAAAATACAAAATGTTAGCCTTGATTGATTAATCAAATAAATTTAAATCTTTTTATTAAAAAAAATTTATTATGGGAAAACTTCACGGAACCTTAGCAAAAGCTGGTAAAGTTAGAAAGCAAACACCAAAGATTGAAAAATAAGTCAGAAGACACAAAATCCCAAAAGGAAGAGCCTATAAAAGAATCTGCTTCAACAGAAGGTTTTCACTCTTTATATACTTTAGATTTGGAGGTTAAACAACCACAACAGGACCATAATAAAGGAAAAAAGGACCAAATTGGCATGCAGGAAGAAAGGACTTAATTGAAGAAGAAAGAAAGAAATAAGTCGAATAAAGAAGATAAAGAAAGAAGGATGTACCAAAATGATTAATTACATACAGTAGAATATTTACATACAATAAAACAATTTAAATTAGCAATTCCTAAATGATGTAGCAATCTATTGTTTAATCTTGTTTTCCATCGTTTAATTCTTTCTAAAAATTAATTTATTTTTGCTACCAATCACTAAATATTAATTATTTTTTAAATAATATTAGAAAATAAAATAAAATAAATAATAAACATTTAGAAATATTTGTCCAATCTCTAATTATATAAATTATCTAAGTTTACTTTAAAATTTCATATTTAAGATATATTCCTTTATTTTAAAATAATAAGATAGCTATAAAATTAGGTAAATCTTAAAGTTTTGATTCTTTATTAAATTTATATCCTACACTTCCATTTTCTTTATTATAGAATATATTATCTAATATTACAATTTATGGCTTATTTTATTTAATTCTTATATTCTAATAAAACTTATATAATAATACAATCCTATAATAGTTTTTGCAAATATCTTTAAATATTAGTAGGCAATTCAATTTCAATAAAATATTAATCTCTATTAATCATACTTATTTAATTAATCATTAAATTAAATGTTATTTAAATTTTTTGTTTAAAAATGAATTGAAAAATGATCATATTATGCTTTTTGATGATTTTCTAGACCAACTAGAAAATTTACTAAAGTTATTAAAATCAAAGAGACGTGATTAATCTCCTAATATTAACTATTCTTTCACAGGAACAGTATCTTTGATCAGGATAGGTGATACTATAATTGTTTATTTTGAGTCTAACCGATTTGGAATGGTAGTAAATCTAGTATTTGAATTTAAACTAAATTATTGTTTATAATTTTTATCCTCATCATATGATTTCTTCTTGATTATTACTCTTTATGTATTTCTTAAAGTTTCAAGTCTGAGATTTTAAGGGACACATTATTTACGTCTTGGCTATGGAGATATTTTGGAAATCCAAGTATATTTTGAATCATATAAATTTGAGCTTTGATTTCTAACTTCTTCTTTTAATTTTATTTGCTATAGCATATTTTAAACATAACTCTTATAATTAACACTATTGAAAGAATTCTTTTATTTTTAACTGAAAATTTTATCTATTATCCTATTTCTGTTATTTATCCTTGTGTTAGGCCTTATTATTTTCTCATTCATAAAATTATTTAATTAAATAATATTAGGATTATATATGATATTAATCAATAATTCAGATAAGAGTTATGCAATCTATAAAGGATTAAGTGCTTTAATTAAACAAATAAAATATATTTTTCAATTGTTGATTTCAAACATTATGAAAAATATATAAGGATTTTTTCTATTAAATTCAAATAATGATCTTCATCTATCAATTGATTTTTTAAGTCTTATATTTAATTAACTTAATTTAATGTAAGCAAGGATTCAAGTGAATTAAATTCTTTATTTGAATTAATAGAAAAAAAAAGTTCATCCTTTTTGATTTGATCTTAAATAGACTTTGTTAATTACTATATATACATTTAATAAAATGTAAATCTTATCATATTCTTCAATATGATTAATATTAGAAGAAATGTGAACAGGCTTTGACTGAAATTATTAAGTAAGATAATCTTTGATTTCTAAATTCTTTATACTTAAAGGTATTGGTAAGTAAAAATATGAATTTATTATGATAAAAGGTATGTCATATTTAAATTAGATCTACTTTTTTCCAATTCTTTAATAATCAATCAAAGGATGAATCTTTATTTGATCAATTTTATCCACATATTCTATACATCCTTTGATTTAAATCCCTACAAATTTAATATCCTTTAATCTTGATAACCTTAAAAAATGATAAATTAATTACGATGTTGAAATTAAATGCTTGATCATTTTGTAATTAATATCTATTTATTAAAAGTGTTAATGCAATTTTAAACTTTCTAAATATTCTTCCTTTACTATTTTTACATCATTACAATAGTATATATAAGGATAATTGTTAATTAAATCAATTATTTTTTAATCAAATTCTTGAGAAAATACTATAATTCTACAAAATTATGAATTTATTGAAACATAATCTTTAAAAACTTAAGGTTCTGTAGTACTTGTAGAATCACTTAAAACTAAAGAATCTTTTTAATCTTGCCAATCTGTAAAGTCAAAAAATTTAGTTTCAAATGAATACTAAAATATTAAATATATTAAACCCTTGAGATATCTATTTTTATTTTTTATTTTAGCAATTCATCAGTAAAGTTGACTATGATACAATAATAAATATTTTGATTTTAAACATCAGATTCATTTATAATTTTTAATAAATTAAATTGATTTTTTGAAGTACCATAATTTTCAATTACTTCATAACTTATTTAGATTTCTTCCATAATAAAGCTTTACAATTCTTCAAAGGATAGGAAACTAGAGGAATTAATAGTTTTGGGTGATTTTTCATTAGAATTCTCAGATTCAGCTAATTCACCAAAATTTTATTCAGGCAAGGTTTTTGAGGATAACATAAATTTATTAAATAATTATAATATTTACATAAAAAATATAATCACATTTAATATTCTATAAATTCATCTAGAGATACTAATTTGAATATATATTTAATAATATGTATTTAATTTGATTTTTAATTAGGTATTATTGATATCAAACCTTTTTATTTTTAATAGATAATCAAGAGTGATGATAATTTAGATGTTTAATACAAAATATCAAAATATTATAATTAATTTATACTTCAAATGAAAATTATATCTTAATTGTTATAAAATAGTAGTTAATTAAAATGTATAGGATAATCAAAGATCAACTTCTTATTTCATAAGCTCAGAAAATTCTTTTAATTGTCCAAACATTTCAATATTATTTTATAAATTTTTGAGGGCTTTTTCTAAACTATCATTATGATGTTCAAGTATAGTCTTGAATATTTTATATCATAATTTACATTTTTAGTTTTTAAGTATTGAACTGTCACTTCCCCCTCTTAATTGACTCTCTTAATTAATTATCTTAAATCATGGATCTAAAAATCTAATGATATAATACTTCATTAATCAATTCTTATTGCTTATTTTCTAAATGATTTACTTATTATTACAGAGATTGATTCTCATTTTTTAATTTCTAATTCTCTTATTGAATTAACTAGGTTTTCTGTTATAATTAAGATGGGAATTGATTTAATGCCTGAAGCAAATATGAAGATGCTTAAGAGGATTGAATCTCATTAGATTAATTTACATTTAAAAGTTAGAGACCAGATATTTAATTGGGTGAAATGTTACATGATTAAAATGCTAACATATTAACACTTAGATTATATTTATTTAATAATTTGTATTTTATGTATGTAATTATTTATAAAGGCTTCTTAATTGTAATTATATTCATTAAATAAAAATTAAATGACCTATATATGTCTAATTCTTCTTAATAATATTTTGAATTAAATAATTTCAGAAAGTAGGTTTTCTAAGAAATTATTTTATCTTAGAATAAATTGAATCTCCATTTAAAATTTGAATGGTTAACGTATACCATAGTACATTATTATAAAACACAGAAGATTTAAATTAAATGTGTTAAAATGAAAATTCATAAAAAGTCAATCTTTAATTCAAAGATTATTGTAATAAATGTAGTCAAAGGAGTATTAATCAATATAAAGTTAAAAATAATTTAGAGATCAACAAGGATTAGTGTTTGTCACTAATAAGGTAAATCCTTTTTTTGTGGAAACAAATTTTGTATTCTAATTAGTTTTACTGTATTTAAAGCTATTGAATGATGTTTTTCTAGGCACAATTTTAGGAAGAGCATTAGTCAAGCGTTCAACAGATCTAGTAATCTTAGTATTAGAACCTGTTCTAAATCAATATGCCCATATTGTTTACCTCATTGAATTCGGATCTGCTGGATATTAAAACATTATTGATATGTTTTGACAGTATGGTGATTAGTAGAGAGTCATTGCTTCATCATTTATTTCTTCTGAGAATTCCTATACAACATTTTATTAAAAAAATACAGTTAAGATCTTACTCTTATTTTTAGTGGAGACAATTTATTCTCTTTATTTCTTTTTTCCACTGCAACAGAACATTTATCAGTCTCTCTTTGAAATATATTAATATTATCAATAAATAATCACTATTTTATTAATAAGAACTACTGTACTTATTTCTGGATAGCTACAGTTTTGATTTAAATAGTAGCTATTCAGAATTATAGGTTATAAACACAACCTTTACTTTCATCTATTTAACAATGAAATCACACCAATTTTTAATATATATCATCTTATAAATATAATATCAAATTCAATCCTTAAAAATCAAAAGATAAAACTAATAGAATTCATATAAGACTATTCACAATAGAAAACAAAGTTTAACATCTCAATATTAACATAACTTTTAATCTAAATTTATTGATATATAAAATAAAATTGTATTGAAATCTCATGATATTCAATTACTAAATTACCAATTTATTTATTTAATTTGTATATAAAAATTTAACTTAATAAAAATTCTATCAACAAGGTATCTGGATGTAAATTTTGAATATCTTAATAAATTAGAGCATAATAAATTAAAATAAACTTGGATATAATGTAAAGTGATACTTTATTTATTTAAAATGAAATAAGAAATTAATAAAGTTATCATGTTCAAATTATGTGCTTGTATAATACTCCAAATCTTTGGGTTTCATGTATCAACCCAGGGAATAAAATAGCTGTATTAAAATCCATTAATTATATTTGTTAAATTATATGAAACTTCAATTTCAGCCGTATTTAACTGATATATTGAAGGATCATTTAATTTAAAATGATAATCTACTTTTTTGTTTTAATCTTATAAATTTTTTAAAATAGACTATAAAATCTTAAGTAAAATTTACTCTACCAGTTGTACATATTATTAATCATTAAGCAAACATAAAAAATCAATGAAGAACTACTAGAATAGCCCCTATCTCAAAAATAAATTAATATTTTCTATATAAGTAATTTATAGTTACTTAAAAGTAGAGAATGAAATCCCTTAATTTAAGAATTACTATAAAATCTTTGTGAATATTTAAAATAATTTTCAATTCCTGTATATTATTCAGAAGTACATTTGTAAAATATATAGATTAACCCAATAAATAGCATTATAACAAACTTTAGCGATTGAAGTGGAATATATAATTTCTTATTTTTTGAAAATACAATAACTTAATATATATAGTAAATAAAAGATGTTACAAGCATTATATTAATAAATAGTAATTTAAATATAAAATATTCTAATTTTATGACTCATTTTATTTAGTTATATTTTTATGTTATTTACTTAAAATAACATAATCATCTATAAATACAATAAAAGAATGAATATAATTCATATTAAAAATTGAATGAATTAATTTTATTTTTTATTGATTCATTAAAGTTGTTGGAATGAAATAAGGTAAATTTAATAGCTAAATAAGAGTAATTAACCTAAACATTTTACAGTAAAATACCTAATTCGCCTGCATATACTATGGGATCTAGAAAAAAAGACATGTTTATATTAGACACTCCAGGTCCTGGGAAATATCACCCAATTATCCCTTTTAGATAAAGTCCAAGAGCAATCATGTCAGGTTCAAAAGATTCCTTCTACAAAATAAGTGATTCTCCAGGACCTGGAAGATATAACTAATTGTCATACACAACCAATGGGTTTAAGTTTCCTTAAGAAAAGCGATAAATGACAAATTACAATGACTCTCCAGGCCCAGCTAAATACAATTAAATCAATAAATCTTTTGCTCCTGCTTATGCCATTCCTAAAGCAGATCGAAAAACTAAAATAAATTCTTTTGCAACTGGACCTGGATGTTACAATATTGCTTCTCTTTTAAGATCAGATATTGGTTTCAAAATGCCAAAAAGTTAAAGGAAAAATAAAATGGACATATTGCCTGGTCCTGGAGAGTATAGTTTTTAGGATAACAAAACAAAGGGTATCAAAATTGGAACTAGTCCAAGAATGGAAAAATCAGTGCTTATAGGGCCAGGACCAGCAGATTATTCCCCTAGAATTACAACTGACTCTTCTCCAAGAGCTGTTTTCGGTACAGCATAAAGGGCAATTAATCAAAAAGATAAACTTCCAGGTCCTGGTGATTATGAACTACCTCAAAGCAGAAGTGTGAGTGTAAGAATAATAAATAAATAAGTTTTCTTTTCCTAAATAAAATGTGCAATAACAATCTAAGCCTTCTACTCCTTTCAGTTACATCAATGATTATACTAGCCTTCGAAAGACATCGATGTCTTTTGGAAAGGCATAAAAAGGGAACCAGAAAGCTGAATTTATACCAGTATGAATTAATCAAGCATTTTAGGGTCCAGGATAATACGATATAGAAGGTTTCTTCAGAAGGAGAATAAAGACAAGAGATGGGTCAAATATGTGACTTTTTACTACCTTTTTAACTATGTTTTTTATATATTCAAAAGATTATTTCTCATATAATTTATTGGGGTGAATGTAAAATTAATATTTATAATGTACATATATCTCACTGCGATTTCCTCAGTTATACTTAATAATTCTTAATGAATATATACTTTGTGGAAGCCAATCAATTCATAGTTTTCTCTAAAACATCTTCTGCAAACATTCATGCCATATTTTCTGATCAAACCTTGTCTAGCAGCGCAGACTCTGCATTCTTTATTTATATTATTTATAGATAACCTCTTGAATCTTTTCCGTAGGTTCTTGGATGAGTTCTGAATAAATGGTTTGGCATTCTTACAATATTTTTATTTTAATTTTAAATATTTATTAAAATCTTCTTAATGAATACAACTATCTAACTAAAGCGTGTGTAATTGCAAATAAAAATTTATGACTTCTTTTCAGTAAAACACAAATAATTTATATATAAAGATTAAAAAGATTTTCAAATTCATATACTTTAGATATATATTAGTATCTCTCATAATTTATATATTTTATGATCATCCATATATATAATGAATAAATTATATTCATAAAGAAATTGAATCTAATCTTCTATTGAATTTATTTAGTATATAAGTTATATTATATCAATAGCATGCAATCACAAAAATTAATAAATTTCAAAATAAATTAGCTTATATATTTACTATTGAATTCGTAAAGATTTTATTTTGAGTGAAACTTATAAAATGAAAAGAGTTCTAATTTTAAGAATTTAAATTGTTTCTGAATTTAATTATGAAATCTATTCAATTTTCTAATAATCTTAAATGAAGAAGAAAAAATCATATATCTGATATGTATTATATTGATAAAAATTTTTAAATAAACATTAATCAAATGCAAAACAATAAAAACTAATGTTTAAAATTAAGGTTTATAAATTAAAATTTATTATTAGTTAAATTCAAAAATGATTAAACAGAAAGTTTTTTTTAATTTAAAGTATTCTACTAATATGTAAATATTTTTTCATTTAATTCAATAATTATTGATTAATATCTTTATAACATTAATTATTTAATTGTCTCTAAATTATAAAATAATATATATCTTTATCTAAATTAAATATAAAATGATTGATATTTAAAATAAATATATGGATAATAAATATCAAATATAGTTTTTCTCATAATTTTCTCTTTTTATAATTAAATCTTAGCGGATTTTATAATATATTTTTAAATAAGTTACATTTTTTGTAAAAGATGTATGAAGATATTTTAAATTACTATAAATAATACTTAACTTTAAATTAATAACTTATTAATATTCTTTTATTTGATTATATAAATTGTTTTTTTACATCTGAGTTAATCTTAATGTAAATATTTTTTCATTATAAAAATAATTCCTTAAGTATTATTCTTTTTAATATCAATATATTTCCAAAGCTAGTATTAATATATCAATATTGTTATTAATTAAACATAAATGTAGAATTACTTTTCTCTAATTTGTATTTTAATATAATAATTAATTAAATGAGTATACGTTCAACAACTCCAAATAAAATGTTTGGAATTACAGAATTAGAAGACTACAAAATTACCTAATTCAAACGCCCTCAAACTTCAATGAAATTTTCACTATAAAAAATTCAAGAAATTGGTTAATCACTCAACAATATTTTATAAAAAAAGAAACCTAAGAATGATAAAAAAATATTACAATTTTTCAATGATAGATTCAATCAAAACTTATAAGATATTAATACATCAGCATTTTATGAATCAATAACTCAAGAAAAATAAACAATTTCTAAGAGAAAGCAGAATCATACTATTTTTGCCACTAATTACAGTCATTTAGGTGGAACTGAAACTGAAAGATCACATAACAATATTAAAAATCAAAGGGAATCGTTTAAATATTTAAATAGCAACAGATAAAACAATAATTAAAATATTTAGTAAAAGATTAATAATGGGCTAAGAAATTAATCTTGGATATGGGCAAATGATAACAATCATATTAATTAATGCTCTTTAGATTATAGTAAATCTGAAAATATCACAACTAGAAACAATAGAATTCATTAAACTAATTAATCAATTATCTAAGATCTTGATTATTATTCTCTAAAATCTATAGCTGTTCATATCCAAAATGATCCTAATTAGACTGATCTTATAGTTTGTTGTCAAAATTACAAATTATATTCATTAAATTAATATTCTAAGATGGTTACATGTATAGGATAACATTATAGACCAATTAAATAAATGACTAAAATTATCATTTAGGCTAATAATAAAACATTCTACACTAGTAGTAGTGATGGTTAAATAATATAATGGATATCTGATTCTATGCATGGTCCTTTTAAATATTAATAATCTATTAGAATAGAAGAACCTCCTATTTAATTGCATTTAGATTAATAAGGATCATTATATATTTTGACTGCCAATTTCTTAACTTTTCAAAGTTATAAAATACCATTAAGTGGAAATGTGAAATGCTTAAGTGTTGCCCCTAAACAAATAATTATTGCCATCGATAATTAAATACATTAAATAATTGATGATATAACTAATATTTAAAAAATATAACTTGATAAACATATCAAAACTATATTCTATGAAGATCAATAATTATATATACTTACTACACAAAGATCATTAATTGTTTTTGATGATTAATAAAATAATTTAATATTTAATTCGGAAATTGAATTAGATGCTGACTGGATCTATGCTATGCCTAAAAATTAGATTATTATTCAAAAAGATAATAATGTCATTATATAGTCTTTTCAAAGAACTCGCAAGTTTTAATTTCCTGATAAAATTACTTGTTTACTACCTTTATCTTAATAGATATTAATAGGAGATTCAAATAAAACTATTAAAATTATTAAACTTTGAATATATTATTTACTAAATTGATATTAATTTAATTCAATACATACAAATATTAGATCAATATTTTTAAGAATTTTATAAAAGTTATTCTTACATAACTTACTCCCCTTCCTTAATTTAATTAATCCTTTCCTTAAATATATTTCTAATATCTTAAATACAATGATGAATATCCTATTAGATTTTAATTTCAGATTGAATAAACCTAATTAATTCATTTTCATTAAAATCTTTATCTTAAGATAAAATACTATTTTTATAATCATTAATAATTCGATTTTAATCTATATCTAATTATTTTAATTAAGGGATCAATATCTCTCTAATGCTTAGTTTTTTCATTTTTTCATATATTTTTTGTTAAGAAACAAAATATTCTTAATTTAATTCAAGAGATTTTGATTTTAATAGTTTATATTCTTAAAATAGCAATTATAACATAAATTAAATTTGCTATTTTTATTTAATCTCAGTATCAAGTATTTATTATTGTTATATTATCTATGGATCTTATTATTATTTTTATTCTTCCTTCTTCAATATTTCCTAAAATTTATTTCTCATCAAATCTGCTAATTGAGGATCTTTCATATTTGATATATTTTTATATCTATTCCTTTTATGACAATCAATAAATTCATTAATAATATTACTTAAAAATGAATCTATATTTCCATCTAAATCTTAAATATCTGGGATATGATCAAGAGTGTATTAAAATTCCATTATTTTTAATGATTACTCTAATATACGACTCTCTTTTTATTATTTAATTTCTAACTTGGATGATAAAATTTTTTAAAGTTCTTTTATTTTTTCATCATCTAATTTTTCTGATTGTATTTACAATTTCTTTTATTGTTAATATTCTTTTTTTCTTCTATCTTTATCAATTTCTTTCTCTGATAGTCTTATTTATTCTCCTTATCTAAACCTAAGATCCTCTTAAACTCCAAATGAATATAAGTTTTTTTAATGTTTTGTACTTCCACCAGGTTTAGGTGTAGGATTTATAGATCTTGTATAATTATCAGGAGTTGCTGATTCCTATTTTTCTTATATTATGTCATTAATATAAAGATGTTATTTCTTCATCTTAAATAAAGGTTTAGTTTCAGAGTTGTGTCTAACTAAATGTATACTATTTAGATCTCTATCTTAAGCAACTAATTAGTTTATCATACTATCATCTGTTCTTCCTGTATCTAATTAATCATCTTTGTAATGTTTATATTATCCCTATAAGTTTTATAGATTTAAGGTCATTTAAAAACGAACATTATTGATTTCTGGCTAAATTTCATCCTTTTTAATAATTATTTATTTTTATGAATCTGACAATTGTTCTATTTCATTTTCAATATCTCTTTATGTCTCACCAAATTCTTAAGTTCTCTAACTTGGTATATCATTAAAATTAAAATCTACATCAGTTTCATTTTAATGAAATGAGGAGCTATTATTTATTATCTCTTAATTATTTGTTATTCTTGATTTCTTAGATCCTTATGAATTTTCTTCATAATTATCATATTTATTATTATTTTCATTTAATTATTAATCCTCTTAATTTATATTATCCCTCTAAACTTTATCATTATGATCCAAATCTTAATTATAGACATCATCATCATTTCTATTAATTTTTGTAATTTCATTTTATATTTAATCTTTAATATCTTTATTTTATGTTTATTTTTATTTCAATTCTTATTGATTTAAATTAATTCCTTAAATTTTGTATTCTTATTCTTAAATAATTTTATTTTTTTATTAAATAAAATAAATGCTTCCAATATCTTAATTTTTATGTTCACTCAAATCAATATTATTAGATTACTAAGGTAATTAGTTATAATAAGTTTAGAATTCATTTTTTAAATCTTTTTCTATATATTATTGCTATATATTTATTAAATTTATATCTTCATTTATAATTTCCTTATTAACATTATCTTAATTCATATTTTATTATTTCTACTCATTTTAAATGTTAATACATGATCCATTTAATTATTATAAATTATCTGTAAGATTCTATTATATAAAAGTAGATTATGTTTCAACTTAATAATTAATTTTAATAGAATCTTAATCTAAATTAGAGTTATTTGAAATTAAATTGGATTACTACTTTTCTGCTATTTACTAAATAATAAGATTATTTTTAGGATCATTTATTAATTTTAAATCAAAATTATGTAATTGATTTTTAATTCCAATATCTTATTCTATTTAATAATTTATTTCTTTTTTATTTACTTATGTATCTTCTTATATAAGATTTCTATCATTTTAATTAAAAATTTAAAATTATTATGAGTATAATTAAGCCTTAGCTGATTAAATTTATTAAATTTAAATTTGATCATCTTAAATAACAATTTCTAAAAATTTAGAGCTTGATGCATTCTAAGATTATTTCCTTAAGAAATTATAACTATTTTTTCTATAAGCATCATTTGTTCTATGTGTTATAACTATATCACTAGTATCTCCATCAGCTATATCATTAAATTATATTTAACTGATAGCATCATTACTTTGAATATCTTCCTATATTGTGTTCAATCTTTCTCCTATCTAATCTGAAAATGTCTTAATTTCTTTAAATAATTAATTTTATTTTTTATCTCCTTCTGTCAATAATAATTAATTAATTTAATAATTAGTTTTATCTATTTATAGAGATTCAATCTATAACTATGATTTTACTTTCTAATTAACAGAATTTATCTTTAAATCTATTTCTTAATTATTTACTTAATTGGTATCAAGTTCATTTGATTAATTATCATCATCATTTTATATTAATTCTTGAATATGATTACTTAAATATTTAAGTTTTTCACTTGCTTAAATTAATTACTAATTTTCTAATTAATATTAATTAATATATTAATCTTCATCATTTTCAGTATCAAGTTGCTCTGAATAATTATTAGATTGTTATATTTAATTATATTAATTTTATATTTATTCAGATATGCCTTCATTTAAAGTTCCATCTTATTATTATACTTTAGATTAATCAATTATAAGATTATCCTCACTTTAATTAATATCTTATTAAGAGTCTTGATATTGTATCAAATCTATTTATTCTTGATCATTCAATTTTAATTATTATTATCCATTATTCTATTACAATAATTCTTGAGATTATTATTCTATTTAACTTTATGATGAACCTAATTTTTATTTTATGAATAATATATCCTTATTTTATGGAGATATTTTACGACTTGAAGAATTAGAATTAACTGATTTATTTAATTTATTTAAACCTGTTGAACGATGTCCCTACAAATTAGTCTCCTTTTTTAAAACAGATGTTTATTTTTATTACCCATAATTTTATTATTATGATTAATTAGTAAGCTAACTTTATTTTACTTTTAAATCACTTGAGCTTTTTGGCCTCCCTTCATTCATTTATATAGTTTTCTATTTTAAAGATAATTTAGGCTTAATTATACTTGATCCTTTCAATAATGTTGATTCAGCCATTTTTGATGGAGATGTTTCTTTACTTGCTATTCTCTTTAATGATAGATCAGTGATTTTCTAACTAGAAGATGTTCTACTATTCTATGTTGATTTATGTTAAGGTTTTAAAAGAGTTGAATTAGATCCCTTACTTAAATTATTAGTTGAATTTTCTCTACTTAATTTAAGAGCATTAGAAGAATCAGTAGATGGTTATGAAATCTTTTAAAGTAATTCTAATTTAGAATTTTTAGAGGGAGGCTTTAACATTGTTTTTATTTTTAATAAACTTCAATATATTAATAATTCAATTTCTTCAATAATACCTTAAAGATGAATATTCTCTATTTGAAAAATGAGTATTCTAATTATTCATATGGATACTCATTATTTTTTGAGATTTAAAAGACAATAGATAATTATTAATTCTATAATAGTTTTTCCTTATATTCTGTCTCAAAGTCTTGTTAATTGTATTAATTATACTTTTAATCTCAATGATAGTTCTAAGATGACAATTAAAATATATTTAAATATAGTTTTGAATAAATAAATTAATTTTTATCAACACATATGTGAAGGTGCTTATTCTATATATTTTGATTTGAATTTGTAAGTCTCCTTAATTGCCTATTAAAATTATTCCTAATTTAAAATTAAATCTGATGTTTTCTATGCAAAAGTGTCCTATTCTCTTAAAACTTCCATTGGAATTTATGCTCCTTCTTTAAAAAGTTACAAAGACAATTTGGAATTTCTAGCCTTAAAGAAAATCAAAAAATATTTCATTAGATCAGATTTTGATATCTTTTCCAAAGCTAAAATTGTACATTCTCTTTAAGTAAAGTAATAAGATCCATCTCTGATTGAACTCCAAACTATTTCAGCTTATTATTCTAATGTATTAGGAACTTGTTGTAATTATTTTTAGATTGCATATTTGATGCTAATAATAAATATAAATTATAAATACCCATCAAAATCTTTATCAGGAAGTCTATTCAAAAATGATTCAAAATAGCCCAATGACTCTTCAATATAAAAGTCTATTTCTTCAGGATCATAAGAATTACTTTAAACTATTATAACAATTGAATCAATATGATTAACTTATATTAATGAAACATCGACTGCAAATCCTAATTACAATTAATTAAATAGATAATCTTCAATATGAAATTTCATCAGTCTTTGTAAAAGTCTCATATATACATATTATACCAAACTAGGATCAGATCCTTAATAAAGATTAAGAGTGACAATGCTCTCAGATTTTAATTTAGCCAATCTATATGTAATAGCCCTTTTTGATAATTTAAAAGTTTCTTCAGTAAAAAATGATTTACTTTTACTCTATCCTTTTGGAATAATTGATTCAAATAATGATTTTGAAGAATCAACATCAATATTTCCATAAAGTAAGATATCAAATCTTTGATTATCCCATAATTTCTTTAAAGTTTCTTATATTTTCTCAAATTTGACATCATATTTATGTTATTAAAATTCTTGTGAATTAGTTAGAATTTATTTAGCATAAAACAAAGCTTTTTCTATAGTTGTAGTATTCTTCTCCCAATATCTATCTTAATATTCTAAATTCTCTATATACCATTAAAAATCTTCCTTATTAATTGTGAAAGCTTCTTAATAATTTTTCATCACTTATTTAGCAATTTCTTCTATTTATTAAGTAAAACATTATACAATAATTTCAATTTATCCAACACCAATATCTATTTAAATTGAAGCAACATTAAAACCTTTTGGAATCTTAAAATTCAACTTAACAATTTCTTTTGCTATAAAGTTTTCACCTAAACTTTCAAAATCTAAAAATCTAGCTAAAACTCTAAATTAAACTTTTGGAACACCATTTATTGTATCTTAAATATGCCATAAATTTCCTGCTTAAGTAGTTATCAATAATTCAGGATATTTAAAATTTTTCTTTTTTTTCTTTATAATTTAATTATCAGGAGATTAAGGTAATAATTCAAATATAGTTGGAATATGAGAGTCATCTACTATTTTAAGTGATGTATCCTTGATATTTAAAAGTTTTTGAACAGTATTTGCTGTAATTCCAGCTTCAAAAGAATGTAATCCAAAGAGTTAATGATAAGAAAAATTCTCAATTTCAGGTATTGAATATCCTTTATCAATATCATAATCTTATTCTGTTTAGATGACATCATCTGGTTCAACTATGAATTCTTCTTCTTCAGATAAATCAATAGGATGATCTCTATCAATAATTAGATCATTAATTTCATCTTCATAAACTCTATATCTTTTTTTGACTTTGCCTTTGAATATTTTCTTCTTTTCTTCTATACAATGAGATTATTAGGCAAAAGAATTACCAAATTTCATAAATCCCATATCAACTTAATAGGAATCATAAAAATTGTCTAACAATATGATTGTCATATTTTATGGTTCCATCTATTGTAATACATGAGAAATAGCTGCCTTATCATATTTCTTAAGTAATTTATTTTGTAAAATATCCTTTGAAAAATATTATTTTAGATTAGATGATAATTATATGATATTCTCAATATCATAATTAGAATATTAAAAATTAATTTCTTATGTCAAAAGAAGATGATCCCAATATTATTCTAAATTATCTTATTGTTTTAAGTAATTGATTCTTTTATATAAGGAATTGAGAATTTCATCAATTTTAGTTTATTTAGGTAAATGAAGAAATATTTTAAAAATTGCAAATTCTTTAGGTATTTCTTTTAATGTATAATAACATTTAAAAGCTAATTTTTTTTCAAACATTTCATCACAAAAGTTTTTTTCAAATTGTTTCATTAACATTAAAATCACAAATTCCAATGATTTTGTTAAATGATTATTCTCAATATCAAAATCAAATTCAATTCTCAACTCTTTAACTTTACTTTGAATATAAAAAAATCTTTAATTCTTTAAAGGCAATCCAAATTATTTATATGTAATTTTTTATAATTATTTATCTACACATCCATTAAAATATTCAAATAATAATTCTGTAACTCTTTTTTTTAATTCTTCATTAGTATAAATAACAATAGATAATCTATTAGCTGAATATTTAGAACGATAAAATTTCTTAGCTTCTATATATGGATTCTTTCCTTCATTTTCAGGGATTTCAAATAAAGTTTTTAAATTCCCTGTATAAAATTAACTATATGGATGTCTGCTTTTGGAAATTAATTATTATGAATAATCAAATAATTCCATACTCTTCCATTGAGCATGAAGATTCTATAATACTCTATCCATTTATTATTTAGTAAATAGTGGATCAATGAATAATCTAGAAATAACATCCAAAAGTGCAAAAAACGCATCATTTTAAACTTATGCATAATAAATACTTTCATGTTCATTAATAATTCTCATTTATTTTCCTGCATTTAACATGATAATCTTTCTCAATAAATCAGCTTATGGATATTTTTAAGAAGTTTATAATAATTATTAGATGTAATTACTCATTCCTTAAAAATCTTTTGGATCATTCATATAACCAGTTTCTTCTTTCAATGCAACAGCACTAAGTTCAGTTCTATTAGATGTTATAATCATAACATGAATTTAATTTGGTAATGTAAATATTTTATAATTTCTATGATCACATTACGCTTTGCTTACTTAAGGATAAATATTTTATCTACTATATTGTTGATTAACAACAAATAACCCAATTCCAGTAGATATAGAGAGTGCTGCTACTGAAAGTAAATAAAATACTACAGGATGCATTATCTATTTATATGTTTAAAATAATAATGAAATTAATATTAGAAATTATTTATCATATAATTGTAAACTATAATTCCTCAAAAGCTTTCTTGTGGCTTTCTAATTTTATATGTTAACTGTAAGCTTATTCATTACCTTCAAAATATCCTTTTTCATCATATCTTTACTCTTCATAACAACATTTGCATGTAAACTTTAAATTTTGCAATTTTCTTTATTAAACAGCCTTAAAATTAATATAATTTAAATACCTAATTTTCTTTCTTTTTAATCTCATCAATAGTCAATTTTCTAAATATAAATTTCTCTTCTTCCATACTAGTATAAACTAATTTCAATTTTTAATCTATTATATAAAATTTTTAAATATCTCCTATCTATACTATTTCTTTAAATTACTTAATTTTAGGATAAAAACCAATAATATGTTTACCAGAATTACAGGTTATAAAAACATAATTAATAGGCTCAAAAATTAATTTGAGTTTTTCAAAAATGCTTTATATTCTTTAATCTGAAAGAAACTCTTTAATTTAATCAACTTTCATTGATATATTGAAATAATCACCAAATGAACTTACATCCAAAATCATAACCATTCTCTTAGCCCATTCTAAAGATTCATTATCTAATTATTTTCTAATATCAGGATCTTCTGATATATATGATAATCCAATAGTTCTACCAACAGTCATATAATCATTACATTCCAAACAACAAATTTGAGTGGTATTACCCATTCTTAAAAAGAAATTCTATTTCTTTATAGTATTAACTATATTTTATTTCCATGTCTAATATAATTATTGTATTTGAACATATATTTTAATACCTTCATTATCAAATTATTTAGGTATTTCAGAATCATAATCTGTTCTTATAATTTATATAGGATTCATATAATCTAAACTATCAGCCTTTTATTCTTCTAATTCAAAATGTTAAATTCTCTTTCTTTTTTATTTATTTTCACTTGATTCTTAAAATGATAGAATTTCATCTTTTAATTCAATATCAAATAATTATTTCCATCTTTCATCTGAAGTATATAATATCTTTTATCTTACTTTATCTAATTATCTTATTTTTTACCATATTCCACTATCTGTATAATTCTATTCTAATATTTATAATTTTATTTATTATCTTATTGAATTAATTGTTTATAAATCATCTTCTGTAATAAAATAATCAAATTAATAGTCTCTGTCATCAACTTTAGCTTTTATAAAATGAGTTTTTGTATTATTATGATATAATTTCACCTATACTCCAAATAGCATAGCCAATATTTATGACCATAACAAATATTTGTTCTAATCTATTGAAATAACTTGTCTTGTTGAATTTCTTTTATTTGAATCTTTCTCTTAAACTTCATAAGCAACTAACATCTTATTTTAATCCAATGAAATAAAATTTATACTATCAGGATCACAATTAATTTCTTTATGTTAATGAATCAATCTACAATAACATCCATAAAATATCAAAGATTAAGTTATTTCTATGAAATTAATAATATCCACTTAGTTACTCATTGTAAATGATTCCCAATTTATCTTTTATGGTTATTTTCTACTTTATTATCTTTTCATTAATTCACATTCATGCATAAGCCTTTTTAAAACATATTTCAATTTTTATAATTCCACTTCTTTAAATTCTATTATTATAGTATTATTTAAAAGTATAACACTTTTAACCCAATTTTTATTAAATTTTGATTTTGCTTTTATTTCTGTTAACAATTATAAATCTGATCTAAAATGGAATCTTGGCAATCCTTATCTACCTTAAGCTTATTCATCATGATATGCTAATATATCCTTTAATTAATCTTCTTTTCTTTTTTAACTTCTATCTATTTAATGAAAATCACAAAATTATTCCATTAGCATTGCAATCTTCTCTTTTATCATCTCTTTATTTTAAATATTAACTCCATCAAATTTAATATTATCACTCTCTAACATTATTGTACGATTATAATCAAATCCTTAATCTTTCAAATACTTAATCTTTTTATCAAATCTTTCATCTTTTTATAATCTAAAAGTATTTTATTTAAAAGCAGCACAAAAAGCACTCTTAATTTTAAGTTAATTTTCTGGATTATTCAAATCAAGTGGTTCATTTTTAAATTATTGATCTAATCTCATAAATAATTCATATTTCACATTTAATATTTCTCTCATATTCTTAGGATCTATTGATCTCTATTCACAATATAATCTTTCTAAAGGTACAATATTTTTATTTGTAAATCTTTTTAATTCCCTCCTTAATTCATGTTGAGTAATTGTAGACTTAAGAATATTAAAAAACTTAATTTCCCATTCTTAATAGACTCTTAATTATATTAGTAAATCATCTTCATTACCTTTATCATAGAGATATAAAGAATTGAAGAATAACCTTTATGATCTCATAAAATGATGTAAAAAGTAATTTTTTCTTTAACTTAAAATGGCTGCTATTGTGACACCTTCATAAGCACATCCAATTATATTACAATACATAATGAATCTAGTTAAAAAGATATCAATTGGCATATCACTCATCATTTATCCCAATCTTGTTATATGGATAGTGGAATTTTGAACATTTGGGTAAGATAGAGCTCCTAACATTTAAAGATTCTAAATAGCATTTTCAATTTATTTAGTACTTGGAGGATCAATAGCAGTTTTTAGAGTACGACTTGGATCATTGAAAACCTACTTTAAATCAACAACAGCATTAAGTTCTAATTTTTCAGTTTTATTTTCATTATCCAAAGATAGTTGATATAATTTTTTTAGTCTTAATATTATGATTTCTAAGGGACATCTTAACATTTCACAAACAGAATATTAAGTCATTTTTTACTTAAAAATACTTTAAGGTATCAAACGAAAACATGTTCCTGGAAATAAACGTCCAGTTCTTCCCTTTCTTTAATCAGCAGATGCTTTAGAACAGTATTATAGTGCTAATTTTTCAGTTAAATTTTTAGGATTGTAAATAATTTCTTTAGTTAAGCAAAAATCAATAACAAATTTACAATCAGGAACAGTAATACTACTTTCAGCTACATTAGTACTTAATATTAATCTTCTTTTTCTTTTTTGAATATCATCAAAATCTTTAGGAATAGTGACAGTACTATGTAATATAATAATAATAAATCTATCTTCTCCAAATTTTTAATAGATTTCTTCTCTAATATCCATGATTTCTTAGTATCCAGGAAGGAAAATCAAGACAGCACCAGCTCCTTGCATACCTTGAGTATCTTTAATTTTATTAGAGTCTAAGAATTCTAGTATTTATAACATGGCTTAGACACTATCTTATTGAATTTTTGGAGAATCTTAAAAATATAATGATGTTTGAAATCTTAAAGGTTAATGAGGTTCTACTTTTGCAGTGTCTGCATCATTAAAATATGAATGTATTTCTTCCAAATAATAAGTTTCAATAGGATATTTTTAAGACATAGGAACTTTAATAATAGGTGCAGTTTGATCATCATCTCCATCCAAGAAATGTTGTCCTATTTCTCTTAATTCATTCTACTTTTATTCTAATTCTCTTTATTCTTAAGTTAATTTAACCTATCTTTCCATATCTTTCCAAGCTTAACCCCATGATGTAGCAATATCATGATCCTCTTCACCTTCAAATTTAATAGCAATTTCAACATCATTTTCTTATGTCATATCTACATACTTATATTTTCTATCTACTCTTTATATATATGATAAATCATCAACTAAATTAATTGATTTTTTTGAAAAATAATTTGCAAATTTATCACTACAAATAGTTGCAGACATTAAAATCAATTTAGTATCTTTGAAATGTTTCAATAGATTTTTGATAATGATTAGACAAAAATCTATATCAATGTCTCTTTCATGAACTTCATCCATAATAATATGAGTATAATCTCTAAAGACTCCTTCTCTATCATGCACTAATTTTTATAGAAATATTCCTGTTGTTACAAATTAAATCTAAGTTTATTTTGAACTTATTTATGAATCCATTCCAACTTAATATCCAACAAGTGTGCCTAATTGACAATCTAATTCTATTGCCACTCTTTTGGCTAATGATTTAGCTGCTAATCTTCTTGGTTATGTACATAAGATATTAACTGTTCTTGGAGTTTCAAATTCTGTATTAGTATGATGTCTCAATATCATTTATGGTACTTAAGTTGATTTACCACAACCTGTACCTCCTGTAATTACAATCACTTAATTATTCTACATTTCCTCTAGTATTTTATGACTAACATTATAGATAGGTAAAGCTTTTCTTTCTCTTTCTGTTAATGGCTTTATTGTTCTTTTTCGTAAATGAGATATTTATTGTATTTAAATCTCTTATTATTATTATTACAATGGAATGTAATCCCCAAGATTATCATTTTAAATTCTCACTTTTTTCTGTATATTATCTTCAACTTAAGATTCCTTTTTTACTGAAATTTCTTCTTCCATTAACATGTATTATTATTTTTTAAAATGCTTTTTTTTGCTTCAAAATAGGCATGAAATATTTATATTATACTTAAATATTTAGTAATAAAATATTTAAAAATAATTCAATTCTCAAATATATGAATAGCTGAATAAGATTTATTATTTCCATCTTTAAATTTTGCATCCAAATCTTCCAACTTCAAATACTTCTCTTCTAAAGTCTGTTAATTTTCCATATTTTCTTCAATATCATCAAAATCAATAGTTTCAATCTACTTCAACACTTCAATATGAGGTTGACTAGCAATAATCTTTTAAGGACCAGTTTTAGCTTAAAATGAAATAGCTTCCTAAAAGGAAGGCACATACTTCACCGCATTAGAAGATTAAGAACCTAAAAATCATTTATTAATACCCATATATGATTATTTCTTTGAATTTTGTCTTTACTATTAATCTCCTAATCCATTTGGTACAACTAAAAAAGAACTTTGTTATTTGTTTTCACCAATTTTATCTGATTATTATTATGATTATTTTTCAGTCCATTCAAATTAATTATCATAAGTATTAATTTCTGAACATTTTCTCATTATTTTTTTCAGTAATTCATAATCTGGTTGATCTTCATATTTTAATCCCTTTAAATAACTAAATGATATTTAACAATATTTACTTTAAATATTCAGCAAATGGTTAAGGTAATTCTTTACACAAAGTTTAAATAGAAGTAGCTATTTTAACTTCTCCGACAGCAATAGTCCTGTCCTTGTCACCAATATTCTATAAGTTTTACCAAGGCAGTTTTCCTCAATCAGTTAATTTCTTTACCCAAGAATCAAATAAATTATTACGTACATCAAGGATTCTAGATCATCCTTCCTTCCTATCTCAAATCCTTTATGAGCTGCAACGGAAGCATATCTAGCTGTACCTATAAAAGATTTCTTGTCTTTGAATGGTCTATGATATAACAACTAATTAGATTTACATATGCTTTCCTTTATCAAATATTTGTTTTGAAACTCCAAAATCCACTAAAAATGCCTATGATGTATTAATTTTTCCCATCATAATATTTTCAGGTTTAAGATCTCTATGAACTATTCCCCTTTAATGTACACAATTAAATATTGTAATCAATTATTCCAACAACTATAATCCGCTCTTAAGTGATAATTATTTATATGTTTTTCCATAATAACCTAAGTCTTTTCCAAGTATTTCAATAACCATCACATTATAACATTACTCTCGACCAAACCAAAACAATTTTGTTATACCATTTATTCCTTATAATTTTGTTAGCAAATAAACTTCTCTATCTAATGTCTCCTATTAACCTTTTTCTAATTTCACAGCAACTTCTTCTCTTGTCACCTTATGAATTGCCAAATACACAACACCAAATGACCCAGAACTCAATTATTCTTTGACTATGTATTTGTTATCAAATATTTTTGGTTCTAAATAACTACTTGGTAATTTTGGTTATTTTTTCATTAATAATTTTTATGCATTAAGGATCATTCATCTCCAATACTCCAATTGTTTAATTAGATGATTTTAGAAAAGAAGTCAGAGGAAAAATGAATCATATGATTGATTAGCCTAAACAAGTTTATACTAAATCATCTAATCTTTAACAATTATTAAGACATAGCATATCTCCTAAACAACCTAAAAATCATGAACTCAATAAATCCCAAGACTCTTGCAATTAATATAATCAAATAACTAGTAGATTATCCTTTCAAAGATCCAGTCTAGATTTAGGAAAACCAACATAAAAGTATATTCATAATTATATCATATATATAGTATTCTGTATCCAAAAATATAATTATAAGACATACTACCTTTAAATAAAATTCTAGAATTGTAAAGGGCTATTAACAATTATAATCATCCTACAAATAATAAGTATTTATTTTTCAAAGATTTAGTTATTTTATCGAACTTAAAAAACTTGCTAAAATTGTATTAAGGGAAACTTAAGGATGATTTATATATATTCAAAATAATTACTTTAAATTTTCTTCATCTTTTTTTATTAATTTTAACAGTAAAATGAATATTAATCAAAATTTACAAATTTCTCCATTTCAAAATTCAAATCATTATCCATCTAGAATGTAGGCATTTTATATATCTAGAACTATCATTGATTAGATCTCTCCCATTAAAGATATTATACCCCAATATCCAAATAGACCTAGTCAAAATTACACAAGAAATAGTGCTAGAGAAAAACCTTAATTGATTACAACCAAATCACAAACTTCTATTAAATGTGAAACTAACAAAATTAAAAAAAAATAACTCTTCATAGAAGAAGAACAAGAACCTCCTAATAATATTGCTTAAGCTATAAATCTTTTAGATTCATTAAAACTCAAATATGATAATGTTCTTGAATCAAAAATTGAAACTATTATTAGTATTCTTAGAGCATAAGTCTTTGATAAAGAAAATTGTCATCCTGATTAAGAATTAATATAGTCAATAACCTCTTTATAATTAACAAATAAAAAGCTTTAAAATGAATTACAATTCAAAAAAAATTAAATATCTGAGTTAGAATTTACTATAAATAAATTAAATATTTAGATTAAATAACTATAATAAACAAATCATAATTTAAATAATGATAATTAAAAACTCTTATAATAATTAAAGTAAAAAGAATAAAAATAAGCAAACATTTCTATATTATAAACACAAGAGAATTTAAAAAATTTAGAGATTGCTTCTCAATTTCAATAAGATTAATAAATTTATTATTAAAATACAGGGTAAATTGCCAAATAGATATTCGAATAAACAAGTAATATTTTATTATTATAGTTTAGTTATACCATATTCAAGAAAAGATATAGAATAATAATAATAATAATCAATAAAAGTGAATGATAATAAACAATAAAAAAAATAAATTAATATTGTAGTTTAAAGTAATAAATATTTGGAAATCAAACACTAAAACACAAATAAATTAAATGAAAAATAATAAATCTCAATTTGAAATTTTTGTTATTTAAAAATGACATATATATCATTTCATATTATTAGCAGCTAATTATTATTCTGCTGATTTTAATAATGTTTTTCCTTAAACATTATCTTATTTAATTACAAAATTATCTTTTCCTGTGTTAGAATTTATAAAATTAATTTCTTATTAAGTAAACTAATATAATTAATTCATAATTTACAGGTATTCCAATATCTTACAATTAATTTAAACAATTTAGAGTTTCTTTCACATATTATGCTTAATTTATTCTTTGAAGTATATAGTCTTAATCTAATTTTTTTATTTTTTCCCTTATTTAGTTACCTTATGATGACGACATAAGATGCTTAATTTCTTCAGCATTAAATGAATTCTTAATTGCAGCTCTTAATTATTCTTACTATTATTATATTGCATTTTTGAGTGTTAAATCACCTTATTCTATTTCTTATAATTTAGTTTAAAATATCTCTAATTCTTATAATGTGTCATTTTTCATTTATCTATAATTTTATATGAGTAAGTATACTTATATTCTTCTGGATCTAATTCATTTTTATATTCTTCTAAATCTTTAAGTTATTCAAGTAATCTTTTTAATTGTTATTCAATATTTTCTAATATCTTTTTATCCATTTTTTTAAAAGAATATTAATCTTAAATATATAATTTTAATTTATAATTCATTTTTAAGGTTCTAAAGAAATAGATCTCTATTCCAATTATTGATCATTTAATTAATTTTCATCAGGATCTACCAATTCTCCTATTTCCCTTTCATCAATTGATTGCTATTATTATTAAATTTCCTATTATGAATTTGAATCTAATTATTATTAATGAATTTCATAAGACTCTTAAATTATTATTGTATTTTTCTTTTCGCTAACTTATTAAGGACATTAATTTTTATCTAATGATTCTGTCTGTTAATTTACAATAATTTTTTTAGTATCAGATTGGGTAAAGTTAATTATTGTATTTTTATTTAGTTATAAAACTTAAGGAGAGTCTTATTATTTCTATTCTTCAATAACCACATAATTATGTTATTTGTTAGAATCTGTATATTTTGGATTACGAAGTAATATTCTCTTAATCAATTAAGCTCTTTCTACATTATCTTTTCCAGGAGCATAGAATTTAATATCTGTATTATTTTCATGACCTACTATGCAATTTTCTAAGAAATTCATAAATAGTAATGGAGCTGCCAATTTGAATTAATCATATTAGTAGAAATCTGAAATAGGTACTACTCCATCTGCTCTTGGTTTCCATTTAACTTCAAATACACAATCTTCATTTGTTAACATTAAATGAACACTATCTATTTCATCACATTTTTAAGGATAAGAACAACAAAATTTTTATGCCATTTCTTTTTATTTATTTAAGAGAAGTTCTTCAGAATAGCTAGGATGTTTGAGACTTTATTGTACTTATTATAATACAGGTAATTATGAGGCTGTATTTTTAAGATTTTTTTATTTTTACTCTTAAAAAGATTGTTAATTTTAAAGGAATTCTTCCAAAATTGAACGTCGAACATTTTCTTCATATTCCCATGTAGTTTATTCAGACCCTTTCCATTTCATTAAATACTATGATTGATTATTTAGAATTCTTTTTTTGAGAATCCTTTCTGGAGATCGAGGAGTTATCAATTAATAATCCTATTATTTAGTGGGACGCATCTTGATAATTATTATTAAATCAATTGATTTTAAGCTACTAAAATTTAAATCCTAAAAGTACCAAAAATTCGCATCCAATTCTCAAAATAAACTATACAATTATAAAATATAATATAAAATGATTAATTTTTATAAATAATTTTATATTCAAAGATGAGATATTATTTTATAACTTTCATAAAGTTAATTTATCAGATACAAATATTCAATAAATAACAATGATATCAATAAAAAAAATTAAATAAAAATAAAAAAAATTAGAAAATCATTATATCTGTATTACAAATACAACTATTTTTTTTTATTAATTATTAATTTATTAAGTAATTAAAGTGAATTTTTTAAATAATTATTTCATAAATCTTAAATTAAATCAAATTAGATTTAGAAATATTATTAATAGAATAGTTCCAAGAAATCAAAAAATTATTAAAGAATCAAAATAAATAATTTAATAACTTTAATTCATTATTATTTTAAGGAAAAATAATTATTATTTCATGCATTATTCTCAGCATTTTCTTCTTTCATCTTTTCAATAAGTAAATTCCATTCCTCTAATTACTTTGGATCTGGCTATTTCTAATGCTCTATCATTTTAAAGCATTCATCTTTTGGCTTTGTTTATTATTATTATTATTAATTTTGTTATTATAATTTCTATTATTTCCTTTCCTACTTCTCCTGATCTGGAGATATTCCCAAATCTCCCAATCTATTTGCTTTCTTAGATCCACTTATTTTCTTACGATGTTAATGTAATTTCATATATTCTTCCAAAGCCTTTCTTTCCCTTATATAGGTTAATTCCTATTATTTTCTTATTTTACAAAACTCTTATAATTAATGTGTGTTCATCCATTGTCTTGTAATTATTTTTCTCTTATTCAACCCTTTGTCATCTATAGGCTCAACCTAAACATTCTAATCCAAATCAAATACATATTGCTTGTTATTTACATACATTATAATGAGAGGCTTTAATCATTTAAATTATTTACTTCTCCTTTGACCATCAAATCTTCCAATTAATTTTATATCACTTTTTCATATTAAATCCATGTTTATCCATTATAATATGACCACTTCCCTTATTATATTTTTATTTGCCTAGACACAATTGATGATTCTCTCCTAATTTTATAATAACTAATTTAATGATGCATGACCATGTGATCATAATCCACTATAAACTGCATGTCTTTGAAAATGATCTAAAACTCTCCTTGATTACAGTAATGAAGCATATTCTCTAGGAGATTGCATCTTCTCCAATCAAATATTTTCCATTTTCCATCTTCTTCTAGGTAAAACCAATCAACATCATGATGTGGAGGTGGAAATGTGCTGATGGTCGGCATTTGCTGGGGCCTATATAAATAAATAAATAATTGTGTTTGTAATAATACATATCAATAAGTGAAGGTGTAAATGTATATTAAGGCTATAAAAATAAGTATTATAAAAATATACTTGGAAATCTATATAGCGTATAATATAAAAATATAAACTTACATATTGGTTGCACTATTTGAGGAACATTAAATTAGTACATTCTAATTCTCCTGTTCAAAAATTTAATAAATTAATATATGAATAAATAAATATATATATATATCAAATTTAAAGAATTTTAAATATTTCTTTAATACTTGAAATGTTTTAACTTATCATTCTTATTTACTCTTAATCTTATTGGAAAAGAAATTTATTTTGATAAAACTCTTAAACCATTTTCCTATTTTTTTAATAATACTTATAGTTAATTCAATTTACAGCATATTTGATTACAAATTTTATAATTATACATATAATCTTATAAGAATAAAACTAAAATTTCTCTAATTTTTTTTTGATAACAAAAATTATCATCCTTGCTTTTAAATAAAATTATAAATTAATGTAATTGATTACAAGAAAAAGATTTAATTAAGTTTAGAAATTAAAAAAGTGCAAATTATTCCTTTTAATATTCTTTTATCTAAAAATTGTATTTATCAAGTATTTTTATAAAATATTATTACTGAGTTAAATTAAGATGTTTGAAAATTATAGTTACTTACTATATTTAAGATTCACCTTTAAATGAACTACCTATTTTCTAAAAAATTAGATATAATAGTGATTATCTGATCTCAATTGAAATCAATTCTTTAATCCTAATAGTTAGTTTTATAACATGCATGCAGGTTTAGGTAATAAGATTAAATAATCTGAACTTTAAATATTCTTAACAAAATCTTTGAATTATTTTATTCAACTATAGTAAAGTTATTCTTTAAATTAAAAAAAGAGAATACATATTGAATTTCAAAGAGAAAGTAATAATAGAAAATTTTGAAATCTAAATATATTAACAATTTTATTTAATAATTTGTCAGAATTAAGATCAATTAATTTAAAAAGAGGAACATAAATACAATTTTGATTAGTAATTCTTAATGAATTTACTAAAAAGTCAAATTAGGATAGTTTTCATTTCATTTGAGACTGAATTAAATTAAAAGATAATATTTATTTTTTGTATTAAACATTAATCAACCTCCTAAAAGAAAGTTTGCTGCTTATTCTTCATCATATCCAAATCTAAGGAGAGCTTCCTATTTCACTTAATTACTATTATTTACCCTAACTTTGCCTACTTCAAAACCTAAATTGACTAAATTTTACACCTTCTCCTCTTACTTATTTTTTGATGCATAATTTTATGTCCATTCTCTATGAAATAATTAAATTACATACTTTGCTGTTTTAACAAATAAATCTTTTTAGGTTTTGTATTGATTGGCTACTACAGCATCTTATGGGGAATCTAATNTTTCCTATTTTTTTAATAATACTTATAGTTAATTCAATTTACAGCATATTTGATTACAAATTTTATAATTATACATATAATCTTATAAGAATAAAACTAAAATTTCTCTAATTTTTTTTTGATAACAAAAATTATCATCCTTGCTTTTAAATAAAATTATAAATTAATGTAATTGATTACAAGAAAAAGATTTAATTAAGTTTAGAAATTAAAAAAGTGCAAATTATTCCTTTTAATATTCTTTTATCTAAAAATTGTATTTATCAAGTATTTTTATAAAATATTATTACTGAGTTAAATTAAGATGTTTGAAAATTATAGTTACTTACTATATTTAAGATTCACCTTTAAATGAACTACCTATTTTCTAAAAAATTAGATATAATAGTGATTATCTGATCTCAATTGAAATCAATTCTTTAATCCTAATAGTTAGTTTTATAACATGCATGCAGGTTTAGGTAATAAGATTAAATAATCTGAACTTTAAATATTCTTAACAAAATCTTTGAATTATTTTATTCAACTATAGTAAAGTTATTCTTTAAATTAAAAAAAGAGAATACATATTGAATTTCAAAGAGAAAGTAATAATAGAAAATTTTGAAATCTAAATATATTAACAATTTTATTTAATAATTTGTCAGAATTAAGATCAATTAATTTAAAAAGAGGAACATAAATACAATTTTGATTAGTAATTCTTAATGAATTTACTAAAAAGTCAAATTAGGATAGTTTTCATTTCATTTGAGACTGAATTAAATTAAAAGATAATATTTATTTTTTGTATTAAACATTAATCAACCTCCTAAAAGAAAGTTTGCTGCTTATTCTTCATCATATCCAAATCTAAGGAGAGCTTCCTATTTCACTTAATTACTATTATTTACCCTAACTTTGCCTACTTCAAAACCTAAATTGACTAAATTTTACACCTTCTCCTCTTACTTATTTTTTGATGCATAATTTTATGTCCATTCTCTATGAAATAATTAAATTACATACTTTGCTGTTTTAACAAATAAATCTTTTTAGGTTTTGTATTGATTGGCTACTACAGCATCTTATGGGGAATCTAATTTAAGTTTTAGAAAATTCATTACCTGGTTATGGATCACATAATAATGCCTAAAGTGAAAGCAAAGCAGTACGTATTGAAAGTGCAGGTGACCACTCATCTTTTAATATATCCAAACAAATAGCTCCTGTTTAACTAGAAATAGTGATTAAAATTACGAAGAGATATTTGGATGCCAAATACGAGTGTCGAACTTCATTTTTGGAGGTTTATATGGATATTCTGGTGGAATCACAATGTCTACCTGAAAGTAACCATTGCCATAAGGAGTATCAGATGGTCCATTTATAAAGCCTTTCCAATGAGTAATATTTTAATCAACTAACAAAATTGAAATTCCCGAATCTTCTCCCTTAGAAAAATAAATATTAAGATATTACTTTTTTTTATCTTTCGTTGAAGTCCTACAATTCTTTATTCAATCGATTTGTTTAAGTTTTTTATTACATTGAAAAATAATTAAATAATGAATTTAGTAAATATAGAGATAAAATCCATTTAATTAATGGAAACTCCATTTTAGGATAATAAGTGAAATTAAATATAATATGATGTAAGTTGTTTTATAGTATAATTTCTATAATATATGTTTCTAATTTATATTTAATGATTGTTTAAATATATTTGATATAGTTTTTATTTTAGTTTCAATAAAATTTAAAGATTTTATAGATTACATAGAAATAAGTATGGAAAGAATATTAAAATAGTATATAAAAAAGGAAATATATAATATATAGTATTTTATTAATCAATTTCTTCTAATAATTTATATTTTTTTAGTATATTATATTATATTATATTATAGAGTCATCTTAATTTATCTTTCAATTAATTAAAAAAATGTCTATTGAATACGTGCTTTTAGTTAAACAATAATAAGTTTGCCTATTTAAGATTCCACCAGTCAGCAGTAGCAAGGGTTATTATTTAGATGACTGGAAAGAGATGTTTTGGGAAGGTAAATTAAAGCTTATAATTAACAGGGGGAATCAAATTAACAGAAAAAGGTGGGTAATTGACTTTATATTTTATTGACAAAAATACTTCAGCTGTACAGACTTTTGTAAATTTCCCAGATAATCCATACTAAGCTATTGAAAAAACAGTGGATAGTTAAAGGTAAATGAATAAGAATATATTCTTAGAGGATATGCAATAAGATTAGTAACACCAACAGGAGGTCATCAATGGGTTGGTTGTGTATTTAGAGATAGGAATGATGCTTTTGATTTCAATGAGAAGATATTGAAATTCATTTCAGATAGAGAAATGGAAAGAAATCCAGAGAAATTTAAAAATGAATTTCAACCTTAATAAGATTTTAGTTTAAAGTAAGGATAGAAAATATAAATATCTTTGGGAGATGGAAATCAATAAATGAAATAAAATTAGTAGAAAGGATCAACTAATTTGTCTGAATTTAAATTTGCACCTCCACCTGATGCAAGTGATTTTGGTTAATTTTCATAACCAACTCAATAATCTTAAGCATAATCAATATAGAATAGTTGGGGTAATTTTGATTTTAACTCTTGGAATCAACCAAGTGTACCATAGTAGAATGCATTTTAATAGGCCTCTCCACAATAATAATTTGGATTTGGATAACAGTCATAATCATAGCCATAATAATAATTTAATCTGTAAGCATAGGCATTTACTAACTAATCATAACCATAATAATAAAATTAAGCAAAAACAAAGGAATTGAATTTATTAGATTTATGAATGCACATAATTAAACATAATTATTCTTATATCATTCTATAATTTCCATTTCCTATCCAACTTCTGTTAATTCTTATTTTTCAATATCAAACTAATATTTTCTAAGAGCAGCTAAACAAAATGCATATAATTAATACGTGTATTATTGATTGGGAAATCATAAGGAATTTGTCTTTAGTATGATTTAGCATTGTATTATCTAATATTTCTTTTATAATCGGCACCATCCTTAGTAATGGCAACAACATCTACATTACTACCAGATCTAGACAAACAATAGAAATATCAATTTACCCCATATCATGGAATATACCAGCTTCAATGGCTTCAATAGCAAGATCAATAGCTTACTATTTAGTAAGTCCATCTTAAAACTTGGCTTCTAAAATACCTAATGCAGCAAGTGATCCACTTCCCATAGATTGGAAAGGATGATAAACATAACTATGTTAATATTTATGATTTACTTTCCATGAGGAGACACTGAAGCTAATTAAGGACCATTACAATCAATTCCTCCAATAATCAAAGCAACTCCAATATTACCTCTATATGGAAAGAGCTTAGAAGTAAGTTTAGTGATAACTTCATTCACTCTACTTTATCTATTTAGATTGAGTCTTTAAAGTTTAAGTTTGGCATTAAAATGAGCACATTAATGATGTAAATCAGCAGCTGTACCAGCTCCAGCAGCCCAGATGTTTGGAGCAAGAACGTGTAATTTTTCACAGTTTTTATCAGCAACTATAGATCCTGCTGTAGCTCTTGTATCAGCAGCCATCACAACTCCTCCATCAAATAATACGCCTACAATTGTTGTTCCTGTTTTTGTAAATGGCATTTCTTTAAATCCTTAAGCTTTCATTAATTCATTTCTGAAACAATAAAATCATGTTCATACCTTTTCACATTAGTGTAATCATAGCCACCTTTGGATTGAAGATAATTGTCCAAATATTACATATTTATAATATTTAAATTTAATTATTATTCAGATTGGGATAATGGAAGAACAATTATAATAAATATTCAATTCCAAATACAAAAACAAAACACTTTACAATCATTTTTGTGAATTGTATTATCAGATGCAAGAGAATAAATATTATAATGCAAAAAGTATATACATCTATTATTTTAATTAGATTTAGAAGATTTTGAAGATTTGAGTAATTTTATAAAAGAGAATAGATTTTATCATGTTCCACTAAAATCAGCAGATGAAGTTAATAATTTAAAAGATAAAACATTTCCATGGTAAGAATATTGTTCCAAATTAATGTAACTTATGCAATTCAAAGCTAAATAAATAAATGCCAATATCTAGAACTTTTTAAAATTAAATACTTTATTGAATATTGTTGGGTATGGTGTCAATGATGAAGATGCTTACATAATATAACAATGTCTCAAATAAATTGCATAGAGAGATCCAAATATATAAAGCGTACGTTTTTGGGGAAAAATACTAGCATAACAAAAGGATTACTTTGTTATTGAAGTTACATTAAATAAATAAATAAAAGAACCATAACCTCCTGATTGTGATGAAAAACTTAATGAATATGTGCATTATGTTACTTAAGATTGTAATACTTATAGCATAATAAATTAGTATTGGATGATTGGGCCTTATTGCCATAAATAACACGTAAATAAATGGAAGCCTGTAGGTATATCACTTATGTTTTCAGTGGAAATCTAAACAAAAATATCACTTAATATCCATATTTTGAAGGAAAAGAAAAACATTTATTAAAAGCTTAAATATTAAGAATAACACATGCTAATCTATTAGCTCCTAGAGGCTTATATAAATATGAAGATGAAACAAAAACAATAGGTTTTGAAGATGAATTTAAGATGCCTGAATCAGCTGAATTGGCAACTATGGATGCTTGGGTTCATTTGCCAGCATATATTTTAAAATAAGGAAGAATAACATTCTATGAAGATCCTTCTTTAAAAGAAGAAGAATTGAATTAAATGAAAGAATCTGATCCTGAATAAGAGAGATTAAAATCTATTAAAGATGATAAACGTAATAATTGATGTTTATTATATAGCATTTGAATAGAATGAAGGGAACTGGTTGATCAAGGTTTTTGGAGAAACACAGCAATATACAAATTAAGAAGAATAAGCACTAAGTTATTAAGTAGTTTTGTTAAGAAATTATTTGTGGCCTGGTGCAGTGACTGTTAGCAATGTATTTAATTAATTATATAATATTTAAGTCAAATGAATACTTAAGTGTTTATTTTGGATATGGATTAAAAAATTAATAACATTCTTTTAATCCATTATCTCCAAAAGATGTACAAGATGACCCTGAAGATATTGATGAAGTTCCAGAACCAAATCCCAGGGAATAGCCAGATGAATTGGAACCAGATAGTGATGATGAAAGAAGAAGAGAATAGGAAAGAAGGGAAGCTGAATTGCAATAGTAATAAGAATGATATATTTATAATATATTTTTGTGTTTTATTTAAAAAAGCTCTTGGATTTATTGTTCTTTCACTAATTTTGTTGTTGTTATTATTGTTATTATTGTTGTTGTTATTATATTTATTATTATACTTATGTTTATTCTTCTTGTTTTCCAAAATTCATAATATAAAAATGTTCATTACGTCTAAAAAATAATTAATAATTACTTAAGCCCAATGTTACCTCCTAAAATCCATAATTATTCACCATTATAAATATCTGCAGCATGGAAATATCTTGGAGATGGCATTAAACCATATTAAGTAGGTGTAATCCATGTATTTGTTATGAAATCAAATAAATGTAGATCATTCAATCGATTAGATTTGCTATTTCTACCACCAAAAATACAAATTTTTGATTTAATCAAATTGGTTGTATGTCCATATCTAGGTTCTGGAGCAACACCTTAAGTTTGAATCTATTACCATTAAACATTTTCAAAGTTCAACATCCATATATCATTAAAATATTCATCTTAATTCTTTCCACAAAAAATGTACATCTTCTCATTAACTTAAATGGCTGTATGTCCATATCTTGGTTATGGTTAATTGTTTATGTTCAATTTAACCCATTACATCTATTATATGTTCATATAATAGACATCATTGTATATTAATTCAACTTCAAGATCAGGTGATAAATAATATCCACCAAATAGTATAACAAGTTCTTCTTAAGCATAAAATGTTAAACTAGCTCTTTCTCTTTCAGTCCATTTCTTATCAGTTTTAGCCAAATACCAAGTTTTAGCTGATGTTACATACACAAAATGGTCATTTAATATATTATGTTCATCTACACCACCAAAAAATAATATTTTATCACCATATGCTAATGCATTATGATAAGCTCTTGGTCTAGGTATTTCTCCTTCAGTTTCTTCTAAATTCAATTAATGATCTCCAAAAGTTAATTTATACATTTCATTTCTACTAGGAGCCCCACCAAAAATGTAAAATGAATTACCAATACTTGTCATTGTATGTCCATAAATATGATCAAATGTATGATACAATAAGTCATGTTTTGTCCAATAAACATTATTGAAATCTAGTTCTTATGATTCAGTTTTATTTATTAAAACAACCATTATGTTATTTTTCTTTCCAAATGAATTCTCTATGGTTGGTTAGCAACTATCATGAAAGTATTGACTTCCTCTTTTAAATATGAATTCATAACGTCCTTCTTGTAAATCTATATATGTATAATATTCATCGCATAGTTTGAATTAGTTATATCGCTTTTATAATTTGATGGGTTAACTCCAATTATCCCATGATCCAATCACTTCATCAGCTACCTCAAATAATCTTATCAAAGGTTTTGCATTTGATTCAAAGATCTGATATGCTCTTTTAGGAAGCACTTAAATCTGTAATCATTATAACTTTTACTATATTATTATATGATCCATGATTGTCATGCACAATCTCTTGATTCTATAAATATCTCCATTAATTATCTACTAAGAACTTAAACTCATATTGTCCAACAGCCAAATTTAAAGTGCATTTATTTCCAATTAATTTGGTCCCAACTTAGAAGAGATTCCATGACCCAAATAATAATACCTCTTTACCTTCAGAAGGCCTATTGAATATTAACAATAATACCAAATAAATTTCACTGGTTGAGCAGCACAAGGTTATCTAGGATGTATATTTCCACAATCTTAGCATCGATTCATATTAATATTCATTAAAATATATAAATATATAAAATCAAATGGACTGCCAAAAATGTTATCTCAATTTCAAATTATTCAATTATATTTAGGCTAATCTATTTATCATCAAAAGATATAATTGATATCTTTCCTTAAAATAACTAAAAATATTATTAATCTTATTTTACTTATCAATAAAATAATTAGCATATGATTTTATTAAAATGCTCCAAATAGATGAAATAGACTAAAATTAAGTTTTAATAATGGTTAATTCTTCTTACTTAAGTTTTTAACTCATAATCTTCTATTCTAATTTATTTTTCTATTATTCTAGATCTTTGATATAATTCATGCATTAAGACATAGCATTAGCTTCTCTCTATTCTGTTACAAAATAATCATAAACATCATTCATTGTATCAATTTACATTTATAAACCTCTATCAATAGAATTTGATTTTCTTCTTTAAATAAATTCCTCTGATTATAAATTAAGATGAATCAAATGCAATTCAGGTAGAATATATTTAGATAGGTAATTTACATTCTTAGAATGTTATTCAAATAGCTTTTTAATATCTGAAAAATCTCCAATCTTTAATTATTCTAATTTTGACATCAAAATTGAAAAATCATTACATTTTTATCTCTACTATTCATTAACTGATTCTTTTGTTTCAAATTCTTCAAAACTTTATTTATATCTTAAATCAATCTAATCAATGCTTGTTTATTGAGTCATTTCCTTTAATTTATTTTGTACATATTCCATCTCTTAATTGCTATCTTTATTTGTTTTTGTTATAAAAACATTAAATTCTATTGATTATGCAAAATAAGTTATCTTAGATAATTTCATCAAAAAGTATTCAATAGCCTTCCTAATGTTCTCTATATGTTCATTTGAGTAATCCTCAAAAGTTGATTTATTCATCAATGGTGGAATATATACTCCAGGCCTAAACTTATATTATTCTGCTTATTATACCATCTCAACTGCAATATTTATCGTAATTATAAAACATCCTAAAACCTTCTTATCACTTCTTGTTCTGTATTATCTACTATACGAAATTAAACAAATTTATTAGTAAGTCCTTATTATATAATTTATGGATCACATACTCTATATTATTTACCTATATATTCAAACTTGGTGTTTTATTAATTTCCTTCATTTTAAGATAAATATAATTGATATAATTATGATTAATATTAAGCTTATTGTTCAACTATTGGAATTATTTACCATTCTAAAAATTATAATTATTATTTATATCCTCCTGCTATTGCTCCTAATTAATAATTTTATTCCATTTTAAATTCCTTCTTTTCTCCATCCTTTTATCCAATCTAAATTTATTATTTGTTTGTCTAAATTTCCAATCGATTTATGCCAATCTCATTTTAATACCATGTTAATGAAATGATATATTCACTATTATCCATAACTAATTTTTGTTCATTTACACCAAACATTTTTGATGATCTATTATCAAAATACAAATATACTTATGCTCTTTACATTTTATGACTGATTGAGAACTAAATGAATAATAATAATTTTGTATTCCCAAAATCCCTTAATTTGTATAAAAGATCTTTATAGTATGAATCTTATAAGGTATCAATGTTTATAAATCAATTGAATCATCAAAATATTTAAGATCTCCCTATTTGATTCCAAGAATAATTGATTCCATAGAAATTTAATTAATGTTAATTTTAATGTAGTTAATTAATCAATTTATTAGATATAGAAGACCATTTTCAGTTTAACTATTAAAATTAAGATAAAAATTAAATTATTTAAAGCTGTAATCCATTATTCATAACTTCTTAGTATATTAATTTCTTATACAATAAATATTCTAAAAAAATAATTAAATATATATTCTTAAGCTATTTTATTAATTGATAAATATCATGGCAACTTTTTTAAGAAATTAGCTTTAGGTACTTCTAAAGGATGTTAATTATATCTAATTTTAGGTTATTCATATTCCTATTATTATTATTAAATTTTTGGAGAGGTTGGTTACTATTATTATAAAGTTGGGGATTTCTATGATGTCTTTTATTATTATGAATTTTATGAAGTTATAGTTATTGCTTATTATTATACATTGGTTGTTTATTATTATGTAATATTTTATGAAAATTAAGATTAAATTACTTCTTTAGGAACAGTATCAGAACCAAAATAAACTTAAGTACTACTAGGTTTTTACACTTGAGTATTAGGATTAATAGACAGTGGATTTTTCTTATCAAATAAAACCACTTTGTTTTAAACAATATTTCCTTATTAATTCTAATTTGTTTATGGCTAATGATATAATGATTGTAGAACTGATAAAGAATTTACTTTTTGATTTGGTTCAATTTTACCATCATTTTCAGCAAATTTAATCAATTCTTACGTCTATAAATCATATAGCTAAAATACTCTTGCATACTTCACTAATACATTTTTTATCTCTTATTTATCTACTCTAAATTATTAAATAATTATTTCTACTTAAAATTAATCATATTGAGGGTTAATGTCAATAAATTAGAGTATATAACATTTTTATCCTTTAATATTTACTCATTTTAAAATTGAACATTATCTTTCATTGTAGCAGATTTATCTATTTCTGTCTCAATTGTTGTATATATTAAGCCTTCCCATAAATCAATTTGTTTCCAAATTTACATTGATATTAAACTATCCTATAAGAAAAATCTTTTCTCATGTTCATCTATTGTATAAATAGTTGAAATCATAGTAATAATTCTTTTAACTAAAATTAATTCTCCCTCTTTTTAAGATATCTCTAATAGTTTCTGAGTGAATATATGCATATTTTTGAATCCATATGAACTTAAATTTGAACAACTAATAAATATATCATAAGTATACCCTGCCTGTCGGAATGATTCAAGTATGATGCATCCTAATTCTCTAAAAAATTTTGAATCAAATATTTCATCTAAATTTGTTCTTTGTAATTCAGGTATATTCTTCCAACCTTTAATTTATTATTCTTAAGTTGATTATATCACATATTTAATGAAACTATAAATTTTAACAAGTTATTATTCACCATATTGACCTTTATATTTATTTACCATTTATTGAATCCCAGCTGGTTGTTCATCAGCATTTTTTGGTTTATTTTTATTATTGACTTTTCCAATCAATTTAATTGTTACTACTTTTAAATCATCAATAAATTCAGGATTTACAAGAAACAAATCAAAAGAATCTAAATTTTCAACTTAGATAGAGGATTGTATAGTTTCTCTTTTAATGTTCAATTTGTGATTTAGTGAGATTTAATCTGCAATATTCCTTAAAAATGAAGAATTTAATTGAGAACTAACTTTTATATAATTTTCCTTAGAAATTCCTATCTAACTTGAAGGTCCTGGAGTAATTGGATCATTTTAAGGATCTTAATATATTTCAGCCTATTTAAAGAACTATTCACTATCATATTATAGATTTCTAGTTTTTGATATCTCATAAACCAAGATCTTCATTACAATATCCTAATTCAATATATTTATACTTTAGCAATTGCAAAAATCTAGTTATATTAAGTAGTTAACTATTAAATCCCATTCTATAAAGAAGTACAATATGATTGAATAGCTTGATTATAAATTGAAGCTGCTAATCTCAAAGCAGATTCATTCTCTTATTTATATTATAATTGTGAATTTAATTTATGTTATGCTTTTGATCTCTACTCCATATTGCATTCTTTATTCCAACAAAATGCTTCTAATGTAATAGCAGATTCTTCATATTCTTTTGATGCTCTTAATGTCTTTTCTTTCTATCGATCATACTTATCACATGTAATTTTGATTTCTTTATCCATTTTTAATACATCTTGAATTAAAGGTTTGAATTAACTCTGGATTTATCGTAGCTCATTGATCGCTTACTCTACATCATGCTTGTACGATTAATTGAATTGCTTAGTTACAAATACCCATATACCTTATAGTATTGGGCCCTTTAATTTAGATCTATTTTCACTCCTTTCACTAAATCATCAATATCTCCTCCTCCATTTTACATTTAACTACTTATTTTCTCTAATGCTTTGTGATACTTCTCTTCAGCTTCTGATCTCTCAAAAAGCTATCCCAACATTACTTCTGTTACTTTACTTCTGTCACTTACTCTTCGATATAGAACATCGAAATTTGTAGCTAATTATTTAATATTCATTATTATTTATATGTTATTCCATTAAAATTAATTAAATATATCAAATAAATTTAATGTATTATTAAGAAAATTTGAGAAAAGCTCGTGAGTACCTTAATAAAAGATAAAAATAAATTGATCATTTGACTCGTAAACCCATATAGGCTTAAGGTGTTAACATAAGACAAATATTTGCTATTTTAAGATCCAAAGATAGAAATGAAAAAAGTGAGAGTAGATAATTGAAAACAATATATTAAGACAAAAAAGAAGATAATATTGGAGTGCCATTAATTGTGATCACATCTTAAAATCCAGATTAAAGAGACTCTAATCATTCTATTACAGCTAAACTTATTAGGCTTAATAAAATAACTAGAAATAAAACTGAAATTACTCCCACCTAATATAATTTTATAGATAGAATTGTTGAACCAACAATAAAAAAGCCTGAAATTCATTCAGAATAAATTTCACCATTAAGAATTCGTAAAAATGCACCTAGTAATTTAACCGACAGGAGATAATTGATACTAAAAAATAAAGAAACTATTCATCAAAAAGGTTATCATGTTCAAAATTAAAAATCCTAAGGTTGTATAATAACACATTAATTAATTCATTCAGAGCAAACTAGTCCTAGTTTTAGAAGATTAAATTAAACTTCTTATTAATGCGATAAAACTAAGATTTTCAACAAAATTAAAAATTAACCTTTAGAAAATGAAATCAAATTAATTAGATAAATTAGTGGTTGGACTATTTAAAGTTAAGAAAGCATTCAAACACCTAAATGAAATAATTTGTAATATATTTTCTCTATCTTTAATTTGAATAATTTTTTTTTATAATATTTCTATTGTTATACATAGGATTAATAGATTTTAATTGTTAATTATATATGTGTGGATCAAATGATTATGGTTAATTGGGTTTGAATTGTTATGAAATTGTAAGTGAATTAATTGAAATATTTTAGTTTGTTCCTTAATAAGTGTTATGTTTAGACAAATATGATAAAGTCAAATGTGGTATAACTCATACGTTAGTATTAAATAATGGACAAGTTTATTCTTTTGGATCTAATAAAAATGGAGAATTAGGAAATGGCAAATAATCAATTTCATATAATTAATTAAAACCATTGAAGATATAAAATGTAAATAAGATATATGCATCAAATTTTTCAGCAGCTATTACTTCTAAAAATGACTTATATTTATGGGGAGTATTTAATTAAAAAATAAATTAGTCTGGAATATTTGGAGAATTTGTTACACCTACTAAAATTGATTTTCCATAATAAATTAAAAAAATTAAACTTAGAAATGGATTTGGTTGCATTTTAGATGAAGATGGATAAATTTATTCTTGGGGTAAAAATTCTTCAGGGGAATTAGCTTAAAAAGATTACATTCCTAGAACTGATATTTAACATATAAAATAGCTAAAAAGTAAATAAATTAAAACATTTGATTGTGGTTTTAAATTTGTTGTATGTATTAGTTAAATTTAAGAAATATCCATAAATTATGATTAGATTATCAAAGAAAATGATCAACTTAAATAAAAATTATTATAAATGGAAACTATTTTTAAAAATTAAAAAATCAAATCTTAAGCTGATTTATAATATACAATGTAATAAGAATGTAAAAGCTTTGATTTAGGAATTATTTAAGATTAATTAGAATAAAAATAAAAAATCATATAAGAATAAGAAAAAATAATATAAAGTTAAAAGAATAGAATAATATATTTAGAATCTCAACTTTATTATCCTCAAAATAAAGAGAATATGAATCAAAATTCAGTTGCATATGCATATAAAAAAGATGTTAAAAATTAAAATAATCTAACATTTGATTTTTATAATTAATGAATAATTATTATCTATGATTTACTTTATTACATTATATTAATTTAGTTTCCTTTAGAATATTTAATAGAATATTTTTTATAAATTAAATAAATGTATTAAATTATTATTTTTTTTTCATTTTTATTTTTATTCAAAAATGCTCACCATAGATTCAAATTATTTATTGGAAATATAAATATTAGGATTAGAAAATGAATAATAAAGTCAATTGGAAAATGAAAATTAATAAATTATATAAAGAAAAATTAATATTAAAATAAATACTAACATATTAATTAGAAAGATTTAATAAAATTCATAATTATAAGATGATGACAGAAAAAAATATTTTGAAATAATAAGAGGTGTGAGTGAAGCTAATGAATAATATATTTGTTATGTATAATTAATTTTAATTTAGATATCAATTGAAGAAGAAGCATTTTATAATTATTGGACTAAGAAATTTATTCTTAAAAATGAGGAAAAATTATACAATTTCTCTGTTGATAATGATTAACAGAATAATAATCAATATATAAATCTGAATTTTCATTTTGCACCCAAAATCATACCTTTTCATTATGAATCTAACGAATCAAGGAATAAATCTAATTACTTGAAGTGCAGTTCATCCTTTAAGTTAATATTAAGGGAAAAAAATCAAGATTATTATTAAATTGCAATTCCATTAAAATTCAACATTCCAACAAAGTTTACTACAAATGTATATGATAAAATACAATTAGTAAGAAGTTTAGATTAAAAAATTCCATTAACAATTACTTGGCAATTGAATAAAGATGGCAACAGAATATAATTAAAAATAAACTTTCCAAATGATATAGGTAATTTTGAAATAACCGCAGCTTTATACTCAAGAATAGTTATTAAAGAAAGCACTGATAGTAGTAATAATTTTGAATTTGCTGCTTAGGCTCATAAGGAACTATCTAAAGATTAAAGAGTAATAAATCTTTAAGAAGAGTTGATTTTAGATTTGAAATTTATTGAGGGAAGGTGCCCACCTCTATATTTTGGATAAAGGATTAGATCACATCACATTGTGATATTAACTATAAACTTTAAGATTTAAAATATATTAGATCTTTTTAAGAAAAATAAATTTTAAATTGAAATTCCTGTAGATTTATATCCTAATGGGCAAATAAATGAGGATGAATATGATAAAACTAGATTTTATAATAAATATTTTGATTAAATCAGATTGCTAAATAAACCATAAAAAGATTACTCAACATACATATGAGGAAAAGAAATTGATGTTTTTTTTTATAAGATATATTCAAAATTTTTAATTTTAAAAATTAGATCAATTAAAACTACATCTTTAATGATATTTATAAATTATTTTTTTATTTATTGGATTATATTCTTTATATATTATAATGTTATAGAAGAAATACATTATGTTTTAAGTTACAATATTTTTTAATAGATTTTAAGAAATTAAGGATATGATAGAATAATCCATTAATTTTATTGATTAAAGAAATCTCTATTGTATATTCAATTAAATTATAATATATTTGATGCATAAACTTCAAAGAAAAGAGAAATATATAGATATTGAGAAAGCTGTAATAAAAGACATCTCATTATATATTAGCATATTTAAGTAGCTAAAAAATATGAAGGATAATGGTTCAATGATAAATAAAATGGATATGGTTCAGAAGTGTGGCCAGATGGATCATCTTTTCAAGGATTCTTTTAAAACAGTTTTAAACAAGGAAAAAATAAATTTATATATTATAATTCTTACATTATTATTATCAATTTAACACAAATATATGAATGATCAAATAGAAATAAAAATGGCAGAAGTGTTTATTTTATTAATTAATTTTCTTAAACACTGCTTAAAATTGCCTTTCTTTTTAAGTTATTATTTATAAACGACCGTGAAATAAACTAGTAGTTTTGATAGATGGAAGCTTGAATAGTAATTAATTATGTGTACATAGGGTAATATATATAAGTGAATTTTACACATTCTATTATAATACCCAAATATATATGTTAATTTTCTGGAAGATATTTTATGATATTATAAGCTTATACTAAATATATAAAGCAACCCTTTAACAACAAAAATTGTTTTTAGAAACATTCATTAAAAATAATTTTGTTA